ACTAGGACAGAAAAAGTACAGCAACTCTGCGCTACCTAGGAAGATAGGAATCCTAAGATAACTCTCTTAGAAGGGGCTGCTTAAGAAGGGGTATCTAAGAACAATACAACAGGAAGTATACTAACCTAGAAAAAGCAGGTTAGGAAGAGTATAATTCTATAGAAACAGTAGGCAGCAGGATAGCTACTGCTGTATACTAATAAGCAAAAGGCAGAGCTAGAACCTAAAATACAGGGGCTTATAACCTTAGTCAACTCTAAGCTTAAAGAGTATAATAGACAGGAATAGTATCCACAGATTAACCTAAACACTATAGAAAGTTAAGGATAGACCCGGTACGCCTAGGAACCTATTAACTCCCAGGAACTAACAGACTGACCCCAGAAGTAGGGTATACAGGTCCTAGAAGCTATAAATAGACTCCTAGGAATACTAAAGATCCTAGAAACTCTACCTTAGCTCCCAGAAATACCTTATAAGTTCCTAGGAACGCCTTAAGAGTCCCTAAGATATAATAAACTTCCTTAGACAGTTTAAGAATTTCTCTAAAGATAGATAACTCTTACCGAGCAGGAATTACAAAAAATCCTAGAAACCCTACCGAAGGGCTACTAGATAAGTTACTAAGAGGAATAAGAACTATAACAGATCTATAAGATAGGTAGCATAGTACCTAGAGACCCTTAAAGGATCCTGTTTAACAAATCAGATAACAACGAACCAGCGCCGTACGTCACTAGCACAGAAGGAACATACCTATGCCACAGGGAAGATTATGCTTATATCAGATATATGCAATATCCTGATTATAACCTTAGAGCAATAATTAGATGCTACGACTACGTATACAGGACGTATATGCAAGGTAAGCTAGATACTAGAGGAATCAAACCTAAGCTATCGCTATAACTACGTTGCCTAGAGTAGAGATAAACCCTTACGGCAACAGTATAGGGAAAATACATAAAAGCAGAAGCACTAATAACTCTCTATAGGGGAAACAAGATCAGTATATAAGTTATAATTAACTCCGGAGCTACAGGAAACTTTATAGACTTAAACTATACCTTAAGCAGAAGGATACTAACTATTAAGAAAAGACTTACTACTCCTCTCATTAGACTTAATAGAGAAAAGCTAAACAAAGGAATTACATACTATACCGAAATAATCGATATAATTATCAGTAATTACCTAGAACCTATATACTTTAATATTATAGGGTTAGAAGGATACAATATAGTACTTAGTATTCCTTAGCTGCGCTAGTATAGCCTAAGAATTAATTAGCAGAGGGATAAAATCTACTTTAACTACTGTAATTATATATAAACAGAAACTAGATAGATAGGAAAGGAACTATAGAGTATTAAAGAGTCTAGCCCTAGGACAGCAGATACCTATTACGGCCTGTATAAGGTTAACCCTAAATAGAGTAAGCAGCCCAGAGGCAGGGCATTAGGAAGAATTATAGATATTAACATTCTTGCAACAATAGAACAAGGACCGGATATATCAGACAACGAACTATAAGAATATATTATAATACACTACAAATCGCAATAAGCCCTCTGTACAACAGAAGAAGAAATATAAATACCTACAGAGTACTAAGAGTACCGGGATATATTTAAGGTACTAGCAGATAGTATACTCCTAGAGTATAGTCTGTTTAACTATAAGATTAGGATTAAGGAAGGTAAGGAGCTAACCTTTAGACTAATCTATTAGCTATTACTGCTAGAATTAGAAACTCTAAAGAAATATATCAAAGAGAACCTTAGGAAGGGATATATCTAGAAATCATTATTATCAGCCGGATATCTAATTATCTTTGTAGACAAAAAGAACAGAAGCCTTCGACTCTATATAGATTATCAGTATTTAAATAAGATTACTATTAAAGATCGATATCTGTTACCTCTTATCTAGAAGATATAGGATCGTATTTAGAGAAGTATTTACTTTACTAAATATAATATTACTAATATATATAATTACCTTAGGATTAAGGAAGGCAATAAGTAGAAAACAGTATTCAGAATAAAATACAGATATTATAAGTATATAGTTATACTGTTCGGACTTACGAATACACCCGCAGTATTTTAATGTTTTATCTTTAGTGTATTAGAAGAATACCTTAACATCTTTATAATAATATATCTTAACAATATTTTAGTATTTTCTAAAACTATAGAAGACTATATTTAATATAATAAGAAAGTACTACAGAAGCTTAGAGAAGCTAAGGTTATACTTAAACTTAAGAAGTATAAATTCTACGTTAAGGAAACAGATTTCCTAGGATATATAATCAGTAATAAAGGATTTAGTATATAAGAAGATAAAATTAGGAGTATCCTAGATTAGCTAATACCCAAAAATATAAAAGAAGTTCAACAGTTTCTAGGGTTATATAACTACTACTAATATTTAATTAATAGGTTTAGGAAAGTTATAGTCAACCTTAATAAATTAACAAAGAAAGACTAAAAGTAGGTCTAGGATAACTAATCAGAAAATTTATTTAATACCCTTAAGAAGTTGTTTATTAAACGAACAATACTTATATTAGCAGATCTAACAAAACTATATACAGTAGAAACTGATACATCGGATTATATACTTAGGGTATAACTTACCTAACTAGAGGATAACGGAAAACTAAGACCAGTTGTGTTCTAGTCCAGAAAAATAATATCCGCAGAAATCAACTATAATATCTACAATAAGGAACTGCTAGCTATAGTATTAGTACTTAAGATCTAGAGAGTATACCTAGAAAGAGTAAGCTACTAAGTTCTTATAAAATTAGATTATAAGAACCTTATATTCTTTACTAGTACAAAAGAATTAATAAGACGTTAGGTAAGATAGGCAGAAACCCTAGTAAGATATAATTATAGGATTAAATATTGCCTAGGCATAGCCAACAGCCAGACGGACGTACTTAGCAGAAAACCCGACTATATAATAGAGGTTAAGAAAGCTATTCTGGCTATACTTAAGATAAATAAAGATAGCTATCTAGTATATAATTATCAGATCCTAGCCGCTACTAGCAAAATTAAGGATAATAAATAGATTAACTAAATTAAAGAAGGAATAATAAAGGATATTATTATTTAGAATATTATAACAAAGAATTACACAATATTAAAAGATAAATTAATCTATATCTATAGACTAGTATATATACTACAACGACTTTAGAACAAAGTAATACAGCGATACTACAACGATCCGGCGTACAGATATATAGAGGTAGAGAAAACAGTAGAATATCTCTCGAGAAACTACTATATCCCTAATATATATAAGAAAGTTTAAAGATATATTAAGTAATACAATACCTATCAGCAAAATAAGCTATTATAATATATCCTATATAGTAAGTTACAGAACTTAGAAACGCTAACGCAACTATAGGAATAGATTACGATTAACTTTATTACTAAACTATCTAAGTCAGACAGGCATAATATAATTATAGTAGTTATAGACTGATTAACGAAGTACTCCTATATAATACTAATAACAGAAATAATCAATACTAATACTATAGCATTCCTGTTATTCAGATATATATTTACTAACTATAGAATACCTTAGAAAATAATATCAGACAGAGATAAACTCTTTATAAGCAAGATATAGTAATTATTCGCAGATTTAGTAGGTATTAAGTATAGACTCTCTACCGCCTATTATCTATAAATAAATAGCTAAACAGAACAAACAAACTAAACCTTAGAGCAATACTTAAGACACTATATAAATTACCAGTAGAATTGCGATTTGCTGGAAGGCGGCCGGATTCGGCGCCCCCCCTCGGTTGGGTTTAGCGTCCGTGAGACCGAGCCGGATCTGGCATCGCGCCCTTCCACGTGTGGTTTAGCCCCTCCACAACGGGTTTGGCGCCTCGCGCTAGCCCCGATCAGGATCTGCCGTCTCGAACCGCCCGTCTCGCGACGGCCGCCATCTATATAATCCGCGGTGCGTCGCTCGACGACCATTTCTCTTCTTTCCCACATCCCTCCCCTCGTCCCCTTCCATTGTCCTTCGTCGGCGCCGTCTCATGGCCGGCTGACGTGGCCCCTGCCAGCTGAAACCCTCCGCCCTGAGCACAGCCTGCTTCCCCACTCGCGAGAGGAAATTTCGAAGGGGTCCGTCTGGCCCTGCGTGTCACCCAGGTTGCCCTGGATTTCTCGGTTCTATACATCTTTCATTTCATGCTGTACGCTGTGGACGGTCGCTAATTCAATCGCTGTACACACTACCCTCGGGCTGCTTGATAAATGGACGTGTGATAGCAATTGAGGAGGACTACTGCCTTCTCTTTGTCCGAGGCTTCGTTTCGTGAATGCCACGCAGCGCCCCACGAAACAGTCACTTTGCTCTTTCCACCGAACACCGATCGAGCATCATCATTGAGTCGCTCACTAGACCCACTTTCGCTCGCTCGCCCAACGGCAAAAATGCCTCAAGGAGTCCTGGCACTGAGCTGAGACATCACAATCATCCTAGTGATGGATGGCTTGCATGATCGCCTTGTGTGATTGGTGAAATGTAGGCGGCCGGTCGTATCGAGGGGGTATTTCTTGCCAATCTACCCAATCCCTCGACTGTCAGCTGAAGGGTGGAGGTGTCTTGACGGCTGCAACGTTATACGCTGGGCACTTTGAACCCAAGCCGCCCGTCGACGAGGCGGCTCGGTTAGATTCGCCCGGAATACTCCCAAGTGATGATACGACGCAAGCAGGGAGTAGTATCAACCAGGCAGCGGTATCGAAATTCCCGATTGTGTGGAGTGTGCAGGGCGATATACGCATGATCCCCAGCTAGTAATGCTCTGGCAGCGCCTGGGTATTAAAAAGGCTGATCGATCTCCTTTTGTCCATTCTTTGGACACAAGCCCGCCCAGTTATTGCTGCACTCATATCCAAGGTTGTTTTATTATCTGTCGTTATCTACCTCCGCCTTACCACTTCCTGAGAATGAGCGTGAATCTTGATCAAATCGAGTTCTACCATGGCCCAAGTCGCCCGCCGCCTTATACCAATGCAAAAAGCGTGCCGCCCGACCACGTCCCGGCTCATGTACCGCCATGCTTCCAGCAGACCTTTCCCGCTGGGTTCGGCTTCCGTCCAGAACCGTGGGAGGTACCTCTAGGACAGTCACTGCCCCTGGCCGGTACAACTCATGAGTGGAACATATTTGATTTCGAGATCAATAATGTATATGGTCCCACTCTTCCTGAAACGAGGAAAGATGTCGAACTCGCAGTGACACCAGCTATTCCAGCTGCCCGTGATATTCTGTTAGATCGTGGAAGTTCCGCACTGGCCTTCGCAGAGCCAGTGCCATTGACAGACTCCGCCAAAACAATCCCATGTCCTGCAGGGCCAAACTCCCTCGAGCACATTTCTCCTGATATGCGGGGAAATGATTTGCAAGGTAAGTTGGCACATCACATGGCGATGAAAGTCGGTCATCATACTCTCAGTGTCTGACTTTTTGTTTTTCAGATGCTGTTCATAATAACAAAGAAATGGAGACTTCTCGACTCTCATGCGTATCCTATGTGGCCGCACCCGTGCCTGCACCCGAACAAGCGAACCGTGCCCGTGCCCTTAGCAGCTTATCTGTGGTGGGCGATTCCCAGCAAGAATCAGCCTGGCGGAATTTATCTCCTACGAGGCCCTCAAACAGTCTACACCCTGAGGACCCCGAAAATGATACGGAGCCAGGTCAGATCTCTGACCTAGGTGAAAATCCATGCTCCAGGGCAAACGATGCTCCAGAGCGGGCTAAGGATTCCGGCCCTACTGAAGACAAGCCAGTCCCATCTCAGCCGTCCGCTCCGCCAACTGTGCGCTCTTCTCCAGAATGTTCTCGTATTCGAACGACGCGGAGTTCCGATGTCCCGGTGCGCTACCCGTCGATAGCTGTGATTGTACCATCACCGTCCTGGAAGCAAGCAGCCGCCAGGACAAGCACGAGAGCCGCTGCGGCAGTATGCAAGCAGCGACTCCGCTCAGGTCGAAACACCCGCAACCACCAAGATGAGAATACCACCCTCTATGACACGAAACAACCGTGTCAAAAGAGAAAGAAACGGAGACCCTTAATCGTGCCGTTTTCCGATACGTCGGTCTCTTCCATTCCCGTTTCATCCCATTGCCCTGGTGCTATCCAGGGCCTACGCGGAAGTGCCCTCCTCACGGTCGAATCTAATTCTGGTCTCAAACCGGCATATTTCTTTACTTTCGTTCCCGACCCTAGCCCGATGCTGTCTGGACCCCACGCGGAGGTTATTCCAGAGAAACCAAGGTACACATCGGATGAGAACGCCCTGCTAGTGCGACTGAAGGAAAAAGAGGCAATGTCATGGCCTGAGATCACGACTCACTTCCCAGGCCGAAATATGTCATCCCTTCAAGTCCATTATTCAACCAAATTACGCCACAAGGCCAGCTCTCGGTCTGGAAAACCGAGGAGACGCGGATGAGAGAAGCTATCATTCGCAATTGAAACCTGCCAACCCAGCTCGATCAGGGGTTGATGTCAACGGATCACGGGTTGCGGCAGAGGTTTTTCCGACAAATTATCCTCGCTAAAGCGTGTTATGGCAAAATATAGAAGTTCTCCATTCTCCACCTTGGAGTAGCAAACTAGACTCAGAAATGTTTTCTAAAAGATAATTAAGCTGGCTACGGCTGCTGAATTCTATACTTTAGATTGAACAGCAGGGAAGCGAAGTCCCCCCATGGAACCAGATCGTGAAGCATTTTCTAGGAAGGATGAAGGTTGCTCTTTAGGTTCGCTATAGCACGAAGCTCAAGGACCGAGGAACTGGAAGTCTCAGGCGACGCTGGAGTCGAAGTGTTACATGTCCTGCAGCTGCGCTTGCTTGACGCAGCTAATTCTCTCCCGCTCAAAATAGGACCGGACAATTGAAGAGCTTCGGGAACCCCTCAACTTTCGTTGTATGAATCTAAATCATTGTTATTCATTAATATCTCGATCCTAAACTGTCAGACTGCCTCGAAGCCATCACTCTTGGTCACCTCTGGAAGATCGACGAGTAGCCGAGGAAAAGGAGCATAGTGATTAAATTATATAAGTATTTCCGGCATAGCCACGCATGCAGATTTCGATCAAGCCCAGTAATGGAGCATGACAATCAACTTGGCCATGGGCCCTATGTGGTGTTGGTAGATTTCCCGGAGACTATCGTTGTCTTTTACCACTCCTCACTACCTCCAAGGCTTGTTCAATCATCCCAGCTCAGTAACTGTACCTGTACAGTACCACTCGAAAGTAAAACCAAGTTGCTCAGGCTCCCCCGAAGAGAGCATAGGAAGAAGTCCGCACGCCTCCAGCCTCTGACAGAATTTTTTGTCGAAGCGAATTCCTTTGTCGACAAGTTTTGGTCCATGCCACAGATGGGGGGACTCCGTTCTCCGCGATTGGTTACATCAGGGTCGGCGACCTCACTGCAACAGACCACTAAAGCCCACCAATATCTTAAATTTCCCCATAACCCACGAAATATGCGGCCTAGAACAATGCGCCATCGGGGGGTGGAGATTTTTCCGGCGTCAATCTCTTTCTCTTTGATGCTCTCTGAGAGGAGCGTCTCTGTGTATGCGGCTAACTCCGCAATTGTGGTATATTGATTATGCCAACAGTTATTGATAATATTGTCAAGTAGGGAATCACCATTGAGTGTCGGAAATTCCATGTTCTGCAGTAAGTCGACGACTTTAGGCCCTTGCTCCCCGGGATCCTCGGTAAGGCATCGGTCTCCATAAACCTCAAAACCGTAGTTGAGTAAGTAGTACAAAGAAAAAAAATGAGGAGTCCCACCCCCAAACGCCGAGGGATCGGCATCCCGTATCTAGTCCATCCGATATAGTGACAATTCCCATTCGAGGTTTCCTGACACGGGGAATACTTCTGTCGAAAGTTGTTTATTCAATTACTTTTGAGGAGCGAACAGAGCATACCTGCCTGCAGGAACCCGATGAGACCCCACCAGATTGTGAACGTGAAGCTGAACGCAGAAAGCTTTCTCGGCAGAAAAAGTTCCAAATTGGAAAATCAATTAAGCCAGCTCGAATTCTGTCTAAATACGACGAGCTTTTGATCGATTTGAAGGAAGCGAGGGGATTAACGTGGAAACAAATCGCCGAGTATTTCCCAGAAAGATCGAAAGGCTCTTTACAGGTGCGATATTGTACACGGCTGAAGGGGGGGGCATGTTGGAAGTCCTGAGTCTAGTTACAAGGCAAAGGACAAGTTTTTACGCAGAAGCATATCTTTTTAGGCATCCCGTCCAAGCCACGGATTCCAAGTGTCGGATAATAAAGGCAAGGACGTCGAAGGGTTGTCAAGACAGCGATACGGTCCACCTCGGCGACGGCAGCCTGTCAACCGGTTTTCTCCCGGTTTAAAATGACTTTACCACAAAGCACAGTATGTTTATAAAGCGGATGCATCTCTGCGTACCAGATACATTGTGCGATTTTGTCTTCGTAGTTGTCTATAATGAATTCAAGCGTAAACATGCCAAGACAGAAAGCGCAATGAGAGCCATTCTGGCGAATCTCAACGCCCGGGTCTGCATCTCTTTACATAAAGAGACTGCAGAAATCTGCAGGATATAAATGTGGCTTGATTTCTAGGACAGTCTTCGACGGAATAATTGCCTGCAGACCTTTGGTACTCTGAAACGGCTAGAGAGGGTTGTGACTGATGGGTTTGATATCAACAAGCGGCAAGTGACTAGATTATTATGCAACTGTTGTTTGTTTAACGTGCAGGTTTTCTTTCTGAACACTTGAGTAGCTGGACTCTGCCCATCATCCGCAATTGAAACTCGCCAACACAGCTCGATCGGGGGGTTATGTCAGCGGTTCTTGGGCTCCGGCAGAGATATTTTCCCGTCAAGTTAATCTCTGTTAAAGAAATCATGCTTATGTTAACAGTTTCAGTTATATTATTGGCCAAATACTTCTCCGTTCTCCACCTTGGAGTAGCATAATCCCGAACTCGGTGCTCTCAATAATGGCAGGTTTTTTCTATGATATCTCTCAAGAACTAAACTGATACTGATTTAGTCCTCCCATCGTCCCCTTGTCAATTTCACCAACCTCTCACCCTCCACCGCTGGATATTGAGTGGTTTCAATAGGGTGTGGTGGTGCTGAAGAGCTCGGGACATGTCAAATTGGTTTCAGACTTTTAACAGCACGGTCTGGTTATATGTGATAAGGTAGGTACTCGATATCAAAGGCCTAGCATTTTTGGTGATGCCGCTATTATTGCTGATGATACTGAGAGCCTTTATTCAACATTATTGGATGAATCAAACTGCGTATTTGCTTAGGTATATTTGTATTCATGCACTTTTTGGTACAGAGCCGCCCACGTTCGCCTTCCTTGTTCCAGACAGAGAGATGCTCTTTCGAACCCTAATCACATGATACAGTAAATAAACAGGTTTTGTACGAACCCGTAATAATACCAGTCCCTTTTTACAGGTCGTAAGACAGATACAAGCGTCCATAATTAGACAGCTAGACTACCTAGAACTTGCCAAAAGATTCCACGCAAACACAATAAACAGCACAAACAAAGCAAAATTGTAAGTGGCAAAGTGTCAACTTCTCCCTTTCTGTATCTCGCAGTTGCTCTACTGTAGCGCTTGGTGCTTCCTGGGGGTCCATCTGGAGTCAAGGTAATAGGCAAGTCTTAATGGTAATGCTATGTTTCGGGATCTTTCACTATAATTTATCATGATGCTGCGGGTTGAAACCTTGAATGGATACCAGGGATTACTTGCTAACGTCTGGGAGCATTGTTCAGGTCACGCTCATCGGAAGATTTACACGATGAGCATAGGTAGTTTTTTGGATGACAATGCTTATACTGAACGGAAATTCGGATTATGCTCCCACACCTGGTAACTTCGGTCGCAGGCCCGCCACCTTAAACTCTCCTATACCTGCCCCGGACTGTGCCACAGACTAGGTGCTGTCCGATCAGCTAAACTTTATCCCATTGGCTGAGTGGCAAGAATTTGGCGAATTTAATGAACTGCCTGAGAGATATGTCTGCTATACATATGCATGGAAGCTTATACTCAACCGTAAAACGGTAGGCAATGTGGCTGAAAGACTTGGTTATAGCTATCAGTGATTGCTGGAGGAAGAGGTTGCAAGCAAAGCGTCACCAGTGGAATATATTTGAAGTGAAATTATAATAACCTTTCTCATTATATGGTAACTCTATTCAAGGAGAGAGCTTTATGCTCTCCAAGAATACGACTATCTGCCATACAAAAAGCAAAATATAACAATCATCAGTGGTACACGCGGCTGATTCGTCAACAAACCCCTCGGCAAGTGTCGAATATGTATAACGGCGAAAGAAATTGGCACTGGACAGTGTACTTTGAACCTATCTGCAATCTCAAGACAAGACAAATCCCCAGTCATCGTTGCGGAGACTTTGGAGCAGGCATGCAAGTTCTTCCTCAAACCCCGATGACAGAGGAACTGAAGGGCGTACAGATCCTAAAGCATTTATTATACCTGGCACGGGGATCACCGCCGATGCGATCATTAACTTTGCCGAAGGTGGTGCCTTGAGTTCCCATTCTTTAAGGGCCATCATCGACATAGCTTTTTCGCAAACACTTATGAAACTAACGCCGTAAAATTCCACATCTCTAGACGCCTCATTGAACAATGAAAGCCATCTCTCACTTTCCAATGTGAGATAGCCAAAGACCGAGGAATTGGTCAGAACTTTTCCTTGGTTAACCGGAATCGATTCACCGTAGTGGGTTGAAAATTCTTCCATGTAATGTTGTCGATGCAATCGAATATGAAAATCCAGTAAATCTTTGACTTTGGATAGTGTCGAGACTCTTTTCTGCTCTATCTGATCTGAGGCCTTTGTCAGTGCAATGATCTGCCTTTAGACTACCATTCGGCTTACCTATGATGTTTTGGGGCAGTGAGACTTGATACTCAGTGACCATTTGATTGATGGGCCACGAGGCATGTTGTTGGACCATCCCAGATAACCTCTTGAAATCAGAAGTCATTCCAAGTTTCCAAAGAATCCAAAGCCAAGCAACTGCACTTGAATCAAATGTCTCTGGAATGCGGTGACGATGGAACCACACCCAAGCCCTAGCGCGCCTGGAAACAACATCGAGTTGGTTATATTTGTCTGCTAGAAGCAGGAAATTGAGGAATGAATAGAAGTCGATCTTGTCGGGAATATCGGAGGCTCTACCAAGTATGACGTTTCTCATCACGGAGAAAGCAAATTGGTCATCCTCTGGGGCAGGCTGAAGGATAAACGTTCGAGCACCTCTGGTGTTCTAATCATTCAGTATTAGACTTTGCTTCCAAAGATTCAATAAGAGGGGTATCAGAGACTTACCTTGCCAATATCGTCACCTCTAGATACTCTCGAAGCCTCTTCGAGGTGTTCATTGTCCACGACAACTTGACCTTCATCGAATGATACGTAGAGCGTGACTGGGACTGCGCACTTGACTTCGGCTGGAGATCCGTTTTCAACGGCTGTATGTGCACATTTTTGATTGTGACAGCTTGAATACAATGAAAGACAATTGTTTTCTGGGTGTTCTTTGTCGGTATGGCTTAGCTCAGACGCAACACATGGGTCAAGTCCTCCTGATGTTAGCGATATTTTGCAGGGCAATCGCATTTTTGCAAGTTCAATACGCTGTCCTTCAACAATAATATGCCTACAGCTCTCTTTAGATACACATTTCTGCTGAAGGCACAAGGTTTGACAGTCTTCTGATATAGACAGGCGATCGGCGCAAAAGACCATCCTTCCAGTCTCAGGAGAGATACATTCCGTCGCATTCTTGGTTTGCGCAGCAATGAAAGCGGCCGTATGTTGCGAAAGAGGGATTTGGATTGGAGATAGACCGTAGTTAAAGCCATCTGTGTCCAACGAAGGAGTAGAGCATTGTGTCTTTGAAAAAAGATCCACAGCATTTTCTGGCCCAGAGAGCATAATCCTGTCGCATTCTTCTTCAGGTAAATCCCAGAAAGTATCGTTTAGCATGATGGATTCTGCATCGTTGACCGAGTCGGGGACCATGCTATCTGACCCAAAGCCGACTTGCTCATTCGAATCGGTTCTCGCCGAGGGAGTAGTGCAATCATGGAACACATGAACAGAACTGTATTCATGGGATAAATTGGAACACGAGTCTGTTCCATTTCTCTCCACTGCCATTTTGCTAGAAGATGCTTCCGATTTACTCATCCATTGACCCCAGACACGTTTGGCACCGCGGTACTTATTACTGAATCGACTTCCGACTGACAGTCCCGAGGACTCATGTAGCTCTGCTGTACCAAATGCACGATTTTGTTGTGTTTCTCTGGTGCCATATACCCCGAAATTTGTACTAAATGGAGACTGCTGAGGCTGTGAAAGTTTTTGAAGTTTTCTCAAATCAACTTCAATGGTTTCGTGCAACTGTGTTAGAGCCTGAGAATGCCGTTTCATCTCAGCCTGAGCATCTGCGACATAAAGGTCGGTCCCTTCCCAATGGTTGTTTCTATGCTGCCATGTAAGTAATAATATTTCAAGGTAAGGAGAGGGAGATGGCATAGCGCGTACTGAGACTTAATAGAGGCCAATAGAGTTACGCCTATCGCAACCTGGAGAGATGACTTAGCACATTCGACAGCCTGTATCAAATCTTGAAGGTGATCTTCCTCTTTCACGAAACGGTACGAAGTCAAGAGTTTTGAGACTAGCTTTTTGAAGCTTTTTGACTTGTCTCCTTCAAGCCGAATGAATTTTTTCAAGGCGGCATTTGCTTCATCTCGAACCTTGCCAAGGATTTCATTCATAAAGTCTATAAGTCCACGCCGTTGTCCATCGTCGAGTTGGATCGTGATGTTCTGTTCATCGAACGAATATTTGATGATATTAGCAAGGGCTATTTGAATCTGCAGAAATGTTAGCTTCAGCTCATCTCGTGTTTGTAATAGAGTCTAGCCTACATGCTCTAATCCTTGAAGTCCACTATGATACCGCCTCCAATCGTCTCGAGCTGCTCTGCACTTGATTATAAAATTAAAACATCTTGTCACGACATCAGTTATTGTTATAATACTTGCAGCTGCACCGATGGGTTCCATATTCTGATTCCTGATCTCCCACAATAAATCACATGGCCTTCACAAGAAGAGCGGAATGTAGAAGAAGCATAGGTAGCCAAGCGGAAAGGACTGAGATTTATAAAATAAGTTTTTTACTCAGCGAGAATTCTTTCCCTTATATTTAGATGGGGAAAAATAGAAAGAGAGGTGCTATGACGACTATTGGATCCTATCCCTCCATTTTAGAGGAAAGTGACGACGGGGCAGTGCCGTCCTGCATGAGGGTGTGAAAGTTTGACTTCCCAATCAATTGGTTGGGCAAGAAAGGAGGGGCAACGTGGCTATGTCTGTTGTGGCTTGGAGGTGCATAAGTACCTCCGCGCGTACTGGTTGACCACCAGGAAACAACGCAAGTAGCGCCAACATGACAGGGCTGTGTTCATACCTTGACATGGGAGTCGATTGCCGCTCTTGGATGTTGCGATCGATGCAATGCCATCTGGCAGGTTGTTTACGTCACCGAGAGGATCGAGGCTGAGAAGGCTGCGAAAGGTTGATAGATTTGCCTGATCTGGAGGAGAAACTAGCGGAGAATAATGCACACGATATGGAAAGCAGCCACCACTTAACCAGGAATCTGAACAACAATTAGTTAATGCGAGGGAGGCGTAGAGTGTTTGAAATCACAGCGTTCCAAGCAGCGTTAAAGACCTGCATCGCGCAGGCGTGGATAAAATTATCTAACAGATATACCGTCCAGAGTGAGGACAAGACAGAAGGTCTCCTCCTTAGTCGCAAAATATTATTGATTCAAGGGCCTCAACGCGCAAAGCAAACTGGCATGATACTGGATCTTGAGAGGAGTATTACACGCAGATACCACCTTGAGTTTATGCTGGCAGTGTCTGATAGCGTTGACCGCGATAAAATTCAGGCACTTAGACCAGTATCACCATAGTGGTTACCCAACCGTCCGCCTACGTTCCATCCGTTTATCCCATTACATCACATCCGGATCCGTCAATGAAAATAAGGTGGTACGAACGAAACTCGGATACTTTGTTTTAGTAGGAATTGCGCAGTTGAGTGTTACGTTGTTTGGCTCTCTACCGAGCGATCTTTTGGTCTAAACAACCCGATAAAGAGCACGTTAAAGATGTGGGTGTGGACAATATTGGTAGAACGTTGAAACAATCTCAGGTTTTAGCCATCTCTTAAATAAAAAAAGGCCGGATATTTCAGCGAGGTAGTCAAAAAGGGCGTCCGTCCAGCACCATGGGAGATATGCGATGGCGGGCCAAGAGGAATTCCGGGAGGATACGGACTGTCGAACGACCGCATGCTCTTGCGTATGTCAGTGATAGAACGCTCGCTACACTCTGCCAGCTCGGCCATTTGTGATGTAGTCTTTTCTTGCTACTTATCATGTGTACAATCATCTGACGCTGCCAAGTTTTCAGATTTCGCGCCATTTTGTAACGATTTAGGGGGGTTAATGGTTGCTTGAGGAGGGAGGGACGATTGTGATGGGACTACACCACGGGTTATTTTCGGACCGGTAATAATACAGAATATTACACCTCCCATTTGGATTGTATTTTACCGTTCGAAACGAAACATGAACAAAAGTACGGGGGTGGCCGTATCTGGATATTCAGGATCATGTGATTAGGGTTTGAAAGAGCATCTCTGTCTTGCCGACATGGAAAGCGAACCTGGGTGGCTCAGTAATTGACGTGTCTACATGTTGCAAGTTTTATCGGTTGTAATCACACCTGTCGTAATTGCGTTTAATGCTTCATATTTTTACTGCTCCTAAGCTATGGTTTCAAATCCCACAGTTCCTTTGGATTCTATCCTTAATTCATAATCATGGAGAGTGATCAATCGTGCGAGAGCAACACACTCATATTGTTTTGGTGAGTTTGAAGTAGGCAGAGTGACACGGCAGTCATTCTGAGGCCTATAAGGCCGATTTGAAACTATCACGCACTTGATTCACTTAGGAAAATGGTTTAGTTCCAAGGTACGTACCGTCATTATTGAAGTCTGCAAGTTGTAGTGTACGCAGGCAAGTATTGTGAAGCCTAATGAAAAAAGAAACATCCATATTGAGCCAATGGACGCAATCCATAAGGCTCGTTGGTGCTTGGCAGTACCGAGGGATGGATACCGCCAAAACAATTTGAATGTGTTTGCTTCCGTATTCCATTGTCTCATGCAGAGAACCCAGGCTCTAATGAGTTGCGCGTGAACGAAACTGAGCTCAGCAAAAGCGAGAATCATAAGTGAGGCAAACAAAGCTCTGCGATGCTTCTATCATTTTCGGTTAATGAATCATAAGAAAACAGCAAGGCAGGTAGTTGAACGTACCGAAAACGTCATGGACAATAATACAAGGTGGCGCTGGCTGTCATGGGATGAGCTCGCCTGTACTGATCAACGTCCGCTCCGAGGAATTTTTAAGGCTCGTTGAACGCAAACTCGCCGATTGCAAGACCTGGAGAAGCCCCCAAGGGATAAATTCTATTGGGACCCCAATAATTAGCCCACATTCGTGCCCAGCTACGAGAAACAAGCATACAGCAAGCATATCTTCTGCATCCGCTGATGAAAGCCGAACCAATTGGTTGACTAGCTCATGATCTCCGAATATTTTATCGACTCACATATCAACGGCATCCAAATCCCAAAAACCTTCTGAGGATCGAAGTAGTGAATGTTGATGTTTTATTTTGGTAAGTTGGCGCTCGATCGCGCCGACGGAGCGGTCATAACCTCGGCGAAGGAGCAGGCAACGCACCGCCTCCGGGCAGATCCGTCTAGACGAAAAGAAAACAGTAATAATGATTTCATCTTTCGACCACGTAGATCCAGGCGTCAGACTCATAATTCAAATACTGTCTCGAGCTGTTTGACTGCATTCTCGAGCCAGCGTGGCGTAAAGAGGTAGAAGGGAGAGACCCAACCAGAAGCACGGGTTTACAGCCGTCGAGATCCGAATCACGTGGTAAAGCCAAGGCCGCCGCCTAGTTTTAACAGTTGTATGTCCGCGTTCACCCATTTCTTTTTGATTCGTTGGGCAAGTGCCTTTGCCGCTTTACTCTTCAGTCCCTTCAGCCCCGCACCTGAACACCCTGAAGCACCCCCGCGGGGTTGACGTGGCCTCTCGGCTAAACCTGCCGTGGTTTTTCATTACACCCTATACAGTAGTTCCGAAAATCGGTGTCACCACGTACACTCTTCGATTGTTTCTCGTACCCTAATGCCAAGATCCACTAGTCTGTATTAAGAATAGCCCCGGAATATCAATGTTCCCGTTACATCGTCCATACATTATCTTACACTCATCATCATATGATGTTATGTCTCTTTGCTGTATTTATGGTCGATCCTTGGTAATGAGTTTTAGAACCCGATGGAATTTTATGGCTTTCTACGAACATCTTACAGCCGTATAGATTGTCACTTTCCTGCAGGCCCTCCATTTACAAAGATATTAGGAAATAGAGAAAGGAATGGAATCCTATGAAGGAAATTCGCCCTGACCCGTGTCCTATGGCAAGTACACTACCGTGGATCGCCGAGCACGTAGGCCGAGACTCAGGAGGAAGCCATAGTACCCTTTCATTGTTCAATGTTATCCACTGCCCCTGCTCGATAAAGATCTCCAGATTCACATGAGATGAACCAGTATCACACCTAGACTGAGTCTCGAGGAGACCCAAGTTAGTCCTTAGATATGAACAATCTGGAGAAAATTCAAGGAGGGTGGCAATTCCTTCAACACTCCAAATTTGATGCAGGGAGCCCGTCGCGGCGTCCCAGAGCCGCACTGTGTAATCATTGGAGCCGGACGCCAGCATCCGACCGTCCGGCGAGAAGGCCACCGAGTTAACATCATCTAAATGGCCCTCGAGAGTCTGGTGCAGGGTACCCGTCGCGGCGTCCCAGAGCCGCACTGTGTGATCATTGGAGCCGGACACCAGCATCCGACCGTCGGGCGAGAAGGCCACTGAGTTAATGATATTCAAATGGCCCTCGAGAGTCTGGTGCAGGGCACCCGTCGCGGCGTCCCAGAGCCGCACTGTGCGATCATAGGAGCCGGACGCCAGCATCCGACCGTCGGGTGAGAAGGCTACCGATCTAACCGAAAAACGTGAATGGTCCTCGAGAGTCTGGTGCAGGGCACCCGTCGCGGCGTCCCAGATCTGCACTGTGCGATCATCGGAGCCGGACGCCAGCATCCGACCGTCCGGCGAGAAGGCCACCGACTGAACCGAATGTGAATGACCCTCGAGAGTCTGGTGCAGGGCACCCGTCGCGGCGTCCCAGAGCCGCACTGTGTGATCATAGGAGCCGGACGCCAGCATCCGACCGTCGGGCGAGAAGGCCACCGAGTTAACATCATCTAAATGGCCCTCGAGAGTCTGGTGCAGGGCACCCGTTGCGGCGTCCCAGATCCGCACTGTACAATCATTGGAGCCGGACGCCAGCATCCGACCGTCGGGCGAGAAGGCCACCGAGTTAACCGAAAAACGTGAATGGCCCTCGAGAGTCTGGTGCAGGGCACCCGTCGCGGCGTCCCAGAGCCGTACTGTGCGATCATTGGAGCCGGACGCCAGCATCCGCCCGTCGCGCAAGAAGGCCACCGAGTTAACGAAATCTATATGGCCCTCGAGAGTCTGGTGCAGGGTACCCGTCGCGGTGTCCCAGAGCCGCACTGTGCGATCATAGGAGCCGGACGCCAGCATCCGACCGTCGGGCGAGAAGGCCACCGAGTTAACGAAAAGTGAATGGCCCTCGAGAATCTTGTGTAGGGCACCCGTCGCGGCGTCCCAGAGCCGCACTGTGCGATCATAGGAGCCGGACGCCAGCATCCGACCGTCGGGCGAGAAGGCCACCGAGTTAACGAAAGGTGAATGGCCCTCGAGAGTCTGGTGCAGGGCACCCGTCGCGGCGTCCCAGAGCCGCACTGTGTCATCATTGGAGCCGGACGCTAGCATCCGACCGTTGGGCGAGAAGGCCACCGAGTTAACCGGACGTGAATGGCCCTCGAGAGTCTGGTGCAGGGCACCCGTCGCAGCGTCCCAGAGCCGCACTGTGTGATCATTGGAGCCGGACGCCAGCATCTGACCGTCCGGCGAGAAGGCCACCGAGTTAACCGGACGTGAATGGCCCTCGAGAGTCTGGTGCAGGGCACCCGTCGCAGCATCCCAGAGCCGCACTGTGCGATCGTAAGAGCCGGACGCCAGCATCCGACCGTCGGGCGAGAAGGCCACCGACTTAACTATATCTAAATGGCCCTCGAGAGTCTGATGCAGGGCACCCGTTGCGGCGTCCCAGAGCCGCACTGTGCGATCATTGGAGCCGGACGCCAGCATCCGACCGTCGGGCGAGAAGGCCACCGAGTTAACCGGACGTGAATGGCCCTCGAGAGTCTGGTGCAGGGCACCCGTCGCAGCGTCCCAGAGCCGCACTGTGCGATCGTAAGAGCCGGACGCCAGCATCCGACCGTCGGGCGAGAAGGCCACCGATTTAACTATATCTAAATGGCCCTCGAGAGTCTGGTACAGGGCACCCGTCGCGGCGTCCCATAGCCGCACTGTGCGATCATTGGAGCCGGACGCCAGCATCCGACCGTCGGGCGAGAAGGCCACTGAGTTAATGATATCTAAATGGCCCTCGAGAGTCTGGTACAGGGCACCCGGGTACAGGGCACCCGTTGCGGCGTCCCAGAGCCGCACTGTGTCATCATTGGAGCCGGACGCCAGCATCCGACCGTTGGGCGAGAAGGCCACCGAGTTAACCGGACGTGAATGGCCCTCGAGAGTCTGGTGCAGGGCACCCGTCGCAGCGTCCCAGAGCCGCACTGTGTGATCATTGGAGCCAGACGCCAGCATCCGACCGTCGGGCGAGAAGGCCACCGAGTTAACCGGACGTGAATGGCCCTCGAGAGTCTGGTGCAGGGCACCCGTCGCGGCGTCCCAGAGCCGCACTGTGCGATCGTAAGAGCCGGACGCCAGCATCCGACCGTCGGGCGAGAAGGCCACCGAGTTAACCGGACGTGAATGGCCCTCGAGTGTCTGGTGCAGGGCACCCGTCGCGGCGTCCCAGAGCCGCACTGTGCGATCATTGGAGCCGGACGCCAGCATCCGACCGTCGGGCGAGAAGGCCACCGAGTTAACCGGACGTGAATGGCCCTCGAGAGTCTGGTGCAGGGCACCCGTCGCGGCGTCCCAGAGCCGCACTGTCTCATCGTCAGAGCCAGACGCCAGCATCCGGCCGTCGGGCGAGAAGGCCACCGACTGAACCGAATGTGAATGACCCTCGAGAGTTTGCAATTCTGCGCTCCATCTTTCGTCAACTTGTGGTAACTGGCATATCCAAGGAGGAAGCTCTGTTTTGAACTCTCTACGAATTATTGCCGTTCTGGGTGCAAATACCAGCCCTGAGCAATAAAGCTGGAGAGGCGCATAATCAGCGATCTGCCGATTTTTAAGAATAAAGCGCTTTGCATCGTGCACAAAATTAGACATTGCGGAATGATGGTCGCTCTATATCTATTAGCGCGAATCATATATGACTTTTCGCCAGAACTTACTGATATATCCGCCTGGAGGAGATTAAGAATCGCCACCACTTCCGATACAAGACCTAGTAGGCTCATTGCTTCTACCCAGTGCAGGAAATTCTTTTGAAGAAATGTATGAGCGTTGTGCATTATAACATTCTGATCTGTGCATTGCACCAGATGATGTGCCCAATATCGACAGGCGTATTGCAATTCTGGAGGAAGACAGTTACCGATAGTCTGGCGGTCGATCTCTGCACGTTGAGTTCCACAACTTGGCAGTCCACATATATTCTTTCGTAGACTTTGGCACACAAGAAAGCACTGTTTAGTCAACTTGTAGTGTATCTCTTTCTCATCTACCCAAAAGGGAGTTTTTGCGCGGGTTTCCGGATCAAGGAGAAAATCCCGAAATGACAGGTGAAAGAGCCGCACCGGCAGAGTCTCATCATTTGGCACATGTAGAACCGAGTGTAGGGGGCTTAGTCGAAGATGAACAATCCTGTTGGAGAGGCCCAGAAGTTTGGAAAGTGAGATAATTGAGAGCGGGCTCTCAAGTGTCACGATTGCACCGACCACTTGCTGAAATTCCTGAACCAATTGCTTCTTCTGTTTCTCATTTTGTCCATAGAGGAGTCGATTAAGCACGGGAAGGTACGTTCCATCCAGTTTTGATTCATCATTTTGATGTGTAAGGATGTCAGGGAGAATTTCCACTGGGTCCCAAAGAGGGTCGTCAAATATGCGGCATATAGTAGCTGCGAAAATAAATAGCGGAACGGACAATGTCACGAGACGTTGAAGATCTGTGTTTCCAGGCCAGTCCATAGGAAGAAGACGTTCTGTCCTGATCTTTGAAAGCCGGTGATTCAAAAATAGTGATATGTCGTGCATAATCACTTCTTCGGGGATCTCATGGAGAATGAAATCATCATGATCATGGACCGCAATCTCCGAGAAACCCAGGCGAATAGGCAACTCGGGCCTGCTAGTCAAAAGGACTCGTAGACGCACAGCATTTGACTTCCGGAGCTGCGGTAGAACTTGAAGTATCAGGCGCATATCCTTATCTCCCTCGCATTCGTCTAATGCGTCAATCACTATCAGCAAGGTACGGACCGGGAGATCAGATGACTTTACGCTTAGGAGTGGCCGAAGAAGTAGTTTATCAAACTGCTCCTTCATTGCCTTCGCCGCAATGCCTGGGTCGTTATGGACTGCTTGCTGGACATAAGGGAGCAGTTGGGGGATGCTAGTCGCTAATTGCCTTGCGATTGTCGGAAAAAGCTTGGTAGCGTTGCCTCGATCCGCTTCACCCCTCTGAAAAAAGAAGCTCGCCCCTAGTGACTCAGTTTGGCTGAAGGATTTTGCCACTGTTCGAGAGATAGTGGATTTCCCCGTCCCAGCCATTCCATTTAACCAAAAGATGCATCTTCCTTGTGGCGAGAATGCCCACTCTCTGATTTGACGGAGGATATCGATCCTCGTGCCTGGAAGACATTCATCTTCATGTTGATCCGCGTATGAATCGAACGCAGCCCCGTAAGCGATGGGTAACTTTTCATCGAGGTCCGAAAAACAGTTAGAACCATCTACTCTGCATGAGATCGGTCGTAGCTTACTTGGCGGCAGATGAAAGTCGGCGGTGATCGGAGCATTATTAACTCCTATTTGTAGTCCCAAATTGGAATCGCTAAATGATATCGCAGAGGCCATGATCCCAGCAACATGAGGTTTCGCTGGGTTAAAGAGAACCGGGCACTTTATGTGTCGCCTAAGGGCCAGCGTGTCAGTCCTTCCCAGCCCCGCTATCACGTGGCATCCCACTCGCTACATGGTAAGTGGATATTCGATAGTGGGTGTTTGCCAATATAGTTCTTTATTTTCAGCGATACACAACTAGGAGCATCCGACACTGATAGGATGGTGAGCACTTTTGTGTCATCGTTCCCATCCTAGTTGATAGGGGTACCAACCTTTGGAGACTTTTTTCCAGAGTCCCAACTGCTTGCTCTGGCGTCGGCGAAATCGTCGGCCCGCACCGAACCAGACCGGTCCCTGCCTCTGGCCACCACATCCAATGCCGGTGGTGCAACAGAATGAGAAAGCGATTATTAATTTAGCCAAGTTTGAACCTGGCCTAAATACAACATTCCCAGACGTTCCAGGAGGGAGATATAAGAGATCTAAGGACCATTGTTGACGCCCGTGTGTATACGTTGTCGTTGCCATGATCGAAGCAGAATGAGTTCCATAGGTAGTTTGTATTGGGCCTATGGGCGGAAACTAAGGAATCTTCGCTACAGGAGGGGCAAAAATTAGATTTCTTGTCAGGTGGCTTGATGTGTCCCACACATGCGGGGTGAGTGCTCTCAGCCTCACTGTCAGTTGGCTTAACCGTCACAAGCTGCACAGGGGCGGACCTCCCGCTTTGATAGCTAGTTTCCTTCTCAACTGCAGCTATCATCTGTATCTACAAAATGATCGAGCCACTTAGCGTCACGGCCAGCATCGTTGGCATCACTGCCCCGGCTTTGCATGGGATACGGCTCCTAATAAATGACGTGCAAAGCATCAAGGATGCGCCCGAGGCCATCCGAGCGTTGGAAGATCACCTTCACCGAGTCAGTCTGGCGGTTTCTTCTCTTCAGGCCATCGACCCCAGAGAGTGGGAGTATCTCGGCAGCAACGTTACGGATGAGGTCGAATCAACAGTCCGGTTCTGCACAGCTTCATGCGACCGATTCAGGCTCGACCTACAGCGTTGGACCAGACACTCTCCTGATGGAGGGTTCTCATGGCAAGACCGTGCCAAAATGGGCTTTATGAAACAAGGTCCGATCAAGTCTATGCAGGGCCACCTACAAACCTGCCAGATCGCAATCAACTCAGTGGTCGGCATAGCCACATTATACGTAGTGGGTCCGTCCTTTCGTGGCAGGTAAAGCACCTAATGACATAGGTACAGGTATAGCTCGATTCGAGATACTCGCATGACCGGAGAAATCAAATATATCATCGCTGAAAAGCAGCGAGAGATCACGTTTGCTGTCCAAACAACGGATACCCAACTGGCACAAGTGACAGAGACGCTGAAAACGCTCAATACCCTCGATGACGCTCGCCGTGAGGTAGACATGGTGAGACAGCTTCAGGAGGAACAAATTGCATTAACATGGTCCCGGAAGCTACTGGACGAAATTATTGCGAAGTTGCAAGAGGATCCGGCGTCGAGAGCGTCCGGAGAGAAATCCGGAGAGAAACAGGGCTATTCCGCGCAAGTGACCTTGGAAGCCAGACCTCCGGCCTTCAGATTGGCGTTAGCCACGGGGCTATCAGCGGGATCACTTTTGGCGGCAAATGAGTAGTGCCGTATGCACTTGAAAGTGCTTTGTTTCCGAAGTCCTTGTAGTACTGTACAAGCACTGCGGTCCCTAAAGGCACAATGCTTATATAGCTCGAATTCAAGGGATAATCGAACCCCGAGAAGTTCTAGGACACGAGCTGTGGATTCCAGTAGGCTGGTTCCGAATGACACGCCGTATAGAGCGGGTAAAAAATATATCTTATTTCAGCTTTTAGGTCGTCATCCACACGGCCCAAGTGGCTTGTGCCGCAGAACACGGAGGTGGCAGCTGTCTAGCTATGACAGGGAATAAACGCAGGCTAGGCAATTACAACTATCCGGTAATTTACAGTACATAGCCTGGACAGGGGACATTATTTTAATTATTTCTAAAGTAGTTTAGTCTTTCTTGGCATTAGGGTTCGAGAAACAATCGGAGAGTGTAGGCGGTGACACCGTTTTCCGGAAGTACTGTACCCTTGTCAGGCCCCCAGTGAGCTCGCACTGGGCAGCAGTCCTAGCCAGGCTGCTGGGACAATGGATTCATACCTTCTCGTGGTGTCCGGTGTTAATCCTCGTGGAGGAGACCAAATTGAATCCGCCGTGGTTGTGCGGTTCGGCCCGGTTCGGGAAGCGACCGCACAACCACACCAAAATCAGGGGACAACGGGATACGAAAACCATCCGACTTCTTTTTACCCGACTCGCACTCGGGCCCCGAAGCTGGTCTTGCTTTACCAGTGGAAGTGGTGTCGCCCTAGAAAGAAGACAGGACACCCCTGAGCTTGCATACGGTCTGGGATCGCATCGTGCGAGATGCGGCGAGGCAGTAGTGAACCGGTGACACAGGCAGTCAAGCTGATCTCGAACAGACCTCGTTCAAGGCCCAGGAGACCTCGTTAAGACTCGAATTCGTTAAGGCTCGGAGAGACCGCCTCGAAAGACCTCGTTAAGGCCTGGCCACGGGCAACCTTTGACGCGGCTCCTCTTCTTGACACGGACAACACCGAGACACGGGCAACCTCCTGGGAGATAAACGGGCGTTCTGGAAGGGGTTGGTATTTGGCTGGTGGCAAACGATGGACCTCGTTAAGGCGTTGCCACGGGCAAACCATCGATCCTGCTCAGACATCGGGGGACAAGCTTGGTTAGTGGAAAGTGGCCGACGTACACTGCCGGACGGAGCGTACACAAGGGCTTTCTGCAAGACACGGTCGGCCTGGCGGGGGAGACCTCCCCAGGTAACGCGAAACGAGAGTTCAAGCTCTCGCGGGGCGTGGTGTACAATGGCAGCCACTGCGACAGGGTCGGGGCCTGTCAAGAGACTGTCGGTATGGCCCGAGAGGACGGATGCGCGTGTCGGTGTACACAGAGCCGGGGACCAACTACCTCACTCGCACTGAGGGCCTGAGATCAGCTAAAACTGATTGACGCGGTGTCGTCCTAGTTGTTTGGCCCGTGATGTATGCTTAAGGAGCAAACTGAGAGACACCCAGGGTGAGAGGCTTTGTCCACCTCAAAAGTCCAGAAGCCTCGTTTATTGGGTGAAAAACTGGGGTAGTGGTCTATGCAAGTAGGCCTGCCGAAGCTACTTTATGTCTCTTGGCCCAGTGGTGGACTACGCCTCGAATGTCTGGATGCACGCCTTCAAGAATCAAAACATGGGACCGATCAACCGGGTGCAAAGGGTAGGAGCGCAAGCAATTGTGGGCACGTTCCTCACCGTTGCGACTAGCGTGGCGGAGGCCGAGGCACACATTGCCACGGCACGACACCGATTCTGGAGACGAGCCGTGAAGATGTGGACGGACCTCCACACACTACCAGAAACCAATCCTCTCCGCAGGAGCTCAGATCGGATCAGGAAATTCAGGAGATACCACCGCTCGCCACTATATCAAGTAGCGGACGCGCTGAAAAATATCGACATGGAGTCACTGGAAACCATCAACCCGTTTACACTGGCACCATGGGACGCACGCGTGCAAATAGATGATGATGAGCCTATCTCGGAGGGGTCAACTGTACCCAGAGGATCCATGCAGATCGCGTTCAGCAGTTCAGCGCGGAATGAACTGGTCGGGTTTGGAGTGGCGATCGAAAAAGCAACCACCACGCCAGCGGAAAGTGAGACTGAAGACCTTGTCTGTCACGTTGAGTGCGAGGACAGATCACAATCCGTTTTCTGCGGAGCTGGCCGCCATAGTGCATACACTGAAGACACTTGCGGCATCATTGAAAGACTTTCGGATCACACTGATCACGAGCAACAAAGCGGCGGCTCTGACGTTGACGAACCCGCGACAACAGTCGGGCCAGGGATTTGTCTGTCAAATCTACAAGTTGATGAGAAGACTGCAGAAACATGGAAACCACATCAGCGTCCAGTGGATCCCCACTAGCGAAGACAACAAACTACTTGGTCTGGCGAAAGAGCAGGCGAGAGCCGCGACACAAGAAGATGCCATCCCGCAAGTACAAGTTCCCAAAATAAAATCAACGACTCTCAAGATCGCGCGCACCCAAGCAATCCCCAGCCGCAAGCTGCCCGAAAACGTAGGGAGACACTCCCGTCGAGTGGATACCGCACTCCCAGGAAAACACACGCGACAGCTGTATGACCGATTATCGTGGAAAGAGGCGAGCGTGCTGGCTCAGCTCCGCACCGGCATGGCGAGACTCAATGGATATCTCTTTCGAATCAATGCCGCCGAAACAGATCAATGTGCATGTGGACAAGCAAGAGAGACGGTAGACCACTTTCTGTTTCGATGTCGGAAGTGGACAGCGCACCGGACGGAAATGCTGCAATGTACCCACACTCACCGAAGTAATATGTCCTTCTTCTTGGGAGGGAAGTCACCCTCCGACGATCAAAAGTGGAAGCCGAATTTGGAAGCAGTGCGAGCCTCAATACGGTTCGCGATCGCTACGGGCCGACTTGAGGCCACCTAGGCGTGCCGACAAACTGATAGAATACCTTACCTTACTAACCCCTACACCTTGTGATCGACGGTAGACGCGCTTCAACTGCCGAGGATAGGATGTTGAACACTTGAAGAAGCGCCTTCAAGCCAGTCTACTAACCAAATACTAACCCACAGGGACGACTATGAGATTGAAAGCTGAGAGGTCAAATGCGGGAGGAAATACTGCATGGGCTTCAAGGAGACACGGCGTATACCCAAACATGCATGTACTGGTAGATTACTGATAGTTGCCCTTTCGGCTGAGCCGCCGGGCGTTAATGAATTGTGTGTGTGTGTGTACCCTTGTCACGTTACCTTACTCTGGTGCTGATGGATCGTCCAGATGCATTGTTGCCATCACTACTGTCTGGTCTGGGATTGGCTACCTTGTATCAAAAGACTTAGTAAGGCTTTTGCCAGCAACGGAGAAGTAGTTAATAACGCGGACATACAACTAATTCCGAAGCGGGACTCAAAAAAGAATCCTCTTCTAAGGGTTCAGCTGCGAGAGAAACTGATTGGGAAGGGGGCGAAGATTCTGTAGAGCGCTCACACACAGAAGTGAATGTATCAGATGAAACGCACTCATCAATCGTGCTTGGGTATCTACGAGGAAAATTCTATTCTCTTGCTGCGCGAATGAACTCGCGTTGGTGAGATCTAGTCCTAGCAGATCCTGATCACGTGCATTATCACGTGATATATGGTTTGACATCGAGCTCTATCGGACGAGTGTTTGGGCCCTCATTCTGTTTCTCACCCGCCAAGAGAGCCGGTTTATTCTCGATTCAGCTCAGCACATTTTTCCAACGCTGCAACCGCGTTGTATTCAAACAAAACCGAAGTTTACGAATGAAGAGCATCTACGCCTCTACAACTCATCTGATTTTCTTGTTTGGCCCTCGCTGGTACGTTTCATGGTCTGGCTATTTCCGGTACTGCGCTACCTTTGCCATTTACATCAGACAACCTGCTTATCACTATTGCACTTGCTCCAGCTCTTCTCGTCTTTATACATGACGGGGTTGTCTCATTTCGAGACTCTATATATAATTACCCTTGGATATTTTCACCGTCCACTGTAAGCTATCGATTTGGTACTTCCAAATGAATTTGCATGTATTGCCCAATGAATTGTTGCATTTGATTGCCGATAACTTGGAATTGATAAGTGATGTCAATTCGTTCGTCCAAGCACATACTCGGTTTTTTGCTGCCCTGAACTCATATCTCTATCTTCAAAATATTCGCTCTGGAAGTTCGGCATTGATTTGGGCGGCAAAGTTCGGGCGTCCAGTAGCGGTTAAAAAGCTGCTGGACGAAGGTGCTGATGTTGGGGTCACATCTGACAAAAACCTAACACCGCTGGCACTTGCAGCAGAAAACGGACATGAAGCAACAGTCAGGGTACTGTTAGCAGCGAAAGGTGTCAATCCAAACTGCGAGGACTTAGTGCGCCGCACGCCATTGATTATCGCTTCGAAAAACGGACATGAAGCGGTTACCAAACTGTTACTCAACTCGCATGGGGTCAAATCTGACTCCAAGGAATTATTTGGGCGGACGCCGTTATCTTACGCAGCACAGAATGGGCATGCCGCAATTGTGGAGCTGCTACTTATGGCTAGTGGAGTCGATCCAAATTCAAGGGACGAGCAAGGACAGACGCCGATATCATGGGCGGCAAAGTACGGGCGGGAGGCGGTGGTCAAACTGCTGCTTGCTGAAAAACGGGTCAATCCGGACCCTAAAGATTCTAATGGACAAACACCACTATTTTTCTCGGCAAAAAATGGGCACGAAGAAATCGTCAGGCTACTGCTTGCCACAAAGGGTGTTGATTCAGACTTGATGGATAATTTGGGTTGGACACCGCTGGCGTTGGCAGCACAGCTCGGACGCGAGGGAGTGATCAAGCTCCTTCTTGCCTCTGGGCACGTGAATCCAGATGCTAAAAACTACCTCGGGAGGACACCTCTTTCTTTGGCAGCAGAGAATGGACACGAGGCAGTCGTCAGGCTCTTGCTCGCCACGGCCGAGGTTGACCCGGACCCAAGGGATTCTGATGGACGGACCCCATTGTCGCGCGCAGCACATAAAGGACATGAGGCAGTCGTCAAGCTTCTACTTGCTCAAGAACGTGTGAAGCAAAATTCAGTAGATAATTACGGGATGACGCCTGTTTTTCTGGCAACACGGAAAAGACACGAGGCAGTTATTAGGCTATTAGGTTGAGTTTTGTCGTGGTCTTTGATCATGAATAGTTCATATACTATTCATGGCAGGGTAGTGCGAAAATTTGAAGTTTGTCAAACTCGCTCAAAAACCGTCTGTGAGGCCTCTCTGTTGTTCCTCTGCTAGTCTTTCCGCATTCAATGATATCCACCAGACATGGGAGGGATCGTGACCTTGTCCATCTGCCAATTCATCCCACGGTTTCGGGCTAAGTATATAGTGTACATTTTTCACACTCTTATCGCGCCATATGGTGTCATGAATTCCTTTCCATCGGAGTGTTTTGAGCGCATTGTATACGTACGGTAGCGCAACCCACCGACCGTAAAAAATATCGCCAAGGAGGGACTGATCAGCGAAATCATATTGCAATGTTGTAGAGGAGGCAAGCTGTTCTAAGATTTTGTCATAAATCGCTTGAGATGGGTTCACCACCTGCAAGCCACCATTAGGTATCCCTAATCCTACGGTGGCTGGAGGCCCGGCTGTTTGTGCGATATCTGGAGTGTTATGCTGAGTGGAATAGGCACAGTTAACCGGAACCCTTTAACAAAGCGCTGGATTAGCGATTGGGCAAACGACTGGTAGGTAAAAAGGTCCTTGCTTAGGACAAAGCCATCAAGCTTACCAGTCTCTGGGATAGTGAGGTTTGTTAAGCGGATTGCAGACACATGCGTGGCTAGCAGCAAACACTCGGTCACCCGTTCCATTCATGCTTGCCGCATCCAAAGTGATGTCCATTAACTCATCCATATTTTGGAGGATCGCCATATCACTGTCAAGCTGCACAACGCGATCATATTCAATGAGTGAGAATGGTGTGAGCTTGCTCCAGCAGTCGTAGAAGCGCATGTCGTTGGTGAAATCTTTCGGGACCGTTGGGAGAAGATATGGTACATGCCGTTTCGCTATTCCCCTCGAGTCCAGAGCTTTGTGTCCATCCGCAGGAATGAATCTGTGTAAAGAACAACGAGAGGATATTTTGAACCAGCTCTCTTAAGAGAGTAATCGAGAGTCAACAGACCAGACAAATACGCGGTATTTGTTATGAGAGTGGTCCAGACTGAAAGGCGTTAAATGTTATCATGGGAAGTCTTCCATTATATTCTTGGGTACTCATTACCTTTGGAACCCCGTAATTCAGGCGGTTTCGCTGATTCGGGCACACAGTTACCCATGTTTCGGGCGGTTACACGGAGCGAGAACAAACGGAAGAAGATGACCTCAATTGTGTGTCGGAAGTGCTGACGAGCTAGAAGCAAGATTTGTGGTTTTCCGTGTGGGCGGTGAGATGATGCCTACTGAGTCTCACCTCGGTTCGCTCATAATTAGTCAGAATAATATGGGCAAAATTTCCGACGCAACGTGGCCCCTGACCGGCCCGCGAGACGCTAAGCAGAGTCAGTCATCTTCATTTGCCATCTGTTGATGAAATGGCAATTGAAATCTGCCGCTGGTCGTATCCGGTGTCCAAGTTTTTGGTGAAATCTGTTGCATTATCATTTCAAGGAGAGACGGCCACAGAATAGAGGGTTTCTGGTCCTCTTTCCAGATTAAGTCTTACGATTGCATCCGACTCTCCTTGCTCTCACCGGATACTCCGACGTTCGGCAACGGGAGGGGCCGTGCCGTGCGAGCTGCAACTAAACCCAAGGGGTGTTTTCCATGCCCAATCATAGCCATAGCCTCATATTGAAACACAGCGTATCGCCGTAACAAAAGAGGGGTACAATGATGGCCACAGAGCCATTCAGTTTAGCCGCCCGATGCGGATTACTTCGAGCGCGATGCGAATCAGCGGCCATAGCATCCTTTTCTACCTCACACCTTCACGTCAAGAGGACAAATCTTCGTCAGCGCACAGGTTTCCCTAGAAAAAGGTTGACTGTTACCCTTTTTATTTCGCACGACACATTAAAGACCCCTACTCATTTCTTTCTCGAAAAATCCGCCTGGAGCAAACCACCAGAATCCTATCTCCTTTCCCCAGCGCAGCTCCTACATTTTGTCCAAATCGATTCAAAGTGTGGCAATCAGCAAATTCTAACGATCCCACTTAACTCACAATGGATGTTTCATCAACTGTCGCTACATGGCTGTCTTTGGCGGTCACAATCTTGGGTCTTGGTTCCATCGCTACACAATTCGGCACGATCATCGATCAAGCAGACCCATTCCATTCCCTGAGGGACATTCGGCACCTAGGCAGCTGGTGGCGTCGACAACCTACAGTTCCGTGGTATCGAATTATCAAGCCGCCTCCTGTCGGGCCTGTTATCAGCGCAGACCTCTCAAACGGAATATGTGGTAAAAAAAGAGTTCATCTTAGCCGTCTGCCACTGACACGTTCAGCGGGGCAAGCCGCATGGTCTATTTTGCTAGCAGTGGTCCATCCGGTATCTAGGAAGGATAGTCGTTGTTTGAAACCCTTGGAAGGTGTTTCAATCACTGGAGAGAAAGAAGGTGAACATATTGTGACGATCACCGACGAAAAATTCGACCTCGTCCCATGTGAGACCTGGGCCGATATCCCTCTCCGTCCTCTCGTGAAGCATAGATTGACGACTTGCACCGTGATATCACGCGGTACTCTTTTGGCATTATTCTGCCTAACAAATGCGCGTCAAGTATACCGCTATAGCAGTGCTTCTGGTCATCGGGCTGCTTACGCGTCATATTGTGGGCAATGGCGTATAGAATGGCCTATTGGAGACCGCGCGTGTGTGTTTTTTTGTGCACATGATTCACATGTTTCTTCAAAAGACGTGTATCCGGCAATCTTCGAACAAAGGACCGACAAGTGCTTACAGATGCTGGCCGGTGTGATTGATTCTGAGGTACCAAATGGCTTCAAGTGTGCCTTCCCGGGACGCAAATCAACCGGCACATGGCGACTAGAATATGCACCTAAAGGGTTTGGCGGCGCGCACAGCGGGAGACATCTTTACAATATGATTGGCGGCAAAGTGAACGAGGTGGACTACTTATTCCTGAAGCCAAGAAGTATGGAAAACGAATCATCAAAAAGCACCGTCGTTCTTCGCTTGCCTAATAAAGAAGACGGTACTTCTGATGTCATCTTATACATCGGACATCAAGAATCAGCTGTTCTAGACCAGGCTTTGGATAACCTACCGTGGTCATTCCTATCATGGTCTATTCATAGGGGATTACGTGATATTCTCACTGCTTATTCAAAGCAGAGAATGGACCTCTACCGGAATCGTCTAGCAAATACCCTACGCCTTGCGGTATTGAATCGGCCAGAAACGCTAATCGCCAGAGGATGGGACTCGCAGTTTGTCAGGCATGAAATGGCAGACATGGCATCAAGTGCTGTTCTTTCAGGACAGGGAAACTCAGGGGATGCTGTCCGTGTAGTGACAGAGATTGCGGCAAGCTTGTGGGACGGAGACGTTTCGGCTCTTGATGAAACGCACTTCTGGAGACAACCAGTTTCTGAACCTGATTTTTCAACTTTGAGCCCAATGGCTGTCATTGCCCTCGTCAAATGCTTTGTACTGGAATGGAGTAATGATTTAGATTACCAGATGTACCATGATTTTCCATTGGAACTGTACCTCGGCTAAACCAACAAAACAATCACAAACTTTAAAGAGACAGTCAGTTCTCTTCAATTAGTCATAAGGCATGCGCTTCAATTGACTATAATCACGCTTCCTAGAGTGTCTCATTGGTAGACATATTGTCCTTTACTGGATCTCGCCGAATCTCCAACCGCTAAGATATAATGAAACACCGCAGTAATGAAACAAGCTAAACATTCCAAATGAATGTAAGTAGTATGAATATTGTATTATAGAGACATCTATCTAGCGACATAGGTAACAGCACGTTGTATAAGTCTTTCTAAAGCCGCATGGCTCACCAGCGATTAAAAGAGTTCTCTCGTTGCTCGAAGAATTTCTTCCGCGAACTATTACCTTGCATGATCAGGTCTGGCAGTTGAAGTCATGCTGGACTATTGGAACTCGGGTCTCATTTGACCAGATCATGAAGAGTAGCATTATGAAGGCCCGGCTAATTCAGAGAAGCCAAAATTTGTATAAGGATTTCCAGCAAGATCAGGGAAGTCTGTATTTAGAGGATCGTCACGTAATGGTCGATAACCGGACTCGAGCTGCATTGCAAGCGCGGCGTGTGCAGCAGGCTCATCCACCTCGAAAACCGCGCTCAAATGCTGTCAATTTGTCTCTTCCTGACATCGACCTGTCAGACGCGCAATTTTGCTAGGCAGATAAAGTTTACTGCTTCTGGCTGAAACGTGTTCTCTCATTCTGTTGAATGGTCAGGATCTTCCTGAAAGTGTTTGCTGAGATTGCGAGCGGAGCATAGCTGCTGCTCCAGTGTGATGTCTTTTTGGCATCCCCAACCAATCGCGTGACCATCTAGTATTTGAAAACACAATCGAGGGTGTAGTATCATGCTATATTATGTGAGTAAATCGTGAGGAAACGATAAGGAGCGCATCTTACATTCCACCATCCTCAAATTTAATCGTTCTGTCTGGCAAGTTTCTCTTCTTTAGCCAGGAATATGGGACCTGGACTAAACCATTTGATGCCAGGGCTCCCTTTAGCTCGCCGATGTGAGATCCTTCAGAAAACTCGCAGTGTGATCCCCTACCCCACATGTAGACGATAATGCGGTGGTCTGCCTTATCTGTTATTGTCGACGCATAGAATGATTTAGGATCAGGGCCAAGAGTGAAACAAAATGATTCGGTAAATGGCCCGATGATGGCTCGAAGGCGCTATGATAAGTGAGCGCAGAACAAGATGGGATTGATGATTACACATACCGAGTCGCGTATAGGAAAACGTTCCATACGAACTTTCCCGTGAACAGCTTCGCTGCCTAATGTTGCCACAAGCTTCCCAATATCTGGATCTGGAGCATAGAAAATCCCATGCTGTTCGAAAAATCTTTGCGCATCCTCTGCGGCGACAGTTGGCGAGATAAAGGTTTCTTCGAGAAAAGAACTAGGGAAAGAGATTAAGGAGGTCATTTTGTGGCGGGACCACCAAGAATGAAGGGTGCGCTGTGAGACGATGGAAAATCCATGGGCGAAGTCAGTGAGAACGCGGGGCAGTTTGCATGTCGCAAGATATTTTATCCGAAATCCGTCATATGATGGCTAATCTCGGTTCTTATCTCGGTTCTGCATTGCTACCTCCCGATCAGTTGCATTGTTCATGCCCAACCAAGGGCAGTATTTCAGTCAAGAGTTCGAAGACGTGCCATTCCCCTTCAATATCGCTCTGAAATTAACCGACTAAACAAGATATATGACAACTACCTTTCTACAAACGGCCCCAATGGCAGATGAGTGCGCGTATTGCAAAGATGGCATCACTCCTACCGGCCAAATATGCCCTTTCTGTGGCAAAAAGGGAAATTAAGAATAAGAACAAGGAGGAAATTCCCTGTACGTCATCACAGCATAATGGCGGAAGACAGGACTGACTTTTGCTAAGGGGAATGACCTCATGCTGGAACTGCTATCTGCAAAAGACTGCTGAAATTTAGAGGAGTGGGTTTCTGATCGAGTTCATCCTGGCTTGAATATATTACCCCCAGGCAGATCGCTGGACTGCGCGATATGTTGGCCGGCACATCTCCTACTTTGTGCCGAGAGAATGATTGAATGGTCTAGACAATGCACTTTTGGCAATTTCATACCTTTATTTTCGTACTTCACCCCGCCTTCGGTCTGCTGATCAAATCCCGGTCTGGATGGGTTGCACTGGTGCCTGACCGCCTCGGGCAATTCCTTTTTTCTGCCTCATGTCGGACTTAAGCCTAATTACTTGTTATTTGATGGGTACCTTAGTGGCATTTCCTAGGATTGCTCAAGCTCTTGGCGTAGGACAAAGGGCTTTTATTTACCTGACTCGTGCTATCTTATTAATTGGAGTTTCACATTTCGCCGTGCTTTTGATCAGCCGGTAATTGGTGGCCAGGTCATGCCCATGTATATACCTCGTTCTACATGCGATGCAAGCTAGCCGATAGCTTCCAAGGTTTATAGTCACCAACCCACTGAACAACTATCTTGGATGATGGAGGGTCTCCTAGGGTGAGCCCTGGCTGGTCGGCCCGCTGTATATATGAATACAATGAACAAAAGACACAGGACTTCCGTAGGCCTGGCACTGTACTTCCGTAGGCCTGGCACTGTACTTCTAACGGGTCGCATCTTATGTCATTATATCGAGAGACCTTGTCGTCTTGATCCTAAGAATCAACCGAAACGGATTCAAGAGATCTGGTCTGATTCTGAATTAAATCATCAAAGTGTAAACCTCGACCGCACCGGTGCGTTTCGTCGAAGAGTGACTTCACCGTTGGACAAGACGTTTCTTATCCATTTAATCTTGTTCTGGAGCAGCCAACACCCAAATCAAATGTGAGTTTTAGTTTGGTTTATCAAATCACAATCTCCTCATATGACTCAAGTTGATCGGCTCCTCGAAACATTTTATGTGAAAACATCAGAATTGTCTATAACCCCTAAGGTGGCGGCGTAAGATGCGACCACACCCCCTCCTTTTCAGCTCAATAAAATGGAATAAGCTTCGTATGTCAAAACCACGATTCGACAAGTAGGCAGAGCCCAATAATTCATTTTGCAGTCAACTGACTATATGGGATAATCGTGGCAAAGTGAGTGCGAATGTTGATTTTCAGGAAACAGACTCCATAAAATAGGGCTTGGAAGCGCAGCTGATGTGTACTGATGGTCGAATAGAGTGTACAACCCGTTATGAAGGTCACCGGCTGGCATGTTCGTCTGGTCGGGTGTGGTGGAGCCTAAGAGCGGTAATGTTGGAGCTGACCCTGAAAGAGAACTGCCGTTTATGACAATGGAGGGTTGTAGCCACTCTGCGCGGTCTAAGTGGGATCCTCCGCCTAGATCGTATACACTGTTTATGCTATTTGTGTTGATCTGTGGTTCCCCTGTGACATTTGGGAGGTCTGTAGCAGTAGACTCGACCTGTATAGACACATTGGGAGAATGGTTGTTTTGTTCCCTTCGAGCTATATCAAAACTCGGTGTTTTCTGGGATGCCCGTGCGTCATTTTGCCTGTCACCTGGTTCTAATTTATTAGCTCCTGGAAAAAAAAAGAGTCGTTTACATACCATCCTCAATATAATTCCGTTTCCTTTTCCTTTGATTTATTCGGGCTGATTCTATTGCAAGTGTGGATTGACCTAGGATTGGTTCGGTTTGTTGCGTTTGCTCGGGCTCCGAAAGTGGAGAGCATTCGAGGAGTTCAGCAGAAACTGAAGAAGTTTCCAGCAAGCTTTCAGCTGAATTCGGGTTAGTTGTCGGGGTATCTCCATGGTCAAGAATCGATCCCTGACTTCTGTTTTCGGGTGAATTGGGAACATCTGATCTAACTAGATCAGAAGTTTCTTGGAATGAAGTCGTCCTAGGAAAAGCAGAGTGGTCGAATTCAGTTCTCCCGTAATCGTTAATCTCTGCCGAGGGATATTGTGTACCATATTCGTTTGAAGCCTGTTCATCCACAGGGTTGGCCATGGGAGCATAGCCCTGCCGAGACTGCAGGCTGTCATCACGAGCGAAGACGTGTTTCTGAGTAGACAAGCTGACTGCGCCTGGATCGAGGTAGGCCCGACATCTACTGAACAAGCTAGCCGCCATCGCTGTGTGGTGTTTCAGTTGCTCTCCATCTATCCCTCTGGCAAAAAATGTTTCCTTGAAGGACTCGATGCATCTAGTCCTTTTCTCTCCATCTTTGAGTGAAAGGGCCCGTAAACTGGATGGAGGTACGGAACAGTGAGCCAAAACTTCAATTTCCATCACATGTGCGACACCACTTACGTTTCTTTGGGAATATTGAGAGGAGAACATAAAGCACCCCCAAATGCTGGTACTTGATGGGCTGGTCCTCGATGGAGTTTTGGTAGCATATTTTAGGATAAAGGCCTTTACAAAGAGACTCAAGCTTCCTTCCTTCGTTGGCCCAATCCTTCGCATCTTGCCTAGTACTCGGATAGAATAAACTGGCTGCATCTTTCGGACCGTCCTTCTGTTTCTTGTATGTGTCGAGAAGTTTACCCATTGCGACTTTGATAAAACGCTCCCGAATGGTGAGAGACATGCGGGCTCTCATAACCTCTTCGCAAGTCCCACTTATCCGAGCCCAATGGTCGAAGCAAAGATCTGCGCGAAGGAGCTTTGTCGCCTGTTCTTCCACCGAGCTTGATGTGGTTTCTTGATTTGAGTGAGTTGGTCCGACCTGTTGAATCTGTTGTGAGGCCGGCAGGAGAGCCGGCTTCCTGTTATTCTTCTTTTTACCGGTGATTTTATCTCTCATTGACTGGGGAATCATCTTCCAGAAGTTAAGAAGTTCTTCAGTGAGCTTCGTACTCTTTTAGCTTGATTCTTTAGCTCACTTAGGGTCTAAACATACATTCTCATCGACTTCAAGATCATCCTGTCCACTGTGCACAGCCGTATTAGAGAGATCCAGAATCTTGGTGGCAAGTTCTCTACTTGGAGTGGCACCCATGATTGATGTTGGGTATGTAAAAGAGAAATTCGAAACGCGACCGTGAGAACATGATCATTGGGGCCAAAAGCTGCAGTGCCTAGGTGGCGGCTAGTGTTCCTCTATGATTGGACTTGTGTCTGCTGATGACACTCTAGGAGTCATATTCTAGACTGGAAACATTGACAGTGTCAGCTGATAACTTTCTTTGTTTATGGAGGTCCGAGGCCATCTTCACGTACCTCACGGAGCGAAGAACGTATGCGGTGAGTGTGGGGAAAAGCGGTGGTAAGGTTCGGATGCGGCCCGCCATATATCGTGGTGAACCTGGATTTTTGACCTTACTAGTTCAAGTGGTGGGGTGCTGGTCTCCGTCAATCGGTGAATACAAAAGCAGGCTTAACCCCAGTCCTCAATCGCCCTTCGAATTGACGGTAAAAATAATGTCAGCCATCATTTCTTTGACAATACTACATCACGCTATTCCACTTGTGTCACTTTTTTTTGGGCACCAAAAAAAATAAAATGACGCTATTCCACTTCGGTCACTTTTTTTTGGGCACCAAAAAAATAAAATGACGCTATTCCACTTCGATCACTTTTTTTTGGGCACCAAAAAAGCTCAAATGACGCTATTCCACTTCGATCACTTTTTTTTGGGCACGAAATTCAGCCTTCCGCTAGAGCCGCCGTAATCCCTAAATAGAAATTCTCAACAACAGAGTGGGCAACCCAATCGAGTTTAGCGGCTCTTTCAACTTGTTTACGACCGCGACCAGCGCGTAGAACAAGGGTATCCAACGCCACCTAGAAGAGCATACATATGGGCGTTCGCCCAGACCACCATATATACAATATTAGAAATGATCATCCAATACTCGAATATTGCTCGCAGCCAACCAATCGTACGAGGCCAAAGTGCATTCTGACCTAGAGCATTCCCCATCATTTGGTTTGCCAAAGGAAGGGATCGCCAATACAACCACTCAGAGCCTCAAGATCCTCAAAGAACCCGAAATGCTTCAAGGTAACACAGTCGTGCTATTTTCATGAAGTGTTCGTACATTTAATTCTAGGTAATATAAATTGCATCTTTCGCCCATCACTAACGCAGGATGTCTTCGCTATCATCACTCAAGTTTGAACACTATCAAGCGTCCTCACTTCTGACAGCTCAGTCAGAATCAGACAAAACATCACGGGACGCTCGCTTTGTTGACCACGAAGCATCAACATGTGCACTGCTATCCATACCCCTACAAAATACAAATGTGGTCACAGAAAGGATATCACGACTGTTGAGCCTTGTGATGACCCTGATTGCGGAATTGTCACAAAAGATAGATGGCTTGGACTTCGCACAAACCGAGCACAGAACTGTTCGGACTGTGGTGTAAGTGGCAAATTGGCACCAAGATGCAATGTTTACTTATTGAATTCACAGAACTGAGGATGAAATGGATTCAATGATGGATATACGAAGTCCACAAGTGGCCGGGAATGGAACAATACTGATTGTATTGAAGGGGTGACCTGAAGAAATTGCATCTTACGTCTGAATTTTCCCGCTTAGCTTCGTTAGGTGAATGTGGATGCAATGTTGATGTATTTGCTGCTTGTAAAGTTGCTTGGACCGTAAACTGCCTACTAATCCTAAACCGAACTTGGCCTTGCGGCCGCGGCAAAAAATCATGGTACGCGTATCCACGAACCAAACTGGGATTCCGGATTAAATATAAATCCTTGTCACGTGATCATATGATTGAGAATAGAAAATCTGGCCAACCCTTCTTTCGATGGATGTTTCAACTCATTCGTGATGGTCCAAAGGCACCCTGTGATTCTCCGACCGGAAGGCGGCTCACGTATTATTGCCATTGGTACTACAGGCATTATTTGTCAGAACGCTTGCCTTCCAAATCAGGTAATTAAGGCCCCCCTCAGACACGACATTTGCGGGTGTGATGAAGACGTGGTTAAAACGATACTGCACGATGAGGAGTATGCCATGTCATGTTTTGAGCGTGAGCGAACTATCTACGCTCAATTGCCAAAAAACATAAATATACTTGATTGCATCGCAATTGAGGATGATCGTCTTCACTTCCCCTTTTTGCGACTCGGCAATCTACGTGACTACCTTGCAAGCCATAATAAAATCATTGGAAGCCAATTACGGGATCAATGGATTGATGCGGCCATCGATGCCATCGCACTAGTCCATAGATTTGAGATTGTGCATGCCGACATCAGCACCCGCAATTTTCTTGTGGCTGACGACCTTTCGATACGACTTTGCGATTTCTCCGGATCATCGATGGGCAACCAGCCTTCGCTGGTGGAAGAGGAGGACAGATATCGTATATCTCCAAATGCTCCTAGGTCTATTGCAACAGACATATTTGCTCTGGGATGTTTGATTTTTGAGATCATGACGGGTAACCGCCCGTATGATGAAATCCCAGACGACGCATGTGAAGAGATAGAGCGACGTTATGCTATTGGAGCTTTTCCTTTGCTCAAAGAGAATGTCTATGAGAAAATCATTCTCAAATGTTGGACATTGCAGTATGTGGATGTCAAGCAAGTCAAACAAGACATGAAAACCATACGCGAAGAGAAGATTTCGCACAGTCATACGGAGATGACAGTTACGAGCTATCTGCTAACTGTCACCCCGGTCATTCTCCTTATTAGTGGTATTATACTCGTGTCAAGGCGTAAGCTTTGGGATTTGTGGCATGTAACCAGTTAGTATGATCGACAACCAATGACCTCGGTATAGGCTTATCAGTTATCATTTTGCACTATCATCACAAGTTATCCACCGTACCTATCACTTACCATATTTCTACTTCTTTTTACGTAAGGATCGAAACCTAACTGTATCTCCTTTCTGTGTTGAGCCCTTGGCAATTGCTACCAGAGAATGATGTGTGATACGTTTCCGCCCTATCAAACGAAACATAGTTCACGCCTCTTGAACAATATTGATATCCGTCCCTTGAAAATCCAGTGTCATCCTAGAGGACTTAATAATCAGGTATTTAAGATTTTATCCACCATCCTGCCAGCTGAAACACTCCAAGAAGCATGGACCGGACTCGGGGCTCGGTTGGTTCGGTTTAGCCAGTACTATGCACACTCAGAACTATGCAGTCAATCAAGATCCACTGGTATAGGGGCAATCTGAAAGACAGACATATAAAGATTGTATCCACCCTGTTGTGAAGTATCTAAGACGGACAGTGGAACCCGTATACCTGGGGACAAATTACCTTGACTCAGAAGCTTCCTGATATCAGTTCGAGACACATCATGGCAGCAAGAAGACCCACCATATCGCAACGGTTGTTTGTTGCTTGCGATAATTGCAAGAAGAGTAAGACTCGTTGCAGCAAGGGAGATACCTGCGTGCGTTGCTTCAAACTCAACCGGGTTTGCGAACGGTCCATGTTAGTTGAAATTATTTATCTCATTCCTCCAAGGAGTTTTCACTCATTCTCTCAAAGGAGACCTGCGGTCAGAACGGCGTATGACGCGAACAACACGAGCTTGAAACGTTACGGTCTTCCGAAAAACTCTGACATTAAGAAGTATAAGACTTCTTTTTTCAATCAAATCCATCATGTCAGTAACTCAACTTAGATTGTTATTGTCAGAAAGCTAACGAGTTTTAAAGGTGTTCTGCGTGGTTGATGAAGAACAATTTGAGGGCGAATGGCGCCAATTCAGAGAGACCCCCAAAACTTTTTCAAGTGCTTGGCAGGCTCTTCTCTTTACGATACTTTCACTGGGGTGTCTAGTCCCGGACGAATACGACCAATTACCCCATACACTCTCTGTTCAGTATGAACAGCAAGCGTGGGAATGTTTTACCAAAGCTGAAATCGATAAAAATCTATCGATAACCGCAATGAAAGCTCTATTATTACTTTCATATATCAGAGCATATCGAGGAGGCTCTATCTCTGCCCTAACGCGAATGGCATGGCGAGTCGCCAAGAGACTCGAGATTACTGCAGCCAACGAGAGAGATATTTTCAATGGAGTAGTGACACTCTTTTCGCTAAATGCCAAGCTCTCTCAGACACCCAAGGAGGAATGGATCCCTGATGATATAGGGCAGATTGAGATATCCTCCGAATCAGCTATGAACCATGCCGAACTTGATTTGATTCATTTGAATATATCATGCCAAAGGGTTAGTTACATCGATTCCGAACGACAACTACTTGGATTTGTGGAGAGATTGAAAGACACCATGTGTTATTTGGGGGTTCAACAGCATCAAAAGCACACAGACCCCACAATGAGGAGCCTCTTCATATTAGAAGCTCGCGTCAATTATCTACTCTATTACATCTTCCGCTATACCCATTTAGCTTCGTCAGAATATGTCCATTTCGCAAGGAATGTCCTGCAGTCATTCCAGCAAGTTACCTGGTATCGATCTGGAACCGGGAGCCTTGAAGCCACTGATTGTGCCGTGAGTCTTGCCAGTTCCATGGCCAAGGAAGATCTGTGCCTTCTCCGCAAAACTAAGGAAGTTCTGAAATCTATAACGCCCTGCAGCAATATCAGCAGAGACTGTCTCCCAGGAGTCCAAGACGCTATAGAATTTTATTCCACGGAAAACTGTGTTCAAGCTTGTCTGAGCGTGTCTTATCATTTAGTTCCTGATTGGCCTCAGGTACCAATGTTCTAGATAGCCCCCTTCATCTCGTTTTATCTTACCTCGATGCTTCCTTCATACTAGCATTTGTCTCTAATATTAGCATGATATGAATCTGGGTTTTTGTCTAGAAAATGGGAGCAAGGTAGGCCAATAATGGCTTGACCGAAGTTTTCCTAGTCATCCGCTGTATCTATCTTCTATAAGCGTTCTTTAGAGAATTTTGATTCTGATACCTTATCCTACATCATAAATTATATTTAAATGATGCCGCGTCTCTTGTTTCGAGCTTCAGGAAATATATCTATCGTCACTGTTCTCAAACTTCATCACCATGATGAAAACCTACCCCTCGACCCCCCCGAGGGCCTATTCAAGGCCCAAACGGCCGACATTTGATGAGGCGCTTAACCTGGCGCTCGTCGACATACAAAATAATAGCCTCATTATGGGTATTAGCAATGCTTTACATTCTCTGGATGATTCGGGACATCTTCTACCTACCATTCAATGCATCCGATACCGCAATGCCTTAAATCGAATTAAGCGCTCCAGCTCTGTGACCTGAGAGAACAAGCTGGAAAATGGCTATAAGAGGTTACCTGAGGTGGAAAGGTCGACAAGGAAAGATAAGGTTACATCTGGGAATTTTGGCCGCATGGATTACTGTAAGAGCTAGAAGACATCTCATTACGACGAACCTCTAAGAAAGGTTAGCTGTTGAGAATTATCTACTTCTATAATTTAGTACATAACGACCTGGCATATCCCCAGGGGAATTTTATATAATTTCCACGCAGCGCAGCCTACCTACCTATCCGTATGCCTTCATTACGATCCAATCCCGGCCATGTTTCATTTCCTAAAGTATTTCCGCAATTTCGAGTTTTTAAATCATTGCTTTGGCTCACCACAAGTAGGTCCCACAGTACCATGAAGGGATAAAGCTGACCGTTTCTAGGAGACCGAAGATGTGAATCCATCAACTCCAAATAGTCCCGCGTTTCTACAGAATCAGGCTTCAGTAGGGGGCCGAGAGTATATGACATATCCTGATGCTTTTAATAAGCCAAACAACAAAAGCTATGATGTGCCAGGCAGACTTTGGAGGCCGGATAGCCCTGTGAAGCAGCAAATTGCCAAAGTATTGAGCATCAAGCACTCCGAGAGTTCGCTTTATGGATTGCAAGTAAAATTCACAATTCGAAGAGATACTGAGACGCAACTTAAGGAGAATACGATGCAACCTGAGGAGAGATGGATGAATCAGGAGGAATGTGAGGGGATGGATGGTTATGCGGATGCATTGGAAGCATACATGGATAACAAGCGGGAAATGTGCCCAGAATAAACATCCTAGCCAAGGAAGCTATATCAAGAGTGTCAATCCCACACATTGCCACCTTCATTCCATCACCAGTTAAAGTTCATTTGTTGTTGATAATCCTACAATTTTATCTGCCAGTAAAACAAGCAAGAAGAATCGAAGCCAAGAGGCAGCCTAGGTAAAAATGGACCCATTTGATCTTCGCCCATTTTTCAAACAGAGCCTATCAGGTGAGCTATAATATTTCAACTTATTAAGAAACCAGTTAACTCTTCTCTAGTCGTGTTCTCATTGGACGAAACAAACAGGAATGTTTTCAGCTATCAAAATTCTATCACGCAGGCTCTCAAGACTAAATACGGTATCGAGGCCTACACTGGAGCAAGCCCGGCTCAGGTGTATATGACTATGTTCGCAATGTCCTCGGTACTTTTCCATGCACATCCAGATCGCAGGTGGCTTTATAATGCCATGTGGGCTCGTGTGTTTGATTCGGAATACCTATCTACAGAAGAGGGTGCATACAACTGGCTAGCGATTGCGATAAAGCAACGTGCATGGATTGGATATGATGGAATGAGGATTTTGCCCGTGCTAGGAACAGAGGGCGGGACTCTTGCGCTGTTTAATAGCTTAGTGCAGCTCGATACCAATGAGTGGGAGGCAGAATTTTGCTTTGACACGTTCGAAACCCCAAAAATTACTGGGTCGATATACTATATCGCTTCGGTTTTTCAAAGCTGCTGTCATGTACCTGACATGAGTCCCAAACTTGACATTTCAATGTCATACGAGCAATGCAGGGCAGAAGTCGACCAGATTTCTCACAATATCGCTCTATATTACTCCGAGAAGTTCCTAAGGTGAGTGGTCTCCATTCTCGGACTCGCCCTTTTTTTAATGCAATGTATAGTTCTGCTTCGCTTCCAGACGCATACGAAAAAGTATCTAGGCCTATTTTAAACTTGGAAAATGAATTTACTTGCCAGGACTGCGGCAAGGAATTCAAGACCATGCTCCGATTGGCCAATCATGAATTAGAACATGAAAGATTGCTCCCAGAATTCCAAGATTCGCCACGGTGCTGGAAAGGAGACTGCAAAGGAAGGATTTATGCTGAAGCCCGAACACTGAAGGAACATGATAGAAGGTCACATAGGATTTAGTTTATTCGAGTTTAATATGTGGAGCTCTGCCGTTTTATTGGACGAGCTACTATTGCGCGGGACAAGACTAGTGTCATTTTGCCAATTATTTAATATACCATGCTAAGCTCATGAACCTCAGATCTATTCAACCTTTTTATTCGATTGAATATCTCCAGCATAAGAGGCTTCATTTTGGGTACCATTTTCAGTTGAAGCGACTGACAAATCTCCAGACGTGGTTGGTACTTTGGAGACACCATATAAAAGGCCTCCAATTATTTGATAATTTCATCTCAAAAACGTGCAATTTCTCGCATTCCTACGATATTTAATCAACCCCAACACAAGAATGGGTGGTTTTGAACCTCTACGGCCACGAGAATTTGCGAGCTATATCGATAAGCTGGCAGATGAAAATACATGTACGATCCTCAATGAGAGTCTGGAAAAAAAAATGAAGACGAAGATCTGGCGTACTTCTCTGTCCTCGCAAGCCTTTTGATGGACTACAAATTTCCACCTCGCCACTTGCTTCACGACATGCTTGGGATGTTCGTGTCAGAGCTTGGAATTTCTCTGGCTGCCAAGATATTTTTTGATCAGCCCAGGAAAAGAAGATACTTGAAGAAAACATTGGTATATTGTCTACACTCGTCAAGGCAGAATCTCAGGGAGCGATGACCAGATGGAAACACGAAAGACCTGTGGATGGCTGTTACTTTAGCTATTCTCAAAGAAAAGATGATCAAACTTTGCATTTGGCGGAGCTTCAGGAGAGAATTTCCGAGGTTGATCATTTTTTCGGTCAAAGCAAATGTTATTAACTTCATTTCTCTAATAAATACCCAAGATAGCTCATTTTGTGCCAATAATAATAGTGCATGTTTGATTTTCACTTCAAAAAATGTACTTCTGATCTTCTAGGAACCATGTCGCTCACCTTGTCAATGGAGACACCCCATAGACATTTGAAGAAGCTATAATCCTGCTTCGTGCTATGTCCTTTTCAATTTTTATAAGTAGGGCTGCTTTTCCCTCTAAATAAATCGTCTGTATATTCAAACCACTTCTCGCCGTTGAGTTCAAAATGGCCCCCTCAGCAAAAATGATTCGGTACAGCAAGACATGCGACTTCGATCGATACTATGAATCTGTGTTCTCGAAACTTTCCAAAGCCGCTCGACATGCACTCCTCATTCAACCGAAGGATCCAGAGTATATTGGAGAGCAGGGAACTTCAGCTAAAGCCGAGGCCTATGAAATTTTCTTGAAACTTTCCAAAACGACCCAAGATTCACTTCTTGCTCAACTGAAGCGACTAAAAAGTATCAAACAAGGAGCCAGTGAGAATGACCAAGTATTATACAGAAGGCAACAAATGGTTTTTCTTGAACAGCAGAAAGCAGTGACTAAGACTGAGGTCGATGAAATTTTCTCGAAACTTCCCAAATTTACTCAAGATGCATTTCTGGCTCATATAAAGCAACTCAGGAATACGGAAAAAGAAGCCAGTAAGAGTGACCAAACATTGTTAAGGAGGAAACTAACTGCTTTTTCTAAAGGTCAGAAAGAAATTACTCAAACCAAGGCCGATGAAATAAAAACACTTGTCAAGATATTGCGCAAACAGCCAGTAGCATATTTTCGTCTTGCAATGCAGCGAGCTAGAAAGAAGCTTGAGGAACGGCAGTACAAAGAGCTCGAAGAGATGCTATCTACTAGGGAAAAAGAGCTGAAATACGAGAAGGGAGAACTTGGTTCGTTATTTATCTCTCGCTTGATCGCTTCACTGTTGACAATTCATTTGAAATAGACGAAAAGAATCTAAACAGCGCATATTCATTGCACGCAGGGTAGGTAACTAGGAGTTATGCTCAAGTTATTTTTCTTTGGGGTATAAGCCCAAAGTATCATGCGACAACATTATGATAGCTGAAACAGATTGAATATGCAAATAGATGGATTTTAATCCTGAAATCTCAAAATCTAGGCTATATGTTGACTTCCTAAATGAATAAAAATAGCCCAGTAAAGTATTTTGTAGCTTAAGATTGGATAATTTGGGATTGCAACTACCAATTACAAGCTTTCCTGTCTTGAAACTTAGAAAGTTTTGAGGCTTTGATCCTCTACTTTACTGTCCTTGCAAGCCGTTTGATTGACGCGAAATCTCCACATCCCGGCTTGCGTCGCTGTATGCTTAGGATGTTGGCGTGAGAGCTTGGAGTTTCTCTGACTGCCAAGATATTCTTTGATCAACTCAAGAAAAATCAAATATCTGAAGAAAAAGTTGGGAGACTCTCGGCACTTGCCGAGGCGGAAGCCCGGGAAGCGATGCGCAGATGGAGACACGAAAACCTGTAGAAGGCTGCTACTTTAGCCATCGCGATTCTCAAATGAACTAGCGATATTCAGCTCACTGATCCAGTAAAAGAAGGCATACGCTTCCTTCATATTTGGAATATTGCCGGACCAAGGCTTAGGTAGTATACTGTGCATATTGTTGCAAGCGGATGGTTTAAGCTGACGAAGAGGCATTTGATTGGGCTGATTTTCCTTCGTTTTAAGCTGATCACCACTAAAATAGGTCCTGGGAGCACATGGCTCGGATTCTTCGTTCCAATCACATCATTCTTTTCGAAAACTGAGTAAATGTATCAAGCAGCCGCCACCATGCAGTGTATTAGCTACAACGCCTGCTTCCTCAGATCTTGGGTATAAGAATCGCAGAATTACCCTCTTCTGTTAAATTTTCATTCGAAAAGTGCGAATCCCCTCCTCAGTGGATATATTTCAACATCTTAGGTTTTGAACAGAAGTAAGAATAGGTCACCTGCATCCGTTTTTGTTGTATCTAACCCAATATCAGCAAAATCTACAAACCGTCAAAATGAACTGCAGCGACTGCGGTGGCACCCCACACATGGTTCGCAAGATCGATTGCCCGGCGTGTTATGGAAAGGGCTACAAGATACTCTCACCTAATTGCCCAGAGTGTAACGGATTCAATTGCAACGCTTGCCACGAAACTGGGCATCAATGTGTTCCCTGCACATGTGAAAACGGCAAAATCAACTGTTCCAACGTGGTCCATAGAACTGGTTCTCATGCTGCACGATAAATCATGACCAACAAGTGTACGGTGGTTTTTTGCTGTGGGTCGTCCGAATAATTGATGTATCTGCGCTACGGAAATTCAACATTTCCAGTCAAATGAATTTCGGTTTTTTTATCTCATCAATCCCGTGATTACGCGAATTTTGATGATATCTGGAAATACTGAATACATATTCCCGAGGGTTGTTGTGATCTTTCTCGTTGTAGATCTTTATAGTTAGTTAGTCATTCATTGAACTGACTAACTAAGCGGCAATGATTTCTTTGAATTCGCACCGGTTGGACTTGAGATGTCTTGAGGAGTGTCGACAGACATAACAGTCAGTTAAATTTGAAACTAAGCACTTTAAATCAGGTCACCAGTCGTCTTGGCGAATTCCGCTTCTACGGTGTAGCTCCAGAAAGCAGCATTCAATAATATTTGAGCGGCAGACGAGGCGTAAATAACTGTCGTTACAAATTTGTTATCCTCATTCTGCATAGATTTTCACCTGCTCATTCGCGTTTCCTGTTGCAACCACACAACGAATTTGTTTGTCCAATCTACCTTCCCCATTCACCTTATTGCTGCTACCTACCGATGCATTGCCCTTTGATTGTTCAAATGAAAGGTTTCTTGGGCTTTGTGCATGATTTGCAATGCTAGGAGCCCACTTCAAGCAGGTAATGAAGTTGCCATCTGAGTCGCTGATAATTTTCACACACTTGCCTTGCTGGCTTAAGTCCCAGCAACGTAGCGTCCTGTCATCTGATACCGAAAGGAGATACTTCCCACCCGGGTGGAATGCGATTGCACGCACCCAATTATCATGACCAATGAGAGTCAGAATGCAAGTTCCCCGAAAATCCCATAATTTGACGGTTTTATCACGTGACCCGGTAGCCATGAATTCGACGGGACTGGCCGGTTTTTTCAGATGAAGCCAGGGAGCAATATACTGAAATGTTTCCGATGGAGCTATCGCGCAACAGATGATGAAGTTTTCGTGCCCTGTCGTTGACATTTTGTTTTCCGGCTGAGTACTCGAAATGTCCCAAAGACGGACAGTCCTATCATCGCCCGTAGAGAGCAGATAATCTCCACCTGCAGAGGGGAAGATATCTCGCACCCAGCCAGTGTGGCCTTCTATGGTTTTCACGCAATGTCCGTTGGCCGTGTTCCACAGCTTTACCTGCGCATCTCTGCTTGCACTGGCCAGTAGGTCTCGTGACGGTATAAATCGCACGGCACTGACAATATGGCTATGATCTTGCAAGGTCCTGGTGTTCTTGTAGCCATTCCTCGGATCCCAAAGCTTGATCGTCAAGTCGGAGCTGCAAGAGGCGAGAAAAACTCCATTGGGTGTATCGCCGTAATCCAAGCCGTGCACCGCCTTTGTATGACCTTTGAGTGTTGCCTCCCACACGCCATGTTCCCAATCCCATACCTTTATCGCATTGTCGTCAGCACCAGACGCGATTGAAGAAAAGATAGGATGGAAAGCAATGCAGTTGATTGCCCCACGGTGGGACTGCAGTTTAAATTTCGCACGTTGGGGAAGCCAACTGGTCGCGTCACTGCTGCATTTGAGGAGGGAGGCGGGTGTTACATTATCAAGCTCCTGTTGGAGAGCTTGATTACGAGATTCAAGTTCCATTATCTGTAGAACAAGGGATGTCAGCATCACAGGAAGAGGTTTGGAACGGAAAAAATGGCATGAAAAGAGGGGGATGCTACCTTCCTCTGTAATCGGGAGTTGCTGGTCCATTTTTTTTCTAACAGTGATTCGTATCTTGTCTGCGTTGTCTCGTCAATATCAGGGGCGGATCCCAGTTCCCTCCGCAACGAAGCACAAGTTTCAACTAGGCCATTCGCTGCAAAATACGCTAGCATGGATTTGTGCCTTCGTTATGTTCTCTATCAATTAAGGCATCAACTGCGTATGAATGATATGCACTCACAATTCATCACTTTGCTGCGGTGTTAGCAAATTTGGCATGATGGAGGATAGTGTCCAATGTCAGGTTGAACCGCTGTGAGCGAAAAGGGAAGGCCGAAAGGGGAGGGCAGGCGAGGATGATAACGGGGAGAAGAAAAATCAAAGATCAAGATTAGCCTACGGGTCCTCAATTGCTTCAAGACTGGCGAGTGGTGAATGCCTGGCGTGAATAGATAAGCAGGGGAAGGAGGGCCCTTGGGCCAGCAGCGCATCGCTACGTGAAGGCAAAATATGCTGAATCAGCAGATTAGTCACGGTGATAACGTAGTTTCGACATCGTTCACACGTGTACTGCCGTGCTGCCCTGCACATTGTTCGCATCGCGACGTTTCCTTGCACGTCCTTGCCAAGTGTCCAAATCGGTGGCATCGGGAGTCTCTCTCTTTCTCTTGGCCTTGCGTCGTTCAACATGAGGGGTTCGGTTCTGTCTGACGGAACAGCTGCGAGGTACGGTAGAAGTCAAAACAGATTGCTAGGGCTCCAAAAGGAATATGATTATTCGTGAATATGAATATATGTGTTGAGATAGGTATGTTCAATTGGTTAAGTTGTCTATCTTGTTGGAGGTGGGGCTCCTCATCTATTTATCTGTCTCTTGATGATCCCCACTACATGCTTTGACCACCGTGATACTCAACAATATTCGCGGAGTGCGAATATGAATATGTCGTATATTCGCATTCATTTATTCCTTTCGGAGGTAATCTGAGATTGCCTCTGTGGACAAGTCGTGCTGTAATAGCATAGATTGCAAACATGAGCGGGTCGGGTCATTCCGCCTCCAGGTTCTGAACGGCCCAGAACCTACATAGCGATGATTTCCCGTTAGTACACGACAGTCTTGGGTATTGGAATTGACTGACAGTCTGCAATGTTCTTTGAATGGCCCTAAATGGGATATTATTCCGAGAAGTTCTCAATAATAAAAAGTGAAGGTTAATGATCAAAGCACGCCCGAGCGCCTGACTCCGAAAGACGTTGTCTCGCCTAAGGTTTTCTTGTGAACTAGTTCCATCGTCACTGAAATTTCACCTCCCCAGCCCATTACGAGCGTATGTCCAACGCCATAAAGTGATATATTTTTCTCAGTCAATTGTTTCCAGGTAAAGTATTGCAGATCTTTGACCGTTGCACGGGAGCTGATCTGCGCTTTGCAAAATAATTTTTTCACAATGCCGGAGACGCCTTGACCCATAAACGTGTGACCAAATCTTGTGCATAACATTCTTCTTTCACTCCGTGATCGGAGGGTGAGATATGAAGCGACTCAGGTGAGGCGTAATTATGGGCCGCGGGATATCATATGCGAATAGCAATGGAGTTCGATAGCGGTACTTGCCCGTATTTTCTCACCTTTGCGAGATGGCCATACCGTGCATTTCCAGACGTTAGCTCAAGGGTACGAGAGCGCTTCAACCGTTCCAGATCTTCCAAGTCAATGACAATCAAACGGTTATCTAGGTCATCCCACAACATATTGCGCCACTCACTGTCGCGGTGGACCACTCTATGCGAACGGAACGCAGCCAAGGCTTTCTTGCGCTCCTGGTGAAAAAAAAATCGTGTTCTCGTCATTGATAGCGTGCTGGAGTCTCCTCCCGACCAGCTGAGAATTATCATCTGCTCCATTAGCTCGCCATGGTACCAATATGAAACTTGCGGCGTAAAGGTTCCAAGACAAATAGGAATATTTTGGCCCTGCATACTCCTGAGGTAGCTGTAATTATCTGCTTCTATTTGAAGGCGATGCTGCTTTTCCATGGTCGTTGCTTTGATTATGACAGTGTATCCGCGCGAAGAAGGGTAGCTTTGATAAGATATCCAGTCCGACCACAGATATGGAGCTGTTCGAAACTGAGGTCTCGATCTCGGGCAAGTTGGCGATAAAGCCTGCGTGTGAACTCTCGTGGTCCTATGCTGTGTCTCTGACCACCGTGAAGTTTCCAGTTGGGGTATGTCTTATCCAGAGGGCCCTGGTTAACTATACTATGGATGCAGCCAATGGTACAGTATGGTCGTGTGGAATGCCTGCCTTTTTGAGAAGTCTGTTTGTTGTCCCGGCCAGCTTGCGTCTTTTCGCTCTCCCTGCTTGATTGGCCTTTACTGCCTCGGTCGCGGCTTGATCGGCTGCGCGACGCTGCTGCTGCCGTCGGCGAACGTGATTCTTCCTTACTGCTGTTGTCTTCAGTCGAGGAGTGCTTCGGTGTAGATACGCCTGGTTGACAACGAGTGCGAGAGCGTGTGTTGTGTATTTTCCGATCTCGTTTCTAGTGCGAGGGGCGATAATTAGAGGCCCGCGGGTCTTTACGAAGAGTTTCGGGGATTTCCCTCAATACGTCCAAATATTCGACTTCCCAGGTTGTCAGCTTGTTGTGTGCCGTATCGTGCTATTCTTGAGAAGGAGCATCGGCGATCAGTGCTTGAAGGGTGAACGCAAGAACCTGGCCGATGGCGGTTCGGTGGAGGCGTAACTCATCGTCCGCCTGTACATCTTGATTCGGAATACACAAGAAATTGAACAATGGTGGGATCATCCTTCGGGATGTGGAGGAAAACAAAAGCCTCTCCCGTGCAAATGTACCCGTGTCGAACTCCGCTATCGATCATATATGAAAATATCTGAGTGACCACGGCGGCAACAAGGCGGGTGGCATAGAATTCAAATGTGTCGCCCTCCTGGTTAATGACATCCCGGGCCAGATCCATTTGGTGTAGACCCGCGACAAATTCGGGGATTGTCACTTTATGTGGCGCTTTGAACTCCACTGTATAGACCGGTATTTGTCGTTCATCGGCCACAGTATGCACGCAAAATTGGTCGGCACGTCGATTGCGTCTTCGTGCAGTGCCATCCGGCTTCTGCCTTTGCTCTGCTCCTTTCGCTCTTCCTCTACCTCTTCCATGCCTAGTGTTCGCCGGCCTTTGGGGTGTCTGTGTATCATGAAGGAATTTTGAGCGAGACACTGTTGATAACTTTGTCGAGAAAGATATCAATACTTTGCGAGACAATGAAACTCTTCGCCATGAGTTTGGGATCCAAGGCCGAGTTACTTTCTATGATGTTCGTCGCGACGTAATCGACTTGGGTATCCGAGGGGAATAGAGGGCGCGAGGTAAAGGCTGCGGTGCGGTCGAATTTGCTCCAGACTTGCTCTTGGAGCTGTGGAAAGTCAGGCCAAGGGACTATGCGCTTGGGGTAAAGTCGGTTCACGGGGTCGGTCGCGTCGCCCTGGGTCGTGAGTGTCGCATCCGTCTCGACTCGGATCGCTTGAGACAGAGATTCATGGCAGCGATCGAGGAGGCGGAACAGGGTGTTGGGTTGGAGTCGCCGTTCTGCCTCCCCCTGGAGGCGCTCTGCTTCTTCCCGCGCCTTTCTCTCCTCTTCCAGCTGACGTCGTAGCTCTGCAATAGTTTCTTCCATCGTTTGTTGATATCAGTATTCAGTAGGTAATCGAGTGATGAAAATCGAAGTCGACATAATTTGGCCTCGCTGTCGCAGAGAAGAGACCCGCCAGGTCGGAATGCTTCCAGTGTTTATCAGCTTACTCACCGCCTTAGTTAAGTTAGTTAGTTAACTAGTTTACACGAGTCGACTATGCCTCAGGCATGAAATGTGCCAAGCCTCTCGGCCTTTTCGATGGTGACATTTTGTCTTCTTGGATCTGGAATATGAGTCGAACGGATGGTTTCGGATAATCTAAACTAACTATGAATAGCTGGGTACAGTATCTTCATCTAGATCAATCATCGCACTTGTACCTTAATCCAGAGTTCCAACTCGCCAGGGGTCAGGGTAAATGAAATCATCCATCCATCCATCCGACTGTATACGACAACACTGCTATCAGATAGTATGTCTTCCAATTTTAAGTTCAAACCATTTCCCAAAATATCGGCAGCCTTCAGGGCTTTCTTTTTCTGCTTGCCCATCATCCAACCATGGAATCTTGTTTCTCAACTCAAGTAGCACGTGTCTTGTCAATTCATCGAGCTGCCCCCTGCCGGTTTCCAGCCGTTCTACCTTCATAGCTTGGCCTATGATTGTCCGTATAGGGGTTTCTACAAGATCTCCTTCAATACTTAGATTAACATCAAATACCCAAGTCTGATACCAAATCTCATCTAAACGCTCCAGGCCGTTGCGGCCCATAAATCCGAATATGAATTGCTTTCGAAGCCAAGATGGGTGGACTCGTTTGCGGGTTTGATGGTAGTATATCCCGTGCCACTTAGACCCTTCCGGCAGTTCAGACCGCAAATTATCCTCCAAAAGCTTGATATGGGCGTCTATGTTGTTTGGGGTGACCCCATGACGTCTACCAATAACGTGGATATAGTTGACCATGTTTTGATAGAGATAACTAAAGATATTGTTCCCGGGTAGTACAGTAGTAGTAGTAGTAGTAGTAGTAGTATTCATTTACACTGACCCCTCGCCGTAGCGATATGCAGTATACGACAACTATATATCCGAGCATGTACATGTTGACTGATCCACTTCCTGACATGAACTTAGAGCCTCGTCACGGCCTGTCCTGGCCCATTGCCGTTCTCGTCATTAGGCTGCCCTTATGGCGCACGACTACAAAACCGCTGTGACGCCTCGGCAAAGTCCAGTACCGCCTGTACTGACTTCGTGCGCGAGACGGTGTCTGGTTTACCTTTCTCACCTTCTTTTGAGCCTCCCAGCAGACTCGACACGCTGTTGAGCGTGTCCCCGACTTCCTTTTTCAGTTCAACTCGCAGCTCCCGCAGCCGTGGGCATTCCATCATGACGTGGGCGACTGTCTCCCGCGCGCCGCACTCGCATAAGTCGTCTTCGCGAAATCCGAACTGTTTCGCGTAGGGAGATAGCCAGTTGTGGCCCGTGCGTAGCTGCGTCAGCAGATATGCCCGGTTCCTGGGTAAATTCCCGTAGAGCTTTCTCGTGTATCGCGCCGGTAGATTCCCATCGATTTTTCGTAGGTGTGCGCCTTTGGTGCTTTCCTTCCACTCCTGGCCCCATTGGGCATAGATCTTACTGCGGATGAACGCATTCTCCCTCGATAGTAGCGGTCGAAAGGGGTGGGTTTTACCCGGTTTCGCGGCATCCTTCGCAAGCCGATCCGCTGCGTCGTTCCCAACGTCCTCGCAGTGCCCGGGAATCCACTGGAGACGCAGTCTGACCTTCGCTGCCTGAACCTCAGAGGCTGCCTGTATGATTGCATGGACGACTCGCTGGCCTGATTTGTTCCTCGCGTTTTGAATTGCTTGTAGAGCTGATCTGCTGTCACAGAGTATTGTTGCGGTCGTGTGCCTGTATTTTCCGACTGTTGGGCGTTGGTGGGCTAACTTGAACACCAGGTTCACCGCGTTGAATATGCCTATGAGTTCTGCGACATGGACCGACCACCGGTCCATTGGCCCCACCTGGATCTGTTGAGATTCTAAGATCTCATCGCCATCGTTGAGTGTGACGATGGCCGACCCCAGATGACCCTCACGCCCAGAGGCGTCTGAGTAGACGACGATGTCCGAAGTGTCTCTCGTTGACCCTGCTCTCTTTCTCGCGATCTCCCGATCGGGTTCGAGTTCGACCTCCGCAAAAGCGTCGAGACGCCACGGGGCCAATGGTCGGGGGTCGATCGTTTCGAGCTCGTTGAGCCTGTCAACATCCATGGTTTTCAACGCTTCCGCCAGGGGAAAGCGTGCACATGATCCGATATTGTTCCTGCGCTTCTGGGCACGTGATAGTGCTCCCCAAATAGGATGGTCCCGTGGTAGTGTGTGTAGTCTCGCAATGGTGCGCTGTGCTCGATGGCGAAGGCGGAGATGTGTGGGAAGTATATGCGCTTCCACTTCGAGCGTTGTGGTGGCTACTGTTCGAAAGGCTGACAGAATCCGAATCAACACCGTTCTCTGTACTGTGTTCAAGTGGCGCAAATGGGTCTTGTCTCGAAGCGGGTCGTGCCAGACCGTTGATGCATAGTCCACGACCGGCGTAACACACGTATACAGTTGATAGCAAAAACGGCTTCTAACCCCAGGCTGCTTTTCTTCTCCGAGGCCCCACTGCAAAGGCCCTGGGGCAGGCCACGCCAAGTTGAGGGCCACCGTAAAATACCGCGTACCTAGTACCACAACAATCAAGCCTTACTATCTAAAATTTAGAGCGGAGGTATAGTTTTACGGAGGAGCTACACTACCGTACGCGGGCTGGGTATACTGGCCCTCAACTTCATGTACTCCGATCAATAGATGATCTGCGCTAAGGCCTTGGCAGTGGGGCCTAGGAGAAGAAAAGCCATCTGTGGGGTAGAAGCCGTTTTCGCTATCGACTGTATAATGGCGGTACTGTATAATGAGAATATTCAGCGTGCCACTGGGGGGAAAGTGGGGTAGACGATCTTGCCAGAACGCTAGTTCTACAGAACGATATGTGGGTCCCGGAAGATTCGCTGTTAACGTAATAATTGTCACCTTTTGGCGGCAGACTGAAACCTAAGATTGACCCACACCCCGGAGGGTGTGGGTCAACCGGCGGTCAACGGAGTTCGCTCGTCAACGAGACTTTTTTTTGATTTTTTAGCTATTTTAACCCATAACGCCAAATATAGAAACAATTAACTATAATTCTCTTCTAGATTAGGCAATAACGGAGGGTATTCGACCTCGAAATTGTCTAATCTTGCTCGTAAAGCATCGCTTATGGCTGGATAAGGTAGTGGATTGCGTAACTCCGTAAGCGCTTCCTTGATCTTCTGCCTTTTTTGGGTCACGAATGTGGCGATTGGCATCTTTAGTGGATATGGCACCAAATTTGCCTATTTGCTTTTGCGACTTGCGTACAGTTTGGCGTTGTGTAGGCAATCTATTCTCTAGGGTATCCTGTAGTAGGCCTATATCCTCTGCGAGCTGGATCTGGGATTGGGCAACACGAAGCAATTGTAAACCCTAAACCCAAAAAGCAAACCCTAATCCTGAATAAGACCACACAAAACAATGTGTTGCAATTCCGGGAGTGTACGGTGGCGCGCATGCCCCTGGCCCGGTGAGTATCTGTGTTATCAACAAACTGTTTCCTTTTTTGGAACAAGAAACGCAAAGAAATGAGAAATAAAAATACTTACGGATTAAAGAAATCAAAAAAAGAACCTGATGGTGAACAATGGTACATATCCCAGAAAATGACGACATAGTTATGTGACGGTGTTTTCTCATGACTAAGCGCGCCCTGGATTACCGAATCTAAAATGGCTAAATGGGAAGGAGGGCAGGGATACTGGATACTGTAGGCCTCATGATTGAAGAGTTCTGTACAGTATCTCTACAGTAAACACTGGAGATTGAAATAATGAAGTCATTTCAATCATGACCAATTATAGGAGTACAGCACTATTTTACAGTACCGTATATATGTAATCTCTTGTCGAAAATTATTGTCTAGGGCAAAAACATAACTACATCGGCTTCCACTATGAATAAGTGATGGCACTACTGGACTGTAAACAGATACAAAGAAAAGAAAAGAAACATTATGAGACATAGTACTGCAATGCAAAAGTAGGCAAAGATTTACTGACACCCGACATTCAGAAGGCAATACAGTATTGGATACAAAACCGAGATGACCATTCTGGTGTTAATGAGCTAATAGTGCACTTGGAACTAGTCTGTGATAGAGGAAATGGTGGGTCCAATTCTACGGGCCAGCTCCCTAGGGCTCAATGACAGTGGGCTCGATGGCTCTGTCGCGATGGTTGTATCCGCCCCAGATCCCTCTTGTTCATCTCTCCAGGCAATATGAGTCCCTGAACCATTTCCAGTTTCGTGTTTCATGCTTGGAGTTTCCACGTCTGAAGGGCGCCAACCTGGATGCTCGATCTTGAGGTGACAGAGGACACGATTGGGAGTTTTGAAATTCGTTCTTCCACATTCAGGGACTGGACAGCTGCACCCACGACGACTGCTGCTAATGGTGGCGGTTTCCTCCTTTTCCCCCCCTTCTTCCCATGCAGGTGCTGAAAATTGGGGTGGTGGTTGGGCCGAATCATATCGTTGTGCTACTGACTGACGTGCGTGTGTCCCTATCGGTGGTTGAAGAAATGGTGGGGAAATACCTGTTGTCGTAAAAGATAGGTGGAACTGCAGCCAGCTTTCTAAATGCTACAACGAAACCTAGATGAGGCTTGATTTTGCTTTGAATTGGGATGAAGTCCGGTACAGTACCTTCTGCTCTGCTCGCATAAAACCAAGAGCGTGCTCATACTGGGCATCTTCCTGATAGCGCACCGAAATTTGCTTATCATGAACTGCATTCCAGGCTGCCATGGACTCACGCAAGCTATTCAAGCGCGTTTGAATTTGGGTGATATGAAATTGGGAATTCTGACGAGGTACGGCGATCGTCCATCGGGAAACATGATCAAAGTGGATTCCAAATGGAAAGCTGATACTTCTGCTCTGGAAGGCGCGCTTTAATATAATTAATGCAAACTTCCCGATTATGTTAAATACTGTAGAAGGATAGAAGTTACTGTTGAATAGGTGAACCGTTATTCGGCACGGTATACTGCCGAGTCGTTAGACGTCGTTGAACGGAGGACATATAGTATATTATTTATTCACCCGGGAGTCAATATTACTGCAGAGCACCAGAAGATGGCATCTAAAAGAACAAGAGGACAGCAAATGAATCGACGTAGAAAAAGCCTGTTCAAAAAGGCAGCTGAATATTATCGTGACTTTGAGGCCGATGTATTCCTAGTTGTTCGCACCAAACCAGCAGGAAAGGTGTTTCTCTTGGACACCTCACCAGACTCAAATATGCCTTTATCTAAAACAGAATTGGTAAGTGCAAATTCCAAAACTCTACTATACTGTTGTGTCTAACGTGAATAGGATGGCTATTACCCAATCCCTATACGGCTCTTAGCAGACCGCTGCTTATGATACATAAAGTATTCTACAGGTTGAATTATTGTTCTGCACCCTACAGTACTAGTGCAGTATATTACATTAAAATGATCGGGGAAAAATAAATTATCATTTATTCTCTTCATTACGATACACGAGGACACATAGAGTAGTGAACAATCTGCAAGCTGCAAATACATGACCAAGATGTTGATATCTGTCTACTCTAGACATGGCTATTCTTGCCAATGCAAGGCAAATTGAATGCGGATTCGATATAATTGGCTGAGGTAGGAGATGTGAGCCGTCCGACTTAGTTGAATCGATCTGCGATCGGGATAGTTGAGCGTAACGTTGAAGAGTGGGCTTGACAAGAGAGAGTATGGCTTTGTAGCTTTCAGTGTGTGGTCTCCCGAGCCGTCTAGAACATCTGATTCTTCGAGGGATGGTACAGTATCTTCTGAGTGGTGCCTTAGATCGGCCGATAACTTTGGGGGATTGATACGAAATCCTTTCAGCGAGTAACCGTAGACATGAACTCCTGGCATCCTCGGGTATAGCTAATGAGGGGTCCAGCATACGAAATAATAGGATGGAGTACCAGAAATCTAGTGGAACTCTTAGTTCATGAGCCATGATAGACAAGGGAGAATTTAGTTCTGCAATATGTATTCTGGGGCTGACGGCAGTATTTAAGTGCAAAAGACTCGGATTCAACCAGATCAAAAGTTTCCCAAAAATGATATCCTGGAATTTGTGAATATGGCTAGATTAAACGAAGATATAGAAGCACGCCGCTGAAGAAAAAAGGCGAGGGCTCTCTATTCATTCTCAATGGACCGCTTGGATCTTTTTGACCTCGAGTCGAGTTGTGGGGGGCTAGAACTTCTGTGACGCTTCTTTGAGGAACACCTTCGAAGTGTGGCACAGTGGATCATTTCACCTGCGATCTGCATGATAAGGGGTGGTGACGCTGCATCAACGAGAGGCCGATCACGCTCCTCGAAAATTTCTAGAGATGGCGACGCAAACCCTTTGTTACGCGCTAGCCGCGTAACAGGTGGACCGGCGTCATCGTCTAACCCAGGAAGAAGTTCCGGAACTGAAAGTGCAGTAGCACCTTTTCCAAGCCATCGATGATCGATTGCTGTTGGTGCAAGGATCAAAAGAAGGACGCGGCAAAGCGAAGATCGTTGTGTATAGGTGATTACCTTCAAGTGCACAGAGTAGCGATGTTTCAGGAAGCCAATCAGACTGTGCATAAGCCGGCCAATGGCAGAGGGGTGTAACATCGAGATCGGTAGAACAACGAGGCAAAATTCTGGTTGAGCTAGACTGGTGATAATCAGATCCGTGGCCTCTTTGAGGGACTTGAAAAAGATCTCGGGGATCGTGGCCTCGGTATGTAGAAGCTCCCCCGGAGGAAGGTGCGGCGGCTCAATTCCGTTTGATATGACCACTAGAACCGGGGTGTCGGATGAAATTTGAAGCAAAAGATCCTGTGCCGAGTCGCCCATTACGGCTCTCGGATTCAGCCTCTGGAAAGGGTCTTCAGTACGGCATCCAGCACGGTAGATATAACCAGACTCACCTGCCACAATTCATGATTTTCCCCCTGAGCGGCCACAGCCCCTCCGATATTCCAGCCAGCCTGTCGAAGCCCGCAAGAACCGCCAATATCCGAGGGGGAAAGATCGAGAACAACAGGGGTCACGGGGCTTGGACGATGCACTTGAGGCGGCCGAGGGAGAGGGATCCAGCACGCCGAGCCTGGATCGCAAGCTCTATAAATGGCAAAGCGACAATGAAAACCCCGAGGGGAGTCTACGAACATGAGTATCTGTCATAACGATGCATTGGGATGGATTGACTGACCCTCGGCTTCCGGTCGTAGTTGGATACTAGAGGCGGGTTGCCATGCCATGATTTGATCAAATCTTATTAGCTCCGCGTCTCCGGGCTGTCCAACCTGATTTGCGTCGGCGAAGTGCATCACGACCTCAGAACTCAAGTGGCCTGATTTAAGGGGCTCCAAAGGAAGAATATCAGTGATGAATGAGTATTTTGTGGCCAGAATATGCTCTGTTGAATTGGGATCTCCTGCACGTGGAAAGACCTCATGGACATATAGAAGAAACTCTCTGTTCATCCACCCAGCGAACTGGACTTGGATGTAAGTCCCTTTCTGTATGCCTTGCTTGATCTCACGAACCTGAGTAAGCGACTAGCCCATCTGTTAAAGTGAGAGCAAGCGTGATTGTCGAATGGAGGTACTGACCATGTCAATGTGTTCAGCCGCCTGGAAGAGTAATATTCCATCTAATCCCTCGCGAATCTCCCAGTCCTTCCAATCAAGGGGCTCGTCTAACGACTCATTTCCAGAAATTGATTGCGTAGGACTTGGCCCTTGCCATGCAGGAAGGGGCGAAAACGCCGGAGAGGACGGTGTATCCATTGACATCACGCTGCATGGGGGAATGAGTATCTCTGTGACCCTGATACTAGGAAAGACGTACCTGTCGGAGCTAGTCCATATATCCTGAGATAAATCTGGAAATGAAATAGTTTTTCGGTCGGGATTGAGCAAGGCTTGAGAATCGATACCCCCTGGTAGATCTAAGTCGCCATCCAGACCAGAAGCAAAGCCTCCAGGTGGTTCTTGACTGATAGCATTCTCATTATATATTAGAGATGGAAGAACAGGATCTATACCCAGGATTGGCCCGCATGACGGAGGAATGAAGCCGAAAATCGAGTTCCTTTCGTTTCTCGCAACCATTGGAAATCGCATCTCGCTATCCGGCGACTCGAAGGTAATCGATCGCTCTCTCTGAGAAGCCAGGCCCATTGGGCAAGAGCAAGAGCACGGATCAGTGAAAAATAGTGCATTCCTTTGTTGTGCGCAAGATGCCCCATGCAGTGTAACATGATAGTCTATATGACTCCCAATTGTACGGGAACCAGCTCGACTATAGCCATCTTCCCACTCAATCCGGACTGTCTGACCATGAGGAAGCACTGATGCCCTAACAGCTCTTGGCATTGCCTGGAGACGATCCCGGCCTCGAAGACATAATGCCTGGATGGTTTCTTCCACAGTAACTTCTCCATGGCCAGCTCCTAATAAGTGTGACCGGAGAAGGAAGGTGGCCTTCAGATAAACACAGTTCAATATATGTTCGCAAAAGCTGGAGTCATGCAACCACAACACATGCTTGGCGGGACAGTAGCTCCGGGCGTGAGCAGTGTCAAAACTCAGCCATCGTTCATGAATGAATATTATTCTGGCATCTCTAGAAAATGCTAAATCAGTCTGCCTGTCATTGCCCTTCACATATTTGGTTTGAAGGAGGCGTGTTTGTGGTTCTGCAGCGAAAAGAGCCCGAATCGTATGGTCAAACTCTTGCGCGTAGCGCGTGTTTGGAAGAGTGGCTGGCTCAGAACGTGTTAATTGCAGAGATAGCTCCTCCGTGGTTGTATAAACCAGATCATATCGTTTCAAAAGCCGCCAGAGCGATACTGGTAGGCATTCTGGCTCACGGCTCAGCCGCTCGCGTACGTCAGTCTTCTCCTTTGCAAGCATTAGTATAGTACGTAATCATTGATTCACAGATACGATGATCAATCATACCAGGTCGTTACTATCTGAAGGAACATAGAATCTTCCTAGCAAGCTTGCTTCATCTTTGAGGCATCGCCAGACAGCTTTAGCCGTGGGCTCGTCGATCATAAATTCTGCATCTTTTACATCAGTGCAATCCCAGTGCTCCTTGAGCAGGGTACAGTAAGCAGTCAGTGCGACCTTGTTCCCTTGAGCAATTGCCCCTGCCCATATCTGGGTAATAAGACGTAGTTGGAGAGGATGGTTCAGGAACTCGGATCGGTCTTGACTCGGTACGCCATGAGCTAGATTATAAGCCATTCGTAAGTCATCTGTACTACGTAAGCGGAGGCCTTTCAGGTACAGCGACCCAGAGTATGCGCCATCAAGGATCAGGTCGCCGGCGAGTGTTCGTATAAGCCCAGATGGGGGACTAATATCGATTGTTGTCCTCAACCATCCCTCAAACTCCTCCTGTGTGATCTTTCCTAGAGGGCCCTCTCGTTTGATGATGACCGAAACATCTTCCCAGATATTGGCGGTCAAGTCGCTTGGGGACATCGCACCGCGTCGTCTTGTCGCCTTGTCTCGAAGCCTCTGGACTTTATCCCTACTGGCCAGGGTAATATTGCAGTAGAGGTTCCGATTACCGCGTCCTTTCAAGGCAAAGTTCCAGTGAGAACTATTGGAGCAGAGCTTAATATGCGATCCACCCCGGCAAAATACGAGTGCCGCCAATTTGAGGCCCTCTCCGTAGTAGCCGCCGAGACAAGCATCATTTTTGGTGGTCGAGTATCCGATGTCCAAGCAGCGCATGTCAAGGGAGCTTTGAAAATTGGTTATCTCGACCACGCCCGTGGCCTTTCCGAAGGATATGAACCCAGCATAAGCTGTTTGCCATCCATCCGCACTGTTTATTACAGGTACCACAATGCGAATCTCTCTGTCTGTCTCAGTTCTGGATGGCCGAAATCCAGATAGAGAGACATCGTATGTCTGTAAGATGGCATCCTTCCTACATAAGAGTGAGTTGGTATTTTTCGGGCAGTTACCGTACCGTACTGTATGTTTGAAAGTCATACCAATTCTGATAGAGCTCCCGGAAGGCGTCGTTTTCAGTCCATGTCGGGACAGATGATGACGTGATGCACACTGGCTGGTGTGTCGGCAGGGTATTTCCACTGTCGTGAAGTGGCACGGCGCTCTCATTTCTTTGCATTTTGTCACCCGTTCTTTGTTGGACTCCACTGAATCATAGGCCCTCTAATTATAAGAACCGCGATACGGAGCTTGGGTCTTGATGTATTACCACTGTTCAACATCTTACTCCATGCCGAGCCAGCTTTGTGCCTGTGGTCAACCAAGGGACTGCCAAAGGTGCGGATTTCAACAGGACCTCCGGGTATGGCGATCTACCGCATTTTTTCGAAATAATGGATTTTTTTGGAATTTTTTCATTTCAGGATTTCAAGTGGTTTCTGTCGTTCACCGCACTCTTGTTAAGGGCGCTTTAGTACTCCTCCGATGGAACAGGAACAAAGAGAAGGGGATGGTCAAAAGAGAGCCGGGCATTTTGTCGCTGAGGTAATGATGCCTATCGATTTGAAAGCCCTCAAAGTATGATGTATCGACAAAGGACCGCTCGCCAGGCTATATATGAATTAGCGATTACCGAACTTGGCAGATAGGCCCAATTCTATAGATGATCAGTATGGCGACCGGCCCGAAGTGGATCACACCGTCCGTTCTGGATGGAATTGAAGAAGTTCCAGAAGATGAGAGCATTGACATTGTCGACACTGAGTGTGAGACAGAGTCAGAGTATTCTCAAACAGAATCCGATGAAGCCTTTGTGGTACCAGACGATGATACAGATTCTGCAAAGGGTGATGGGGAATACGAACCGCTTGACGTTGAGTTCTCTACCGACGACGAGAGTGATGTAAGCAAACCCGAAGATCTTGTACGAACTAGTTATCTCACAGTACGAAACCAGGACACGCCCGATCCAACGATTCTAGGACATCGTGAGGTATACCGGCGCAGAGGGCTCGTTAAACAATATGAGGTAAAGCTGTGGATTGACAGTGATCACTGGGACTTTTTACTTGAATTGGTTAGATCCTGTGTTGAGGCAGAGGAATAGATACGGTATAGTCCTGTAATATACTGCACAGCACTCTACACTCTAGTATTACGAAATCCTGTCGGGGAATGCTTTGAATACACTCAGACAGAAACACCTGTCCTATGCAATAGTAGTAATGAACGCGTACTGTACTGTTATCTGGAATGAAGATCAATCTCGTGTACTGTATTAATTTGATGTTAAAAGTAGTACAAGATGAAACTCAGATTTTGGGAACTAGATTTTTATCACTGAATAAGTCTGGCGGGATGTAGCCAGTCTCCTGGTTTTTGCTACATATGATCCTTTCACATATGTGACAATTACACATGTGTTGAAAATACACTTGTGTTACAACTAAGAATAAACTTTTACAGTGATTCTCGAAATCGCCTTGACCACTATAACCTGGGAAACTCTCTCCAGGTCCCACTGCCAAGACCCTGGCGCAGATAACTAATTGGGCTGGCTACCCACCACTGTAATATACACCTTATCTAGTGCAGTAATTATCGTTGTTTACCACATATTCAAGGCGTAGCACGCATATTTAGGAGGGGCAGGTACAATACGATACAGACTTCATTGCACAACGGCCCTCAACTTAATGAGTACTGCCCAATTAATGATCCGCGCTAAAGCCTTGGCCGTGGGGCCGAGAAAGAGAATCTCAGTGTGAACTGGTCAAGGTGATTTCGAGAATGACTGTAGTAGGGAGGAATAAGACTTTTTCTTCACCCAAAACGCTACACACGTAGAACAGCAAGCTGACTTAGATTACAGTATCCGCCCAGGAATAAGCCTCAAGGAGGGCAAGTCCAGGGTCTCCCACATAAGGGAATGCAAGCTAAATAGATATTCTAGACTGCTTTTTCAGGGGCTGAATGGCGAACTGGACTTATCCCACTTTTTAGGGATTCGAATTCGGAATGTGAATCACTTTATTATTGAGGAGTTATGTCGCCGAATCCTTCCTATTCTAATGCAGAATGAGAATGGGATATTCCAGTATGATAACGCTTCTACCAACACCGCACAAGTTGTCCGAGATGCCCTAGCTGTGATGAGTATCTCCGTCATCCTATTCAATCAATATTGCCATACTAGCTGGTTAGTAACGACCAGTCCTGGTGTCGTGGATCATGTCAGTCTGCACAACCTCCCCATTTTTGAGGAACTCATTTGCTACCACTCTACCAGCGGCCACATTATTCGAGTTCCGCTCCAAACGATTGTCGCCGCTCTTAACAGTTCAGTTAGCCAGGGAGATTTCCCCAGCATTACGCTCCTTGGTGGTAGGCATGCCGAAGAATTGAGCTCCAACTTGTTCTGGGGTAATATTGAGTTCAAAGTATGCGCGGTAGTATCCCTCAGACCAATGCAACCACTCACTGTCAGTGAAAACCAGCTTGGAGGTATCGTTTGCCGCAGAAACAGTGGTCTTCTGCAAATAAGAAGGGAGAGCTGATGGCTGCTACGCCGAATTCCACACCGATGGCGCCGGCCCCCTGCTGGAGTCGTATGGGCTGTAGTCGAGCCAGGCCAGATCGCTGACCCAGTTGACGTGGGTATCTCCCGCGATGACGATGTTGTTGCCACTGTTGTTATCGTGGAGGATCTATAAGGTCCTGTTCTTGCGCGCCATATAGCCATCCCAAGCATCCAGGTTCAGTGGTTATTCGGGTCCATTCTGGAGTGTCATGTTCAATTGAGAGAATACTGCAATGTCTAGAGTAAGATAACATTCCAAACTTTGAATAAAGAAAGGCAAACCGATTTGACTACCGAGGATGCACCAGTGAGCACCACCGACTTAATCAGGTTACGCTGCAACCAGGCCTCCTGACGGATTCCCATCAAAGTACGACCGGCGTCATCTTTGATCTTGTTGATGTAATTAGTGTTAGCGTAGGTATGCGTAATGGAGCGGTCGTATTGTCTGGTGTCCAAATTGATCAGGTCCACCAAATTTCCAAGCTTGAAATTTCTCCAGATGCGAAGGTTATCGTCCATCTCGAGTTAGCCTTTTCTGAGAAAAAATGTATAATTGAGGATAATTGCATGTTTATATTGAATTTTAAGGCCTATAGTGCACGAATCCTATTGTTTATATATATATGATATTCGTCGAACTAAGATGTCACAGTAGAAGCAAAAATACATAACGCAGGATTAAACATCAAAAGCATCCAATACTACGAAAGGGAGAACAGTTCTGATCTGTTATAGTATAGGATACAGTAATTAACAACCTTCCCCCTCTCTTCTCTCCCCGTCCATCCCAGAAGCGATGGAGGGGGCAAGTTAAAATATCCAGTACTTAAGCACGGGTCCGATACGGAACTGTATATACTTAAATCTGAATCATGTTTGGTTGCTCAGGTCTACCGTGGGGGCTCCTGGTAGGCGGTCCTCTAATTTCTCAATCCTGATCATCATCTCCAACAACTGTTTCTGGAATTCATGCTGCCCAGTGATGACGGGTTCAAGCGTTCTCTTCATGGCTTCATCGATTATTCTCTGAATAGATCCCAGTGAACTTGGATTGATACTCTGTAATTTAGGCGAACCTGTGCTTTCCTGTTCTGGAAGTGTGGTAACTTCCCTCTTTTGTCGTCTTGTTTGTATTGGATTATGGCATCGCGGATCATTCACAATCACTGTCTGCGACATAACAGTCCATGGGGTAGGCACGCCTTGGGATTTGCAAGATTTCTCCACGAATGATTCTGCTTTCTCCTGTCCAATCCATGAAGCTAAATCACCGAATATCAAAACCTGCGGGCCCTTATCGGATACCGCAACTGATAGTGTTGTGGGGGACCGAGGGGTCGTGCCTACTATGCGCGCAGGTGGGGTCATATAGGCAGCGAACCAATATTCTTGAAATACTCCCGCTTGTTTGGGCTGGAATTTTTCTCCCTTTTCAGTTTCATCGACGACCCATCTGTCTGGCTCAGCTTGCCAGTCCTCTAATGCCACCTTTACCTCGTTGGCCTTGGCGATCTCATAGCGATACTTCCCTTCTACCTTGCGTTGAACCACGAAGTAAGACCTTTGGCCGCCCTTTGCTTTAATTATCCGCTCTAGTAAAATGGTAGTCTCTTTCTCGTCTCCTTCAATTTGTATACAGGTATAATTGAAACGACTGAAGGCCTCAGCATATGGGCCTCCCAGGGAGGCACAATCCACGGACTTTGAACCGCGTGACATCTTGATATTGCTGGCGGAATACTGCTTATTACTAGGAGGTTGTGGGGTATTACTGTTGTTACTTTGCAGAGATTTCTCGTAAGAGTTGTAATCTAGAAATCGTCAGATAGTGAAAGCAGGGACACAAGTTTAACTTACTTGTTCTGGCCTGATCTGCATTTGGTAACGACTTCTTCTGTGCCCAAGCTATAGCGAGATCATACGCTTGCAAAAGTACTTCGTAGTGCCCATCATTTTCGTCATCGCGCTGTTCAAAGGAATTATCGAGAAATGAGGCTACTATAGACTGCACGGCACTTTCAAGAAAAGCGTATTCTGCAGGATCAAGTTCGCCGCTCCTGTTCTGGTCGATTGTTGGGGGTACGTCACCCTCGTTGTCTGTTTCCAAGAGCGCGGCTTCTTGGAGCTCGTAGTAGACGTGACAGTCATCCTTCACACGTGGATCATTGGCCATTCTGAGATGTATTTTCTGTTCTCGTCTATTATTCCAGGGTTACCAACACATGCGAATGAGCATCTCCAAGAGCGAAATGCAGGACGAGATATAGATCTCTTATAAGAAGGCATGTCACCTTGCGAACAGGCCAAGGATTTTCAATTTTCTATATCTTTGATAGGAGGAATGATAGATGACGGATATGGAAGCAAAAGTTAACCCTTTTGTTGCCTGAGCCCCTGATCGTAGACACCATTGTGGCATTCAATGATATGCCCCCCTGCCACTTGGCAGCGGATCATATTGTGGAGTGCCTTTGGAGTTAATCCTTTTCCAATTGATATTAGAAAATGCGGGAGTATAATATCTATACAGGACTTGAATTGAGGGGATACTTAATGCATAACATTGCATCTACTTTAAGGGCTATTAAGCAGGCGGAGTCATGCCCAAATAGTTAGCATATAATTCAGACGTTACGCCATGTGGGATCTTGGAAAATGTCAACCAGAAAAGGGCAAGATGAAACGTCGCTCGCCCGGGAGCGTAATGCAAACTATATTGGAGCTGCGAAGGTGATGCTCTCTGACATTCAATTTGACCCACCTTTACCTCGAAATCTCAGCCAGAAAAAGCTCGACCGCTTGAAAAGAATCTTCTATGATAAAGACTGTGACCGGCTAAATATACATAATCGAGTCCCGGGGGTTATATCTTCCGAGGAATTCCGTATCGCCACCCAAAGTCATGGGCTAACGGGCGATGACCTCAAACATGCATCGTCGGACAACCTACCAACCCTCCAATTTGCTACGGGGCAATTGAAAGCACTCCACGGGCGGCATAGAATCCAGGTAGCATCTGAGTTCCTCTTTCCAGGTGACAAATGGTGGGTGGTGGACCTGTACGCTGACGGTATGTACCTTGATAAGACGATGGAGATGTGAGCTAAAAGATATAGAGATCGGCCCTAGACTACGGAATGCCCTGATAGACGAATACTCTTACGAATCTGCACCCACTGATGGGGAGATCTATCGCAAAATTAGGCAGTACGAGACCGAGGGTGATGCCCAATTCAGACAGCGATGGTTTTCGCGACTCTCAAGAACAAACCAAACCCGATTAGATCAGCTTGACAGCCGAAAGAATAGATGCCTTCGAGTTGCCTTCGATGACCTACTCCCTGTCACGGGGCTGTGGAGGAGTGGGATGAGAATCAGTCTGATTTCCCGTCTCGTCGCTGCCGAATGCCGAGAGGTATGTTTTATCTATATTAAAAATGAATTTGCGATGCTGCGAACACACGTACCTTTGAGAGTCTACTTCAGGGCGTACTGTCGGAACCATATTCAGCGGGTCTTACTGTAGCGTTTCCTCAGTGTGACGGCGTTGCAGATCCCTTACTATTCTTCGCGCTAGGCCGTAAGATGGTCATTGTACAAATCAAACAGTGAATCCAGGGATTTGTGTTTCTGACAATAAGCAGGAATTAACCAGTTATCTACATACAATAAAAACGTTCTGGTTCGGGTGTATATCGCAAGACCCACTGGAGCTAGAAAAGGTAAGCTCGGAAGATGTCGAGGCGCTTCAGCTAAAGCTTCCTCATCTGGATAGCCCGGAGAGCAGTAATATCCGTACCATGATACTAGATGGCCGCATATTCTCTTCCTTTACAGAATGTGAGAGAGAGGCTATAGTGGAACGAATCATAAATATGGATGTTTTCATTCCTTCACTGTACAGTTTTTTCGAGGATTTCAAATTGCTTGAATGTTGGTCGAATTGTATAAAGCGACTTTGCCCTCCTATTCAAGATTCAATCCAATTGACACTAAGATATATGTTCAATGCTTCCGATCTTCAGGAGCAGTATTCGAAGAATGGGCGCAATCCATTCCCAATTGAACTTGGACATAATGATATTGCATACGCGAATTTGAAGATCAGTGACTCTTTTGACATTGGATATCGCCAACTGTGGCTCTATAGCGTTCGAAACTATCATAGGATGCCGCCGGAGCCAATCAAGAAAAGCAGATTGCTCGCAACTCCGAATCGAGGGGAGGCGGACTATCATACCGTATATAATATGGCTAAACTAGCGGAAAGACTTGGCTTCCATTCAAAGCAGATTCAAGACATCTTGAATGACCCGCCGGATCGAAAGTTTGCCTACAATATGCTTCTCAGGGCAAGAGATCCTTCGGAATTCAGATACAACTCTGCAAAAGTGGAAAAATTCATTGACGTAATAGTCAAATGTTTTGATAGTGCAAAGGCAATTCTTCCAACCTTATCTGCCACGCATATTCCTGGTCCTGTTCACCGGTGCGGGATTCAACAGACTGATGCTCATATTGGTAGCACAAATATGCTTTATGTCACCAAAATATTTGACCCTACAGATAGGATGACAAAAGACGCCTTGAGAACTGAACAGGTCTATAGATGGGTGTTGAAGTGCTTCTTTGGGCCCTGCGATGCTTTGGCAGATGCGGAAATCCTGAGATCTACCACACGCGACTTGAAAAGAAAACATAGTACAGAGAAGTTCAAACAGGAACGTCACTCTAAAAAAACGCCCCATCTTCTTTAGAGTTTGAAATGCCTAGATCGACAGAAAAACAAAAGCCGACAGAATATTGACTAATCGGGCCTTATGTGGAATTGTTCAGCAGGCTGATCAACGGACTGCAAGAGAAAGTTGGATTGGTGTTGAACATTCTAAAGCGTTATCGATGGTACACTGCTGTATGTTACTCAACGTAGGGTCCTGCTCAGGATAAACTCGTGCACAACATAGTCTATTTGCTTCCGGTCATTGACGCGTCCACTGGGGCTCTGAATGTACTGGTAGTGTATATCGTTTAACATATATCATCTATTTACTACCAAGTTATGAAACGACAGAATTATTTATCATCTCGAGCTGCTGCTCTGGGGACATGACTGTTGTACAACCAAATCTCTGTTCATGTCATGTCGATACATACTGTAACTCAACGAGACAAATTCGGGGATGAGAAGTGGACATACCCACTCACAAGCTGTTGCAATCCCAAGCGTACAGGTACGTTATTATGATCTAGATAGCTGATACAGAACTGATGATATAGCAGGCTGCTCCGCCATATTTCTACCCTGTTGCCTTTTCGGGAAGATATCCTCCTCTCTGAGTGAGAATACCCAAGAAAATACTTGCAACAGTGATGTCAATCTCCCAATTCTGTATAGCAATTGATTATTCTCATTCTAACAAGTGTCTACTGTAGTGCTGCCTCTTCTCTTTTCTGACTCTCTGCGGCCTTCAATGGATACCAATCTTGCAACAGAGAAGACAGATCAGAAAAAGACTACACCTCAAGGAATCATCGGCATGTCGAGATGGTACAGTACGTTGCGAAACCGGTGCAACAACCTCCACTCTCCGAGAGACTTTCTAGACTCACCGCCAAGAGGCACTAGAGCACTTTAAGAATAGTTCCGGAATATAAATCTTCCTGTATCAGTCTCGATACTGTTATTTACTTTCATTAAATACGGTGCCTTGTCTCGTAATTGTATTGGCGACCCAGGGGAACTAGAATTTTCCAAGGAAATGCAAACATATCAAACACTAGATTTGGGGATTGCCTCGAGAACCTGGCAACCTGGACACTTCCCTCTGCCACTCCTATGTCCAAGTGACGGGCTGGGGGTCTTACTCGGCACCGGAACTTGCAAAGAGTAGCTTGCATTACTTGCTTACTATCCTGTCCTTACAGACTACTCATGAACTTGCTTATCATAATACTCAGCCTGTCAGCCACTGCCTTTTCATCTTGACACTGTAACATACTAGGTCGAAGCTAACACACGACCATGTTAATAGACTCCTCAGTGGCATCTTCTGCTTCGGGGGATGACTTACACTCCTTTCAACGATGATAATGATGATGATGATGCTTACCGACCTGAACTGCCTAATCAATGGGAACGGACTCCCTCGTATGCCCCCACCCCTGGTTACCCGGACCGCGAATGGACACCATCAGTAATCTGCCGTTCACCCGATCTTGAGAACATAGTTGGTCAATATTCACCTTCTTTGCATCTACATTCAATCGACCAGCAGGGTTTTGATCCTATTGTTGAACGTGCGGATGGGAGTGCTTGGGATGAACAATCTCCGGAATGTATCCACTACCAGATCGAGTGGAGGGTCAAATTGAACAATCGAGTGGTGGTCAAGGATACCAAACAGGACCTGACTCAACCGCCTAGATCCTACTGGGAACAGATAAAAGAGGACGCTTGTAACATTCTACGACGGAAGACAGCCCGTGGCCGACGGGTGAGACTGGATGATACTGACATGGTGTTATCGGTGAACTCCCAACGGAACATTGACAAACATTTTGAAGGTACTAGTGTTGATTGGACAGTGGTAGAGAAACAGCTACTAGCGTGGGCGTATCTTTTCCGACGTGGCAAGAAGATCCGACTTCAGATATCGATCAACTACATAGAGGATAGTGGACCTCTTCCCTCCAGAACAGATAAGAGAGGAAAGTCGTCGGTGACCACACGGATGCTCGCCGACCGAGACGCTCAGATCGACGCGGAGCAGGTCTCCGGCCAACATTCCGTCTGGCGTGATGTGTATCGTGTCATGCGATGTCCTGGGCCTCCATGTCGCCACGAAGGACAATATTGCTGGCAAGATCCAGAGGGAAAGAGGCACCACAGATTAAGGACACATCATCTGAAGGCCCTCATCAAATATGTGGAGCAAGGTGGAGTTCTCGAAACCCACGCTGATGTCCCCGATAGTGTTCGCGAGCAGCTCTATGCCGAGGAGAACCAGCGTCTGGACAAAAAAAAGGAACCTGCGGAGAATGCTACAATGGGTTCAATGTGTCCTCCCATCAATATCACTGTCCTCCCGGCAGCATCATCTCAGCAATCGATATATCCTCCTGCTAATGACTCCATGCCCACCGGCCCCGGTTGTACAGAATCAATCATGGTTGACGGCCTCTTAGATGTCGCCGTGGATGAATACACTGAATGGCAGCAATCCCGGGTGAGCAATGAGACTTTCAGGGAGAACATCAACAAAGCACGCGATGTGACCCTCGAAAACTGTCTCGACCTCATGCAGATCTATGAGGATCAAGACCCAGGTTTCTTTGTCAAGCACGGCGTGAAAGTAGGTGCCGCCCGGCGATTCGTTCGTGACATCGGTCTTTAGGTAAAACGACGCAAAGAACCGACTTGTAACGAAAACATTCCTTTAGTCTAGATATTTTATGTACTGTGATTTGACAATCAGCCTACACTGGTATGACATGCTGCATTTATCCTTTTGCATGGGTTCGTAATGAACTGTAATTCCGTTCGGCGATCAGATTCCCATACCAAAGTAGGTAAGGCCGCTTGAAAGTCCTTTCCAAATACGCTGGCACGGTACAGTATCATGGTAGGGAGGATATTGTCGGATTTTAACGAATGTCATTATTGTGAGTAGAGTTTGTCCGCCACTTAATGAGGTCAATATTGTTTCAGCTTTAACTCCCACTGGACGTCAGACCTTCTGGGACCAGTCCTCGCATCAATTTTTGGACGTATCAACCTTGACGTTGGTCCTGCAAACGAGGCAAAGAGGCGCTTGTAGTTATAAACTTGGCTTAGCGATTTAGGGTCACATGATGGTGAGGCTGAGGACTGCCCCACTTTCAGCTCGTGGGAGTCCAGCAAGGATGACTATCACAAACCACACACGAGGCACTTTACTTCATCATAACATCGATATCATTTGGGGACAGAAATCGTGGACTCCAGGTTGGGCAGAGCAGTGGCTCGATCCACGCTGAAATTCATCTGCCTCCAGGTTAGAAAACTCAACCAAGATCAAGGCCGCCTGACTAATAACCGCTGCTCCTGTAGAGCGACTAGAAACTCCGCCGAACCCATTATCAACTGTCCCATTCGCACGCGATCCAGACTTCGTCTATCGTAGGTCCCTGCTTCAGTCGATTCACGAGAAAATCTCGATCCCAGGATCGAGAATAGCCCTAGTCGGCCTCGGCGGTGTCGGGTAAGTAGGAAGCGACCAGTTCGTGTCCCGTAGCTCACAAGTGAGAGGAAATCGCAACTTGCCATCGAATACTCGTATCAGATCCGATCAGAGTCACCAGAGACATGGGTTATCTGGGTCCACGCAAGCAATGAGGCCCGATTCGAGCAAAGTTTCCGAGACATCGCCGACCAGCTAAAGATCCCTACTCGTCAAGATCCTAAATCCAACATATATAAACTGGTCGAAAACTGGCTGCAGGATGAGAACAAGGGAAAATGGATTTGTATCCTTGATAATGCGGATGATGACAAGTTCCTTTGTTCGCCTCCGGCAGCTAGGAAAGGGTCTTTAATGAAAGCGCCACCAAACGCCTCAACGAAACCTCTTTTAGAATACGTTCCCAGATGTCGGAATGGATCTATAATCATCACAAGTCGAAGCAGAGAGGCTGCGCTCAGGATGGTCAAGCATAAGGACCTTATTGACGTAAACCCGATGGCAAGGTCTGAGGCACTAGAGCTTCTTCAGAAGACTCTTGATCAACCCGAGGAAAGCCAAGAGAGCCAACAGTTAGTAGAAGAACTCGAGTTTATGCCGCTTGCAATAGCCCAGGCCGCATGCTATATTCGAAATCGGGCGCCTCGCTATTCAGTATCACAATACCTGAGAGACTTTCAGAAGAGCGATAGCGAAGCGATAAAGCTTCTCAAAAAAGAGGCCGGTCACCTTGACCGGGATTGGGAAGCAAAGAACTCAATTCTAGTGACTTGGCAAATATCATTTAACTATATTCGCGACGAAAAGCCATCTGCAGCGGAACTACTTTCTCTTATGAGCTTTTTCGATCGACAAGGCATACCGGAGAGTGTTATCCGCCAGCCACCGGCTAGCTGCACCTCAAGGACAGAACTCTTCGACAACTCTTGTGACGGGGAAACATCTGAATCCGACGGAGGTCTGGAATTTGAAGATGATGTTACAACTTTACGGAATTACTCATTCATATCTATTAGCGAGAATGGGACTTCCTTTGCTATGCATCGACTAGTGCAACTGACTACGCGCGCATGGCTGAAATCTCATGGAGAAACAGAACGGTGGAGGGAAACATTTATCGCTAATGTGTACGGAGAGTTCCCTACGGGTCGATATGAAAATTGGGGGAAGTGCCGGTCTCTCTATCCTCACGTTCGGTCAGCGATGTCTCAACGGCCAGAATCACGAGAGTCTCTCTTGAGATGGGCCACGCTACTTTATAGAGGCGCATGGTATGCGTCAGAAAGCGGCCATATTGCGGATGTAAGGGAAATGGCATCGAAATCGCAAAAGCATAGAGTCGAACTGCTAGGTGCGGAGGATGACGAGGCCCTTGCGAGTACGGCGATGTTGGCTGAAGCCTATTCACTAGAAGGCCGATGGGAGGAGGCGGAACAGCTCTTCGTGCAGGTCATGGAGACTCGCAAGACGAAGCTCGGCGTGGACCATCCCGACACGCTGACGAGTATGGCCAACCTGGCATCGACGTATAGGAACCAGGGCCGATGGGATGAGGCTGAACAGCTCAACATGCAGGTCATGGAGACTCGCAAGATGAAGCTCGGTGTGGACCATCCCGACACGCTGACGAGTATGGCCAACCTGGCATCGACGTATTGGAACCAGGGCCGATGGGAGGAGGCTGAACAGCTCAACATGCAGGTCATAGAGGCAAGGAAGACGAAGCTCGGCGTGGACCATCCCGACACGCTGACGAGTATGGCCAACCTGGCATCGACGTATAGGAACCAGGGCCGATGGGATGAGGCGGAACAGCTCGACGTGCAGGTCATGGAGACTCGCAAGACGAAGCTCGGTGTGGACCATCCCGACACGCTGACGAGTATGGCCAACCTGGCATCGACGTATTGGAACCAGGGCCGATGGGAGGCGGTGGAACAGCTCGACGTGCAGGTCATGGAGACTCGCAAGACGAAGCTCGGCGTGGACCATCCTGACACGCTGACGAGTATGGCCAACCTGGCATCGACGTATAGGAGCCAGGGCCGATGGGAGGAGGCGGAACAGCTCTTCGTGCAGGTCATGGAGACTCGCAAGATGAAGCTCGGCGTGGACCATCCTGACACGCTGACGAGTATGGCCAACCTCGCTTCCACCTGGAAATCCTTAGGGTATAATACCCAAGCTCTCGAGTTACTACGAGATTGCCTGGCCAGGCAGCAGCAAATACTTGGGAGCAATCATCACCATACCATATCCGGTTCTCAAACCTTGCTGGAGTGGGAAACAGAGATGTTGGATATTGGTAATAAATGAGCAAGGTACTTGAATATACTATTTTTCCGTCACAATGGAGCTAGCGTAGTGGTGTAATTTTATAGAATAATTTTGGAATCATAATAGACTTCATATAGGGTGCGCGAAAGAGCTTGCCGGTATGATCCTGGCTAGCAGACTCTAGTGGCATATTCATGTTCAGAGTATTTCGAGAGATTGCAATTACCCACAGCAGCCAGCACATGCTCGCAAGAATCGACGGTATACCGTATACTGCGGATGATCTACTCGAGAGAGTCTTCATTCTTTATCTATACATATCACGATTTTCTAATTAGGCCTCAGGAAAACGTTCTGAGTCAACCGGTGAAATGGATCTCGAATCCGCTGTAGCCATGCTACATCTCCTCTATAGCCACGCCGGCATGCCGGAAACGGCCCTTTGCGCTTTTCTCCCTCGCGCCGACGACATCAACACACCAGTCGAGGAAGGTATCAAATCCTTGGTCAGGATTACCTTCATAGGACTGCCAATTTCGCCGAATGAAGGCTTTCAACTCAGCAAAGAACTCCTCAATAGGATTCAAGTCCGGTGAATATGGAGGCAAGTACACCAACTTTACCCCGGCTTCCGAGCACATCCCTTCTATTCGGTCTGAGTGATGAAATGATGCATTGTCCATGACTAACACAGACTTCGGCTCTGGCCACTTCCCACAGTGCTGCAGAAGCTGCTCAATAAAGTCCTCAAAGACGACGGCATCGGTTGAGCCCTGGAACACTCGAGACATAACAATACCATCTTGGGCATAGGCGGGTAGTATCTGATATCTCTGATCACGATGGAATTTGGACACTTGAATTGGCGCTATACCCAGTGGGGACCAACCTGTTCGCCTGAAGCCTATCCTCTTATCACATCCAGACTCATCCACATAGACAAGGTGGTAAGACTGAAAGTCTGAGATATAGTGAAAGTATTCGTCACGGAGCTCTAGGTTGCGCTCTCGGGCCATGACGCGGGCAGTCTTTTTTGACCAGCCTTTGGACCTAAGGGCACGACTGATGCTTGCTTTCGTCGCGAGAAGAGCGAATTCGTCCCACAGGAAAACCGCCATCTCGTCGAGGTACAAGGTAGGTTTCTCGAGCAGGTGCTCGCATAACGCGTCGAGCATGACTGGAGTGATGTTACGGGGTCGTCCGCCCTTATTAGGCGGTGCTTTCACGCTGCCAAATACGTATATTAGAAGAGATTCTTCGAATACTACTCTTGTTGCATCCAGCAGCCTCTGCCATCTCCGAAACAGATAGTTCCCCACTGTGGATCATGTCATAAATAAGCTCATGCTTGGAAGCAGCTAGGTTTGGAGCCATCTTTGGTTCGACCACTTGTGATTGATTGTTAAGATGAGGCGTCCCGAGGAAGTCTATGTTGGAGGAGGGGTAATGAGGTACCGGATGTATTGAATTTACAAGCGAATACGTTCCCGTAATTAATGTGTAAATTACGTAAGAAGCAATACAACGTTGAATTGACAGGGGTACTTCGGAGAACTCTTAAAATAGACTAGTGGATCTTGGTGGTGGGTCTAGAGAATCTCTCGAAGTGTGTAGGAAGGTGCACCGGTTTCGAGACGCACTGTATACAATCTTTGTGTTGCATGTGTTGTGTACTGGTCCAGCACAAGAAAGAGTTAAACGATCTGCGTAAAAGTGAGAGAAGCGCACCTGTTGCACCAGTGTACCAATCTCCTCCCGCCATGGCTCTTCCAAACAAGGAAACATAATAAATTATGGTACAGTACAGTACTGTAGTCACTGAGTGCAGGTGTACAGGGAAAATACACTGTGATCATTTGAAAACTCGCGTACACGAGCTAGCTATAGGTACGATTCCGTACGAACAGGATTTATTGTCAATTACTAGCTACGTACTGTACAATAGTGGTAGGCGTACTGTACTCTGCTGTTGAAGAAGGATGGAAATTTGTTTTGCTCTGGAATACTACAGAATTGTATATGCTGCACGTAGATGGGAAAAGAGGAAGCCATTGGCTAGAGAAGAAAGCACTCTGGGTCAGCTGACGGGAAGGCGGCGGAGACAAATTTGGTAATTAGCGAATAAGAAAGCATGAAAATACTGATTGAATAGTACTTCCCCGTGCAGCCAACTTAGGTGCAAGAACCAAGTAACGATTTTGTCTACTTTTTACCAGAGGTTCACCGCCGGTATCCTCTCAATCCAAGATTATAGAGATATAAGGGCGTTGTAGATCATGCTAGGTCTTACGACGGAAGTAAAGCGTAACGGTCGGATTTCGCTGTCGATAACCGAGAGGCTACACGTGGTGCTTTCATCTGGAAACAAAACAAGCGCAAAAGCACAAGGCTACTCGCTAATTAGCTACGAAGCTCGATGGGGGCCCATCATGCCGATGCTGCGGTTAGGTCGAATCAGGAAAGTAGTGGCGCGAGCCTGGGCGATGTTTCTTGTCTGAGTCGCCCGGTACCCACATCTGCACTGCTCATCACCAACACTGATTTCCACTCCTGACTGGCGCAGTAGTTCTCCTAATGAGTCAGTCGTTCAACGTTGATCTCATAATTTTCATATCTCAGCTGCACTGTTTATCACAACATTAATTTCAACTCCTGATTGGCGTATTATTTCTCCTAATGACTCAGTCATTCAATACTCACTGATTTCCGTTCCTAATTAGCGCATTCTTTCTCTTAGTGAATTAGCCGTTCAACGTTGGTTTCGCCATTTTCGGGTCCAGAGCGAGCCAAGGTTCAGGTTCAGGTTCTACTTACTCAGTTAAATCGTCTTTTTTTGTAATTTTAATAATCAATAATAAAAAGAACTAATACGAAATCTAGATTATACATTACTAAAAAAGGTAAATCCAGAGTCCCTAAAAGGTTTCAGGCTCTCACTTATATTTTCTATTAGGAAAGTTCGCCTAGAGAACTAGAGTGCTTATTAGCACAATTTAAGACAAGTGACGTAGTGCTTGACAGAAAATGTGAAATCTGAATTGAATAGTTAAGAATTTAGTTCTGTGCAGCACAGTACTAGCAAGCGAAAGTTTGTAGATAAAAGAAAGTCGGATCGTCTATCTAATCATCTGCGGATAGAGTCTTGTTACATAACTCTGGCACTGACTGGTTATTGAATGAAGCCCCACAATAGATTAACGACTAATTTCCAGTGCTCCAGGACAGTGCCAATGTCTCGCCTCCCCTTTCGTTTCGGGATTTCAATTGACTCCGAATGCTCGTACTTTGGGGAAAAGTCTGGATTCGAGATTTTACAGAGAACGCCACATGTTGATCATCGTCTCCGACTCTTAGTACTATACCAAAAGCGGACGGCAATAGACTGAATGTTCGTCTGGTGCGCGAATAAGAGCAGAGGCTTAAATGTTGGGTGGCGGAAACGCCGATCACATTTACGCGCTGGTAGGGTACGCCGCAATGTTTCGGAATCGCCCAAAAGACCCAGGCCGGACGTTTCGACCATTGCGCCGGAGGCCACAAAGGACAAGGCTTGTCAGTAATGGATCAGACGAGAGGATAAACGTATCAATTTACGTCCTGAATTTCATTCCCAAGAGAGTAGTCAGCAAGAGCTCCCAGAAGCGGCTTGATATATGATGTCCATAATGTCGAACCCTAACGATCTCTCGCGCCCAGTCCAGCGTATGACAGGGATTGGAACGTGGCCCCCACGGGTTGGTGAGAGGGGTAAGAAAGAAAACAGAGGCGAGGAGTCCAGGCACAGCTTTGCAAGATCTATGCAGGTCTAGACCAAGCCCTGGTTCAATCTCATCACTCGAGGGCCAGGATTCAAACCTCCGAATGATGCAAGAAAGCGGACTTCGAAGCTACGGTGATGTGCAGGGTAGATGAAATGGGCCTTGCAGGTGCACGCAAAAGCTTGCGAGTGAGTGCCGGACCCCGGCAAGGGGGCGGGGAAGGACGCGGGACAAGGGTCGACTCTCCTGTGAAAAGCGACGCTATCGCCTGACCAATTCCCCCGCCAGGCACAGCTGGACTGGGAATGACCGTCAGAGCCAATCGGCCTGGATCCATGCAAGATTTAGCTCTGTTTCTTCCCCTCGTGCCGATGCGAGCCATCGCAGATCGATGGTGTTCTCGCCTCGTATGGTATGTACCGGGGCGATCCCATGATTTAGCCGGGTCTTATTATCGAAATTAAAAGCTCATACTAGCTCAGCAGGTTTCTTACAATATAACCAGCTCAGCCCAGGCGCGGATAATCGCGGGGTCTTGATATTTTCAGAAACAGAACGTGATAATCATAACAATTAAAGTTTATTATTCCAAATACTTCATTCACTCCATCTTGTCACGTGATCTTCCTGCAATGCGCAGGCCGCAGGCCATATGGCCGCATCGGCGATTACGCACCGGGCCGAGGAATTCCCGAAATAGTGTAATTGCATGGCGTAAGAGGCTTACTTAGTAAACCGGCCTTAATCGCCAGAAAAGCTCATCCGAATGACGCTACCTATGCCCTGCGCACCTGAAATATGACCAACAGAAAGGCCCATGCCGGCTTAGTACTTTTGTCTGGCTTTGGCGACTGATCGCGCTAACTCGAGCGCTGTCAAATACACCCAAAGGAGTAATTCGAACGAGACTTGCCAAGGTTTGGATCTCTCCCAGCCCCTTGATCATGGAAAGGTGCCGAATGCAGCAGGGATTGCTTTGGCTCGATTTTTCGCCACGAGCCTGCTTTGCCCTGGAAATCTTGCTGCACAGAGAGAAAGAAAAACCAAGTCACGCCAGTGACCTGGACACGAGCGTGATATGAGGGCCACTGGGAAATCAATCATCCCAGTAGAGAGATAAGTAGCTGCTACTCCAAAGCATGGCCTTTTAGATGCGGACTTCAAGATCATAGCATAAATAAACCAAAATACTCCATTCCGGGTGAGTCGGATCACATCAGCATCTTCGTTGGCAGGTTGTTGGCAGGAGCAGACGCAGGCTCACCAATAACGTCGAGTTTGCAGCCGCTGTTGGAATCTAAAGTTTTCGGGTGTAACCATCAATTTCGCCTCTCTGGACTAAATTTTGGAACACTGCCGCCGGGAAGGACTACCAAGGCACTAGTTCGACCATGTGAATCATGTACACTTCCGTACATTTGTCAAACGTTTTTACTCTTCCCCGGTCATCTTGGCGGCTTACGAACTGGATCTTTCAAGGAACTAGTAAATTACCAGGTGGTAGCGTTAAACGTTCAACTTGGGGAGCCCACCGACCGGGAACGTTGCCTTTTGCAGTACAAAAAGCCGGTTGTTCATCGAATGGAGAATTCGGTTTAGTTGAATCTGTTCAAAGTATTTGAGGGGTCGGCGTATATCACGGTAATCTACCTTAGCTGGTGCATCTTCACCGCAGATTGCACTGTACGACACCTTGTGAAATATGGAGTTTGTTTTTAATACTTCGAATTTTAATACTTCGAATGCGAGCCGCTGCAACCCATGCCGAATATTGCATAGAGCCTGTAACAAAGACAGCCCGTGCGATAGCTGTATACGACGCGGCCGACCCGAAGAGTGTATCCCAGCAAAAAATATTATAAGACGATCCAGGTATTTGGAAGATGTCTCTTCATCTTACCAATCCATGAACGTCAGGAACGTTGGCAATTCGAATTTCTTGGATGAAATGGGACTGCCGGAGGAGCCAAGCTACGCCGAAGATACACATTATGTAACCTCTTTTGACGATCAAATCTTGTCTTATGATTTCCTTTCAGCTACCACGCTGGATGGACTTCGACATACATTGCCCTCACCTGCTGTCATAGAGATAGTGAAAAGAGAATTCTTTCGCCACGTGGTGCTGTACTCATCCTCAAGTCAACACGTGGAGAAATGGTCTAATTCTGACGTATTGTCTAATAGGAACCACATATTTTGTATCCCCATGAGTTTGAAGCAGAATTTGAGCAAAACATGGGGGAATTAGACCCATTGAGCCCTGGATGGATGGCCTTATTATTTGCGGTCCTCTCATTCGGCTCCATCCTATCAGCCAAGCAGAGAAGTGATCTGGACACCACATTAAAAAGCCTATCATTTCAGTACGACTATATTGCATGTCGATGCGTGGCCCTTGTTGAATTCGACTTATGGGGATCTGTAAGGGCTATGATAGTTCTTCTTTATTTGCGAATAGGGATTAGCCACCAGCACGCACGGCTATTCAGGCTAACTGAAGGTCTCGCTCTAGCTCACTTCTTTCACCATCCATATGAGCATGAACGAAATACTCGCATTCAGTCCGACCTTCGGTTATTGGGAAACGTGATGGGTCTCAGAAATCATGCGTGATTGTGCCTGGATCGAACAGTCTACAAATTTCAGCAATGCGAAAACTTGAGGAATTGTTCAAAACTCGGGGTGCAACAGCCTTTATCGACGAAATAGTGGTGCTGTAGTTTACATTGCTGTATTTTGGCTTTTTTTAACCATAATACTTCATTTTCTCTCAATATTGTACTGCCCCCACTAGTGCCATACGTCGACTCTTTGAATATTATGCAATTACCTACCTGGGCGAGCGCGTTACACCCACCTAGCGCATCCACGACCTGAGCATATGTTAGTTAGGGATTTAGTCTTAGTTTTCTCAATAATTTTTATATCGCTGAGATCAAAATGCCATTTCCAACCTTCTCCCCGCTGCTTTCCACCACATCCCGCCCCCAAGGCCTTACTGGAAGACACGCGCGTTGCGCGCATCAGTCCTAAAACGGAGGCATGCTGAATGACAGCATTGGCCCATACAGAGGGCTAAGAACGATAGTTCAACAGCATCGTTGAACGAAGCAAAGCTAAAACGCACAGACCTTGTTCCTGGTGGTAAACGGGTGTGATTGTTCAATTAAACAAACAAGCCTAGCCAACGGCACAGTGAAACGCTGCGTCCGGCCGACAAGGGTTCGCGACAGGCTCGGGCCTGCCGTTATTGGGAATGATCGGCATTACTATCAAAGAAAATGTCTAAGTAACGCCAATACGTTTTCGGTTGATCTATCAGTAAAGCCGTCGTAAGGTTATTGCCCGCGCACATCATATTTGGGGCGAGCCCCAGATTCCTAGTGGCATTGCTTATACATGAAATTATTATGTTCCTATGGTACAGCACCGTCAACTACAGTAGTACAGTACGATATGTGCTTAGCTGTCTCCTTCCCTTTTCCTGGAGTACAGTACTGTTAGAACCTGTCTTATGTCCTTCTAGGGCGCCAGTCATATCATAGGCTACTGGGTACCGTACTGTAGCGGTCTTCGGGCACATAGCCTCTTATGCGTCCCAAGCCATTATCAACGGATAGCCGCCGGCCCCTTCCCCGCCTGCTAGCGGGATGCCCACTTTCTCAGGGAACCTCGTTATTGGCTCAATCAAGTGGACTTCCTCCAGGCTCATTCAAAATACCTCTACATCGCTAGCACAATAGTATTCGAGCAAGGCACGTAAAAGACAGAGGAGGATGTTGAACTTGTTGACCGTAAAATTTGGAATTTGAAAACCCAGGATCATACTGTACTGTCCACGTTCGGTAAACATGGCTCCAGAATCATAAAAGTTCCCATCGCAGAGCAACTTGTACCGCACATAGGCTTTCGCCATCTGAAACGATGGATACAATCACTATTGTTCGCGAAATTGGCAGAAAACGAGCAGCTAACCAATTCTACCGCACCTGCCATTTCCTGCTACAGGAGCTACGGCGACGGGTGCTCGACATCAACGACGAACTTATCCTACTTCAATGCGAGCCATTGTGTACACCGATTACCCTGCATGCTATGCGCAACTTATCACATGCTCTAGAAAAAGCGGTTGATGAGGGGTTGAGAACGGAGTCGATAGCTCTTGAAACCCTAGAAAGTCTCCAACCAAAGAGCAGCACATGACTATTCTCTCAGATGATGAACTCTGATATACAGTACTTTTGCGATGTCGCTCTGATCTACTCCATTCAGCTCCAAAAGTTGAGCTTTAGGGCCAACGGTGACCACCTTCATAGGTCCTAAATATGTCAGTGATTTCCTGAATAGGTCACATGTTTCCTGGTACCGTACAGGGAGAGAGGAGAAGCAATAAATAATTCCAAATCATGGCCTATTACCAGCTTTCTCTCATAATCTAGCCCTAGTAAAATAATTCTTTTTATTTTCGGCCAAGATAAAATTCCTTGTCGAAAGCGCACATTTTTCCTATCTGGTCAATCTCTTTGAGTTTCCCCTCACGAGCGTAGTCCTAGATGCTTCTAGACCCTGTGCCACCTTCTCTGGTTACCACTGGGATCCATGCTCCGGCACTCTACCCAGTTGACCGTTATTCCAGCGGCATAGCCCATCATAAAGCCCGTTCATTCGTGTTCCCAAACTGCAAACGTTCTTTCCTACATGTCACCTACTACAGACGATATGATGAGAAAGTCCCCTACAGAGGAGCAAGAAAAAAGTGCAATGAGGCTGTTGAACAGACTGACCTCTATTGTTGGGGACAAGTCAACTCTGGTACGTATTCCAACTGCTACAGAGCAGTATCGCCATACTGTCACTTCACTAAAATTTGTAAAGGACCACCTGATGAAAGGTCATGCCACATGCAATAAGTTATTTCACGAATTCCATGTTATTTGCCTGCAGCTACTGCAAATACATTCCCAGGCAATGTCTATACTGGAGTTAGACGAAGATTTGAACAAAGCTATTCGCAATCTCGGTATAAACCCCGACGAAATCGAGTTGTGTCACCCTCAAAGCGGCTCTGCCAGTTCCCCTTCGTCCCTTTCAAGAGGTGACCATACCGCTGTTCTACAGCCCCAGCCATTGAACAGACCTTCTTCTATGAACAACCAGCCTCTTCATTTGCGTCCTGCTGGTTTCACCTCCACAATGCAGCAGCCCCCAGTTTCAAACATGGCACAGTCCCAACAGCCGCATCCTGCCGGGACCGAAAGAGGGTTCAACGGCCTACAGAACAGAGCTTCCTTTGTTCGAGCTCCGCCTCAAGTTACAGCACAGAGCATGGGCCTTTATAGAAATGAGCAAGAGTGGAATATGGAACGTCTGGCGGATATTTTCAAATGATAAGTTCGTCGTTGCTGGATTTGCTTTAGTGTGAGACTGCTACTGTTGTTGTACACTACAGTCAGTCCGACTTTCCCATCAGTCTATTACTGTATACAGCACTATACTCGTCAATTTTATTTTATTTTCGTTCCTACCCATGATGGAACCAAACAACTGGTCACAATACCTGGCAGAGGTGACAGCGGCGGGGGTTGAGAAAGAACCTATGGCCTGGGTTCAGGCTCTTGAGTCAGCTGCGGATAATGGATATGACGGGTCAGTCTATACTGTACTACATATTGAAAGTTTCGCTAAGCAACAGAAGCGATACGAGGGACTGTGCAAGTTATAGGTGATTAATGATGCTTTAAATCCTGTATAGAACGAGGCTGAAAGGTTGACTATCATAATCACCCCTCCGAAGACCAGATATCAAGTAGGTGTGATATTTTGTCATATTGTAACCGAGTCAGAATAAGAATTATTCTAAGCCAGAATACAGTAAGCTATGTGAAAGTGTCCAACAGTCTGCTCTCCCACTCCCTGCGATAAAGTATAATATTATGCATTACTGTGCTGCCACTAACCATCCTCTAGGGCCCAGAAAAATATCCGGTCAGTAGAATGACGCTACAGTCCACGTGAAGACTCGTCTATAGATATTTTCAACTAACTATTTAAAGTGACTTGAGAAGTACTCTAGAAAGGTTAGCTGACGACTTAAATACCATCTTGAAGGCCGTTATTAACTAGAAACAATCTTAGGCACCAGAATGACATTAAGTAAAGCTGAAATGGAATGCCCAGTAAAGAAGAACTAGCTAACACCATGAAACATAGAGAAATCAAAGAGAATCTGTCTCAAAATATGGACTATATAGAGAGTTTGACGACATGGTCTAAGGAATTATTTAATAAGGTCAACGGGGTATTCGCCTCACGTCCAAAAGCCCCACAAGTGAAATAATCTCTCGTCTATCATGTGTACTATATAGTTAGTACACTATATGTGTCGGGATATATCCTCCCGTCAGAATAAGCAAAGACATGTTGTACGTAATCTTGCTAAGCTGCGGCTCCCACCGCATGGATTCAGGGGTATTTGGCCTTGACGGGAGACACATCTATCATATACACGAATCAATCAACCTTTGCTTTAGAAGCATAAACTGTTCACTTAACTGTGTACACAGGACCTAGCTGGTGATACCAACACTGATCAGTGGTTGATTGCAACCACAGAACAGCTCGGTTTACACGACCTGGAAGAGGCATTGACCGCAAGGGAACGGGGAAACGGTTGCAGTACCCTCATTGCGGAAGGTGTGCTAAAGGATATCAAAGTATCTCACTGGGAAACGGATGCAGTATCTTTGAGACACGGAGGATTTCCAAAAGATCTACAGTTGAAACCGCAACGAAGATCTGCGTCCATCACGCGAACAAGGCGTTAACGGGAAACACTTGCAGTACCGTCACGACACGCAACCTAACACTCAATTCGTTGATCCATTCCACCCACTGTTACCCTCGCCTGAACAGCCATGCTGCCAATCCCGGACAACCTCCCGTATCCCATCGAGGAGAAGACATGGGGGAAATCCGTCGATACACTGGATGAAAAGAACCAAACGGAAGGAATACTAAACGGCCATATAACTTGTGTACTACGGGCATGGAACATGATGCGCATTACCGACCGTGCCCTATGGAACGATTTTCGCGAAGAATTCGATGGATGGACTCTGGACACATTGAAGGTGGCAAGCAAAACCGCATTAAAGATGCTTCGACTTCATTTGACAACCAATGGAGTATGGATCAAGATAGCTATAGGGGTATCATACGCGAAGGGATTGTATGACTGTCTCCAGGAGGACACTCAACACGAATGGACTAAAGAAGACATCGAGGCCCATCTGAAAGAGCACCCAGATAACTTCAACTCCAGATGGAACCCTGCACGCGGCCAATCATCGACTATCCACCTAAATGCCCCAGCAGCACGAGCTATTTCGGTAAACCCACCAGATCTCCAAACCCCACAACCTAGTATTGCGAAACCACACGTCGAGCGAACCGACCATGGATGGGAAGAAGCCAGATCCACAACGCTCGACACAGCCTATACGGGCAGCCACATACAGCAACAACCTAGTTACGACAGAGCCCAACAAAATACCCAAGATATGCCGCTACCGAGAATGGTCGAAGCAATCACGAGGCAATATAGTAATACGGACGACAAGTACGGTGGAGGACTGTATGACGACCTCAACACGAAATTGGTCAGGTTCTACGACATCTGTGAAAAGATCGGCCTACGGGAACATCAATTCCATATTGCGTTCTCGCTTATGCTCAAAGGGAAAGCAGAGAAGTTTTATTTCACAAGGATCAAGGGGAAGGCAAAAGATTTTCCGACAATGGTAGAGATGATGAGGGCCCACTTTGACACAGAAGAAAACCGTCAAAGATCTATCACTGAATGGAGAGAGGCCACCTTTCCGAGAATAATTGCACAGAATCCGGAGAAGTCGCGCTCGGAATGCCTCGAGATACTGTTCGAAACACTCGAGAAGATCCAGCCAGGATTGCCCCCAGAACACCGGTCGGAGACGACCCTACGGGAACAAACTATAAATGCCTGCAGAGGTGTCGAGGAATGCAAATTCTCTATATATAGGCCGGCGAGCACCTTGGAAGGAGTACAAGCTGAACTGCGATCAGCAGTTGCCAATGCGACTCTTTCATCACAGTCGGGGCAATTTCAAGCTCATGAGGAGTACGACGTGCATGATCAACATTGGACTGACCGCACATACGGAGGGAGAGGTCGCGGGTACAGCCGTGGAGGTTACAACCAGCGCAGAGGAAGCTATGGATACGGGAGCAACCGTGAACTCACTCCCTTTCGTGGATCAGGACCGCGAGGAGGCTACCGCGGAAGTCCACGGGGCAATCAAGGATCCCGCCAAGGGAGATGCTATGTCTGTGGACGACCAGGATGCTGGTCGAAGTATCATACCGGAGAAGAACGAAAACGATCCCTCGACAATTTCCGCCAGCAACACTACTTCACGACGGGCCAGACAGCCACCCCACAGGACTTCCAAATGTTCATCAGCGACTTTGAAGGCACGGAGAAGATCGAAGGGCTAGACGACAGCGATAGTCATGACCCTACCCAGATGCTTGCAACTATAACTATTGAGGATGATGAGCACGAGGGGTTCGTGACTGAACTCGGAGAAGTCGATGGAACAAGAATGATATCCATCCTGAACGATCAGGCAGTATACCACTTCTTCACCAAGGACGACATTTTTCAGCAGCGACAAGCCGACGGGCAGGCTATGGAAGTGTTCACACTCGATAACCGATATTCATCCGACACGTTCCAAGGCATCATGCCAGACACTGGAGCCTCTGGGGTTTCGTCCGCTGGAGAACCTCAATTCAGGGCATTATGCAAGCTTGACCCCAAAGTCAAGCTCAATACATTTCGGGCTGCGGAACAGAAGATCAAATTCGGAGACGGGGATCCAAAACCCTCTTTAGGGACTGCTGATGTCGATACCCCGATTGGCACCATTACGTTTCATATCCTACCCACGAACACACCATTCCTCTTCTGCCTCAAGGACATGGATGCTATGGGGGTGGAGCTCCGAAACAAGAAAAACGTGCTCGAGAGAGGAGACAAGAGAGTACCCATCGTACGTAAATGGGGACACCCATGGATGTTGCTGCACAATCTAGAGGAGATAGCAGCATGGAGCCACCTTACCGAAACGGAACTACGACAACTCCACCGACGTTTCGGACACCCATCAGTGCGGAGATTAACTCGAATCCTTCAACGCGCTGGGCACGACGTAAATTCACAGTGCGTGGACTATCTCACGAAATTCTGCCACCATTGCCAGATGAAAGGTAAATCCCCAGGACGATTCAAGTTTACCCTGAAAGATGACTATGAATTCAACTACTCAGTTATCGTCGACGTCTTATACCTCGAAGGAAAACCCGTTTTACAAGTCATCGATGCAGCCACATCGTTTGGCGCTGCGAGATTTCTGAGAGATATGTCTGCACGCAATTCTTGGGACACACTTCGTGCATGCTGGATCGATACCTACCAGGGACCACCGGACTATGTTGTACACGACGCGGGGACGAACTTCATATCTACAGAGTTCAAGCAGCTTGCATCTTCAATGTCGATCAAGGTCAAGGAGGTCCCCGTGGAAGCCCACAACAGCGTGGGGAAAGTGGAACGATACCATGCACCACTGCGCCGCGCCTACGAAATTCTCAGGGAAGAGCTCAAGGACGAGAATATTGACAGGGAAATGATTCTGCAGATGGCTGTGAAAGCTGTCAACGACTCAGCCGGACCGGATGGAATTATTCCAACATTGCTTGTCTTTGGGGCATACCCGAGAATGACCGAAATGGATCCACCATCACCCTCGGTAGTCAAGAGAGCTGAGGCTATCCGTGCTGCAACCAAAGAGGTCCGTCGCCTACATGCGGAACGCCAGGTGAATGATGCTCTTGCCATCCGCAACGGGCCCAATATCATCACTACGTTGAACCTACCATTACAATCAGATGTTCGAGTCTGGCGCGAGAAAGGTGGATGGAAGGGCCCATACAAGCTCTTAGCGGTGAATGGAGAGACTTGCACCGTTGATATGCCACACGGTCCTACGAATTTCCGGTCAACCATTGTCAAGCCCTACTACAGGGAAGAGTGCCCAGAGGCGGAAAGAGGACAACGACATGTGAGGGAAGACGGTGACCAAGAGGATAAAACCGTTGATGCGAAAAACACGGAAGAGCCCGACAAACCGACTGAGACCCAACGGCGAGGCCGAGGACGACCGCCAGGATCGAAGAACAAGCCGAAGCCGCAGGTAACCGTGCGGCGGAGCACTCGACAGAATGCTGCTAATCCTCAAGATCTCGAGGATCAGTTCATCAATACTATCCTGGAAGAACAGGATGTCTCAATGGCGCTCATGACAAACAAGGAACGAGCCGACATGGAACTGTCTATCAAGTTGAGGAGCGAAGGGGTCATCACGACCCCAGGATTACCATTCGATCAATCTCGGAACGAGGAGATTGATGGACTGATAGCGAGAGGCGTGTTCGACTTCGTACAATACAACCCAATCAAGCACGCTGGCATACGCATCTTCAATTCGCGCCTAGTCAACGAGATCAAGGGCAAGGCTACGGGTGCGCCCTTCGAGAAGTCACGACTTGTTATCCAGGCCTACAATGATGAAGGAAAGGGGATGATTCTCACGCAATCCCCAACCATCCAGCGAGCCAGCCAACGAGTTATCGTTGCACTGGCCCCGTCACTGAGAGAGAAGGGCATCAGTCTGTCGATCCGGGACATTACACAGGCATATGTCCAGTCAACGACCTCATTGAACCGACTGATTCTGGCACATCTCCCTAAGGAGACCAAGAGCGAGTTCCCGACAGGCACAATCATGGTAGTGCGGAAGCCGTTATACGGAATCCCTGAAGCCGGAACCCATTGGTGGGCAACGTACCACAAGCACCACCGGGAAAGGCTCGGGATGGTCACATCTACTTACGACCCATGCTTGTTGATCTCAACAGCGAAAGGAGCTTTCGGTGTTGTCGGAATGCAAACCGATGACACTCTGATTTTAGGGTCCGACGAGTTTGCCAAGCTTGAAGAAAAGGAATTAGTGGAGGCAAAGTTCAGCGCTAAGCCCAAGGATACACTATCTCCAGAGGGCCCGCTGATATTCAATGGCTGCGTCCTGACACAAAATGATGGAGACGTTGCCGTTGAGTTACGCCAGAAGGAGCAGGGTAAGAGACTCAAGCCCATCGACCACAAATCTACGGATTTCAAGCACGTATACATGGAACAACGTGCTCGCGGGGCGTACATTGCAACGATCTGCCAGCCGGAAGCTGCATTCGACCTATCCGTTGCCGCCCAACACCAGGATCCTACGGAAGCCGACGTCAACGCGTTGAACAAACGCATCATGTGGCAAATGAAGAACCTGGACAGGGGCATCAAATACATCGCGATAGACCTATCAACTGCGAAGCTCTTCGTATTCGTCGATGGATCATTCGCAAACAACAAAGATTTCAGCTCCCAGATCGGATATGAGATCATCCTCGCAAACGAGTCCACAAAGAATGAGGAATTTGAGATCACCGGAAACTTAATCCATTGGAGCTCAACCAAGAGCAAACGCGTCACCAGGAGCGTCCTGGCATCGGAGATCTATGGGATGGTGGGAGGTGTCGACATGGCAATTGCAATCGGCACAACAATCAAGATGATCATGGACCAACTTGGTTTTGAGAAGATCCCTACCATTGTATGCACGGATTCATACTCTCTCTACGAATGCCTCGTCAAACTCGGAACCACCAAGGAGAAGCGCCTCATGATCGACATCATGGCACTTCGCCAGTCATACGAGCGAAGAGAGATAATGGAAATAAGGTGGATCAACGGGAGCGACAACCCAGCGGATGCAATGACCAAAGCAGACCCCAACAAGGCCTTGGAGAAGTTCATCAGCACAAACACCTTACGAGTGCGAGTTGAGGGATGGGTGGAGAGACAATAGGATGCTATCGTGAGACCTACAGATGCAAGGAAGGTACAGTATGATCGAAGTCGTTTTTGTTCGTTCGCTTTTGCTCGTTCGCTTTATTCGTTTTGTTCGTTCGTTCATTTCCTACTGGGGACACTGGGCCTTTGCACAAAAGAAAAGTTGCCAGTGTCGGGATATATCCTCCCGTCAGAATAAGCAAAGACATGTTGTACGTAATCTTGCTAAGCTGCGGCTCCCACCGCATGGATTCAGGGGTATTTGGCCTTGACGGGAGACACATCTATCATATACACGAATCAATCAACCTTTGCTTTAGAAGCATAAACTGTTCACTTAACTGTGTACACAGGACCTAGCTGGTGATACCAACAATATGAGCTGACGTTGGGAAATATACAGTATTAATTAGTCAGTACCCATGTTAATGTCAAATGTCCTACTGTAATTTGCAGTGCTGCTGCATTGTAACATTCTTCGTACCTCTCCATATCAAGTAGTATAGTACATGAAGCTAAACGGCACCTTTCTAAATATCAAGAGTTACACTAACACCCATACGGTATGCGTTTAGAGACATTATTCGATATAAGTAAAATTGAACAGTACTTTACAGTACGAACGACCATACTTTGATAGTAGTCACAATTTTCTAAGGATACATAGCTTAGCGGCTCCATTTTAAAGAAAACTTGAGCTTTGATTCGCCATACTTGTTATATCACGGGATTAAATCTAAACAGACCATTGTCAGGAATAGAAACTAAGCGAAGGTCCGCAAACTATTATTCAAATATATTTTGGCCATTGCCTGGTATATTAAAGGATGTCTGTGTTTTACAGCCAGTAAGCGTCAAGATGACAGAATGACATAAAATATCTCCCTGGTTATAGTAACAGGGTCTCTACAATACTTTCTCTAGTATGCTTATCCTTTAACTGAGCCCAGAGCGGTAAATCATCTGCTAGCGAGGGCCTTGGTAGAAGCTGGATACATCACAAACACATCACTGTACATAATGATCCTCCACAAGAGCGCATTCGAATTCACTCACTGAAATTTGATCTTCCAAATGAGCTACTCAAATCCTCATTACGTCTCTTCCCGACTTGGTAAAGCTTATCATTCTCACCAGGGTTACCCAAATGTAGGTTTTCCGAATGCGCTAAAAGTATCATTGCTACGTTGCATTTGCCTTTGCCGAAGCTCATCATCCTCACCAGGGTACCCAAATGAAGGTTTTGTGAATGCGCTAAAAGTATCCTTGCTACGTTGCATTTGCCTTTGCCGAAGCTCATCATCCCGCTTTCTGGCCAAGGATTCTCGAGTCCACTCTTCCTCTCCTTTGCTAAAAAGTAAGGTCGAATGGAAAAGGCCCCATTTCATTTCGCAACTCCATCCTGGCTTCAGGGACCAATCGAGGTGGAAGATTTCCTTATCAGTACTCGATTGGAATTTATCAGAGAGAGGGTATCGTTTGGGCCTTCGCACACGACCTTTTTTGCCGGCTTCACGCCTCCACGCTAGAATAACGAAGTTAGATATATCAACAAATACCAAAAAAAACATATTGTTAACCCACGAAATTGTATATGTAGATTTTTACCCATTTCTCACTCTGTTTCGAAGCCCTCTAGGAGTTTTTGAGAATATGACAGATCTAAATATTGGACTGTAATCTGGGCTCCAATGATATGTTCAAAAGTTGGGTAGCTAGCTAACTCGGGGTTGAAGAAGGGCTTTTTATATTAAAAATGGTTGAGATGACTCCTCATATAACCAGGCCGGAGTTAAAGTCAGGAAACTCAGGAGCAATGAATAGAATTGAAATAGAGGGTAATTCAAGTCACAAAGGATGTAGTTTTATGACTTCGTGTATTGACACGGTCGGTGGAAAGAAAGAGAGTGCGAGAGGTCATCTTCGACACGCAGGCTTGAAGATAGATATTTGCAGAACTTGGACCCAATTTTTGGCTGGCCTAGAATAATCTGCTTATCCTGCAGTATCGCCATGGCCACCACTAGTGCCACCACCACCACTACTTCCTCCACTCGGCGTACTGCAAACCTTAAGAATTTCAATGAGAAACTGATCGGGTTAGCTTAAAGTTATAGACGTATTCTTTGAGACCCACGTTTTCGGAATTGCAGCATAGAGTTTGGCCCTTGCACGAGCTGCCCACTATAGACTGATTAGCGTATCCCGAAGCAAAAAAGAAACGCGAGGAGGTAGCGTACAGCTTTCACACCCAACTCCGATGTCAATAGTTTTACCTAGAATGTTGACAGGGACCAGAATCTGACAGCATTTTGGAGTCTGTTTACCACTGGAGCATGTAATGGAATTTTTTCTCTCGGTTAGTGGAGACGCAATAACGCTGCTAGCCATAGTAGCAAGTATAAAGTGAGGGAGTAGCATTTTGCCTGATTTTCGGTAAACCTATATGATGGTTGATTATCGCATAAAATATCATTCCTGTTCACCAGACATAATACATTCTTATATTCTGAATTAATTTGAAGGCCCAGTCTGGATCTCTGAGTAAGGGTCTTAATTCTTGGGAACACGTTCATGGCGTTGGTTCATGGCTTGTGAACCGGCGAACTACTCTTGGGCCTTGTGACGTTAGATGAGTAAGCATACGCTAATATAGTCATCAGTTGTACGTCTCGACCAATACATATCATCGCGATTCGTATAATTAATTGAATCAGCTCAACTCAGGTTCAATATTATTCTGGTCTATGGCACGCACAGTCTAGACCAAGGCTATCCCGAGCGCTCTATAATATTTAGAGTGGACAAAATGCCACGAAAACGATCACAAATATGAATAATACTGCTTGATTAACTCAGCACTGTTACCACCATCTATCTATTAATATGAGGCTGGAAATTATTATTCTTGGAACTACAGTCGCTGCCCTCGCGTCCTCGCTCGCCCAACGAGATAGCTCCATTACGTGTTCCAGTGGCAACCAGACGCCAAAATGCTGTCAGATCCTGGTTCCAGTCAATGTATTAGGGAAAACCGTTGACATCGGAGTGGGATGTGTTAACTGTAAGCAATATCCTCATATTTTTCCGCCACTATCCTTAGTGAACGCTGACCGGTTCTTTAGTGGGCAGCTCGTGCAAGGGTCAAACCCTATGCTGCAATACCGAAAATGTGAGACTTAAACATGACGTCGATGAGGTGAAGCTAACCTGGACAGTTTTTGATTGACATCCTGAACGTTTGCACGGAGCCAAGTGGAGGAAGCGGTGGCGGAAGTGGTACTGGTCATGGTCAAGGTGGTTGATTGTGCACTGACCCACCTTTCGCGCCATACGGGGATACAAAGATGCTGGCGGAATTAATTACGATGAATTGTGCTAAGATTGCTTTGTTTTCAAAAGAGCTCTCAAGAATGAAATGGGCAAATCGCGCATCTTGAGAACAAAACTAAGGGATTTAAATATAAGGGTCTCTTGGCAATACAGTCTGACAGGGGCTCTTCCGGGAAAGGCTAAAATTAGACTAGCGTGTTTCAAGCGAGGCCTCGGGAATGAAAGTCTAAGAGTTTAGTGGTAAATCTGATTTCGAATATTACTGTACTATACAATAATCAATCCGAATCAGAAGAAAAGTATGAAACGTTTGGATTATATGTAAAAGACAGTGGGCGTGAATTCACCCGGAAAAGTCGTACTATCGTTGAAACTACAATGACATAGACAATTGCTCCTGCAATTGTACCGAATATAAGAGCCGCAACTCGAGGGCTCAATGAATGTGACTCGGATCCTGTCGAAACTCGAACCGTGGGTTCGATGTCGGATGTAGTTGTTGGAAATTCTATGTCCTGTGTTGTAATGTACGTCACCCGATGTGATGAGTCCCATCTGTCTGTTGTTTTGCCACAAGTGCCGCTAGTATAGTTTCTGCCACTTGTCTCAAGTGGTATGCCCAGTCGCGTTGAGTCTGGAGATGTCCTTCTTCCTTGATCGCTCGGAGAAGGTATGATGGGATAGAACGAAGTGATGTCCCTGAAAGTCGATTGGTCGTGGTCAGCTGGTCGTAACGGCGGTCTATTCTCGGTCGACGACTGGCCAGCCGACTCAGGAGTGAGTGTAAATAAGTTAATAGAATATATCAGTCCATGACTGTTGATGCAAGGAATGTCTCGGCATGGTAGTCGAGAACAAAGTTTAGTCACACTACGGCTCCTCAAAATGGGTCCAGTACTAGAACTCATTTGCGTCAATTAGGCTTGAACTGCAGTATAATGATTAATTATGAGCGTACGGCAAACTTATCCTTGCTGGGAAAGTTTAATCAATTACTCAAGAGTCCGTTGAACAAAATCAGGGATAAAAATATCGCTCTGGCATCTCGATACAGTGCAGTGTATTTTATTCGCTGTAGAATGAAAATCCTCACAGATTTTTTATGGAGGCCGTACCTTTTGAGATTCTACACAGGGTACTCCATTTTGTAGGGCCCCTAAAGCTTACTATTAGTAACTCCTTTTCTAACTTCCACTCCACGATAGATGGATTCATCCCACCGTCAAGCTCTCAGCATTACCTGCAGCTGGATTCGACTTGCCACTATTCCGCTAGTTTTCAAGCGGATTTTCCTCCGGCCAGAGAGTGAGTGGAATTTGAACCGACTGATCATTCCCTCTATTCCGCTTCCAAGGCACATACTCAAACATGTTCGCGAGCTGGAAATACAGATTTCCATCTCCTACGTTGTTCAAAATCGGTGTGGCTATCACTTTACAATGCCGTACTACCCGCAAGATAATCTCGAAATGGACCTTGGACTCCATGCCGACTTTCTAGAACCTCTATCGGCGCAACTCTGCCCTGTTCTCAGAATGTTACCTCTACATTCGATCAAGCATTTTAGGTATGTTGTGCGATACATGACATATATTCACTGTAGTTTTCTCTAACAAGTGTCTCTTTTTTAGATGGAATATTGGCTGCTGTGTTCCAATTGTGACTTTCATCCAGCTTATCGAAAACCAACGGCTACTGACAAAGGTATCGATATTGCTGGATGGAAGCTGCAGCTTGGCCCAAGAATGTGAATTGCTGTTAGTTTCTCTAGCGGAAAAGATGGACTTTCACCTAGAAATCAATATATTGTAGTGCCGGTGAGCTTGTTATAGTAAAGTGGAACCTCTAAAAATGTGATCAATCCGACTACTTCTTACACTAGGATTCGAGAACAGTTTCCCCTGCGAAGACTTAGAGTTCTCTCGCAGAGTTTGCTTAAAACAACTTTTACAATAGAACGATCTGGCTGTAAATTGCTCTAGAAACTATTGGCCATTCTTTTACATACAGCTTATGGTATTACGTTCTTGTCTCGTTTCGGGTACAAACCGAGAAACAACACGTGTGTGTTCGGAGGGGAAACTGTTTTCGAATTTCTCTGTAGCGCATAATGTACTGAATATGGGCCTTTCGCTTGATATCACTGCCGATGAGAGAAGACTACAGTGCAGGGAAACTGGCCAATTAGCGTCATGAGGTCTCGGGTGCGGGTGTATAATGAGCCTTTCACCGAGACTCATCTGAGGGTGCAGAAATTCAGTAAACAGTCTAAGCTTAGTCGTTAATCTATTGCAAAACTTCAATCGATGGCTAGTAAGTGCCAGAGTCTATCTGCAGATAGCTTTAGAATACTGTAACGTTAAATAAGCGGTCCGACTTCCTTTTGTATACTGTACAGACTTTTGCTTGCTAATACTGTACTGCACTGAACTAAATTTATAACTACTCACTTCGAATTCCACATTTTATACAAAAGGAAGTCGGACCGCTTGGTAATACTGTACTGCACTGAACTAAATTTATAACTATTCACTTCGAATTCCACATTTTCCGTTGGGTACGACGTCATTTGTCTTGTAATATGGTATTAAGCACTCTAGTTCACTGGGCGAACTTTCCTAATAGAAAATATAACTGAGAGCCTGAAACTTTCTAGTGACTCTGGAATTGCTTTTTTGGTACTGTAATTTAAAATCCACATATCATCTTAATTGATTTTACTATTGAGTTAGAATTACAAAAAAGGACGTTTTAATTGAGGAAATAGAACCTGAATTTGAACCTTGACTTGCTTGGGCTCGAAAATGGCGAAATTAACGATGAACGGCTAATCCACTAAGAGAAAGAACGCGATAATCTGGAGTGGAAATCAATGCTGGTGATGCACACTGCAGCTAAAATACGAAAATGACGAAATCAGCGTTCAACGACTGACTCGCTAGTACGTAATCAAGAACTCAAATTAATGTTGGTAATTAACACTGCAGCTTAAATCTGAAAATGGCAAGACCAACGTTGAACGGCTAGTTTATTAAGAGAAATAATACCACCAATCAAGAATAGAATTCAGTGTTGGTGATGAACACTGCAGCTGGAAGCTGGAAATGCCAAGACCAACGTTGAACAGCTAATTTATTAGGAGAAATAATACACCAATCAAGAACTCAAATCAATGTTGGTGATGAACACTGCAGCTAGAGTCTGAAATTGGCAATACCAACGTTGAACAGCTAGTTTATTAAGAGAAATAATACCACCAATCAAGAATAGAATTCAGTGTTGGTGATGAACACTGCAGCTGGAAGCTGAAATTGGCAATACCAACGTTGAACAGCTAGTTTATTTAGATTAATAATACCACCAATCAAGAATAGGAATCAGTGTTGGTGATGAACACTGCAGCTTAAATCTGAAAATGGCAAGACCAACGTTGAACGGCTAGTTTATTAAGAGAAATAATACGCCAATCAAGAATAGGAATCAGTGTTGGTGATGAACACTGCAGCTGGAAGCTGAAAATGGCAAGACCAACGTTGAACAGCTCATTTATTTAGATTAATAATACCACCAATCAAGAATAGGAATCAATGTTGGTGATGAACACTGCAGCTTAAATCTGAAAATGGCAAGACCAACGTTGAACAGCTCATTTATTTAGATTAATAATACACCAATCAAGAATAGGAATCAATGTTGGTGATGAACACTGCAGCTGGAAGCTGGAAATGCCAAGACCAACGTTGAACAGCTAATTTATTAGGAGAAATAATACACCAATCAAGAATAGGAATCAATGTTGGTGATGAACACTGCAGCTGGAAGCTGAAAATGGCAAGACCAACGTTGAACAGCTAATTTATTAGGAGAAATAATACACCAATCAAGAACTGAAATCAATGTTGGTGATGAACACTGCAGCTGGAAGCTGGAAATGCCAAGACCAACGTTGAACAGCTCATTTATTTAGATTAATAATACACCAATCAAGAATAGAAATCAGTGTTGGTGATGAGCAGTGCCGATGTGGGTCCCGGCGGCAGCCAAGACGCACCACCCACGCTTGCGCCCCTAATTCCCTGATTCGACCTAGCATCGACATGGGCATTAGGTACCGCGAATTAGCTTACAGCTAATAGCGCGCAGCCTTGTACTTTTGCGTCTGTTCCGTTTCACGATGAGATCGTTTGCACTTCTTGCAGCCTCTTCGCTGTCGGTGAAACTCGACCGTGAAGCCTTACTTCCGAGTACGGATATTGACACGTGATGTCACATGACTAGCGTTCTTCGTCGGGAGCAAATTCTAAGCATTGTGGGTACCAGCCGCCATAGGTTTGAATAGTGATCTGCCACACAAATATATATCCTAGTGTACTAACAACCAACGGACTTTTTCCCACGCAATTGGCCAACAGAGTATATAAATTTAAGAGCAAACTTCAATAGCTACATTGAAACCAGACAGTTCTGCTTAGTAGTCTATTTACTGCGGTGTGTCCCTAGTGGACGTATCTTCACCCTTATTCTGTTGAGCCTTGCCCTCTGTTGTAGTTCTACACTCTTGTATCTTCCATACTGGTATCTTGCCCTGAAACGAACGAAGTGAGAGTAAGGGTATTAATCAACATGGATGTACGTGTGCGCGAGAACGTGGTAAAAAAGGGTTTACGATTCATATATGGACTGTCTTGCCACGCGCTTCTCTGATTCGCCCGTTCTGATGCCTCCACATTACCTTTTTCGGACTGGCATCTGGTGGCTTTAGGGTTGTAGGGTTATATCTGCAGGCATATGCAAGTTCTTGCTCTCCTATTGCCTCGTGGCCTCGTCGCTTGTTGGCTTTGCAGTGATCGAACTTTATATTATTGCCACTGAGATCCCTATTTTCTTCCCCGTGCTTCACTTTTCTACCTCAAAATCCGTATTTTAATCTGGTCTAGCTCTCTTATGCTATGCTCAACCTGCGCTCTTAAAATGATTGTATACTTATCGCCAAGCGCGTCTATTATGAATGATTCTAACACGGAGCTATTATTGTTGACGCTTATCTCATTCACGGTCAAATATTAATACTTATTCTCGCACGCGTTACCACATTCGGGGAAAGACTTTATATGCTGATATAAGTTAGTTGCCAATCCAAATATGAGACCAGCGATCCGAAGCTTTGCTTATGTCATTTTGCATTTCGGTTATTACTCATCTACGAGACTCTTCCCATTGGCCCATTCGGATTCAAACTCATCTCCGCTTTATCCAAAACGCTCCGACGCTGCTTTTCGCTTCCAATTTCTATTGCCCCCTGACTTTCGTTTCAGGGCCGATGCGTGCAACGCGCGCGTCTTCAAGTAAACTACTGGTATTCATTACCTGGCTAGGTACCACCCATCTTGCTTACGCGCTATCTAAATATGGATTAGCATATCATGTGATTAGGGTTTGACAGATAATTCCTCTGTTCCCATAATGGAGGGCGAAACTCCACCCGTCCTGGTTGCGAAAAGAGCTCATATTTGCATTTATGGGTCGCAAAGGTCCGAGCCGCTTAGATGAGATATGGTATCAGACTTGGATATTGGCGGTTAATTTAAAGATTGAAGAAGATTTTACAATAAGCCTCATACAGAAGCTCCTAAGGCTATACATGACTGTTGTGATATGAGGCTGGTGCAGATCAGGAACTAAGCCGAACCATCGGAATTAATCCGAGATATCTATACGAACAACCAAGTTGATTGGAAATCAACTTGTTCTTCTCGTTGTATATGTGTAGCCTAATGTTTCCCTCTGAACAATAAACAATAAAATACCTCCGAACTACAACAATGACGGTAGAAAGGGTGGAAAGTGCAGATGAAGGGCGGCGCAATGCATTGACAAAGTGTATAATCCAGTTGAGAGACCAAATTCTATGGTTAGTAAATGGTCAAGCAGGAAAGGAAGACTCTCAAGTTTGCCGATGTTTTGGAAAACGAGTTGAAGTTGGAAGGCATATCTGATGGAAAGAGTACCATATTTGAAGAGACGCTGCGCTAGAAACAAATCATGTGAAGAGAAGTGTCGCTGCCCTCTTTAGATACTGCTTTGTATCTTAGGAGCAAGGAATGAACGTATTTGCTCTCATTTCAAATAGCCTGTTCTAAATCGCAACAAGGAGAGGTAGTTGTTGTTTTGGGTTGGTGATTTACTAAGGCGCATTAAAATCTGACGTGCAAGAAGGAGTTTCATTTCAATAAAAGAGCAGACTTCAATACAAAAATCTTCAGATCCAACGGTAAATGAAACGAGGAAGAATTTGAACCACAAGATGGAAAACAGTAGAGTAATTGCCTTTCAGCTTGGTTAACCAAAGTTCTAGTACTCCATGTCATCAGTATCGATCTGAGCAAGAGCTGCCGAAGGGATCGGCTGTAGTAGCTGAGGACGAGACAGCAGTAGTACAGTACCCAAAGATGGTTCTGATTCAGTAGTAGAGATCGAATCAGATGTAATCGTCGAGAACGAGCCCGACTTAGCTGCCGACAGATTACGAAGCTGGCGAGGAAGAGGAAGAAGCCTTCGAAGCTGCGGGGCTCGAAGACGGACCTGCGCTTGTACTATTCAAGGACATATATCCAGACGCGCTGCATGAACTTCCAGTATTGAGCCCATTATCAAGCGTGCAGTTAGCTTTGTCGCCGTTCATATTGAAAAAGGTAACCTCTCCTGTCTTCTCTACCCTGATCCAAGCTTCATTTTTGCCGTCAATCTTTCCACATGTTGCGACATCGATATAAGACAAGCCAAGGCGAATTTCATCAACGACCACTGTGAAATCTGAGAAAATTGTTATCAACCATTCGATAATTAATCATGACTTTAAATTTGCTGTACAAACCTGAACAGTCCTTTCCGTTAAATGTTGTAAAAGATGCGGAGTAGCCAGTGCAACCATGGACATCCTTGGTGTATATTTTGCACCCACGGTCTTCCTCAATGACCTGAAAAACTCCTCCTAGGCAAGTGCGCATAAAGATGCCAGCGATGAGTGCGGGGATTGCAAAATGCATGATGGAGTCGGTATCGGTGAGAATGAAAATTGTGATGAGAGGTGAAATATTATCTTATGGCATTAGATTCAGCAACTACAGTACTCCTAGGTCGGCCGGAGGGATTTGGGAGTTTCTTAGAACTGCTGAACAACTTTAGATATTTATATTTACAGATTACTTACCACATCCAGCTATATTAGCGATATCAGTGGTTATTAGGTTGATCACAGACCGGCAGTCGCATCGATCGGGATAACTTCGGAGCTATTTTTCGCCCTTATCAACGATAGATGTTGAAGAGTGGAAGTACGTTGAACGGCATGAACATCACAAATACAGGCGTGCCAAGGTCGCAGTCGTGTTATCCTCGTCTAACCATACCGTTCAAAAGGTCTAGACAGGGATTTTATTGAGTCTAACTTTTCAAGGTTAATATGGTCTTGGCAGTTGGGGTTGGGAAAGAAAGAGCGTGTGTAAAAGAGCAAAGCAAATTTGCAAGCTACTGCTATGACTCTTCTTGGGTCAACAAGTGATACTATAGTAGCGCCCAGGAAACTTTCCGCCTGCTGCGCAGTGGCTCATTGCTGTATAGGGAGGGCCTCATGCGAACAATTCTAATGTAAATACTGACCTCTATAACCTCTGATTTTGACTTAGAAAGCTCCAAACCGTACAGTTTTACTGCCCACCAGATTGCTAATATACAATACGCTACAGTACAGTCGAGAGAACTAACTACTCTGCACTGTACAATATTGTCGTCAAACGAGACCATAATGGTCTTCAGTCCTTCATCTAGTATCTATAGCCGATCCACGGGCTCATTGGAGCTTCAGCTTGTGCCTATAACACAACCTGCGAAGCCGAGAGGATTCAATATACCCGACCGTCCTGAAATTAGGGAAATCGATCATGTTATTGGGGACTCACTTGGATTCAGTACGGCCCTCGAGGCAAGCCCTATTCGGCTACAAAGTGCAAAGAAGCAAGGCAGGTTGTCGCAACGAGAGTTAAAGGATTTCAGTGAGAAGGAGCTCATGAGTCTACAATGGGAAAACGAATTCTTTGAGGTTTGCACCGAGACTTGGAGGAAATTGGCAACGAGCATACGCAATATCTCGCAGGATATGGAATCGGAATGTCACGCTCGGCTCCTGGATATGTACCTTTCCCCGCAATCCGCCCAATTCGATAATAGCTTCCTCGGCGAAAAGATTGAGAGCATTGATACTGCTCTTAAGAACTCTCATCTCAGAGAAAAGGAAGCCGCCAGGGAATGGAAAGCTCACTGGGGCCCATCACGAGAGATCACTTCTTGGATTTGAGGGCACCTTCATCACCGTAAGTGATTGAGTAGAATAATGACGCCCTGCTATGAACAAATTTCAACGTTTTTAGTCCCTCAATTTGTATTGTAACAGCAGTTGAACATTAGGAAACCTCTTAAATCCCATTTACTAGTCTATTTAGCTAAAAAAAAATCCCACGTATGTCATCCTATCCTTTCGAATTACAATAATCACCATGGCCAACGAAACGACAACTCGTAGTGATAGAACGCGGCAAGAGCAAATCAGGAAGCGTCGCCACAATCTCTTCAAAAGGATCAAGGAATTCAATGATCGCTATCAAATAGAGACGTGGCTCGTGATGCGAATGCCAAGTGGCTGGATTTATACATTCAACACTAATGATGAGAAAGCTCCAACTGAAGAGGAACTAGTATGTAATGAATGCACTAACTTGAGAATTCACTTGCTAATTTGGTTTCTAGGCCGAGAGTAAAAAGCCAGTCGTTCGAAAATGCCCTGAAGACTATGAGTCGAAAGAGGACTACAGCATCCGTGTGCGTAGCCCACCGCCATTCACTTTCCAACGTCCAACGTACAAAAAGTCTCAAAAGCTAGATTCTATTGAACATTTAATTGAGAGATTTGATTGAAGATTTTGAGCTCATGTACAATAGTTCAACATTACTTTAGCATGATAAAGAAAACTTTGAAACGTGACTGGAGTACTACAGTATCATACATGTTCTAGATTTCAAAAAAAGCACGGTAAAAAGTAGCCTATTATATGGAACAGCATTTAAATCCAAGGTCACAGAAATAATGTAATGTACATGCAGTACATCAGTACTTAGGGGTAATAATTTACCAGCTCTCTAGTACATGTAATGAATGCATGAATAAACCCGCTTCGAATTTCATAGAAATCACTCTTGGTCTGTATATACGTCAGTCTCAGTCATCGTGAGAGGATCCTGTTCCAAATCTGTATTATCTTTCTTCCAATTTGGTCATATGTGCCATTTATGGGGTTTGTTCCATTCTTGTGTATTGTCCTAATCTTGCGTTCAACTCGTGTTCGGGGTTTAATTCTGAGCGGTTAAATGAGCGGTTAACTCAGCAGAATCTAACTTCAGACATGACAAGCTACCCAACTTTTGAACATACTATTTGAGCCAAAATTACTGTTGAATATCTCGATCTTACATATCACTCAGAATTACCAGAGAGCTTTGAAACAAAGTGAGAGATGGGTAAAAATCTTCACATCCAATTTCGTGGATCAACCTTATGTTTATCGGTATTTGTTGATAGATCTAACTTCGTCATTCTAGCTTGGAGGCGTGAAGCCAACAAGAAAGGTCGCAAGCGAAGGCCTCAACGATACCCTCTTTCTGACGACGATTTTCAATCAAGCATTGATCAGGAAATCTTCAACATTGATTGGTCATTGGGGCCAGGATGGAGTTGCGAAACGGCAGGGGGCATTTTTGATCGGACTTTAGTTTTTATCAAGGGAGACGAAAGGTGAACTAAACCTTCCTTGGCTAGAAAACGGGTTGATGAGCTTCGTCAAAAACAAGAGAGCCGATTCGGAAAACCTATATTTGGGACATAAGGGATTTTCCAAAGAAGCCCCAGATTATTGTAGTTCGGTGAATTTGGATGCACTATCATAGTTATACACCGTATAAGATTTATTTGCGATATATGGCCATCTATTGAGCTATTTGCTACTGTTATTACAGTAGATGATGATGATGATGATTTCATTTACCCTGACCCCTCACCTCAACGGTGATATGCAGGCTACCTCAACTATATATATCCCTGTCCGTACATGTAGATTGTCCCACTTCCTGATAACGAACTTAGAGCCTCGTCACGGCCTGCCGTGGCCTAATTGCCGCTTCCACTGTTAGGCTGCCCTAGTGGCGCGCGACTGCGAAACCGTTGTGACGCCTCGGCGAAGTCCAATACGGCCTGGACCGTCTTCGCCCTCGAGACGGTGTCTGGTTTACCTTGCTCACCTTGTTTTGAGCCTCCCAGCAGACTCGACACGCTGTTGAACGCATCCCCCACTTTCTGTCTCAGTTCCCTTCGTAGATCCTTCAATATTGGGCAATCTACCAGGACATGGGTCACTGTTTCTTGCGCGCCGCACACGCACTGATCGTCTTCGCGGAACCGAAAGAGCTTAGCGTAGGTGGATAGCCAGTTATGGCCCGTGCGTAGCTGAGTCAACAAGTATGCCTGGCCCCTGGCCAGATTTCCATACAACTTCCTGGTGTATGCCGACGGCAGAGTGTTATCGATCTTCCTCAGATGGCCACCCTTATTGGTTGATCTCCACTCATGTTCCCACTGGGCGATGATATTACTACGAATGGACGCCTTTTCTCTTGTGAGCAGCGGCCGGAAGGAGTGTGATTTGCCTGGGCTGGCGGCCTCCTTCGCCAATCGATCTGCGGCTTCATTGCCTGGGTTATCACAATGCCCTGGCACCCACTGCAGGCGTAGTGCAACGCCTGCGGCTTGGACCTCAGTGGCGGCGTGGTGGATTGCATGAACAATCCGTTGTCCTGACCCAAAAGACATTAAGTAGCTTCGACAGGCCTACTTGCATAGACCACTACCCCAGTTTTTCACCCGATAATGAGGCTTCTGGACTCTCGAGGTTCACCAGGCCTCTCACCCTGGGTGTCTCTTAGTTTGCTCCTTAAGCATACATCACGGGCAGGCCAACTAGGACGACACCGCTTCAACCGACCGAGGTCAGTGTCAGGCCCCCAGTGCGAGTGAGGTAGTTGACTCCCGTCTCTTTGTACACCGACACGCGCATCCGTCCTCTCAGGCTATACAGACAGTCTCTTGACAGGGCCCACCCCTGCCACAGTGGCTGCCATTGTACACCACGCCCCGCGAAAGCTTGCGCTCTCGTTTCGCGTTACCTAGGGAGGTCTCCCTCCACTAGGCCGACCGTGTCTTGCAGAGAGCCCTCGTATACACTCCAGCCGGCAGTGTATGTCGGTTGCTCCCTACTAACCAAGCTTGGTCCCCAGCGACTGAACAGGGCCGATGATTTACCCGTGGCACAGCCTTAACGAGCTTCATCAGTTGCCATCAGCCAACCACCAATATCTTCCAGATTGCCCGTGTGTCTCCCAAGAGGGTTGCCCGTGTCTCGGCGGTGCCCGTGTCTCGCAGAACAGCCGTGCTAGAGCTTACCCGTAGCTTCGCCTTAACGAGGTCTCCAGCGAACGACGTCTCCGAGCCTTAACGAGTTCGAGTCTTAACGAGGCCTCTGGGCCTTGAACGAGGTCTGTCCGATGTTAGCTTGACTGCCTGCGTCGCTGGTTCACTACCGCCTCGCCGCATCTCGCACGATGCGATCCCAGACCGTATACAAGCTCAGGGGTGTCCTGTCTTCTTCCTAGGGCGACACCACTTCGACTGGTAATGCAAGACCAGCGTCTGGGCCCGAGTGCGAGTCGGGTAAGAAGAAGTCGGATGGTTTTCATATGCCGTTTTCCCCTGATTTTTGGTGTGGTTGTGCGGTCGTGCCCGCGCCCACCGCGCCGGGCCGGACCGCACAACCACGGCGGATTCACTTTGGTCTCCCCAACGGGGATTAACACCGGACACCACGAGAAGGTATGAATCCATTGTCCCAACAGCCTGGCGAGGACTGTCGCCCAGTGCGAGCTCACTGGGGGCCGATTGATACAGTACTTCCCGAAACTGGTGTCACCACTTACACTCTAAAATTGTTTCTCAAACCCTAATTGCTAAGACAGACTAGTCTATATTGGGAGTTATTCCGGAATATCCCTGTCAGCGGGCCCTGTATTGTTTCTTACGTGGAGTAATCTTGATACGTAGCGGGGTGTATTCACGTGTAATTTGATACAGTCGACACCTCAATACCCCACTTTAGAAGCTGTCCCTTGGAACGGCAGATCTTAACAATCAATCACGAGTGGTCGCACCAAGACGGCACCCAACCTAGCTCCTTCAAAGCATGATCTTATACAAGACATGCTCCACAGTGGGTCTCAGGAAATTCCAACTATATGAGCGGCTTCTTAATGCCACGATGAATACTGTAGGTCAACGTTGGCCTTGTGGCTGATTCTTCTCACGCATACTCCTTACTCCCTCCGAGCTTCCAGTTGTGGGGCTTCATCTGCATGTCTTCCTTTCAAGATTGTCTCACTCTTTGCTATACTGGCTTCGGTTTTACAGTATTATTAAACGCTGAGAGATATGTCTACTTGTTTCGTTAGCATTTATAATCCGATACCTCGTAAACAGAGGCTTCTGACAGCTTTGATGCATTATTTCAGACAAACTCACCCACACCTGGGGGATATTATCAAAGAATACGAAGACTTCTCATTCTGATACACTTGACTTAATAAAATAATAGACCGCATAAGAACTTTTCCTCCGAAGAAAGAACCAACGGAGACGAAACGTTACACAGCATATCTAATCTCACTTATCTCTTACTCCCGCCACTCGCTTGAGATCATTATAAGCCAACATCGATATCTCAACGATCCTCTCGATATCTTTCATTGAATTAAAGCTGATGTGCAGTGGACCTTGTAGCTTCTTTTCGATATCACCTTCGGAAACCCAATTCCGACCCGCACTTTTTCCGAAGACTTTCAATCCAGTACTTGTAACTTCCAGCCATTTGGACGACGAAGCTGGGATCCAATAGCACCATTCAACTTTTGATGGGCCTTCGTTCTTGGTACCACGTGGGTATATTCTCTCATTATCTGGGTCATAATTTGGATCACGCGGTACGGTGGAGAAGAGTACGCGAGCAGCTGGGACTAGAGCACTTTGCCCTCTGGATTCAACGCAAACCATACACGCATCGTAGAGCATGTCGTGGTTATGAGTCGTACCGGCAAGCCAGCATGCGCTTCTGAGAAGTGTATCGCCAATAACGTGGATAATTCGGATGTCATCCATAGTTGTAGGAATTTCCCAGTCGTTATCGATCAATTCCTGGGGTATTTGGGAGTAACATTCTGGCATCGAATCCAGCACGTTACTGATACTGCCCGAGCGAAGATCTTCCTCGATCTTCATATGCGTTTTAATGTCCGATTCATATGAGAACTTCCCCCTTCGATGAATGTTCATTTGGCATCTTGACAATGACAACATCAGCATCTGGATTTTCCTTATCTCGAAGTCCTGTAAATCTGAGTAAACCTTTGACGAAGGTGGTATTGTTGTGGGCTTATCAGCATCCTCCGCCAGCCAAAAGAACAGGAAGCGGAGGAAAAGCCAGAGGAGTTGAAAGCCTGTCCAGATGATGATGACATTTTCGTTTTGTGTATTAAGCAGTGCGTAGCCATGGACGAGCGAGTAAGTATAAACAGCAGCTCCGAAAATCCAGGCAGGCTTCCACAATAATGACCGACGCTGATTTTGCGGAACTCCTAAACAAATTCGACGCCCTCCAGAGCCTGGCTGTCCAAACCTTGGTAAGTTTCCGACAACAACATCAATTGTACGGTTGTGTTGATTCCTGAATGATGTCGATAAGTTTGACATGATGATAATGAACAAAGAGTAAATGAAAAACACTAGCCAGCTTAGTGCACTTAGCAGACCAAGGCCAGCCGCGTCATAACACAGAAGGACAATGAACTCAGCAATTTTGATTGCCGAAGTGAGCAGGCTGAGAACTTCGTTCAGCCAATTATGTTTTTGAAAATATATTGGGTCAATTCTGTGACGAGAAATTATTTCTGTTTCGTTTTCTTTGAATTCCGGAGCGTCTTGTACAATGTGGTTTGTGAACTCATCCAACTTATATATTGCTTGCTGGGTTCCATTTTTGACCTTGAACGTATAATATATATCAGGCAATTGTATCAAGAAACAAATTATTCAGTCCTACTTACCAGGACACCTATGCACCCATTTTCACCGAGATCAAGTTTGGCTTTATTATTGTAATCAGGGACAAGACTCAGAATCAGCCCTATCTCTGAATCGGTTGAATCGCTTCTTATTTTGAAAATTTCGCGCATCCAATCAGGAAATGCAGCAGCAACACAGGTTTTAATCACTGAGGCAGCGCTGAATATGCTCATAGCAGCCCATGGGAAACCAGGAGCGCCTCTTTTCCCCAATACTAATAGGTCGGCCGTTGCCGGGGGAAATATAGCCGCAGCTGGAGCAATCTGGGCTATGATTTTGGCAACTGGGGTTGCAAGGTTGATACCCATGGCTTGCTTCTTCACTGTTGCAAATCAAGGTATAGATATCACTGAAAGTAGAGAAGGCTATCACAAAACTATTGGGCCACAGAATCATAGCTATATAGTCTTTGCATGGTTCCTTTAATACTTCTCAATGAGTCCCATTGATGTCATGTCAGTTGACACTGTCTGTAATATCGCAAGGCTGATCCATCCTTGGCCGCAAACAGCCGGCACGCTAGCCCTGTGACCTCCACGTTTGAAAGGGCAGTGTTCACCCGTATTGTTGCCAGGTTGCGAATTTAGGTTCGTTACGGAAGTCAAAATTGAATGTTTCAAGAATAGAAATTTGCTTATGGACGACGCCCTTTTGGCCTGGGCCGAAATTCTTTAGATTGATCCTATTGTCATGAAGCAAGACTGGAAACTCGTCGGAAGGACGGCAAGCGTGCGTGGATCTCGCCCAACAACGTGACGTTGGGGTGATGATTAGACCTTGGAGGAACCACTGGCCTCTCAACGGGTGGGCCTATCCACCTCAGTTTCTGGAACTAAGTTTCGAGAGTCCGTAAGTAGTGCTGTAACGCCATAGTCAGATCCCAACGGCCACAAGGAAATAAAGTTGAATTGCTGAGGAGAACTAGCAGGCCAGGGATAGACAGACTAAGTGAGGTTCTTGAGCAGCTCTGGCTGAAGTGTTTGATTTGTTTGTGCCACATGGAAGTAGGGATGGCAAAATGAAATTTCAAAATTTCGAAATTCCCGAAATTTGGCCTCTTGAAATGAAATTTGAAATCGACCTTGAAATCTTGAAATCATACTAGTCCCAAATAGGTAGGTCTCATACTGTACTGACCAATTAAAAGCCAGGTATCTTCGACTTTACATGGCGATAAGTGGCAGGAATTACCATCCCTCAGCTTGCTCGAATGAGAGAATGATGACTCATCAACGCCAAGATATTTTGAAATGAAATTGAAATGCAAAAAAAAAGTGAAATTTCAATATTTCGAAATAGGTTGGCCAATTTCGAAATTACAACAACCCTAGGAAGCTTTTAGTTGCTGGTAGGTCGCCAATACCGAAACAAAACCAAGGTACCGTATTTGAATCTGAGTACTATATGTATTATGTTGTATTATTGAAATTTACAGGAATATCAATAATCCGAAGTTTTTCTTAATATAAACTAGCTGGCTTAACTAATAGAGTTTGAAAAAAGTTTAAGAGTGAAAGTGGTGGCACCAGTTTCGGGACGGACTGTACGAGAACTTGCAACTTCCGATTTTCTTTTTCACCCTAGTATGTACCAATGCAACCGAATAATGTAGCTACTCCGTAAATTTCACCTTCCGCACTAAATCTTCTACAGCAAGTTTGATTGCTGCGATACTAGGTACGCTGTATTTTACGGTGGCTTTCAACTTAGTGTGGTCTGACCATTACAAGACATGCGCTAGGGTCTTGGCAGTGGGGCCTGGGATAAGAAAAGCAGCCCGCAAGGTGGAAGCCGTTCTCGCTATCGACTATACAGTAAAATAACATCTTTTAAGAACTTGAATATCTAGGATTTATTCTCCGGGAATCAGGTCTAAGGAGTGCAGGGTCAAAAGGAATTCGAAAACTACTGTACTGTGCTCGAATAATGGGCTAAGGGGGATGACGGATGATCTAACACCGTTTTCCGGAAATACTGTTTAAAGATAGAGTTCATGAATCTCATTATATGATCAGCCAATAGCTTTCAATTCAACAGGTTTAACGCGTTCATATGGTGCTGATTGACAATGTCGCGCACGATGAGTAACGTTTGGATGCTGGCTTGGTGTGCAGAATTGATTACTCATTATTTGATGTATTGGTAGATCGAATTGGGGGCATATTGAACTGTTCGTATTGTATAAATCGGGTGGTAAACGCGTGCGGTGTAGGAGTGGTAAGCGGATGATTTGGTGGGCGGCGTGTTAAACCGGTCAAATAGGTACTTTCAAACTTTTGCAACGCCACTGTAAGTGGTGTTATGTACCGATTCCAGAAGTGCTGTATTGAGTAAATTCCGGTGCTGGAACCAAATTCATACAAAATTTGTCGAAGCATCGATTCCAACCCTCTTTGGAAGGGAATGGCTGGCCGTGGATGCCGGAATGACGAATGGCCTAGTACTGTAGCCGTTGTTGTTTGCTGCCCTGATGGCGCGCAAATTTGAAACTGTTGGGGCCCCTTCGCGAAATCCAAGACAACTACCACCGTCTTGACACGTTAACCACTCTCAGACTTACCTTACCCCTTCAGGTCCTCCCAGATGGGTGGATACGCTGTTGAACGCATCTCCGACCTTCTCCCGAAGCTGTCGGCGTAGGTTCTCGGACTATAGGGAAGTACAGCAAAACATCCGATGCCCTCTCTCGCTCCCCGCAGATGATGCACCGGTCACTGTCACGGAAGGAGATATTGTATTACAGTGACTCTCGAAATCGGCTTGACCAATACACACTGGTTAACTATTTTATCGTCCAACGCCAAGCCCTTAGCGCCGATTTTTATTGAACGGTTGGTATTAAATTGAGGCCCGCCAAGATGCGGATTTGTGGTGAATATTCATTTTACATGATAGAGCTCTTCCTGTTAACGCGTATTTTGATGATAATTCTAAATCTTGATGGATGGCCAAACCGTCACATTTACGAGGCCGCTCTCATTTAGGGTGCTAGAGCAACGAATGATCTGTGCTAAGGTCTTTCTCATAGGGCCAGAGAAAGGATATCGAGTGTGTGAAGATCAAGATGACTTCGAGGATAGCTGTAGATCACTGTACTACACTTTACTGTGGATTGTAACCGAGACATTTTTTTTGCCACGAAATAGATGCAAAGAAGTACGGTGTATAGTACATAGTTTGCATATTTAGGAATTTCAGTTATACTTTATACTGTTCGGTAGATTATAATAAAAACGAAGTACATAACCTTCAATTTGGACTAATACTGTACTTTAAAGATACACCCAGAATTTTCGGGATCCATTGATGCTGACTGCAGTATTAAAAACGACACAAATGGGTAAACTGGGAGCTTGTTTGGAAAGCTCTTAACAGATGTGCCGAGAATGCAACAGATGCCGCAGCGACAATAATATGCATAACCACCAAGCTGAGATGAGAATGAACAAAGAACCCGAGTCGTTCAGGCAGGTTCATTGCATAGATGCTAGCCCCCAATAGCCACATTATATGAAGTTTCACATATTCGGCTGCGATATCATAACGGCATGCCGTTGGCTGAAATATTGCATAGATCGCTGGGAGAATTGCGATTACACACAAAAGACAACATGCCGCAATGGAATCACGGCGCATATAAGAGAACTGAACGAAGGAGCTGAACCATACGGACAGAAAAGTCATAATAAATAGCAGTGTAAGCTGAAGCAGCGGTGTATGGAAGAACTGGAAGTGCAAAAATGGAACCGAAGAAGCCCATGTCATGAATATAACACAAGCATGGGAATTCTCCTGACTTTCACCGATTTCAGTCGGACGAAGCAAAGCTAGCAAATATACGGCCATCATTCCACACAAAAAGCAAAAGACAGCAATGACATCTAATCCTGCCATGACGGCCTGTGCTAATGGACGATGGAAATATTCAATGGTCAGGCGCAAAGCGAAGAGCGCAAGCAGTGAACTGGTAATACCATGGACCAAAGACATGAAAGCATGCTTTGGGAATCGAGTTAGCTGTAGCTCAGCCATTTTGAAATTTTGATTTCGATGGTAGAAGCCATTGATGAGAATGCAATCAGCCTTATAGTCGAGGAGTTAACACCCGGGCTCTTTTTGAGCAGACAGGTTCAACGAGCCAGCGAAACTAAGTCCCCCGTCGTTGAAAGCGAGGAAGTAGAATGGAGAAAAATAAATTATCAGCGAGTTGAACATAGAACGCCAAGGAAACCTTCGTGCTATCATATATTAGCTAATTGGTGACTCTTGGTAAACTACAACTGAGAATGTATAATTTTATTACAAAAACTGCTGCGATATGCGCCACATTAGTGCAGACTAGCACTACGGAACGTGCTCATCGATATGGAAACGTGAATCTATATAATCATTGTCCGATGGCTCTCTATATAGAAGGTTATCAAGGCTCTGGGTACCCGTATCTGAGAACAACGTTACAACCACTCGCAAACATTTCAATGCCAATGAGAGAGTCCTTTAATGGCGCTGGTAACTCAATTAAGGTCGCCACATCGCAAGGGAGTCCAGATGTTCTTCAAATAGAGTATAGCGCATGCTTTGAGCCCAAGAGCACATGCGGGCCTGCAGAGCAGACCTATTATGATATCTCGAAGATAGACGGTGATCCTTTACTTGATCAAGGGACGGCGATCATACCGTCCTTTCCAGACTGTCCCAAAATTGAGTGTGCAGCCGGAGACCACCACTGCCCGAATGTATATTACCAACCCTTAGACAATTGGGCGGTCAGGGAATGCGATAGCAAATCCAATTTGAATGTTTATTTTGGGGGTATTAGATGATTACTGTGGTTTAGCATGTCTATTACTCTACAGTGCTGTAAGGTACTGTACTGTACCCATAAGATGCAAATAGTTATCCACTATAGTAAATGAAGGAGCACGGAAGCACAGAATTGCCAATGGATCTTCCAATGACATTTCGGTACTATATGGAATACTAAAACCTGCCTGCAATCTTTGACAGCCTAGCTCTGCCGCATTATTCTGCGGGTGCTATTGTAATGTAAGTTACTACGGTGCCTCTCTTCTTACCTATATGAAACTCTCAACGTAGCTAGTGATGCGGGAGAGGATGCTCGAAGCAGCACGATCAGAACGTGCGGGTCGAATGAGACAAAAATGGAGCATCACGAACCACCACCAATAGCACGCAATGTAATTGCCGGTAAATAGCACTTTGTGAGCCAGAAGTGTGTATTGAAGCTATCTCTGGTCTCCGAAACGAAGATATCTACCTCAGTAGTCCACAAGGGACTAGCCTGCTATTCCAGAATCGATTAATCGTAGTATTTTGCCTATATCAACCGATTCTCTCCAGTACTGTCCCGCCCAGGTTCGCCTTCCATGTCTTTGGACAGAGCAACGTTCTTTCAAACCCTAGTCATGTGATAAGGTAAATTACAAAACAGGTAATGACGCGCTACATTCCGCGTATTATGTATGATGCATGGAGATTCTGGATTACATATTTAATAGTCTGTCACATCGGTCGCACAAGTCGCAAATAGCGAGTCGCGAGCCAGCGAGCCACGGAGTGGTTCAGGTTGACATAATTTATTTTCAACCCTTTACTTTGAATTTGCTTTATAGTAGAGAGCTCAGTGCGTACTATTGTATCTCCGGATTCAAGGTTCGCTCAAATATACTCTCTCAACTCGTAGGAATAGACAGAATAAATGCGTCTATCGCACTTTACCTTAATCACCGCCTGTCCCTCCCAAAACCCCAGGGTTTTTAATGAGTCTTCAACCGGGGACGCGACTCATGGCGTATGTACCTGAAGGTATTAAAGCTTGTACCTTGCAAAAAATTTCCCTGACGCGAAATTATTCTCAAATTCTTATTATCATCAGGAGCCCATCTGGTCTGTTCCATGTATCAGATTGTGAGGCGGCCTCAAGCTCAATTTCCACGGTTTGTTCGAACTTCAGGCTTGTCACGATTTCATCGCTAAGTATACTTGTCGCGCCATTTGAATACATGATTAATACCTCTGTCACCTGCCTATAATTGATTGACAATTTCTCACAGATCTTCCTCATGAGGTTAATCTTCGTGAATTCCCGGAGATATATTGCGATGTAAATATCATCATCCCCCGAATACCCAGTCTCTTTGAACATACGAAAAAGTATACAGAGTGCTAAGTCATTTAGTTGCAATAGATGGATTGAGGGGTAGTTCTGGTCATACAATTTTGTACTGATTCGGATGAGCAAGGGAATGTTTCTTGCCACGCAATTTCCTCCGCTTTGGGCGTCAACTCTTGGTCAGATTGGTCAGAGAAAGAAAGCCGGGTAGCCTCATCCTGCATCTGGTAGTCGATGAAATCGGCGAATCCAGTGTCTCTCTATTTGTCAAGTGCAAGCTCATTTAATCGAAAGGAATGTCTGTTGGACTCTGCAGAGGCTATATTAGCTTTAAATTCATTCTAAGCGAATAGCTCGGTGTGAATGATATCTATACCCTTGCATTGAAACTTACATAGCGGCTCAATATTGTGGCTCTTCTGTCACCTCAGATGATAAGCATCTCATTAAAGACGATGCAAGCCTGAGGGGTTGGTTGGTCTGTCAGTCGCGTTAACCGTATGTCGCTGACCGCTCCCTATTGTGCCTATGGCAGAATGTTACGTAAACGAATTGCAGGGAACAAAATTCCGCTAGTGCCACAGTGTAGCCTTTGTAAGCCTCTGTCACGTGCAAATGTGTGTCGGTAAGGAGCGGATGTCAAATAGTCACCAGTATTGGATGTCCCGCTCCGCTCAGTTCACCGAGCCCCCCCCGATGCGAAAAGATTCAGTTTCTTTGCTTCTGAACGGCCACAGTCACGTCGTATGCATGTGCTCCATAGTTTCAGCCCTGGATGAACTTTGTGCATTTGCCTGAAGAAATCTTACTGCTAATCTGCGACCGGTTGAATACGCAGAGAGATATATATATGCTTACGAGAACCTGCCTGAAAATTTACCGGATTCTCATTGTGCAACTCTATAAGCAAAATGCTATCTACTCTAACGGCTCCGCCATGCGATGGTGTATTGTTCATGACAACTTGGAAGGTATACGACTACTGCTCGGACACGGTGCGAGGTTCAGGCCCCGCATGGCTCTTTTGCCCTTTCGATGGGATTTTGATGAGGATTTCGGAGGTGTTCTACATTTGACGAGAAGTTTGACAATCGGGAAATTCCTACTTGACCAAGGAGCTGAAGTCAATGAAGTGTCGGACTCCGGACGAACGCCTTTGCACGTCGCTGTCGAGAACGGTGACCTAGCGATGGCAGCTCTATTGCTTGAAAGTGGGGCAGACGTTAACGCTGATGGCCGCAGAGATCTGGGTCCGTCATTTTTCCACTTCACTCCGCTAAAATGTGCCCTTAAGCTTGGTTGTGATGATACCAAGCTTTCCATGGTCAAGCTGCTAATTGAATATGGAGCTAATCTGACGTTACCTCGTGGGAAATCACACCCCTTGACTTTGCTGTCACTGCTACCTGGGCCTTTCCCGTATGACTTTACACATGTCAATAACGGAACATTTGGTACACCTCGTCGTTTTGTTTATTTGTGAGGAAGGAAATTTCTTTTATATCCTGTCAAATCATGTATATGCAATCCTCTTCTGCTACTGAATATTCAGATTCTGTGCTATTATGATGCTACCTGTAGTTATTGGGTATGAATAAAAAAGTGATGACCGGACAATACAGCTCATTTTTGTAAAAAGCGTTACGTTTCAGTTAAGGAACATTACCAGTAATACGGGAGTAACCATATTTGGTTAAAACATCATGTGATTAGGGTTTGAAAGAGTGTCGCTCTGTCCAAAGACATGGAAGGCGAACCTGGGCGGGACGGTACACTAGATAAGGCGCTACAAACACTATACATGTTTACAAATCTCTCTTTAATGTATCTCCGTTGGTAAGTCGAATACGACACTTACCTGATCACGTAGAGCGGTGTCCATTGAGTAGTACCCTTTCTACATTATACTGTATTTCTTTAAGCGCAGTTGAAACTGACAAGAATATTACATTCATAAACTAAAGTATCATTCAGTAGTTCTACGCCTTTTCGATGGACTTGGCTCAGGTGACATTCGCCTACGCTTAGGATGAACATGACAACACACCCGTTGCGGCTTCCAGGTATGCCTGTGGTCCGATCTACCGAATGAAGCCTCGACCCCCTGGAATTTGAGAATCCTGGAGAGTGTGGTCGGAAATCCGTTAATCCTTTCACTGGACGTTTTACTTTTGATAGATAATGAAAATTCTTCTGATGGAGTCGAAACTGTGAATTGAACACGTTTGCGGTAGTAAGCGCATACAGTACATCCCTGGTGGTTAGTGACTGAGCCAAAATTGGCACCGGGCACCATAGCAAAGATAGGATCCTGATACTCTCTTTCAACCGCACCCAACATGTTGTCAAGGTCCCCTTTCACAAGAATAGACCCGGTGCATAGAATTCCTCGATCCGTGTGGGCTGGCTCCGTATCAAGCTCGAAGAAGAACAGGCGTGAAATAATCATTTGACAGAGTCGGTCGGGAATAGTATATGGCAGAGATACGAGATCCTTGATGCTCGTGACACTATCAAGCTGTGGTAGCCCGTCCTTTAGGTGGAGATTAAGTCTGAACACGTTTTCTTGGGCCCCACGAGGAAGATTATCATACGCGTCTTGGAATCCTTCGTTCCCGTCAACAGCAGGACCATAGATAAAAGCATGAAGTGCACGATGGATGAATCCATTCCGATGCGGTGAGCGCTTGGGGGTAAGAGAAAACCCCGTTCCAACACTGACAACCAGACTAGGCTCAACATTAGTAGGCCACATGTCTAGAGTTTCTCGTATAGCAACTCGGAGCGGACAATTTGCTCGAACACCAGCGTCCTGAAGTAATCCAATGCCAGGAAGAAACATTGGCTTGAAGTATCTACTTTTCCGTTAGCGCAGGGTTAAATTCTTCGTCCAATACGATCATACCCGAGTGCAGAAACACTACATCTCGCACTATTATGTGTTAGTAACAGACTTTGGACATCTTTTACGCACGTACGCTTGCCATAGTCGCGGTTCTTCCTCCATAGGAATGATTGTTGTGTAGGATCTCCGATAGCTATCGTGACCCAGGTGGCGATAGTTAGTCAGCAAACAAAGCTTGCCGTTTTCGTCTACCTGGCTTGCCGTTATTGCCACACTACCGCTTGTTTGTTTGGTTGGTGGAGATTGAAATAAATATCGAGAGCCTCCAAAGGCCTTCTTCAGAGCAGCATCTAATGCATTGGAGTCATACTGTGCATCTTCTAACCAGAATTTAAACATGTCCCATCCCTTTCCAACAAAAGTCAATCGCCGAGGCTGGGGAGGGAATATCTCCTCAGCAAATGATGCAAACCGTGATATTGCATCAGAGGCATTCCGCTGATCGCAGAAAATGTCGATGGCAATGAGGGCGCCTGTTGCGGTTAATGGTGGAATTACAGCATACCGAGCCACAGTTCATAGCATACCTGCGCTAGTACCTACCGTTAAATTAGGAATCTGCCACAGGGGCAAGGGTATTCGCCTTTCCAGCTCTTGTAGGAAACGGAGCGTGATAACACCACGTATACCACCACCATCAAGCGCGAAAACGATTGGAGATACTGTTGGTGGGGGGCAATGTACAATGTAATTCAAACTTTGGAAACATAAATAGCATTTGCGTAGTTGAAATGAATGGTCTAGGATCCGTGTATTGATGCCCCATAAGCGTGCACAGTTATAGCATAAGGAGTGCCCACATGGAAGAATGGCGTCTGGTCCTCGAATTAAACAGCTCAGACAAGTCGACTTCGTCTTCAATGATCTCCAGGTGGACAGCTTCGAATTGAAATATGACCGTCGTTGCTCTAGTGAGGAGGATACTGCCACTGTGGTCCATGATTGACAGAAATGGCGTAGAATCTCCTGGCAAAGATATTGAGCATGCTCTGGAAAGCCCTCAGTCCATGCATCAAAACAAATCTGTTGATAATGGGATAAAAACACCTGCTCTGGTCGGAATACTAAAGCCTGTCAGTTCAGAACTAAATTTGACAGAATGCCCCACGAACAGTGCATGTTAGGAGGGTACGCGTCCATTAACAAAGCGTTTGCAATGAAATGGACTTGTTCCTCCTGTGAAAGTGTGGTCGTGGTCGATGAGATGAAGTGTCGCAAGTGTCTTACCGCCCCCGCAGGAACGGGATTTTCCTCCCGGGCAGCGTGAACCGGCGAGAAAACTGCATCCGGCTGTTGTGTGATGATATATAACGCCTTTTTCAGTAGGGACTCGAGATGTATCATAGAAAACAGCTCATTTTCCGCATCATGAAGATCCCAGCCGGCCCGTGCATGATCAAAGAACATTGATTGGAGCGGCTGGAACCTGGCACATGGAGACATAGATTGACGGCCAGTTAGGTCAAGGGTGACCAGGCCAGATATCATCTTCTCCAGCAGAGCGCATTGTAAGTGATAGTCTATAGTCAGCGGTTTAGATGCTCGAGTCTCATTTTTGGTCTGGATGAGAGCTAATCCTGGTCGTGCTGCGAATGGCTCATAGCGGTGCGCGATATCAGCCAACCATGACCAGAGTATTTTTTGAACTTCATCTATACCCCCTAGATCATCAACAAATATATATATTGTGTGAACAAAAGGACATATTGCGCAGCTCAAAATTCTGTTTTTGCTTGCAAGGTATGACTGATTCTCGACACACCGAATTTGCCACGCAGATGCTGGAGGGATCTTCAACGAACGAGGAGAGTCATGATGATTTCCTTCAAATACTAGTATGGGTCGAGGGGTTGCACTACTATGTGCAATCATATGAAGTTTTAAAATGCCGGGAGAACAGCGCTTTTGAGTGTTACTATGCGGAAATATCGATTTCAATGCCATTGACTTTGTCGCCCCTCCGAGGAATAGACAGGTAGTCGGGTGCTGATTCAATGGGTCGTCCAGAAGCTGTATCAGCTCACGGAGTCGGCCATGGTCTACAAGAATCCAGCCATCACTGTTGGAGCGCAGTTCTAGCCATGTAGACATAGTATCAAGATTGGTTGCTTTTCACGATGTATCCCTATAGAGTGCGCATACGGACCAAGGCAATGATAACGGCGAGCGTAGGTGACCATCATTCCGAGCTGGAACTAGCCTGTGTATTTAAGAGCTCAAAGTGTATTACAAGAAAATCGAGGCTGCAAATTGACCATTATTCTCTCAAAGCAATAATTAGGACCGAAAAACCAACTTCATCCCTGAAGATACACAGTGGGCGCCCCCATCTTTCACAACATGAAGGACCGTGGATCTAGAATTAATTTGCTGATAACTTTTTATTCATTAATTGGTAGGCCTGGATTTGGAGCAGAAAGAGTGGACTCACGAAGAATGATACCCATGGCCTGAAAAAGCTCTATTACCGGCTCTTGTGTTGTTGGAAGTGATGAATCCAGTGAATAATCAGGTTCTTCCTCATACACAGGACTTTCATTATCACCAAGTGATATAAAGGTGCCTGTATCCGATGAATCTGGCGCCGAGAGTGATGAAGGTGCCATAAGCGGGGATTGCGAGTGATTCAATTCCGGGGACATAGATGAACGTATGCCAGGTTCAATATGATCGCTTATGTCTGATTCGACATCACCGGAATATAGCAAGCTATTCGATATCTGCGTGGTGTTGGGTGCTGCCCTGTTTGCTTTTGAACTAGGAGTATTTGCTTGACGGTTCAATAGTTGCGAGCCACGCTGTCGAGACGTGCGTTGGCGGAGAGATTTAGGTCTCCAACCCCACTTCATTCGGTTATATATGCCGCGAATCGATTCTGCGCTACGCCTTTTGTCGAACTTGGCTTTCCAACCCCTAGACATGTGCTTCCATGATGGGTCTTTTTGGGGGTTATCGAGAAATGCTTCTAGTATCTCTAGAAGGTACTCATATTCCTTATCTTCCCATTTCATTTTGTGGCCTGGTGAACAACAAAGAAGTCAAATAAGTAGACAACACTATTGATCTCCGTCAGAAATCCTTTTGGTGTTAAATAATCCCTTAAGAACTACCAGATGCATTTGGCCTCAAATAGAAGATGACAAATGCCCATCTTGAATTCTTGTTCCCTTTCCTGGTAAATTCTACATTTTTAGCGATCATTTCTATGCCAATCATTTTCCCTCAAAATCTCGGAAAATTAAATTAAATTACGAACAGGGCAAGGGAGCTGCGGTCGGCTTTGTTGAACGGCTATACAGGGATCTAAGAAACCAATCGGATTGTCTATCACACCAACAGCGCGTCAAGTTCCCAGATGGGCAACTAACTTTTGATTCACACCAATCAAATATCCTAGTAAATCTTGGCAACTTTTGAAAGGGAGGGGTCGCTTTCCTTGCATCGACGGGCTGGCATATGGGTACCACCCCATGCCCCCGGATTTTGAACGGAGAGAGGAAAATTCTACTCTTGACATAGACGCCAAATGTCCAAAATGGAATCCCACCGAGACATCCAGAAGCTTCATTCTACTGTCATTCTTCTGCATCTTCTAGAATCCCAGTTACGAACTCACGATGACCTGGTAAGTTCTGAAGCAATGCTTAACTGTATATAGAGCTTGGGGCGGCCTGACATTATGCAACAGCACCGATTTTTGAAGCCCGATCATGCAAGATGCGTTGCGTTAATGCAATGCTTCCGGGACTTGTGCATACGACTACTGATAGCTATACAACGTACTCGGCAGTCCCTTAGATTGGACACTCATACTCTCAGTGTGTTAGCGCGCCTTGGACTTGATTCGATTGACCCCATGATAGCCCCATCACACCAACGACAAATTTTCATGGAGGATCTACCAGTCCAACCAGAGCCACGTCAGCTACCAGCGTACAGTTCGGAACGTGTGCCTACAATAATGCCATCGACCTCCGATATTGAACTGCCACCGATTTCGAACCCACCAGAGCCAAATCTTCTACACGATCAGAACCAGACACGTCAGTACTTGACGCAAAAAAGCTACCCCTCCGATCGACCATATGAACGTAACATACATCTGGACCAGCCTGTTGCGCTTGGCAGCCAAGATAGCAATAATGATATTCTGGGCCATCAGGAGATCTTGACCGATTATAACTCTGGGGGACTGAATTTGACTGGGCAGCCGGAAGATATATTTGCAAGTCATCTGTTTTGAGCTTGAATGGAAATGGAGTTTATTAAACATCACCAAGGAGCGTGAATACCATCGAAACGGGGATTCAAACATGGACTTCGTGAAGCAAATCTGCCTTTCTGAAAGAATATCCACATTAAAAGACCGTATAAAGATTGCATATTCAGATGGCTTACTACCAACACACAAAGGGTCGCCTATTGAATATGGAAAGCTTCTTTTAGAATTCGAACGAACGCCATTAGTGTACAGTATTCTAGCACCAGGGTTTGCATGGGTTCTATTGGCGGGTTATCTCGTGCTGCCAGGCACATTTGCATCCCTGAGATCATCTAAAACCTTGAAACCAACTGCAACAAAGAACGAAATCGGATCTAATCTATATGATCATATTGAGCGCGTGCCTCTCCTATGGGCTGCTGGCATACTTTGCTGTATTGGAGTTATTGGAGAGCTCGTGATTTGCTGGAAGTTAAAAAGAAACTTAGTGTTTCTAATCAGGAAGATATTCATGTAATGATACACCAAGGACAAAAATTATATATTTACTAATCCGAGATACTGCACTAGGCCTATTGTTATCAACTCTTTCACCGGTTTGGTAAACACCCTCATCACTATCTATACCGGGGGATCGTGGTCTGTGACTGCTCGGGCGGCGGTAATTGTTACGTCCAGTTTAACTTTGGTCTGTGGCTCGGCTGTTTTGTTCTTTGAGTGGCAGTTTTCTCTTGTCAAAAGACTGTGGGATGAAGAGAAGGAAAAACGAGCGAAACGAAATGAGAATCAGAGTATCTCCCCCAGGCCGATCAACATATGCGCCGATGCCAATACGTAGACCCGTACAGTATTCAGCCAATATTCTATTAGACCTGGGGTTGGTGCACCTAGGACACAACAGTGCAGTTTTCAGAATAGTCTATACTATTTCCGTCGAGACAGTAACATATGCCGGATGAGATGTCTGTGAATCTGTAGTCAAGTACAGTACGGTAAAATAGAGAGTCAGACTTGATCAAGCACTATCGCACAAAAGCAGGGCTAGGAAAATCTTACTTCACAAAGCAGCCTAGTTGGAATAGCGCGGGCTTGCTTGTTGTTGTGGGTGTATTTAAAAATTGTGATTCCGTCTTGTTAGATAACGGGGAGCTGCTCGGGGTTGGGGGCACCGTGGGGGAGTTCAAGGCTAGATGTATTTAGATCTATCCCTTCCTGTACAGTAATGTACAGGTGAAAGAACTTACATTTTCCTGAGCCATCGGTAGATTGTCTATTATTTACCGCTGGGCAGAAATCACCGTTTCTTTTCCGAACCTCTGTAGCATATACTTCTTCAGATTGAGTGCCAAGGCTCATTGAAGGCACTAATGACAGAAGAATCTCAGAGCAAGGAACATCCGGTGGACAATTCTCTAGTGCCTCAAGTACTTGCTGACCACATTTCGGTCTCTCCAAAGTAAGCGCGTTTCCAGTTCCAATATCAAGATTAAGAGCATTCATAGAAAATGATTCGTTGTAGTAATCGCATATTGCGATAGAAAAGCGACTGGTAAGGTCCTGTGTGCTCCCAACCCGAGAGAGAAAACAGATGACCGCAAGAACCGTGTAGCTGCTCATGGTAGAAAAAATACCTTTGCCTAGAATGAGGGGTAACATTTACGGGGATTAAGTAGTTACTGTTGTTTCGAAGTTGAACACTGACTGCATGTGAACAACTATACTCGGGCCGGTTGGCGTGTGCCTAGCTCATAACGTTCAACAGGGAGAATTAGCTTCAAAATTGGGGTCGTTTCGTGCCTTGTTCTAGAACCTTCCTTGTCTAAATAGGTTAGATAACTACTGATGCTCTTTTAATGATCTTAATTACTTTAAATATTTTAGTTACGGTATGCATCATGATTTTAATGTATTAAAAATTTAGGATATTTTAATATTCCTGTTTCACTATGATACAGTACCGCACAAAGCAAAACAGTCCATTATGCTGTTCACAGTACAGTATAATAGATTACAGTATACAGGATAGGGATACTTGATAGAAGAAAAGAAAATCCAGTACAGTAATGGGATACGGATATCACGCATCCCAGCATTGAGTCCCAGTAGTCTCATTAACAGGTGATGGGTTCCATTTCCAATCTACTTGTATATTTCCAGTCTCTAGATTTGAAAAGCGCTGGAACACACTTGGGCTCACATCTAGGTGCGACGGCTCACATCCCACGCATCTATCCACAACACTAACATCAATGGACTCCTTATCATGAATCACCTTAATGCTAGAATTACAAATTGGATTGTCGTTCGGGTTGGACCCTTGTGCCATTGAATCAAATATGGTATGTGAGACAGCACAGACAAAATCCGAAGTTTGGTTAGTATATCCACAAGCTCCGATGCCAACTTCATACCACGTCAAATAGCCATGCTGAAGGCCATCTGGTTCACTGTAATATCTCAGTAATAAGTCCCAGCCCAAGGTCATTGTTGTGTCTCGAATCTAGGATTACAAACATGCTGAGACTTGTTGAAGCCAATACAAGCCACAGTGTGGTTAAAATCATGGCCAAATTGACGCTGGGTATAGGTCTAAGAGACTCAATGAAATGGAAAGACGTTTTAAATACAGCTCGCTTTTAAGCTCACCGAGACAAAATTTGAATCATATCCAGAATTTAAAGATAATCGTTCAACGCGCTACAATACATTTTTGGACTTGTACTGTACTAATATGTCTGTTGTGGCTTGAGAAAAGGTCTACAAAATATTGGAACCTATGCGTCTCCGATAAATGAAATGACTTCTTAGTGTGATAAGCCATTAATAAACTGCCTTTCAATTACTGCACTTTCATTGGTTGTAATTGTTTCGTGTTTTTAACATTACTGTGACGCCGATGATTAGAATGATGCTATTTATGTAAAGTGTCTATAGTACAGGGGTGGACGCAAACAGATTCCCGGTAGTATTAACAGCAATCATAAAGGGAACTTATTACGGTCAGGTAGGCCAAATTAAGTAGCCGAATGAAAATCTGGTTTTGAATTCATTGGACAGTACACGGGTACTGTAATAATCTCTTCTGATAATGAGGTAAAAGGAAATCTCGGTTACTAGGTGCTTTCCCTGAGATCCTAAGTATGTGATGCAGGTACTATGGTACAGCACAATTTCGGCTTGAAGCTACATCTTGTTCTTCGATGATCTTGGTCAAATGCGAAGGATCGAGTGAATGCCCGCATGAAACGAAATTCTCCACTGTAGCTACATGTAACAGCCGCACTAATGTGTCCAAGCTCGAAAAGAGGTCTTGAATGTACTTCAGTTGAAAAGTTACTGTACTGTAGTATCATTATGACAGTCTATTTTGATAGGGTGAAGATAAATCTCCTGAGGTTGCCGTTTATTCATTCGAGCAGAGCGCTAGAATCTCCGGCCTAACAGACAGAACTTTACCGAGGCAAGCTTCTTGCTAGTTTTCTTTTAAATTTCTGACGTGGAATTTGACGAAAAAGATTACTGGTGCTTAGAGCAGAAGAAAAAATTTAACTTATAAGGGTGCACCTGTCTCCCAATCGCACCGTGACAATCGAAGAAGACTCATCTTAATCTCTCTTAGTCTCTTGAATGCAGAAATGCGATCCGTCACCTATATTGGATCATTGAGCCTGCTGGCAAGGCTCGCAGTTAGTGACTCTTTTGTTGTTTTTAATAACCAGGGTGTGTGTAGGATATGGTCTGATAGTGTTTTTGGCTGTACTGGCTACTCAGAGCCCTTCGCCGTACTTAATGGGGATGATTGTTCAAGTGAGTGCTAGGGCCAGTGAGAGGCTAGTTTTTAGTGACTAAGATGATCAATGTCTAGACTTTTCTATAAACGGGACGAGCACCGATGCAGCTACACTCAAGCTTGATATATGTGGTACAGAGAATGGGCGACAGGTTGCTTGGATGAATGTGACTAGAGGCAATGGTTCCGACGGCGTGTCATTCAGAAACCAACAAGGCAAAGAGTTCTGCTGCCTACTTGATAACAATTTTAAAGTTGGCAGCAAGTGCATAATCCCACATCTAGGCACTCAAACACCTATACCTTGAAACAGTAGCTATGATATGGCTATTGCCAGAATAGTCTCTGTTTCTGCCGGTAAAACTGGGTCGTATTATTATCATCAGGACGTCTGCCCTACGCACTAGATAACTTTTCCTACAGTAGTAAAATACAGTAACTAAGAATCCTTTTTTGATAGAAAAGGTAGCTACTGTAATTACCATACGTGCAACATGCGTTGGGAAAATAGCCCAAGCCAGTACAGTATAATATTACGTAACTAGTGAAATATGGGAACGCTCAATGGCAGCCCAGGCAGTGCAGGTGGGTCGATCGCAAGAAACACAACACCCGCAAGGGTGCACGTAGCGTACCAAGTGTAAGCGGCAAAGCAAAGCAAATACCAGAGCAAACGATCAATCAAATAGTGGTAACCATACGTAGCGAAGCGGCAAAACGGAAGAGTAAAATAACGATACCGCGAAACGAAAGGAGTGCGTAGATTGTAAGTTAACGATGCTATCTCAGATACTTAAAAAGACAAAACAAAAAGGTGCTGGGCCCTAAGGCTCTTATCACCCGGCTGCTCTATAACAGTTCCCTCACTACACTAGTTAGTAGTCGGCTTATACTACAGTAATCACGACTCTAAGATCGAATAAATTCACCTAATAATGTCTCGGTCTACATAATGTATTACAGACCCACCCAGGATCGCCTTCCATGCGGAAAACACAGAGATGCTCCTTCAAACCCTAATCACATGATCCTATGAATCCCGATATGGTGACTCCTGTACCTGAGGTCACGTTTCGGTTTGGACTGGTAAATTCAAAACAGGGGAAGTATGTAATCTTGTGTATTATTGCCGATCAAAAAAAAATTACCGCCCACCGTGTGTCAGTCCCAGCACATTTGTCTTTCCCTACTTAAGTAACAATTAACTCCCCCCCCCCTCCCTTCCCAATCCGAAACCTTTGCAAAATGGCGCGAAAAATGAATTCCTAGCAGAATATTATGGTTTTTCATAGGATAAGCAGTAATAGCACGCCGAAATCACCCACAAATGGCTAGACTAGCCAAGTTTAGCAGGTGGTAAAGTGGCAAATGCGCTCTCGGTTATTCCGGAACTAGGTGGTCTGTTCCTAAATGTAATCAATCCGTATCTCTTTCTTACCGCTTTCACTGCGTCGATACCCCTCCTTTTGACTTTCGCCCCCTGTGATATTGACCCCTCCCAACCAGCCTTGAGATCCATCATAACAGAATAACCATGCTTTGTGATAGATGCAAATCAGTGAAATTCGAGGTCTCCTCAAATGCTGCATCTGGTAAGAATAGTGCATTCTATGTCCTCCACAAGGATTACAACTCGTTTCTCCATTCAATTTCCAGAGGTTGCCATCTTTGCATTCTAATCAAGGGGCAACTTGATAGCAACCGTGACGTTTATGCTGATTGTGAGAATGACCCAATAATAAAACAATATTTGGGCACTACCAGAATTCACCCCTTTATTTCCAGTCAGTTCGAAGGATTTGTTGGTATATTGGTCGAGTTGCAAGGGAGCAACGCTCCCAGTCGCTGGAATCTTATTAGCCCAGCTGGGGTGGCGACACTTAGCGCCATAAATCCGCTTCCAGGTTCGGAATCGCATTCTAATTACATCAAATCATAGATTAAATTGACTGATCTCTTTTTATCTTAGAGCCCTACCTTAACGCCTGCCGGATTGAAGATGATCTTTCCAATACTGGTTCACAAGCACTAATCACTGACCGCGGCTTCACCGATGCGGACGCCGCTCAAAGAAACCATAATCTAATTGGTTCTTCGCATCAAACTGAACTGCCACATAAATATACTACCAAAGACCTACCGGTGAACGTCAATCTAGCATGCTTATGGATCAAGAATTGTCTTCAGAGTCACGAAAACTGCACGTTTGGTAGTAGACAAGAAAGCACGCTACTTCCGACGCTGTTGATCAACGTTTCAATTCCCGATCGACCCTTCCTGGAGCTAACGAGTGAAGCAACAATTGGACCTTACCTTGCTCTTAGCTACTGCTGGGGTAATCACAAGAACTTAAAGACCCTATTGAACACGAAAGATAAATATAGCAAGCTGCTGCCTATGGAAGAACTTCCAAGAACCGTCAAAGATTCAATTAACGTCACGCGTGTGCTGGGATTTCGCTACCTTTGGATCGACGCTCTTTGCATTGTGCAAGATGACGAGGAGATGCGAAACAAGGAGCTTGGCAGGATGGGCGATGTATATCGAAACGCATTGTTCACTATCTATGCAAAGCGAGGCCAAAGCTGCGATGACGGTTTATTTGAGGATCAAGACCCTCGTCTGTATCGTCCTTGTCAGCTGAAATGGCTAAAAACAACGGAACGGAAGACTGAAACATATGTCACTTTGACTTGCAGCCTACATGAAGTGAACCATCTCGAAAATCGAGGTTGGGTTCTTCAGGAGGAGATTCTCTCCTCTAGGCGGCTGATCTTTGGAAGGCAGATGTCTTGGGCATGCACGACCACCACTGCCTGTGAAACACATCCTGTTCCAAAGAAAGAGCATGATCCTTTGACAAATGAGAAAAGTGATAGTTTCAGCAAATTGCGTATGTGGTTACTGGCCCCGAATTTCATCCATGATACCCAAAGTGTCGGCTGCGGCTTGCCCGATAACGGCTTCGATACATGGTACGACATCGTTACAAATTACAGTACTAGAAAATTAACGTTACCAACGGACACTCTCCCTGCACTTTCAGGCTTAGCCACACAATTTTCGAGAAGGCAAAAGAGTACCTATATTGGAGGCCTCTGGAGAGAAGACCTTCAGGTAGGGCTAGCCTGGTATGTTGCTCTGAACGAAAGTTACCCAGGTCTGGTCACGGGGTCTACATCGAATAATAGACCTACCTGGTCATGGGCTTCTGTCGAGAATTTGCCCGTGAGATTTAGAGGTAGAGAACCTAATTCGACCCATCTTGCATATAAGGGAATCGAAGTCTTACAAGTATCCTGCCCCTCAAAAGAAAGCAATAATCCTTATGGACAGATATTTGCAGGGGCCCTTACATTGCGTGGCTCAATCAAGAAAGCAACATTATGCTACAATCCGGGATTTCTACAGAGAAACTATCTATCTGAAAAATTATATAGTGAAGAAGACAAACTCAACAGCCTTGCTCTCGCCGAGTACAAGATACGTGCCCAGTTTCCTGCGCTTCTCCTAAGGGCTGAAACAGAAGATGTTCTTGGAATGGCAGCACTTGATCGACCAGCCCCAGGTGGATCAGCAGAGTTCTCTGGCCAGCAGACAGTTATTTGTTCGCCACCAACCATTGAAAGAACGATGCAATATCCAATTTGGTGCTTGCTTCTCAGCGTCTTCCGCCGTTCGTCTTTTCTACTCTCTACTTGTCTCTTGTTGGACGCAGTCGATAAGGAAAACCTTGTCTACCGTCGACGTGGCATAGCTGTCCTTAAAGATACAGCATGGTCTGGGTTGGAAAGTCTAGACGTAGCCGACGCCAGTCTGACACATCCAGATTCGATAAAAACCATAAACGTTGAATAATAAGGCCAAGATCAAAGCTGATGATACAATTCCCTCGGATTCATATTGAATAGTGTTAAAAAGAATTAGAAGTGGACCACTATCTGATCCATTGGGCTAAGTGGAATGAACATATAGTTATCTTACATTTCTGGCTGAAGCTGGAATACAGCCAACATCAGCTAGTTCGATGAACTTTGTTATTACTATTCTGGGGTATCTCCACATGATTTCGACTCTGGGGAATTCAGAATCTACCCCACAGGACATCTCAGTGGTAGCTCGTTATACAGCATTGACCACCTTTTTTTCATTCCATCAATGAGAGAAAGTCGATATAATCTGATTGAAGCTAGTCCGTCGCACAATCCAGGGTCGGGCTAGGAGAGTACAAGGCGGTGGGCGTGCAACCGAGATTACTAGCTGTGGAGCATAATCTGACTTTCCTTCCCAGGCATCAACCATCGGGGCATGATAGGTATTGTCATCAAAAAAGGATTTTGGTCATGGCGGATATTCGATGAGTGTGGCCTAGGCAATGCTATACAGGCATTCTCAAAATCGCCTTGACCAATTTACACTGAGACACTCTCTCTTGGCCCCACTGCCAGGACCTTAGCGCAGATCTTTCATTGGGGCTGTAACGTGAAGTTGCGGCCCGCTGTAATGTGCCCCTTTGCTAGTACAGCCACAATTAATGTTCACCTATGTTCAACCTACATTCAAACCATCAGATGTATTCTTACGGAGGGCAGATTACAATACCATACAAGCCTTCATTACGTAGGACCGTCAACTTAGTGTGACCTACCCAATGAATGATTTGCGCTAATGTCTTGGCAGTGGGGCAGAGAAAGAGAGTCTCAGTGTAAATTGGTCAAGGCGATTTCGAGAATGCCTGTACGGCGTTAGCCAGTCATTCCTGATATCTAATAAGATCCGAAGCCGAAGCCGAAGCATGATGATAAGCAAAGGTGGAGATCCCGAAACAAAACCATACTATTAAGCCTTGCCTATCAACCTTGGCCCCAAGTGGACTCCAAAGAAGCACCAGGCGCTGAAGGGAGAAGTTGACACTTTGCCAATTCAAATGTTGTTTTATTTGTAATGTTTGTTGTCTTTGCATAGAACCTACTAGAAGTTCCGGGCTTCTAAATTGAGACTATTGTATCTGTCTTACAATAAAAAAAAGGATTTGGTACTATTACGGGTATGTACAGAACGGATCATTTACCACCTGTCATGTGATTAGGGTTCGAAAGAGCGTCTCAGTGTCGGCAGCATGGAAGCCGATGTCGGGCGCTTCTGTATACTTGAATCATGTCATGATAAATCAGTGCAGAGCATGGTGATGTTGTGCAGTACGGTACTGTAGTGCGCTGTACAGTAGCAATATTGCAGGTCCTTAACACACTTCTAATTCCTCACCTAGAATTGTCATACTCAAATTTTTCCCCTGGAAGTTCGCCACCAACATGGAGAGAAAGTCTATCCCCGTTTGTACAGTACGTCCCGTAACTGGTGTCACCACCTGCACTCATCGATTCTTTCTCGAACCCTAATTGCCAAGACACACTAGTCTATGTTAAGAATTGTTCCGGAGTATCCCTGTCAGTGGATCCTGTATGGTTTCGTACACAAATTCACCAGGGAAGATAGCGGGGTGTGTTGACTTCTATTTTCAATACGGCATGAACCTCAAGACCCCACCCTGATGCTCATGGTACGCGCAAATATTTAATCGACCTCGAGTGGTCACACAAAGAGAGCACCTAACCTAGCCCCTTTAAAGCATGAGAGAGATTCTTCACCTGCACTGTCTCGCCCAGCACCAACACCTCTTTCAGCGTGCTGTTGCTGCTGCTACTCAAGAATATCAATATGAAGTCAACGCAACTAGTTTTTCCGTCTGCACGCGTGGTAGGCGAGTAGGCAGCGCTTGTCATGGCGTATGCAGAGGTTGTCGACTCCGCATTTATCATAACAAACTCCAATTTTCAGGTTCCACTACCATTTGTACTAGATACGCCGAGAAATATCAATCTATATCGTGCTATAAATGTGCGATTAGAAGATCGAGATCACTATCCTGAATCAACGCCCGTATTCGAAAAGATGATTTCCTCCGGTCCCGCTATATACTTGTCACGGTCACCTTCGAGTGACAGATCATCATCCAGCGCGACCTCTATCATGTCTTCCATGTCGCTTTGGAGGTAACGAGGGCGATCATATCTCTCCCATCTTGCCTCTTTAGCTAGTGTTGCATTGTCAACACTTTTGCTTGACAGGAACCGAAATCGGACTTTGCGATACTGAACCGCGAAAATTTGCTCGCCTTGGGCCACAAACTGCCGTTGCAAGTCTTCCGCACGCCCACTAGACCCGGCCAGTCTAGGATCAGCGAGTTCGCCAAATGGCGCAACAACTCCTGTTGCCAACAGCGCACTCGAGATTGGAATAGCTAGATTACCATCCAGGGCCTTTTGTTCTCGTGATTGCTCGGCGATACGAGCATCCAAGACAGTATGGTAGCCAACTACAACATATATGTCCTCTCCCTCATCGATAGTACGCTCAATCCACTTCCGAACATCTTCCGATTTCACGATATCCCGGAACCACTGCCCATTGTTGTCTAAGTAATAGGTCTTCACTTGTTTCGTGTTGATGTGAATCGAGGTGTTCATGCGGCTTGACACGGTGGAGGAGAGGAATGCGGTGAGCTCAGAACCAAATTTACGTTGGTTCCTAAGAGAGTCAGCGCTGTCGTACTGGGTTGCAACTTTCTCGATAATGCTGAAAGTCTTCTCTAGTCTCGGATCAAGGTAATCTCGGTGAGGCTCATCAATATTGGTGACGAAACGTCCCAGCTTGATAGCGGACGGTGGTAGGAAAAACTGCGGGAGAAGAACACTGGATCGCATTTAAAAGGAAATCGGATATTCAAGGTGATAAAAATAGAATCAAGCAAATTGCGAGGCACAAGCGGGAATATGAGGATATATAGCTGGGAACTAGGCATTTTGGGTTGGTCTGTCAACCACGGAACCGGCCGCGCTATGACCCCCTGCGGCTGAACATCCTCGGGAGAGGGGTAGAATGACGTGGCGACATTTAATTGGAAAACTAATGGGACCCCGATTAAGTGGTTACATTTCCCGCAGGAAGCACGAGGTAAGCGACAGGCCCATCGAGAAAGCTAGTCTGTTGTTTATTTTCCACAAGATATGGACGCACCACTGTGGATCCAGGTACGGCTGAGTCCAGGCGGTAACTGCTTAGTCACAGACACTACTGCGTACTGATCTTCGACGTGTGAGTCTGCGTTGACAGTTGCATGCTGTACTAGGTATATACCCAGTTGCAAAGGCCTTTGATAATCTCAAATCTTGAAAAGATCACACTCTAGAAAACACGGACCTCTGAGACAAGCCCCAAAGTCGATACGAACGAACAGTACAAATGACTGACCTCGAAGAGGCGATCCGGTTGTCTCGCCAGGCGGTACAAGCCACTCCCAATGATCATCCTCAACTTATAGGGTGGCTAAACAACCTCGCAAATGAGCTCGAAAGCCGGTACGACCGAACAGGACAGATAGACGACCTCGAAGAGGCTATTCGAGTATCTCGCCAGGCGATTCAGGCCACACCTAGCAACCATCCCGAGATTACGTGGTTATTAAATAGCCTCGGAAATAAGCTTGGACGCCGATATGAGCGAAGAGGACTGATAGAAGACCTCGACGAGGTGATCCGGGTGTATCGCCAGGCGGTCAAGACCACTCCTGATGACTATCTTAATCTGATATGGTTATTAAGTGGGCTTGGAAACATGCTAGAAAGTCGGTACGAGCGGAAAGAACAGATGAACGACCTCGACGAGGCCATTCGAGTGTCCCGCTTGGCGGTTCAGGCCACGCCCAACAACCACCCCCTGCTTGCAGAGCTGTTAAACAATCTCGGAAATAAACTTGCAGGTCGATATAAACGAACAGGACAGATAGAAGACATCCAAGAAGCCATTAGGGTGTCTTGTCAGGCGGTTCAGGCCACGCCTAATAACCATCTTAGCCTTGTGAAGTTCTTAAATAGCCTCGGTTACCAGCTCGGAAGCCGATACGAACGAATAGGACGCATAGAAGACCTTGAAGAGGCGGTCCAGGTGTGTCGCCGCGCGCTTAAGATCACTGCTCATGACCATCCCAACCTTGCGGTGTTGTTGAACAACCTCGCAAGCAGACTGGAAAGTCGATACGAACGAAGAGGACAGATTAAAGACCTTGAAGAGGCGATTCTACTCTCTCGTCAGGCAGTCAAGACCACTTCTGATGACCATCCCAACCTTGCGATGTTATTAAATAGCCTCGGAAACCAAGTCGGACTTCGTTACGAACGAACAGCTCAAATGAATGACCTTGAAGAGGCGATCTGGGTATATCGCAAGGCGATCAAGACCACTTCTCATGACCATCCCAATCTTGCGGGGCTATTAAATAACCTGGGAGGCAGACTGGAAAGTCGATTCGAACTAAAAGGACAGATGGACGACCTCGAAGAGGCGATCCGGTTCTCTCGCCAGGCGGTGGCGGCCACACCTCATGATCATCCTAATCTGGCAATGTGGTTCAATAACCTCGCAAACATGCTTGAAAGACGATTCGAGCAAACAAGACAGAAAGAAGACCTCAGAGAGGCAATCCAGCTATCTCGCCAGGTAGTCCAGATCACCCCTGACAATCATCCTCAGCTTGCGTGGTATTTAAATAACCTAGGGACCAAGCTTGGACATCAATATGAACAGACAAGGCAGAAAGAAAACCTTGAGGAGGCAGTCCGATTGTCCCACCAGGCGTTTAAGGCCACAACATCACCTCCTTTGAGCCGGATCACGGCTGCAACTTTGGCTCTTCGACTCCTGATTGAGCAAGAAGATCATCATACCGGTTATACACTATCTGTTGAAGCTATTGAACTCCTGAAGCTCGTCAACAACAGGTCATTGACTTTACAGGACCAGCAATATGTTCTCTCGCATTTTTCTGGCCTTGCAACACAAGCCTGCTCTCTTGCCCTTCAAACTGGACAGCCCATTTTTGAAGCCCTACTATTATTAGAGAGCGGACGTGGCGTCATCCTTAGTCTTCTCATGAATGACCAGAGTGCCACGTCTCAACTAAAGATGGCCCAACCCGCTTTATGTGCCCTATATGAAAGTCTTCGCCTCGAGGTGAATACGCCTGTCGAGAGCACAAAATCCCAACCAGCGGATGAACCCAATCCTATAAGACGGCCAAAGGCTCTCAAGGAGCTCGAAAATTGCATACAGGACATACAAAACCTTCCAGGCTTCGGCTCCTTTCAACGGGGTCTCACAAAGGAGAAAGTGGAAACTGCTTCGAATGAGGGCAGCATTATCGTGGTGAATGTCACCATCTTGAGAAGTGATGCTATCATTGTCTCTTCAGCCGGATTTAGCTTGGTCCCTCTTCCTCAATTCGATGCTGTCCAAGCGCAGGGTTGGCTCGACAAGAAGTTGACTTCGCCTGGCGAACGTGGTGTGAAGAACAAAATTTATCTCCAATTTTTAGCCTGGCTGTGGCGCGAGTGCGTAAAGCCTGTCCTCAATGAGCTTGGCCATTATGCTCAATCCTCCCTTGAAGATCTCCCAAGGGTCTGGTGGATTGGCACTGGACTTGCTAGCTCCTTCCCATTTCACGCTGCGTGTGATATTTCTGCAGAACCGACCGAGAATACATTTTCTCGCGTTTTGTCTTCCTACACACCTTCGATAAAGGCCCTCTTAAACTCCAGAGAGCGGACCTCTACGTCTCCCTCATCAAGCAAATACCCTCTAAAGCTGCTCATGGTCACTATGGCCACCACACCCGGCGCTGATGACTTACCCGGGTAAAGGCCGAAAAATCTACGGTCTTGGGAGCACTTGGAACTTCCGTTCAAGTGAAAGTTCTCGACCAACCGGATTCCGCAAGCGTTATGCGCCAGATAAGCGAATACAATTTTGCCCATTTTGCCTGCCACGGGACGTCAGATTCATTTGATCCCTCTCAAAGTGGCCTACTACTGCAAACTGCCACTGCAAATCCGAGACAAGATATCCTGAGTGTTCTTAAACTCTGCGAAAATCGTTCTACGGACAGTGAAATTGCATACCTCTCTGCATGTTCGACAGCCGAGAATCAGGCAAATCGTCTGATAGATGAGGTCCTTCATGTTGTGAGTGGTTTCCAGGTCGCCGGGTTCAGACACGTCATTGGGAGTTTGTGGCCATCTGATGACAGGGTGTGTGCGTGGAGGTTGCGAGATCATTTTATGCTGAGCTTTGTCGGAACGGTGCTCTGGAGTACACTGAGAGAGCTGTCGCGATGGCACTTCATAAAGCGGTCTTGGTAGTTTCGACGAGTGATGACTATCGAAAACGGCCGTTACATTGGGCACAGTATGTCCACTATGGTGCTTGAGCATGGACCAGGGATGTCACTATTTGTACTATCTGGCATGTACCAAGTAAGCCCTTGGATCGTCACTTGGACACGGCGGGAGTGGGTGACAGGGAGCGACACCTTGCCAGATTCTCGAGGCCCACTCCAGCTCCTCGTGTTTGATTTGTTTGCATCTCTATGGAAAGTTCTGGCTATAATGGCTACTCTATACAGTGACGATACATAGAGTCATGCATACTTAGGAGTAAAATACCGTATGGATGAAATTATAGGAACATTAATACTTCGAGTCTATTCCTAATATGTTATAGTAAATCTTGGCATTAGGGTTCGAGAAACAATCGATGAGTGCAGGTGGTGACACCAGTTACGGGACGTACTGTAGTACGATGGTTAATATATCCAAAGGTGTAGATGAACGACAAATTACAGTACAGGTCTCCATAATGTATTTTGCAGGAATATTCATTGCTTTGCATGAAAGATTGAGTTGCAGCTGATTCTAAGAAATTATGAGCTCTGGTTTTACTGCAACATTCCTCTAATCGGGGGATAGATCTCACTGGATTGCAGAAGAGTATGGAAGTCTTATTTTTATGTGATACTCGGGCACAACTATCTGGGTCAACCACACATTGCTGGTCTCCCACATCATTCAGATGCTCTATGTTCTCAATGGTGGAGGTTGTGTATCCGAGGCCTGTAGCTATATTGCAAACAGGTGAGTCCCCAGTCTGACTTGTTAGTCACCTACTTTGAGAGAGGAAACAGGGGAAGTTTTACGAAGGCCCGAACCCCCAGATCCCAAAGTTCGAAGTGTATCAATGGAAATTTCTGGTACTGTAAGTACTTCCTATTAGAATGGAGTGGTTCGGAATATTGCTAGTGTAGTTCCTTCAAACAGCAGGTGATAGCTTGTCAATTCTCTTGGCTGCCAGTCTCCTCGAGAGATTCCGGCAACTGCTAGAAGCCAAACGATCATGGACTACATCAGCACTGTTTTTCCATGGATATTCAAGTTCCAGCAAGTGTAGTAGTCACAAGGTACCATATATATGGATCTATTTACATAGAGGAAGAAACATTGGTGAATCAAGACGCATTGAAATAATACAGGTAGATAGCCCATTACTAGTGCTGCATATGACCTAAAAAAGTCAACATCGTTGAACATTTATTAAGTTCGGAACTTCACTTTGCTGTACTGTACTTTAATACAGCATCAGAGAATCGTCTTAAACAGAGGCGCTCTGTTTTTAGCAGACTAGGTAAATCACGGTACTATTAAAACATTTTATATCTCCATGGTACTCATGCAGTGACAGAGAGCTATACAGTACACCTGGCAAGGCCTTTAAATTTTTGAAATGTCGTTTCAGATTAGCGCGTGTTGTTGCTTATATGTATAGTATGTGCTGGTATTTTGCTTTGCGCTGCTTCCCACTAATGTCGCGGTCCGTGACTGACGACAAGGATGTCTGCCCGCTATGTTACAGGCATTCTCAAGATCGCCTTGACCAATTTACATTAAGACTCTGTTTCTCTGCCCCACTGCCAAGACATTAGCGCAAATCATTCATTGGGTAGGTCACACTAATCCTACGTAATGAACCTTGTATGGTATTGTAACCTGCCCTCCGTAAGAATACATCTGATGGTTTGAATGCAGGTTGAACATCGGTTGAACATTAATTGTGGCTGTACTAGCAAAGGGGCACATTACAGCGGGGCGCAACTTCACGTTATAGCCCCAATGAAAGATATGCGCTAAGGTCCTGGCAGTGGGGCCAAGAGAGAGTGTCTCAGTGTAGATTGGTCAAGGCGATTTCGAGAATGCCTGTATCATGGGGGGAGATTCAAAGAAGGATTGGTGATGCGTTCAACGGCATACCAACTTTGGGAGGATTGGGAGATGAAAGAAGAAGTACGACTAATAGCACTTGACGGACCAAAACAGCTTCCACCACGTTGAATTTTGCGGAGGTATCACAGGGGTTTCGAATTCACGCTCTGTGAGAGCAGCATAAAATACCAACAGCCCGCAGGTCAGGGTAGGACTATACTGTGAGGTAGCGTAGATCTGTAACACTCGATTCAATCCAGCCGCGTCAATCATCTATCCGCGATAATTTATTGGTGGTTGAGTCTTGAAAGAGCTAAATGAAGCTAATTTTGAGAATTACTGTAAGGCTCCTACTGTACACTTATGAGAATGAACCCGAAGGTGGATCTCTTAGCCCGAGTTGAACTATTCTTACTACAATACAGTAGAGTACCATAAGGTAGTGGGGAATTCTACGGTAATTCCTCAAGAAATTGATGCATTAAAAATACTCGTAAGTATATCTTTTGTGTATACAATTTGGTACAGTATATCAAGTGTCTAGGCCATGTATCTCACGAGTTTTCTTTCGAGGGCGTAGGCTGGCACGACGTTCAAAGGCGGCAATCATATCTCTTGTCTCGGCACAGTCTCTTATTCCTGTCGGCATCAAAATTTCCAGTTGCATCTTGTAAGAATCGCCAGATCTGGCAAGGATGGTACACCCGGCTGGATTTTCTCGAATTTGAGATTTGAAAAAATGTTCAACGGCTGCAGATTGTTCTGTTTGCTGCTGAGTATCCGTAAGCGCAGCATTACTTTCAGAAGGGCTGCCACCTGGGCGATGAAATCTGACTCTCAGCGAAGGAATTCGTGGGAATGGTCTAGTATCCATGATCAATTCTTTGTTGGATGAGATTAGATACTGTTGGTCTTCGACGGGACTTTATTATGTACTATATATCACCCACAGTCGGCATGAAGAGCGAGTGATACTGAGAAGGAAGGCCTATCCTTTAATGACTACGTTCATAACTACTCTCAAAGTGGTGAACAGGTTTTCGAGGTATTATTTATTGCAGTCCACCTAATAAAGGCCGGCCCATCTCTAGGATCTGAAACCGCCCCCCCAGCAAAATATCGCACAGTTTATTATCGAAATTGACAATAATGAAATGGACTGGTGGCTTCAAAAGCTGGTTATGTGCAAGGTAGTGTATTATTCTCCTTAAATCTTTTATATGGTTGTTCTTCAGTGACACCTGCTAGAATACAAAGGGTCCCACGGCCTCCAACAATCAGGTCCATATTCAGGATTCCTCCAGAGGAACAAAAGCCCATAGCACCGCCAGAGCTAATTTGTCAGACTTGTCATCGTCCGAGGTCCAAAAAATATTATAGACGGCACAGGACTGATCCTCGATCCTTCCCACGAAATGGCAATTGCTCAAGAACCAGATGCATTCAAAGTCGGCGGAGATTGAGGAGGCATGATGATAGACACATGATAGCCGGAAGCATACAGTCGCCAAGATCTCAATCAGTCCTCAATGGGGATCATCAATATCCATTCCCAAACACAAGATGGACGAATACATATTATTCAGTATTCTCACCAGATCGCTTGTCAAGCGTCCTTGGCGGGGATATGGACGCGTCGGCTGTGCAAATGTCCCCACCATCGTACTACCAATCTCAGGCGGACTTTAGATACCGGACTGGCCTAGAAGCAGTCTACGAAATGGAATAAGCTAATTTATTATACTGTATGTACATGTATCATACTGCTTGTGAATGTAGTTCGTGAGCTTAGAACTGTTTTGAAAGAATGCTCAATTATCTGGAATTTAGGAGCGTGCTGTCTACCGACAGAATCCTATTGTCGCTATATCTGAGCTAGAAGTGTAATATTTTTTTTTCTTAGGACGTAAGTGATAGAGCGCTATCGTAGGATATCCGATAGGTAATATATCTTGTGCAAGCGTATTAAGTGAATTTATTCGCCAAAATTCGGGTTTTCAGTCTCGCCCTTTTCTCCAGATTTTTGATATTCAGAAATAGCTGTAATACACCGCATGGTTACAGTTATACTTTAGGCATTCGAGGCCTCGGAGTAACTATTTAGGTGCCTTCCTGTTCTTTGTCATTCTTACCTCTCCATACTCAGTATTCGTTGAATACTACATATTATTGATTGATCACCTCTAGTATCCTGGGCTGCTAAAATAACTAGTATCTGTCTATAAACTGTGTAATTTAAGCTTCGTCGTAAGCAGATTTTGTTAGAATCATTCCTTTGACTAAAGAGACAGATAAATTGTCAACCATATTAGCTATTAACGAAATCTCATACAGTAATATTCGAAATCAGATTTACCTCCACACTCTTCGGCTTTAACTCCCGAGCCCTAATTTGAAACACACTAACCGTATATGGTAATACGTCGATCCCCCTTGCTCTTAAAATAGAAGCTGTATGTTACATGACGCGAGTGGGACCTTGTCCTATGTAAATTACAGGAAACTACTATACATCCGATACCTCTCTACCCCTCTCCTCTAAGCAACAGGAATCTCCCTTTGTAAATGATTCTTGAGCGACGTCCTACACTACTTGCAATATGGCCCCGAGACTTACCCCTTCCAAGCTGCATCTCATCCGAGACATGATAGAGAGCCAGTCACTAACCACTACTCAAATGGCAGAAGAGGCTGAGTGCAGCAAGGTCATGATGATAAATATTCGCAAAAACTTGCGCCAGTTCGGCAGCGTCCACGCACCCCCAACTCGCATAGGTCGGAAACCAACCGTAACCCCGCTAATGATCGACGCGCTCTGCGACCACCTGTCGGAAAAACCGGGCCTATACCTCGATGAGATGGCTGTCTTCCTCCGGGATGAGTTTCGCACGATGATCACAACCTCTAGCATCAGAAGAGCCCTAGTGGCCAAAGGTTGGTCTAAAAAGACGGCCCGACAGCATGCGAAGGAGCGTAATGCCGATTTGCGAGAACTTTATCTACATAATTTGTCAGATTTTCAGTCGTATCATCTAGTTTATGTGGATGAATCTGGGTGTGATAAGAGGGCTGGGTTTAGGCGGACAGGCTGGTCACCACTTGGCGTGGCCCCTTTGCAGGTATCACAGTTTCATCGCGATCAGCGATATCAGATTCTACCTGCGTATGTGCAGGACGGGATCGTCCTCTCGCGTGTATTTCGCGGTGCAACCGAAGGTGCTGTCTTCGAAGACTTTTTAGCTCAGCTTCTTCACCACTGCAGACGATGGCCCGAGCCTAAATCTGTTGTGATAATGGATAATGCGTCATTCCATCATTCAGAACGGGTCTCGCAGATGTGCGCGGACGCGGGGGTGAAACTGGTATATCTGCCCCCCTACTCGCTGGATTTGAATCCGATCGAGGAGTTTTTTGCTGAGCTGAAAAGCTTTATCAAACGTAACTGGAGTTACTACGAAGTGGATCCCGATCAAGGGTTTGATGTTTTTCTTGCATGGTGTATTGACACGGTCGGTGCAAAGCAAGAGAGTGCTAGAGGCCACTTTCGACACTCGGGCTTGAAGATAGACATCTGCGGAACTTGAACACAATTTTGCGTTAACTAGCACTTTACAGTGATGGTGGTGGATTTCACTTACCCTGGTCTCTCGTCTCAACGGTTGATTATAAACCTCACTCACTAGGCTGATAACGGATTCGTTTTTGATCTAGTTGGCTAAACCAACTTCAACGACGATATGCAGGCTACCTCAACTATATTTATTCCTGTCCGTACATGTACATTGTCCCACTTCCTGGCAACGAACGTAGAGCTCGGCACGACCTGCCGTGGCCTAATTTCCGCTTCCATTGTTAGGCTGTCTCGTGGCGCGCAGCTGCGGAACTGTTAGGAAAGTGCAAGTCTGGGTTCTATAATCGTTGCGGTCACGCCGTCAACTTGAACAAGAAGCTGATGAAATTGCGAAGGTCACCGCAGCATGCGAAGATGGGTCTGGGTCAGATCGGGCCGTCTATTAATCCTGTCACCTAACCAAAGCTGCGACCAATTTCGTCTGTGGTCCCTTGGTAAAACTCATAATATTCAACTTGGACATGCAGGTAAGTTTAAGCTTAGTTCACTATTTCAAAGGAATGCATTTCTTTCAGCTGGTCTTCAGTGCAGAGTAAGTCCAATACGTATTAATTGCCCATCAAAAGCAAACATCCTCTAGTCGGGGCGGTGTATATGTAATGCTCTCTACCCCGCTTTCTTCCCCACGATTCTGCCTAACATCCTCAATTCTCAGAATCAGTCTGACAGTTCATCCGGTCAGCCATGGTCCGTGAAAAATTGAGACGATTCTTTCGGAAGCAACACTCAGATGAGGACGACCTGAAGAATTTGAAGTTTGTACAGGGAAATCAATTTGTGGATGATTCGTCGATCCACCATGTATCCGCTTCTACCACGAAACCAGATCTGTGGCAACGTGCTTTTGATGAAATCGAGCCCAAAGAACAACAACTTATCCAGTCTATATTGATACCAAAATCCTATAAACATCTAGACTCCAGTGATATGAACACCGATCCCGGTGTTATGGACCGTTTAAAGGCACTGAATGGTGTTGTCGAAACCGTGAAGACCCAATATGAAATCGACCAAGGAAAATCGAGGATTAAAGAACCAACTCGAAAAATCATCAAGGCTGTTCTTAGCTTTAAGGAACTTATCCAGGCAGCCGTGGCATTTGATCCGACAGGACATGCAACCAGCGTCTGGGCAATTGTGTCTTTGGGGTTGACGGTATGCTTGTATTTTTCTATTCCAAATATACAAGCCCAATTAACTAACAGATACGGCTTTCAGATGACGCAGAACTATCGCAGTCAGAAAGTAGCTTGGCTGGAATCTTGCGCATTCCTCGCAGAAATCCTCACCCGATATGGATTTGTGGAGGGGGAATATCAAAAGGACCCGAGTACCGATCAGCATATTGAGACGGCTCTCGTTCAGGTATACGTCGCAGTTTTGACTTTCGCTGCCCAAGTCCAGTCACTTTATGACCGCAGCCGTGTCGTCTTCGCTTGGAAGAGCATCTCCGGAGATAGTCTTTCCGATCTCCAAAAGTCCATTGATGACGCAGAGTCACATCTGGGCCAATGGCTTGAGATAGTTGACCGGCGTGAACAGAGAGACAGGAGAACACAGCTTCTTGAAAAGGCGGACAGAATACTGACTAATATTGATAAAGTGATGGAGTCACTTAATGAACTCAATAGCAAGATGGTCCTTGTGGAGCTCAAGATTGCAGAGGAGGCTCACTACAACGCAAATACCGGAGAGGAGTATCAAGAATGTCTACAAGAGACTCGAAAAGAACTCCTTCAGGACATCAAGAGCTGGGCTACCCATCCAGATAAAAAATCTGTGTTTTGGCTGCAGGGTATGGCAGGAACGGGAAAGTCCACTGTGTCGCGGACAGTGGCTCGGTGGTTAGACAAGGAGGGCTTACTAGGTGGCAGCTTCTTCTTTAAAAAGGGTGGAACAGACCGAGAAGACGCCAAACGACTCTTCACCACCCTCACCAAACAAATCCTTGAAAGACTACCTCATCTTCAGGAACCAGTAAAGAGGGCAATCAAGGAAACGCGTGGTATTGGAAGCAACAATCCACATGAACAGTTCAACGAATTGCTTTTTAAGCCACTCAAGAACCTCGATCTTGGATTGAAGTCGCCACTGATCCTGATCGTTGTTATCGATGCCCTAGATGAGTGTCAAGTGCCAGCTGATGTCGTGGCTTTTCTTTCAACGTTACCTAAACTGAGCGACTTGACACATGTCCGACTGCGATTCTTTATCACCAGTCGGCCAGAACCAACAGTCATCAAAGGGTTTCGACCGATTGTTCATGATGAGATCATCCTTCATCAAATAGAGAAGTCGATTATCGAGCATGATATAGCAATTTTCCTCCGGGAAAGACTAGGGAGGATCAGAGATGATCACGGTCTACTGAAAAGCTGGCCCGGAGAAGAGAATTTCACGGCTTTAGTCGACATGGCTGTTCCTCTATTCATTTATGCCGCGACCATATATCGATTCCTCAATTGTGAAGATGAACTGCCAAACGACCGATTACAAGCAATATTGTCCTCACACTTGACTGACGGGATGGATAACATTGACAACGAGTATTCAAAGTTAACCGGTATCTATCTCCCAGTTCTGAAGCACATTATATCGCAGAAAGGGCCCAAAGAATTAAGATCCTGGATGAATGACTTTCGCCGAATCGTTGGTGCTATCGCTCTTCTCTTCAGCCCACTCTCATCTATCTCCCTGGCTGGACTCATTTGTTTGGACCAAATGAAAGTCCAAAGCAGACTTAATACTCTCCAGTCGGTGGTGTCAGTGCCGAAAGACAGTGATGCCCTTGTTCAGCTTCTTCATCTCTCATTTCGGGAATTTCTAGTTGACCATTCAGCATCCGCCGAGTTCTGGATTGACGAACGGGCAGGTCATATACAGCTTGCCGAAGATTGTCTTGACTGTATGAATCGAGGATTAAAGAGAGATATATGTCGTCTGTCAAATCCGGGCGTACGGAGGCATGATATCGGAAAGGCAGTCTTTGGGAATCATGTTCCACCCGAGCTTCGATACGCATGTCGCTACTGGATACGTCATCTAGGGAACGGTGATGAGTCTGTCATAAGCTGGAGACTAGTAGAAGACTTCTTGAAATTGCATTTTTTGCATTGGTTAGAAGTGATGAGCCTTCTTGGATGGGTTTCAGAAACGATTGGAAACATAACAGCTTTACAGTCCTTGGTAAAGGTGAGTGACATTGGATTGGACGCAAAATATCGATGCTGACTAGCAGGTAAAGTCACCTCAGCTAGCTGTCTTTCTCGAAGATGCAAAGCGATTCATTCTCAAAAATCGCCAAATAGCCGACGAGGCGCCCCTTCAGGTCTATTGCGCAGGACTTATATTTACCCCTCAAAAGTCAATAATTCGGAGAGAGTTTAATCGAGAGTTTCCCACCTGGATTTCCCAGTTTCCAAGGATTGAGGAAAATTGGAGTGCAGAATTACAGGCTCTTGAGGGCCACTCGGACTGGGTTCAATCGGTCGCCTTCTCGCCCGATGGCCGGCTGCTGGCGTCTGGCTCTTACGATAAGACCGTACGGCTCTGGGACCCGGTGACGGGCGACCTCCAGCAGACTCTTGAGGGCCACTCGAGCTTGGTTTTTTCGGTCGTCTTCTCGCCCGATGGCCGGCTATTGGCGTCTGGCTCTGCCGATAACACCGTGCGGCTCTGGGACCCGGTGACGGGCGACCTCCAGCAGACTCTTGAGGGCCACTCGAGCTCGGTTCAATCGGTCGCCTTCTCGCCCGATGGCCGGCTGCTGGCGTCTGGCTCTGCCGATAAGACCGTGCGGCTCTGGGACCCGGTGACGGGCGACCTCCAGCAGACTCTTGAGGGCCACTCGAGCTCGGTTCAATCGGTCGCCTTCTCGCCCGATGGCCGGCTATTGGCGTCTGGCTCTTACGATTACACCGTGCGGCTCTGGGACCCGGTGACGGGTGACCTGCGGCAGACTCTTGAGGGCCACTCGAGCTTGGTTCTTTCGGTCGCCTTCTCGCCCGATGGCCGGCTGCTGGCGTCTGGCTCTTACGATAAGACCGTGCGGCTCTGGGACCCGGTGACGGGCGACCTCCAGCAGACTCTTAACACACATGCAATCGTCGACGATCTCGAATTCTCGCCCGATGGCCGGCTGCTGGCGTCTGGCTCTTACAATAAGACCGTGCGGCTCTGGGACCCGGTGACGGGCGACCTGCGGCAGACTCTTGAGGGCCACTCGAGCTCGGTTCAATCGGTCGCCTTCTCGCCCGATGGCCGGCTGCTGGCGTCTGGCTCTTACGATAAGACCGTACGGCTCTGGGACCCGGTGACGGGCGACCTCCAGCAGACTCTTGAGGGCCACTCGAGCTCGGTTCAATCGGTCGCCTTCTCGCCCGATGGCCGGCTGCTGGCGTCTGGCTCTGCCGATAAGACCGTGCGGCTCTGGGACTCGGTGACGGGCGACCTCCAGCAGACTCTTGAGGGCCACTCGAGCTTGGTTGAATCGGTCGCCTTCTCGCCCGATGGCCGGCTGCTGGCGTCTGGCTCTTACGATAAGACCGTGCGGCTCTGGGACCCGGTGACGGGCGACCTGCGGCAGACTCTTGAGGGCCACTCGAGCTTGGTTTTTTCGGTCGTCTTCTCGCCCGATGGCCGGCTATTGGCGTCTGGCTCTTACGATAAGACCGTGCGGCTCTGGGACCCGGTGACGGGCGACCTCCAGCAGACTCTTGAGGGCCACTCGAGCTCGGTTCAATCGGTCGCCTTCTCGCCCGATGGCCGGCTGCTGGCGTCTGGCTCTGCCGATAAGACCGTGCGGCTCTGGGACCCGGTGACGGGCGACCTGCGGCAGACTCTTAACACACATGCAATCGTCGACGATCTCGAATTCTCTCGGGATGGCTCATACGTAACCACCAACTTAGGCATCCTTGTCGTTCAGCCCGGCCACAAAAATGACGTTTCTCTTTCAACCTATGCGTGCCTGCCAATCTTCATTGAGCAGCAACAATGGATCAACCTGGACCGCAAAAATGTACTATGGCTTCCTCCTCACTTTCGGCCTAGCTGTTCCGCGGTCAATAGGAACTTACTGGCCTTAGGACACGCATCAGGGCGGGTTACTTTTCTACGATTTCGTCTATAGCAGAATTCGATGCTTTCTATTCTCAATCTTCTCTCTATTTTCTAATCTCTTTGTAAAAGAAGGGCCTGGGAGAGAAGCGAATTTTATATCCAACTTCCTGCTAATAGAATGTTCCGCCAAGTTCCACGAGGCTCCAAAGCCACAGCGCTATATTGCTGAGTGGGCGACTCGACCAGGCCTGGCTGCGCAGCAGGAAAGGGTGCAGTACCGTACCCGCCAAACCCCACTAACCAACACTCAATTCTCGGACTAAGGCCTTTGGCAGTAAAGAATTTGTGAGTGTAAATTATGAAGGTGGTTTTTCACTACTCTGTACCTAAGGTTATCTGGGATAGAATTTTGCTTGAATGTGTTGGAGTTATTTAATTTTGTCTAAGAACCCTCACAATTCAAATAGGCCAAATCGCACACCCTGTGAACAAAATTGAGGGATAAAGGGACACTATTCCAATTAAAGCAGCTGTGGACCGCATTGTCTAACACTATCGACTAAACACAAAAATGATGACGCCACCCAAACGCCCACCTTGCTCGTGCTAAATTATTTCATAAATAGGGATTGCTTTATTAACGCTTTCGACCCAGCGCTGAATGTCTTGTACGAACCGGCAAGCAATACCTATTTCTATACCTTTGCCAATGAAGAACTCCGGGTCTTGATCCTGATAGACCTGCTCGAGATCAAGGCCATTCTCGAGCATTAGATCACAGACTTGTCGGAATGCAGCCTTGAGGGTGTCATCAGTTACATTAGTTACCTGCCACTCACTATATTCCTTGACCGCTTCATCTCTGGGCCCTGGATTATCGAGTGAGCTTATAATCTTCCGGTGAGTATCCGTCTGGGTGGCAGGAATGTCAAACCCAGTGGCGGCAGACTGTGATGGATGGACATTGATATTGATAGGAGGATAGGGTACTCCGTTTCCGATAATATGTCCTCCTTTGCGACTGGTCTTGTCCAGTCTCTGCTGTTCTTCCATGTACAGCTCTTCACGTACTATTTCTGGCACATCCTTATGGCCGTCTAGCGCCCCACCTTTTTCGACGTAAGTAACGAGGCGCTTTAGATGGTGGGTTTTCAGTTGGTAGTGCTTTTTCCCGCTGGGTCAACCCAGCAATAGGGACCTGAGGGGCAAGTTGTAGAATCGCATCGCATTAGATTATAGACGCTACGCCAGGTAGGTTTTTATCCAGAAGCGTCCTGCTCCGCATCAAGCTGTGCGTCTCTCTCTTCGAGCATCCTTGTTGTGACTGAGGACTTTCCTCTTTTCTCCCCTTTCCGACCAGCGGTAGGGGGAGAGTGACGTTCGTCTACGTGGTTGAAACAGATCTTTAACGTAAGTTTCTTGCCTCGAGAGAACAGTCCTGACCACATCAGAAGCTGCTTCTCGATAGCCGTCCAGATAATGTCGGTATTGTCAAATCGTTTAGTCAAATTGCGCTTGGTACGGTCATTAACTGAAACGACAATGGCAATGTCGTCAGCTGTCACTCGACGATTGTGGGTAACTTTTCTTCGCAAAACCTTTTCTAGTTTTTTCTCCAAGAATAGCTGTCAGAAGGCGCTCGGGGCTAAAACGAGGTCATCCTCTGTATCCTTTGCCACCCGATTATTAACAGTCACTCGCCACTCAATACGATAGTGGATGCAGGTCGGTGGATCCTGGTCGTATACTCTTCCTTCCTCCCATTCAGACAGTCGGATCAGCCTAAGAGCATCAGGTTGGGACCGATTCTCAATAACAGATGGAGAGGGACTGTAGTTGGATTGCGTGTCATATGGACTACCATAGTATCCAGGAGTTGGAGCGTATTGCGAGTCGTGTTCCCATAGTTGGGTAGCTTCGGGCTGAGAGGTCAACTTATCGTAATCTGGGTCCTGTGTCATCTTTACAAATGAGGGCAGTCCTTGACAGGTCCATGTCAGCTTTCTTAACGGTACCAGCTTTCAATCAACGACGCTAACCAATGAAAATCGCAGTGAAAAACAATAGCCACAGGAAGAAAAGCATCTTTTCCTACCAGGGTTAGTTCGCTATGTAGACAATGCAGCCTTCTTTTTGATGTCAAAGGAGTGTGAGCGAAGGCTACGTGTGGCGGGGAGGCCAAAAAGAAAGGAAAACGAAGTTAGAAAGGGAGGAGGAGGGGGGGGGAAGGGATCTTGCCAGATTGTTACGATCAACACCTTGCTTGGTTTCTTCGCATGAAAGATTCTATTAACTTCCAAGGAAATTACGGTATTATAACAATGGCCCACCAAGTGTTACCAGGGCATACAGTACAGTCTGATCAGGATTTCTGGGGTATGGCTAAAATTAGACTAGTGTGTTTCAAAATAGGGTTCGGGAGTTAAAGTCGAAGAGTGTGGAGGTAAATCTAATTTCGAATATTACTGTAATAACAGCCCCCAGTGAGCTCGCACTGGGCGACAGTCCTCGCCAGGCTGTTGGGACAATGGATTCATACCTTCTCGTGGTGTCCGGTGTTAATCCCCGTTGGGGAGACCAAAGTGAATCCGCCGTGGTTGTGCGGTCCGGCCCGGCGCGGTGGGCGCGGGCACGACCGCACAACCACACCAAAAATCAGGGGAAAACGGCATATGAAAACCATCCGACTTCTTCTTACCCGACTCGCACTCGGGCCCAGACGCTGGTCTTGCATTACCAGTCGAAGTGGTGTCGCCCTAGGAAGAAGACAGGACACCCCTGAGCTTGTATACGGTCTGGGATCGCATCGTGCGAGATGCGGCGAGGCGGTAGTGAACCAGCGACGCAGGCAGTCAAGCTAACATCGGACAGACCTCGTTCAAGGCCCAGAGGCCTCGTTAAGACTCGAACTCGTTAAGGCTCGGAGACGTCGTTCGCTGGAGACCTCGTTAAGGCGAAGCTACGGGTAAGCTCTAGCACGGCTGTTCTGCGAGACACGGGCACCGCCGAGACACGGGCAACCCTCTTGGGAGACACACGGGCAATCTGGAAGATATTGGTGGTTGGCTGATGGCAACTGATGAAGCTCGTTAAGGCTGTGCCACGGGTAAATCATCGGCCCTGTTCAGTCGCTGGGGACCAAGCTTGGTTAGTAGGGAGCAACCGACATACACTGCCGGCTGGAGTGTATACGAGGGCTCTCTGCAAGACACGGTCGGCCTAGTGGAGGGAGACCTCCCTAGGTAACGCGAAACGAGAGCGCAAGCTTTCGCGGGGCGTGGTGTACAATGGCAGCCACTGTGGCAGGGGTGGGCCCTGTCAAGAGACTGTCTGTATAGCCTGAGAGGACGGATGCGCGTGTCGGTGTACAAAGAGACGGGAGTCAACTACCTCACTCGCACTGGGGGCCTGACACTGACCTCGGTCGGTTGAAGCGGTGTCGTCCTAGTTGGCCTGCCCGTGATGTATGCTTAAGGAGCAAACTAAGAGACACCCAGGGTGAGAGGCCTGGTGAACCTCGAGAGTCCAGAAGCCTCATTATCGGGTGAAAAACTGGGGTAGTGGTCTATGCAAGTAGGCCTGTCGAAGCTACTTAATGTCTTTTGGGCCACGGCACGACACCGATTCTGGAGACGAGCCGTGAAGATGTGGACGGACCTCCACACACTACCAGAAACCAATCCTCTCCGCAGGAGCTCAGATCGGATCAGGAAATTCAGGAGATACCACCGCTCGCCACTATATCAAGTAGCGGACGCGCTGAAAAATATCGACATGGAGTCACTGGAAACCATCAACCCGTTTACACTGGCACCATGGGACGCACGCGTGCAAATAGATGATGAGCCTATCTCGGAGGGGTCAACTGTACCCAGAGGATCAATGCAGATCGCGTTCAGCAGTTCAGCGCGGAATGAACTGGTCGGGTTTGGAGTGGCGATCGAAAAGCAACCACCACGCCAGCGGAAAGTGAGACTGAAGACCTTGTCTGTCACGTTGAGTGCGAGGACAGATCACAATCCGTTTTCTGCGGAGCTGGCCGCCATAGTGCATACACTGAAGACACTTGCGGCATCATTGAAAGACTTTCGGATCACACTGATCACGAGCAACAAAGCGGCGGCTCTGATGTTGACGAACCCGCGACAACAGTCGGGCCAGGGATTTGTCTGTCAAATCTACAAGTTGATGAGAAGACTGCAGAAACATGGAAACCACATCAGCGTCCAGTGGATCCCCACTAGCGAAGACAACAAACTACTTGGTCTGGCGAAAGAGCAGGCGAGAGCCGCGACACAAGAAGATGCCATCCCGCAAGTACAAGTTCCCAAAATAAAATCAACGACTCTCAAGATCGCGCGCACCCAAGCAATCCCCAGCCGCAAGCTGCCCGAAAACGTAGGGAGACACTCCCGTCGAGTGGATACCGCACTCCCAGGAAAACACACGCGACAGCTGTATGACCGATTATCGTGGAAAGAGGCGAGCGTGCTGGCTCAGCTCCGCACCGGCATGGCGAGACTCAATGGATATCTCTTTCGAATCAATGCCGCCGAAACAGATCAATGTGCATGTGGACAAGCAAGAGAGACGGTAGACCACTTTCTGTTTCGATGTCGGAAGTGGACAGCGCACCGGACGGAAATGCTGCAATGTACCCACACTCACCGAAGTAATATGTCCTTCTTCTTGGGAGGGAAGTCACCCTCCGACGATCAAAAGTGGAAGCCGAATTTGGAAGCAGTGCGAGCCTCAATACGGTTCGCGATCGCTACGGGCCGACTTGAGGCCACCTAGGCGTGCCGACAAACTGATAGAATACCTTACCTTACTAACCCCTACACCTTGTGATCGACGGTAGACGCGCTTCAACTGCCGAGGATAGGATGTTGAACACTTGAAGAAGCGCCTTCAAGCCAGTCTACTAACCAAATACTAACCCACAGGGACGACTATGAGATTGAAAGCTGAGAGGTCAAATGCGGGAGGAAATACTGCATGGGCTCCAAGGAGACACGGCGTATACCCAAACATGCATGTACTGGTAGATTACTGATAGTTGCCCTTTCGGCTGAGCCGCCGGGCGTTAATGAATTGTGTGTGTGTGTGTGTATCAATCGGTGGCTGGAATTACTCCTCGAATTTTGCAGGTCCCTTTACAATACTAGGTTTAAAAAGCAAGCTTCTTCACTTAAAGCGCTACTTAAAAAACGTTCAAAAAGCCCTCCAACTCCAACTAAAATCATGCTTGATCAAATTATTCAAGGCTGCTATCTCTCGATGCATAACGCCGCGCTTCTAGCAAAGGAAAATGTTGATTTACGCACTGCAAATAAAAAGAAACGACGAAAGCGTAGACAATCATATCGAAAAATACCACACGAAGAAGGTTTGCCGTTGAAGAAGCGTTACAGGTTATTCAGCAGCCAATTCAGGCTGTTGAACCTGTTGAGCAACCTCTACCAGAGCCTATTCAGCCGCCTGTTCTACCACCTCCACCAACCTGACGGCGGCAGGCAAGGTGTAGCGGCTGTCATAGAATAAGCCATTCAATTACCTAATGCCCTAGTAGATAGATTTCTCAATATAATGGCGTTTTTGTGGTAAAAATCTAGCTCAAAAACGTAGTGGTGGGCGGATTGATCCGCTCGCTTGTGTAATCCGTTCGTATGTGGATTACGTTATCCGACATGCGCTAGCATGCCTTAAGCTACCAATTTTGTAATTTTGGCAAAATGGTATCTGTAATGACTGCAAATAAGCGATGGGTCATCGGTACAATACTCTTACTTCCGTTGGATTTCGTAAAATTGATCGGCAGTTTAGCCGATCTGGAATTGTCGCTAATTTGCTTTCTTTAACAGAGCTGCGCTGCCCTTAGCTTCGTATTGCCGTACTTCGGAAAGTGCCTTGCTACATGACGTAGCCAAATGTTGGCCCGATGGCCCTCGGGAGCAGTGCATTTGCCAAGGCACAAGTCTATAAGAGGTGTATGTCTCCTTGATATTTACAAGGTCAGACATTTCTGTCAAAATCTAAATTTCAGGTTTGCTCACAGTACTGAGAGTTTAGAGATATGTCCAAGCCTTCTACATGGATCCCTTCGGAGAAACTCAAAGTGTTATGCATAGCCAGTCGCCCTCTTTGGTGGCCAGTGGCCCCATCTCTCTACCTTTCGGGCATTATCCACGCCGATGTCGTTCCGTCGACAATACCAGCAATGTTATTCGCCATTGCTCTATCTTTCCCTTTGTGCTTAGGTAGGAACTCTCACAAAGAAAGTATATGCTTCTAACTCTGATTACTTGTGCAAGTCACTTTTGGTGTTAATGATGTTTACGACTATGATTCCGATATGCAAAATCCTCGAAAGACAAAGTTTTGGTCAGAAGGTGCATTACTAACTCAGGAAAATCATCATTTCGTGCTCCTTATTGCCAAGGTTACTACTATCCTTATCGTCTTGTGCGCCATACCTGCAGCAATTCAAACTCCTCGATTGCTACTATGCACTTTATCATTTCTCTTTCTCACTTGGGCATACTCCTCGCCGCCGATGCGGCTTAAGGAGATACCAGTCTTAGACTCAATATCAAATGGAGCCATTCTCTGGCTATTTTGGGCAAGTGGATATTATTCTGGCGGAGGAAAGGCCCTGGTATATGAGACTGGTGATGACAGTAATGGTGCCTTTGTTTTCTTCTATGCCTGTGCCTGCCACGGACTGGCGTCGATTGTTGATACAAAGCCAGACAGCTTTGCAAATCATCGAACAATATCAACGTCCCTTGGAATAAGAACTGCGGCATTCCTTTTGGGGGCTTGGTTGTAAGTCAGCTTTACCCTTTTGCTACATAATGCCCACATACTAAATTTTTGGTCAAGTACTTTAGCTGGCTGCCAGGTTCAACCGTGGTCCGAAGTTGGCATGGCAAGCCTGGCTGGCATGGTATCCTGTCTTTACATTTTCCTCAGACCTCCCATGGGTGTTATCATCTGTCGATTGGCGTTTGTTGGATCCTATTGTGGCACAATAGTGTGGGTACTCCGCAACATGCTTCAGGTCAGCATGGGTACAGATATGCACATGCTCAGGGCTTGGTGATTGTTAAGTTTCCGGGTAATCCCACCTTATGGTAACGGTGGCTAGGCAGTGTGAGTAGATGTAGATAAATTAAATGCGACGGAAAGAGCATTTGCGGAGCGTTCGCTTCTTCTACGTCAGAACTCCGACTTGTTTGAGCAGAATAACGAGAAGAAAAGTCGACAGCGTACAAAGTCGACGGTAGTAGGGAAGGCTAAGATCATGGCGTTTGAGGACATTGCAGTGGTAAAAGGAAACGTGAAGAAAATGAAGCCGCGCAAGAAGCAAAGAGGAGGAAGAGACGGGCTGAACCGAGTGAAATATGTCACACCCTGCCACATGCAGAGGGTAACCGTCGCCCAGAACCGCTGAGGGGGACAGAGGATTATTGCTCCATTCTCCAATTTTGATTGAGTCTGACTTTTTTTACGGTATATTTATGGTCGATATTATATTTGACTCCACATCATGTAAACCTGAATCCCATACCAAGACACTACCTGACCATAAAATTGAATCAAAACCGTGGAATAAAAGACTTCAGTAATATCTTTGAGATAAAACTATGTGTTTCTTGGATTGAACTGATTAATAAGGCATGTTGATCATGCTTACAAGGATCACCGACAAATCACAAGAAACAACAGGGCTGGACCCGTTGCTTGCTCTACAATCATAGACATCTAGTGGATATAATTTATTGAATATATGGTATCTTAATCTGTTCCCCGGACATGATCACCATCTCTCAAAGTAGACAATATTATCGAACTTCCCGTGTGTAATGGGACTTCAGCAGGTTAATTCTTCGATCTTGTCATAAGTATAGTCGCCAGGTTGATCTATCTACAATTATCGGACCAAGGTTGTGTCCTGCTTGTCGATTAGAAGCTTCAGTCGCTCGAAACTTTCAACATTCTTGCATACGGATCTTTTGGGCTAAGCTCCCTCTTAATATCTACTTCAGAGGCATGGGAGTGTCAACTAAAATTTTACGCGAATCCTACTCCAGACGAGAGCAAGGATGGTGATGCTGGGGCATTTTGGCTTTGCATTAGACGATTTTGACTTCGACATTGATGATGCCACCCTACATCCTGCGCTACTCAGCTCTTATACGATATTTGCCATGGGTGATTACAATGTCCCGAGTAGGCCATAATCTTACTGTCGCCTCTCGTACTATAAGCACTTTGATCTAGACCGCTGTCTACAAAATTTCACGTATTTTACACGAAACTAGCAGACACATGGTACCTCCTCCCCTTTCTTCTTTTCGTGACGATCAACAGCTTCCTGCACAAGGGCTTTCTGCTTACCGTTACTAATCCAGCGACATGGCCACAAGTCTCTCGTCCTCAAGGTTTGTTCTCACCCGCGTTATGATAGAGAGCGAATGTTTCACCACTTCTGAAATAGTTGTCTCAGAACCACTAGCATGGGGATCCCGTATCGAGGATATTTCGGGCTTGTTGAGCATAGTTACATCCATTGCCGATATTGGAGTCAGAAAATCCGGCGGACCACATCATAATTCCACCAAACGCGGCCTCACTGATATGACCACAGATTAAGGTTGCCAGCGCATCTGGCTCTAGATAATATTGAGCGCCGCTGGAGGTCCCCGTTGCTGCAAAAGGGGCAGCCGGTAAACCGATGAAAATTTTAGCATTGGCAGATGGTGTCCCGGCGACGTTCGCTACCCAGGCATCGAAATTGATGGGCCCATTAACCGAGCAGCTCGGGTTATTGTAGAACTGGACCCAAAGATAGTCGAATTTTGTATTTGTGATCGCCAGTTGCATATTAGGCTCCGGAATAGGACATTGTGGCGCCCCCGTAATGTAATAAATATTGGAATGGTCGGAATCAAAGTTAGAGCGCAATTTGTTGATAAGATATTGGTAGTACTGGTTACCACCGGAGACCTCGATATTGAAGTCCCAGCCGTTAACAAATGTGGTACCAAAGGGCCGATGGACCGTAACACTTTCCGCGTTGCCATATGCATCCCAAAGATATTGACCGATAGCTTCAGCCTCCCGCTGAGATGAGAGTGAGTATGCTCCAACCGCGCCACCAAGCGACAAAATGACTTTGACGCCGTTTGACTGGCATTGCTTGATTGCAGTTGCTATATTTTCGCATTGAAAAGAACCACCAGATGCGGAAATTGAGCATGACTGTCCAATGGTACCCGAGGCAATTGTGTTACCATTGCCAAATCCATATAGGAATGCTAATACTACGATGTCAATACCGGCGGATGGTGCACAGTAAACTGATAGATCATTGTTTTCAACAGCAGATCCTCCGTTCTGCCCCCAGTATATGACGTTTTGATAATGATGAGAATCAGTCACATCATCGTTCCTGGCGGTAACTGCTGATACGGTAACTCCGAAACAGGCAAGGCTTGTCAATAAGCTTAGAAGGAGCATCCTTACTCTGATGATGAAATAGATCTGGGCAATCTCCAAGCTAGATAAGTTTTAGATCATTCGGGCGCTGTGAGGGAATTAATTCATTTGGCGGGAAGAGAAAGAAACTGGGACTCGAATGAATTAATAACTATGTCCAGTCAATTCTATGGACAGATACTAAATGCTGGATTATTAATCCGCTATTAGAATTTAAGGGCCCTCAGCTTGAAAGCAAAACGGCAGTGTTGCCCCCACAATGGAATTGAACGAATTACGACCAACTCACATCACACCGGACAGTACCAATGAATAGCCTTTGCCAATATTCTCTCGTTCATTTTCCACATCTTACCAAATTTACCACCAAAAGTTTATTTTGAACAACGTATATGACCTCATCCATATCTGTTGGCTGCCATGCATTACTAAGTTGTCGAAGATATTATCAGTCGATGTGCCGTCAAAGATGTTCGTTTACGATTACTGTACCTCCTGCACTTTTTTCTTGTCAGAACCTTAATTCTAGGGCACGCCAAGCCGTATGAGAAAGTTTGAAAATGTTAATGTAATCTTCAGGTCTCTTTTTTTATACATCCAAATCATGATTGCTGACCAGGGCAATTTACTGTAATTGTTGTTGTTGTTGTTGTTATTGACGTCATATTATCTCCTCCAAAAGCAATAACCTATTCCTCTATGACACCAGACCCCTCACGTGTCCATTCTTGATGTAGTCTTTTCGTGAACATCTTCCCTGAGTAGCGATTCACCAAGAGTACTTCTCATATTCATGTCCGAAGTAGTTGACTGCCTCGCTGGCGGCAACACCAGATAGCAAACGAAGGGCTGGCGAATCGACATGCGATTGAATCGGTAGGGCAGATGAGTTATTGTATACAAAGCCCGATGAGGATTGGTTGATAATATGTACAGTAGGCAGACCGGTTGTTCGAAGGCCCGTTGGCGTTGCGAAGTTGTCGACATGTTCATTTGAAAGCTTCCCGCCGCGTCGTCACAGCCAATAGAAGAATTTCCACCGGAGTTTCGATTTGGAAAGTTCGCAGCTTCGGTCAGACGTTGAGTTCCAACTTACTGACATCTCTCACCACGAAGAGGTGACTTTCTACGAGGGACAGGTCAAGTTACAGTAACTCCGGGGGGAAATCAAGTACAGAGAAGTGCAAATCCAGCTTCACCAATTTACATACACTCATTCTCTCTGGGCCCCACTGCCAAGCCGCTAGTTTAGGAATTGGGTATATATAAGTTGTCCTGTGTACATTACGTCATGACCAATGTGCCTGATATGATAGATGGATAGTGGAGTTCAAGTGGCTTGCGGTCAGTCCCGTGTGGGTAATGTGGACGAACATAGTTCGGTTCCACTGCTACAGTTAACATATCAGCAAGGGATCTCTTAGCTTCTACACTCTATTCTATTTTACTCCATAGACGAATCTTATAATAATGAAGCTTCCCTGAGCTGTATCATAGTCAAAGACTTGCTATGACTCTTCGACATGTATATTTAGTTTGATTCTTCTTCGACCACAACGTTCGCATGCCGGAAATGACCTTCTGCACTTTCTCTTTTCGCTCCGACGACATCCAGACTCCATTCAAGAAAATCTTTGAAATCTGGACCTGTCTGATGCTGCCAATTTCGTCTTACGAATGCTTTGAGTTCCGCGAAGAATTCCTCAATCGGGTTTAAATCAGGCGAGTACGGTGGTAAATACAACAGCTTGACACCAGCATTTGAACATAGTTCTCCTATTCGTTCAGTATGGTGAAATGACGCGTTGTCCATTATGAGGACGGATTTTGGCTCCGGCCATCGGCCACAATGATGGAGAAGCTGTTCAATAAAGTCCTCGAATATACTCGCGTCTGTCGACCCTTGGAAGATTCGCGATACGAAGATGCCATCTTGGCAATATGCTGGTAGAATTTGATACCGCTGGCCGCGCTGGAAACGGGAAACATGGACAGGTGTCACCCCGCGTGGGGACCAGCCAGTCCTCCGGAAGCCAGCCCGTTTATCACAGCCTGATTCGTCTATGAAGACCAGGTGATACGAGCAAAATTCTGAGAGCTGATGCAGATAATGATCTCTCAAATCCGCATTTCGCTCTTGTGCTATTCGTCGCGCTACCTTTTTGGTCCAACCCTGCGATCGAAGGGCTCGACTGATAGTGTATGTGGATACGAGCAATTCGAATTCGTCATATAAGAACTCTGCCATTTCGTCCAGGTATAAATCCGGTTTCTCGATCAAGTGGTCGCATAGTGCTTCAAGCACAAACGGTGTGATCATACGAGGACGGCCACCAGGGATCAACGGTGCTCGGACAGCGCCGAACATTCGGAGGTTGTTACTGATGGTTATGATCGAACGTTTGCTGCAGCCGGCCGCTTCTGCCATCTCTGAGGTAGTCAGCGATCTGCTGTCAATCATATCACGAATCATCACAAGCTGGGAGGGAGCGAGTCGAGGCGCCATGATGGTCTTTGTCGCACTGTCAACCAAAGTGGGTGAGATGGCCAAGGGCAACGGCAACAAGATGGGTCTGGGTCGGTTCGGGCCGACAGTCCAGCCGAAAGCGTTCACAGCCACTGCACCAATAGAAACGCGTCTACAAAACAGCCGCAATTCTGTATGGCGACGGCCCCTCAGACAAAACACAACACCCGGAGACTTCAGTTCGGCCGCGATATCAGTCAGGCGAACGTAGCAGCAGATGTGCTACTATATCTATATATGGCGGATCCAAAAATCTACACCGTCGGCTGGATCTGCGCTATTACTACTGAATATGTTGCCGCCCAAGCCTTCCTCGATGAACAGCATGCGGGCCCGGAGTCCTTGCCGCCTCAAAATAAAAACGACTACGCCTTAGGCAGAATTGGAAGACACAATGTGGTGATTTGCGTTTTGCCTCTAGGTGAATACGGTACCACTTCAGCAGCCCGAGTCGCCGAGGACATGTTACACAGCTTCCCTAATGTTCGGATCGGTCTGTTGGTCGGCATCGGCGGCGGAGCTCCAAGCCCTCAGAATGACATTCGCCTTGGTGACGTGGTAGTAAGCATTCCTCTCAACGGCCGGAGTGGAGTTATTCAGTACGATTTCGGTAAAATGATACAAGGCCAAGGCTTTCGTCCCACAGGCTTCCTTGATCAGCCCCCTACCGTCCTTCGCGCAGCGGTCAACGGCCTTCAGGCCCAATATGAGATGGAGGGCCATCAACTTGAAGAGTTCATCCATCATGCTCTTGAGAAGAAGCCACGACTACGGAAAAAATACCAGAGGCCAGATCTCGAAAGCGACCGGCTATATCGAAGTCACATCATCCACCCACCGGACAACAGCTCGGATTGTAAGATGGTTTGTGGCGATGATTCGACCAGGTTAGTCTCACGCCATCCACGCTCTGAGGATGAAGACAACCCGGCTATTCACTATGGTTTGCTCGCATCAGCCAATCAGCTGATGAAGGATGCTCTAATCCGTGACAAACTTGCAGCAGAAATGGATGTGTTGTGTTTTGAAATGGAAGCAGCTGGGCTGATGAATCATTTTCCATGCCTTGTGATCCGCGGTATCTGTGACTACTCAGATTCACACAGAAACAACGGCTGGCAAGGGTACGCGGCAATGGTCGCCGCAGCATACACCAAAGACCTTCTATGTCGAATCGTTCCTGGGCAAGTCGAAACAGAAGAGAGGATTCTGGAAGTTCTCAAGCCATCTATCGAGTATGTGGCTCGAACTATCAATCGCATGGACCATGATTCCATACTGGATAAGCTGCCTGTTGCGACTGAAGCCAGGTTTGACTCGTTCTCCGATCGAGATGAGGTACAATGTCTCCAAGGCACTAGGACCAAGCTCCTCAAGCAAATTATGGAATGGGCTATGTCACCATCTCAAAAAGGCATTTTCTGGTTACAGGGAATGGCAGGGACAGGAAAGTCCACAGTATCTCGGACTGTGGCAAGGTTGCTAAAGGAAAGCAACCGCCTAGGTGCTAGCTTCTTCTTTAAGAGGGGCGATGGGAATCGCGGGAGCGCAAAGATGTTTTTTCCGACAATAATAAAACAACTAATGCGGGAGATTCCTGAGGTGGAGCCTGGCGTGCACAGGGTACTCGAAGATGACCCTGACATTGTGTCAAAATCTCTCAGAGAGCAGTTTAAGAATCTACTCCTTCAACCGCTGCTCGGGCTTGACCAACTCAGCCAACAATCTCGAACCACTGTGATAGTGGTCGACGCTTTAGACGAATGTGAGCATGATCCAGATGTCCGAAACATAATCCGATTACTGCCTCTTTTACAGAAGGCAAAAGCAGTCCGCATCCGGATCTTCTTGACCAGCAGGCCTGAACTCCCGATCAATCTCGGCTTTTCAGAGATCACGGACCATGAATATCAAGACATAGCTCTTCATGAGATACCTGAAGAATCGACAGCACAGGATATACAATTATTCCTGAAGGACCAATTTGCGAAGATCAGGCAAGATAGAAATATTCCCACTAACTGGCCTGGCGATGATGTTATCCAACAATTGGTCGCGATGTCCGTTCCATTGTTCATTTCAGCTGCCACTGTATGCCGTTATATCGCAAATTCTAGATGGGAACCTAAATCGCGTCTCGAAGAACTTCTAAAGGACCAAGCCAAATATGTATCAAGAATGGATAAGACATACATGCCAATCTTGACACGACTACTGGATGATCAGGAGAGTGACGAGGCAGAGCAGCAACAGCTCCTACAAGAGTTCCAGAATATTGTTGGTGTCATCATTCTTCTCGCTACTCCGTTTTCAGTGAATACGCTGTCTGCCTTTCTTAGTATAGGAGCCGACCAGATCAGTAATAGATTGAATTTGTTCCGATCGGTTCTAAAGGGTTACGATAGACAGGATCAGCCTATTGGGATTCTACATTTGTCATTTCGAGACTTTTTGGTCCAATCTCATGGCAAATTCGGAGTGGAGGAGCCAAAAAAACATTGGGAAATTGCTCTCTATTGTCACAAAACTATGCGAAGACGTCTTCAGAAAAATGTCTGTAACTTCGAAAGCCCTGGCATGCGTAGGGCAAACATCGATCCTCAATCTCTCCGGCACTGTTTACCACCCGAACTCGAATACTCCTGTCGTTACTGGGTTTACCATCTCGAACACAGTGAAATATCATCTCCTCGGATACAACATATTCTGTCCTTCCTGCAGGAGCATTTTTTGCACTGGGTAGAAGCATTGAGCCTACTAGGCCTTGCATCGGAAGTGGTAGGGATGCTTAATCTTCTCCAAATGATTATATCAGTAAGTTCATGACTAGCCATATGCGATACACACTAATTGATATAGAGTGACCAACAGCCCATAATATCTGATTTCCTTCAAGATGCAAAGCGCTTTATACTACAGAATAGCCAAATAGCCGACGAGGCGCCCCTTCAGCTTTATTGTGCAGGTCTTATCTTTGCCCCCCCAACAGTCAATAATTCGGAGAGAGTTCAATGAAGAGTTTCCTGCTTGGATTTCCCAGTTACCAAGAATTGAGGAAAATTGGAGTGCAGAATTACAGACTCTTGAGGGCCATTCGGAGGGGGTTCGATCGGTCGCCTTCTCGCCTGATGGTCGGCTGTTGGCGTCAGGCTCTTTAGATAACACCGTGCGGCTCTGGGACTCAGTCACGGGTGATCTGCAGCAGACTCTTGAGGGTCACTCAAGCGCGGTTCGATCAATCGCCTTCTCGCCTGATGGCCGGTTGCTGGCGTCTGGCTCTGACGATGACACTGTGCGGCTCTGGGACCCAGTGACAGGCGACTTACAGCAGACTCTTGAGGGTCACTCGGAGATGGTTCGATCGATCGTCTTCTCACCTGATGGCCGGTCGCTGGCGTCTGGCTCTTACGATAAGACTGTGCGGCTCTGGGACCCAGTGACGGGTGATCTGCAGCAGACTTTTAAGGGCCACTCGAGCTGGGTTGAATCGATCGTCTTCTCGCCTGATGGCCGGCTGCTAGCGTCAGGCTCTTGGGATAAGACTGTTCGGGTCTGGGACCCGGTGACAGGCGACTTACAGCAGACTCTTGAGGGTCACTCGGAGAGGGTTCGATCGATCGTCTTCTCGTCTGATGGCCGGCTGCTGGCGTCTGGCTCTGTAGATAACACCGTGCGGCTCTGGGACTCAGTCACGGGTGATCTGCAGCAGACTCTTGAGGGTCACTCAAGCTCGGTTGAATCGATCGCTTTCTCGCCTGATGACCGGCTGCTGGCGTCTGGCTCTTGGGATAAGACTGTGCGGCTCTGGGACCCAGCGACGGGCGATCTGCTGCAGACTCTTGAGGGCCACTCGAGCTCTGTTAATTCGATCGCCTTCTCGCCTGCTGGCCGATCGCTAGCGTCAGGCTCTTTAGATAACACCATGCGGCTCTGGGACTCAGTCACGGGTGATCTGCAGCAGACTCTTGAGGGCCACTCAAGCTCGGTTCGATCGATCGTCTTCTCGTCTGATGGCCGGCTGCTGGCGTCTGGATCTGACGATAAGACTGTGCGGCTCTGGGACCCAGTGACGGGTGATTTACAGCATACTCTTGAGGGCCACTCGAGCTCGGTTGGATCGATCGCCTTCTCGCCTGATGGCCGGCTGCTAGCGTCTGGCTCTTGGGATAGAACTGTACGGCTCTGGGATCCAGTGACAGGCGATTTACAGCAGACTCTTAAGGGCCACTCAGACTGGATTGAATTAGTCGTCTTTTCGTCTGATAGCCGGCTGTTGGCGTCAGGCTCTTTAGATAACACCGTGCGGCTCTGGGACTCAGTCACGGGTGATCTACAACAGACTCTTAAGGGTCACTCAAGCTCAGTTCGATCAATCGCCTTCTCACCTGATAGCCGGTTGCTGGCGTCTGGCTCTGACGATGACACTGTGCGGCTCTGGGACTTAGTGACAGGCGACCTGCAGCAGACTCTTGAGGGTCACTCAAGCTCGGTTGCATCAATCGCCTTCTCGTCTGATGGCCGGCTGCTGGCGTCTGGCTCTTACGATAAAACCGTGCGGCTCTGGGACTCAGTCACGGGCGACCTGCAGCAAACTCTTACCACGCATGCACTTGTCCACGATCTCGAGTTCTCGCAGGATGGTTCATATGTAACCACCAACCTAGGCACCATTGTCGTTCAGCCCGGCCACGAAAATGACGTTTCTCATTCGACCCATACGCGTCTGCCAATCCTCATTGAGCAGCAACAATGGATCAGCCTAGACCGCAAAGATGTACTATGGCTTCCTCCTAACTTTCGGCCTAGCTGTTCCGCGGTCAATAGGAACTTACTTGCCTTGGGTCACTCATCAGGGCGGGTTACTTTTCTACGATTTTGTCTATAGTAGAATTCAATCCTTTCTATTCTCAATCTTCTCTCTATTTTCTAATCTCTTTGTAGAAAGAATTGCCTGGGAGAGAAACGAAATATATATCAGAATTCCTGTTAACAGAATGTTCTACCGGGTTCCACGAGGCTCCAAAGCCACAGCTCTATATTGCTGAGTCGGTGACTCGACCAGGCCTGGTCTACGCAGCAGGAAAGGATGCAGTACCCGGCCAACCCCTCTAAACAACACTCATTTCTCGAACTAGGGCCTTGGCAGTGGGGCCCAGAGAGAATTTGTGAGTGTAAATCGGTGAAGCTGGTTTTGCACTCCTCTGTATATTGCCAAACCCTTCAAAGAGATGCACGGATTCGGCCACCTGTCATCTTCTCTTCCCATGCAGCGGTCCGAGTGGCCATTGAGGATGGTTATACTGTACATATCCATGGACTGAATCTCACACATCATAAACTCACGTCAGAATTCTACATAATGTTCCATTCATGGCACCTCCCTATCTATGAACAGAAACTGCGATATCACTTGTCACGTAAACATTGACAACCGTAGATGTCGAAGAAATGGACATTGACGGGGGTGCTGAGGAATTTGCTGGTACAATATTGACCTGAATTGCAGAACATGGGAGAGAAGAATTCTCATCAATTTCATCTTGGACTATTTGTCGGAATTTCATGAATTGTATTATCGAATCCTGGCCACATTCAGCGGCCTCTGCCATTTTTGCTATAGCCAATTCTTTGCTGATTATCATATCATTGATCATTCGCAGCTTCCAGAATGGAAGGATGGGTAGACCGCTTCGGCGCGACATTTTGCTATGCTGAAGAGCGCTTTAAGGCGGAAGTCAAAATTTAAAGATATAGATGAAAAGATGAAGAATCATTGACTCTTTTTTTGTGGACCTTAAGCCTCTCTATAATTTGATGGGCAGACTATGTTGACTTTATACTTGTAGAGTTTATACTATAATTAATTTTCTTCTATAATATATTAGAAGACATGACCGTATGAGAAGTTACCGCAGGGCAGGACAAAGTCTATTTGACTGTGTTCGTTATCAATTATCGACACAAATGCATGATTATTACGCAGTATTAGCGACCCCTGACTATCGATTTAGCGCGGGTTATACTAAAGGCGATACTGACTGTATCATCGGAATCACCTAAGTTAGCTTCATATTGAGCGTCATATAATTTCTTTGCACTAGCACCTTCGCAGTGGGCGAAACGTGGTCAACGGGGCGGAAGCTGGTGTCGCTGCTGATTATGCCGTATCTTGCTATTGTACGAAAACTTACAGCCATTCTCAAAATTGCGTTGACCAGTACACATTCAGAAACTCTTTCCTGACCCCGTTGCCAAGCCTTTAGCGTAGATTATTCATTGGGCGGGAAATACTAAGTTGAGGACTGCTGTTAAATGAACCTGGAATAGCATGGTACAGTACTGTATCTCTCCGTCCATAAGATTGCAACTAGTGACATCGTTGAACACGCAGCTTCGTCGTAAGATTATGAAATATGATTAACCTGGTTCATCCAGTATGGTGCTTCTTATCGAGAGACCGAGGTGGAACAGACTATGTCGCGAATCCTACAACAGACGCAACTCTCCCAAAAAGCTACTGTAAGGTGGGTTTTTCCAGAATGGAGCATCTTTGAATGTCTTGACTGATATAGGCTCTAACGATTTTAATCTACGTGGATCAATCTCAGATGAGAGTCGGCGTTGGCATACTGTAATGAATTCCTCCGCAATAGCAATTCTCAAATAGCTCGGCGAGCCTCATAAACAGCAAATGTAACTAGTCTATCCTCCTCTAACTCCCCCTTTGATAGTAATGCGTTCAACAACTTTCCAGGAAAGATATCCTCTCGGCTTATTCCATCTACAAGCGGCGTCCGCATGGGCTGCAAAGAGTCCAGGAGCTGGCCGGGATCATGTCCTTGCGAAAACACCGCCTCTTTGTACCGCGAGAAAGCAATGCTTTGGAAGTCCACTGGGAGCTGCCAAGCCTTGCATAAATGATATACAGAAACATCGATAAGCAGTCTCTCCGAGTCTGTACTGCATTTGTTAGCTTTGCGGGATCAGGTATACTGTCGAATTAGTACAATACATCCAGTACCGTGCTGTAGCTTGTCAGATGAAGAAAGATCTTACCTGGAATTTCTGTCTTCTCCAGGTGGTAAGAGTACGCACCGAGATAGATCAATTCCAATGTCCGTAATACGGTGTGTACATCCACAGAATGAATATAATAAGTACGTCTGCCACCTGACTGGGCACTTTGCTCAAACATCCTGTTGAGATATGGGCTTTCAGAAGCGATTATTGATGTGTGTACTTTGATCTGGTGGTTCTGGGCAAATATGAGAGCATCATGACCGGTTTTAGCATACCAAAGTCTCCCCCGTATGGCATGGACGAGCATCTTGGATTTTGGGACCATTTTTACCTTGATTATCAAGGGTTTATCAATAAATTTCTCCGAATTTATCTATCAATGTTCAACGGGCAATTCTATCATAACGCAATATTCATTTTTGCAGGTATGGTGGTTCAACATGGCGATCAGTGACCCAACTAGCTCATCACCAAAAATATCGACTTTTATCGACTGATTTCTCTTTGGCATCCCATGCGCTTTGAAATAGCAACTCAATGAGATTACTGTATAGTACAGTACCGTGGGGCTATGGATAACCCTCTCATTCTTGCTATCTGTATGGCGAGTTTGACGATCATACTGGCTTTTACCCGACGATATCTCCGTCCGGCTTCCTTGAGCAGTCTCCTCCCAGACTTCTTAGTGAGACATTTTATCTACCCCTACTGTCTCTCTCGTCACCGATTAGTTGGGCCATGGACACGTTGGGATACCCTTCTCGCTATAAGCTACTCTATCATCAATATTCTCTGCCTCTTACTTCCTCGGCCATCTATTGATCACATCTCCCGCATGGCAGGTCAAATTGCACTATTGAACACGCTTTTTCTGTTTACGCCGAATATAATGCTTTTCGCGGATATCCTTGGTATGTCATTGTCCACATATCGAAAGCTTCATCGTCTGTTAGCAGTTACGGCTCTACTCATGATGTGCCTACATATCATAATTGAGGCCCCAAATGCCACTGGTTCTTTATCCGGCAAAATCGATAATAGCTTTTGGGCAATATTGGTAAGCTGGCGTACAATCTATGTATCTGGATACAGTACTCAGATCATTCCAGGGGTCTCTATCTTTGATTTTAACGATACTTTCAACCCTGTCATTGATTCAACGTGTGGCATATGACCTTCTACTACGGGTACATCAGGCTTTAGCTGTTTTCTTCCTTTATGCTGCATGGGTGCATGTGCCCGCAGATAGAACCATTTTGGTGCTAGCCATTTGCCTCTCTGTCATTGTGCTCTTCGGTGCCCTCCTATACCAGACATGGTCATTATTTTACTGGAGTGGTATCTGGACTCTCCGACGGCAGTGCTTTCTCCAGTGGCCTAGTCAAAATGATATACAGGAGGAGGACTGTAATATCTGGCCAGATAGTGACGCTGTTATGCTGAGTTTGACACTCCCAAAGAAGATGAAAATCGATGCTGGTCAATATGTCAGTCTTTGGGCGCCAACAGTGGGCCTGCTTGCATTTGCGCAGCTACATCCTTATATGGTCGTATCTTGGGCGCCCAGCGAGCAGAACACTTTACTGCTATTCTTGAAGCGAGAGCGAGGGATATCGCTCAAGATCGTCAAGAAAATTAGGTCTTGTTCCAGGGCTCCTGTGAAGATTTTCGCTTCGATATTGGGGCCGTTTGGTACTGTTGAACCTGTCGAGCAGTATGACAGTGTACTTATCATTGCCACCGGTCATGGAATAACGGCGATAATGAGCTATGTCAAAAAATTGATGCAATTACATGCCCATCCATCTACGCGGACCAAGCGTGTTCATTTCATCTGGCAGGTGAAGGTAGTTGGTATGATCCTTTAGAAAATTATCCCTGTTGGCCAGTGCTGAACAAATAGATACGATGTTTCTAGTGGGCCAGAGATTCTTAAATGAGGTTCTCAGTGAGGATAATAGAACTCAGAGATATGTAGGTAGTGAGAAATTCTAGGTACCTTCTACGCTAAATTTGACTAGTCTATCACAATTTCCGTTTATGTGAGAGAGGGAGAAATAGAGAGCAGGTTGGGTACTCGCGGGTCTATTCACAGAGGTCCGGCAGATTGCAAGAATATCATCAAGCTTGAAGCGGCAAGGTGCATGGACGGAGCAGAAGGTCAATCGCTATTGATTCTCGTATCTGCTGAGACCGGAGTTCGGGATGACATTCGGGCGACAACATATAACTTGCTTTATCAAAATATATCATTGGTTGAACACGATTTTCAGCCATAGTCGTACAACCTCTTTTTATGGTATCAATTTATATCTACTGAATAATCACAATATATAAATGAGGCGCGTTGTACGAAGGAGATGAGCCCTATCAGATAGCCGGGCTTGCATCTGGAAGGCATCACAAGGGGTTCCTACACTTATCGGATTACTAAGAGTCGACTGAGATGAACATCGTCAACGTACCTTGCTTAATTCATCAAAGGAATGGCATTCAACTGAGCAGAGGAAACCTTGTACCATCGAATATTCAACATCAACATCAACACTCGGATTCTCGTGGGCCTGTTTAGACAGCTCCGTGGCGACGAGTCTCAAGGTCTCTCGATACTCCACATACCCCTCCTGGATAATATGCTCTATGCCCCCTGTCACTGAGTCAGCTAGACCCTAAGCCCCAATGCTGCGGCATACCAATCTTCAAGACTCCATTTGAATTGAATAATATCTTCTCAAGCCCAATCGAGGAATGACCGTATTGGTTCCGCTTTAGGTAGCTGAGACCCTGAAGAAACTAGCTTTTTATTAAGTACTGAAAATCATTTTTGCGCGTGGTCATACCTGATGAATAATGCTACCTATTTCCAATTCACTGAGGAGAATACCGCACGAGACGATATTGTCTAAAGATATCGAGACATCGTCGTGGAGGTAGTATATTTTCTTCCCGAAAAGGAAACACTCGCGCACTTCGAGAATGTTAGAATGCCTTACATTCTTGAGAATGTCCAAAATCTTCTCCTCGCTAATTCCTTGTTGGTGGATCTCGCGGACTGCCGCCAGCTGGTAAGGAAATGCACGCGAAGTGACAACGTAGAATTCTCCAGCCAGATCACATCTATACACTGGTCGAAAAGTATCCCATGGGGCCTGCTTTCTAATTATCAATGTCTCTCTAATGTTTTCCCTAGACTCCGCTATATCATTCAGAACCAATTCTTTAGGTGGTCCTCTCATTCCCATTTGCGGTGGCCGTATTCGATGACTAGGCATCTTGCCCTTGACAACTTTATTCTTCGCATTTTGGAGCTCTAGAATATTAAATTCGGTAGTACGACTTGCCGGATTCTTAATTGGCATCTTGTTTAAGCCCATGGGAATTGATCATATGTAAAGCACGTTGTATTATATCTACTTTTAACCAGAAAGCACTTTTTGTCCTCAAAATAACGTTCAACAGATACATTCATTCTCGAAATCGCCTTGACTAGTTCAGACTGAGATTCTCTTTCTCGGCCCCACGGCCAAGGCTTTAGCGCGGATCATTAATTGCGCAGTTCTCAGTAAGTTGAGGGCCTCTGTGCAATGAATCCTGTCTCGTATTGTATTTGCCCCTCGTAAAGATGCTCGCTACGCCTTGAATGTGGGGTAAACGACGATAATTACTGTACTAGATAAGGTGCATATTACAGTAGTGGGTGGCCAGCCCAATTATTATCTGCGCCCGGGTCTTGGCAGCGGGGCCAGGAGAGAGTCTCTCAGTTTGTAGTGGTCAAGGCGATTTCGAGAATCACTATATGCACCACTTTCTCATACTGAAGTACAAGCGATTCCCCTGGAGATCTCATCACGCTCCTTATTGAATTATCCCATACTGAATAATGATGGGCAACGGGCTGGCCTTCATGATGATCCTGAGATTGATCGACTTCATAAATTTCTTGGGACTGTGAAGGTTAATTTAGATGATATTTACTTTGATCCTAGTGATACGAGGGTAATCGACCCAGCAAATGTGGATCGCCTTTACGGCATATTTGAAAAAGAGGGTTGTCAGCACGAAGCCCCTAAGCACCGTATTCCGGTGACTATTTCAGCGAGCCAGTTTGAGCTGGCATTGAATACAGCGGGCATTGTAAGGAATGATCTGAATAATCCAAGCTCAGCAGAGCTTCCCCTGCTGCAATTCGAACGCCATGTACGTGGTCTACACGGTCAACATCGCATTCTGGCCGGCAAACGCTATTTAGCACCACGGAAACAGTGGTGGACAGTTGATCTCTACTTGAACGGTAAGACTGAATCGGATTTATCTGTTGAATCTATCTACATTGAACACTCAACCACCTTTAGATATCTGCCATGGTCTAGAAGAGATACTTATCGAAGAATATGCCAACGAGAAACCGTATAGCGAGGGCCATATATATTACAGACTACGATGTGCCAGTAGTGCCGCTGATACTGATTCTGAGCTGAGATGGACTGCCCGTCTTTCATCGAATAGCCAGCTGCGTCTGAAATCATTTTTGAATGTTGCTGATCTCCGAAACGCCCTTGATCTCGTTATGCTTATGCCGGGACAACGCCCAGCATTGCGCATAAGTATGTTCCACCGTATCCAAGCTATCAAATGTAATGAGGTGAGGGGTCTGTTATTCATTGCCCAAATAGTATCCGCTAAAAGTAATTTTAGGAATTATGTCGATATTTGAATCATATATATGTCTGCTGGCGGGGGTTCGTCGGAGGCAATATGGCAGATCTGGCTAAGATTAACTACGAGACGGTCAGAAATCTTGAACTTTTGGTTCCTTCCGTGGAGGTTTCAATTTTGAATAGTCTTGTATCAAGTGGCCAGGTTCTCTCTGAGTTTAGTCCTGTCCAGCGAAAACAGATTTTGCTTAGATTACGCTCTTTTGGTGACCGCATTCCGTCGTTATTCTCTTTCTTCGAAGATTTTAAATGTTTTGAAAAATGGGCACATTGTGTGCATCGTCTTTTTGAGCTGAATGGTCACACTGTTCGACAGAGAATGGACCGGGAATGGAGACCCAGATCATTCTATATAGAGACCGGAGAGAATGCCTATTCCGAAGGAAGTCCTGCGGGGTCCGATGGATTCGACTTAGCATACCGACAGATATGGCTCTTTGCGATGCGCCACTACCCGGACATACCCAGAGCAGCAAGAAAGAACCCCAATATGTGGGCTCGCTGCAGAGCGAAGTAGACGAGAATATCCTAGCTAATATGGCAAAACTGGCATCTAAGCTCGGGTTTCGGTCCAGCAAAATCCACGATCTTCTTGAGAGGTCACCAGACCATCTTATGGCTAAGCAGGCCTTACTCAAAGCGCGCAAAAAAGACCAATTCTCGTATGATGAGCATATTTTTGAATCACTGGTTGAACGGGTTGTAGAGTGCTTCAATGCAGCGACGCCGAAAAGCCATGATATTTCTGAAAGACAGCAACTCCAGACTAACCGAAAGCATCGCTGTGGACACCCTGTCAAATCTCAATTTCTTAGCTGCTCTCAATCTTTGTTTCTCGCTAGGATGCATTGGGATTGGCTGATGCCCGCAAATGTAACAGCATTGCTAGTGCAGCGGAGTATATATCTAGCTTTTTTTGGGCCATTATCAAGTGGCTCAAATGAGCGCTGTATTGCCAGGAATCAACCTGGTGAACTACTCGCTTCAGATGGCAGAGCCTATGCGGTGATTGACATAGGCTCTAGATATGAAGGCTCTTCTCGATTCTATGACGCTGCAGTGGATAGTATGATGAATGATATCATAGACCAAGAGGCACTGCCACGGAGCGCAGTAGACTGCCAACCACCAGGGACGTTCGTGACAGCCAATAACAGAGATGGGCCTGCGCTTGAAAGATTATCTAATCTCAACGCCGCCGAGAATACCATGATGAATGATGTGCTTGACGAAGAAGCTTCACCACCCAGAGCAACATACCCCCCCTTCATCGAAGACATTACATGAAGTGCCTTCTCGTCTCAACACTTCGCAGGAAGGCATTATATATGACGTTAATAACCAGGAAGCCTCGCTACAGATACCAGAAAATCACCTGGCGCTGAGGACACAATACGAAGGGTCGTCCCCCCTTAATGCCGCGGAGGATGATATGATCAATAATCTTCTAGAGCAAGAAACATCATTACACAGACCATCTAGCGCTAAATCACTTCAGAATGTTTCTCAGTGGGATATTCCAGCCTCACCCAACCAGTATTCAAGGTCTGAAGTCTCCTCGTCATACAAGAATCAGCAACGAGCGCAAACTTTACATCAGCTTCAGGAACAACCAGGGTTCTCTGAGCCACTTCTCCAGGGGATTATGCAGCACTTCAGATCACAAGGTGTGCCTGAAAGTATTATAACAAATAACAAATCTCGTCCTCTTTCATCCTACTCTGAACGGTCCTGGGAGACCCCATCTATGGCATCGCGGTTGACTGATGACAAATTGTCCAAGGGCAGGTCAGGAGAGATTTACCATTGGGAAACTGGAAGGTGGCATATGGTCTTCAAACTTTCATTAGATGAAAAGGAGAGCGTAGAGGCGGCATTTGAAAGATACCAAAATGAGCGATACCAAAACGAGCACCTACTTATTTTTGATCGTAACTTGCGAATAGTCAGTAAGAATTCAATTTGGCGAGCTTTGAAGCAAGAGGGCATACTGTTACTGATCCCAAGGAAACTGAGAAGCGACGTCGGCAGACGGATAAAAGCTCCCTTTTAAATACTTTCTCAAATCAGTATCTGAGAGAAGACAATTGTCACCTCACTTGTCGAGTCATATATCAAGTGTAGATTTGTGACAATCGTCCTATGTCTGGGGCTGTCATGAGACAATTGTCTTAAATCTTTGTCAGTCTTGTGATCAGTTAATGGATATGACTCAATCAAATCATAGGCCGAAAAGAGCATCAACTAGCACTGGCACTCGCACAGCCTGCATAGTATAATACGGCACGTCAAATTTACCATATGCAAACTACTTTCTAGGCTTCTTGAATACGACTTTCTTCACATGCTCATGTCTAATTTGATTCTTTGAAAAATCTTCTCCCTAATAAATCTCGTACCCATAATTCCCATATCTGCGAACTATTGACCGTAAAATAGCTGAAGCAATAGTTAATCCGAGCGCAGACCATGTAATCCCTAGCATCAATCTCCCTATATACGCCTCCACCTCGATCATTGGTATTGCCTTCAAAGCTGCTTTGAGTGACATGTAGATCGAAGTTGCAATTATCGAACCCGCCATATTCGAAATAATCGCTATCTGAAACCAATCAGATCAATCCCTTGGATATAATACAGTTAACTCACACTTATCAACAACCCACTTATCTTATCACTATGCTCATACATCGGGATAGCGGCGCTGATAAGAGATAGTGGTGTGGAGACGAACCCAATGAAATACATAGCCGTCATTGCCTGCGTAGCCCGCTGGTATACCTTTTCTATTTTGATTATTCCTTCGGGAAGAAGCTTTTCCGCCAGGGAACCTTTCAAACCAATAGTGTCAGTGATATTAAATGAATACCCTGGCTTCGGATGTGTGCAGTTCTTCGTTTCCGCAGAGTCTTCTTCGCAGTAACTTAAAAGTCCGATAAAAAATGAGCGCTCTATGTTATTCTTGATAGCCTCGACATCATTTTCCACTGAGCTAGCCAGAGTAGAAATGCTATTGATAGCGCTATCTGCAGCACTTTTTATACCACTCGTGGCTGTGGGTAAAGGATTATTCACCCCTAGGGTCTCCGCACTCCCATCAGCGATTGAGTTGATTTCATCTGGAATATGACGTTCGCTTATAATATTGTTGATATCATTATTAATGCTAGAAGAGACACTCTTTATCTTCGCCTTCAATACGATAGGAAAAAATTAGCATGAGAGAGCATTTTAATCCGGAAATCTTACCCGTAGAAAATATATTTCCTTCTGGGGACTAATGTTCTTTGTACAGCTGATACCTATGAAAACTAAACAGATACATGCCAATAAAAGCGGAAGAGATGGTAAAGCTTTCAAGATTCGTAACCTATATTTCATTTTGGAAGAGCATTACTATTGTACTCTCTGTGACCCTGGGTGCTAATGGACTTATAAGAGTAGGATGACCGGGTGTTGACGGGCCGTTCATTTATATGGAGTGCTCATTTGTGGTCCCACTGTGATAACGTATGACCTGGATATCCAAAGGGTCAGTATTTATTCAAATTCTTACTCACATCGTTAGGTTTGGTTGCTTTTTAAAGGCCCTCAAAAGTTTGGCTTAGGTGGACTTATATGAACGCATGTTGGCGAGCGTTTAACGGTATATCTGTGTCCCCGGTCAGGTGTGTTATGCATTTAAACTACACGTTCACTTTTCCACCAGGCCGGGATTTGGCACAAAAACAATCAATTCGTCCGCAAGACTTCGAATTTGACGTCTTGATAGTAAGATAATGAAATGTGCTGCAATCTGCAAACGTGGGTTGTGGAGATTTTGAGGAGAGCCATGCCGGGTGGGGGTGGTCCCCCGTATTGGAACCCATCAAACCACTCAAGTGGCTTGCACCCTTTCGAAACTGACATCACATTTATCAGACGAGAGAAGGCCGGGAAGATCGTCGGACCGTTATAGCAAAATGCATCATATGCACGCAGATTCGCCGGAGTCGCCCAGGAATAAAGAAAAAATATTTTCGCTGCTTGTCTGCATTCTATGAATCCTGCGAAGTTTGTTTTACTTGGTTTGTTAGCTTGCTGTACGTGCGAGTCTCTGCAGGGTAACATTCCGCATGGAAACAAGAGCAAAATTAGCACAAATGCATTCTCAGCGCCAGATTCTGACGACTAATATTGTGGGTCTAGAAGCTAACTAGTTAATCAAACTATCAAAAGGACCATGGTACCCTCTCATTCATGATGTAATTCACCTGCCGAAAGTTTGACTTCGCTAACTCGACCATACGTTCCTGCGACTGCCAGGATTGATTGAATCGAAAAGATTTACTTCACGAGCTTCCCGCGATACAGTCGTTCTCGAAATCGCCTTGACCAGCACTGGGCATTCGGGCACGAAACTTTGACGCGAATAATAAATCAACGTTTTCCTCGGCTCTCGTTGACACCTCCCAAAAACCAACAACTAATTCTTGAATAATCCATCTTCCACCTCTCCAATATTTCTCCTGGGCTCAATCCACATTATGCTTGGCTTGTTTTGCAACAATTATCTCAGTATTTTTCCTCTTTCTTAATGACACAACCAACGCACGTTATGTCTTCCAATTCCGCTTCCCTCAGAATAACTCCCTGGCTACTTATCGATCCAAGCTTATCTGCTATTTCCGCAATAATTCTATCGCTGGGACTCGTTCCGTTTGGAGAATTTATCCAAATATGGACATCTGCTCTTCCTGAATACTCAAGTACCCGTTCCATTGCATGTTATAGAAGTTTTCGAAGCGTATTATCTGCCTGATGACAAATATCAACTCACTGGACCAGTACCACAGAAATTGACAAACTTCCACGATCATCTCCGTTTGCTTGCTCTCCTATTGCCTCGTCGCCTCGTCGCTTGTTGGCTTTGCAGTGATCGAACTTAATATTATTGCCACTGAAATCCTTCTTTTCCCGTGCTTCACTTTTCTAAAAATCCGTATTTTTATCCGGTCTAGTTCTCTTTATACTATGCTCAACCTGCGTCGAAGAGGAAGTCGCCCTACGAATAGGTGACTGACAACCTCCAGGCTTTGGCCTTTTCCAATCATGTGCGTTATCTAAAATAGTTCCGGAATATTCGTTCAGATTTCAAGGCCTTCGTCGTAAAAGCTATGGTCAGACCAAAGTTGCGGTAGCCACCTCTACATAAATAACTAGACTTGCAAATATCATGTGGTTTCTTTAGTCTTCTACTCGAACGCCTCCGACCGCGATCGCAAACTGGGGGAAGTCGCTCTAGCAACAGACGACGAAGGTGAGTGGCAAGACTGCCGTGTTAAGAGGGGAATGTGTGGAAAAGTCCTGATCGAAAGATAGAAAATTATCATGAGCCATTTGAGGAGGCTCGGCGCCGTCTGATGTTCCGTTTCTTTAGCTCGCGAAGGTCATCCGGATTGAAAGGTGGTAAAGGATGATAATTTGCCGTTTTTAACTCGGACTCTTCGGGAGAATCGTTGTCGGATGAATCTAACTCATAGATCTCTCGAGCACCATCACCATAATCATGATAAATACTTTTTTTATCCGTTTTTTTTGTTGGCACGAGTGCACCCGTCATCTGGGGATTTGAACTGTTCTGGATTTCTTCCTTTCCTCCACTGATGGTTCCATTGGCCAAAGGGCGAATCCCGGCTGATTCATAGAAATTCTGGGAGGGAGTAGATAGATGGTAAGAGCTGACGGTCTCCGGAGCAGCGGCTTGAAAAGAAGAATTTGTAAACGGAGGTAGACTAGGATTTTGGGTTTGTATCGAATTAAATCCAGACTTATCGGAGCTAACAAGTCCAGTTTTGATCACAGCCCTGGCATTTTCAATAGACGGTCCTTCGATGTTTTTGATAATCACAGCGATGAGTCGTATGTTGTCAACAGCTTTGGTAAGATCTCCAATATTGTCAAGTCTGTTTATGGATGCCTTAAGCTCGCGCTCTGTTCTAAATGTCTGTCTTTCTAAGGATTTTCTGGTTGATCGAGATGTAAGCTAGTATTTCGGGATCAAGGGAAAGGTGACTAACATTCTAGAAAGTAATTTTGATTTTTTCCCAAGGTCACTGTCCGGAATTTTTGAGTAATTTATGGTGGCCAACTCAAGCATGGCAATGGTTCCCAAGAGATTGAGACTAGCTTTCACACTGCCCAATGCGGCCAATGGAAGTTGTAGTTCATCTTTGGTGAAGTGCCATCGGACTTTTGCTAATATCTTGCCGAGTGAAGTTGCATGATCACCTCGATATAGCGGCTTCAGCTTCAATTTGATTCCCCGGATTTGGTTATGAGCCAGCTTTGATTGGCGCCGGAGTCGCTGATCAAGCTTTTGTTCCAGGGCTTGCTGCATTACGCGAGTAGGAAGTGGCGCGACAGCGTCGTAGAACATACTGGCCAATATTCGACAGTTTTGTACCTCGTAACGAAGAAGCCGAAGATCTTCTTCGGCCATGCGAAAGTCTCGGGCAAAGCGTCGAAGGCTGATACTACATGCGTCGAGTTGGCCAAGTAATGCGATCCCGGCAGCAACAGTACTAAACGCTTCCATTATGAAGGCGCCTTCATTTACTAAACAGCTAAATCTCAATTTCGAAAGGACTTTGAGCTGCCTTTTATCTCACGCAAATGAGGCTCTTCGCCTGACTGGTATTGCAAACCAATGGAAGAGTGCCACGAGTACTTGGCGTCCCAGAAGGGTGCCTGAGCGGCGCGCGTAAAGGTTGGACACCAGCCCTTAGCGCGAGGTCCGTGTACCGGCGTTTCAATCGATTTCGCCCACTTAGGGAGATCGTGCTCGACCAGATCCCCGAATCTCGTGCACTTGCACCGACACAAGATCTACAAAGGTGACACCAGCTCCCGCGATGAAAACTAATACAGTAAAGTACTTTTATTTCTCTTCCGTGCTAACTTTCTACAAGAAAGACACTTTCATGCTTGGCATGCTTAAAATGATTGTACACTTATCGCCGAGTGCGTCTATTATGAATGATTCTAACACGGAGCTATTATTGTTGACGCTTATCCCATCCACGGTCAAATATTAATACTTATTCTCGCACGCGTTACCACATTCGGGGAAGACTTTATATGCTGATATAGTTGCCAATCCAAATATAAATGAGACCAGCGATTCGAAACTTTGCTTATGTCATTTGGCACTGCGGTTATTACTCATCATCGAGACTCTTCCCATTGGCCCATTCGAATTCAAACTCATCTCCGCTTTATCCAAAACGCTCCGACGCTGCTTTTCGCTTCCAATTTCTATTACCCCCTGACTTTCGTTTCAGGGCCGATGCGTGCAACGCGCGCATCTTCAAGTACCAGAAAGCTACTATTTTTATTATCTGCTCAATAAGGTCTAGCTTATCTTGGCATTTAGGGTCTGGGGAACAATAAAAGAGTGTGGGGGTGACACCGATTTCCGGGAATACTGTAATATCCAATCAATTTATGCTGTAGCATAACAGTAAGCAGCGGAAGGGACTTCGAAATTTCCCTTAATTTTGAGCTTTTCCAGGGTATCCCGAGTTCTAATTTCAGGACTTGTATCATAGAGATGAGTATTATTACTGTTGAATACGAAACATATTATTTTCTTTGCCATGTGATTAGGGTTTGAAAGAGAATCTCTCTCTTTAGGACATGGGGGGAAATGTTGGAGGCTACTGTACGGGAAGGATGCTGGACTCAGAAAAGGATGAGTCTCCCAGAATCTCCAGCAGTATTCAGACGTATACTGTACAGTACATAGGTATGACCGCTATTAGTAAACGTTGGGAGAATCAACGCGCAGATAGTCCCTCAATGGGTCTTGATGGCCGTTTGCCGACACTCGCGATTTCCTCGTGAGCAGAAGAGACAACCAGGGGTTGCGGACGGCGGTTCTCAGCCGGACACGCACGTGATACTACAGAGGGCTGATTTCGTTGGCTCGTCGGATGGGCTAGAGGTGGGTACCCACAGCAACCTTCGATCGGCGGTGGGCTTGCACTTACTCGCGTTGAGGTTTTAAAACCACCCACAAAGTATTGAATTCAAAGGACCCCCTGGTCAATTTTCCGACGTTGCAGCAGCCTTAGTGATGCGACCATATCCAAAATGACACGTAAAGACTGAATCGTCGTGCATCTGCTTGCCATAAGTCGCGTGATAGACGACCACTGGCTCACTTGCACGTCGCAAACTCCCCTGCACTTGCATGCATGAACCGCCTCACTGTTCCTTCCCCTCATCTGAGGCTCAGCTTGTTGACCTCAAAGCTGTCGCTACAGAGCCAGCGTCCTCGTGAGATGACCCTGAATATATAACCACTCTTTTCCGGCAGAAATTTGAGGCCACACGGTTTCCCAACGCTTCGCAATCCCACGATTTGGCAAAACAATTCTCTACAATGCCTGCCGTCAATGCCTCATCATTGAAATCAGGAGAGAACGATACTCTACCTCTAGCCAACACAGGCAGTCTTGAAGGATTTATTAAATACCTGGGTATACTGGCCTCAAGCCCTGAATCTCAGTTTGCAGCTACCGTGCTTGGCGAGATCACGAAACAGCGCGAGCAGATTCAGTCTCAAGATGAAGAGTTGAAGGAAAACAAAATCACCATCAATGGAATGTTCAAAGCTAACCAGGATGAAAAATTAAAACAGCAAGATTCTGCTTCCCAAATTGAATCCCTTCGTGCTACTGTTCACGAGAAGGAAATCGAAGTTGCTGAATATTCGAGGAAGTTGGAATCTCTACAACAAGAGATAGTCAATCTAAAAGCAAGTTGCTCCCAGGAGGCCGCGAAGGCCTCACAGTCTGTTAAAGACATCACTACATTACAGAACAATTTGAAAGAAAAAGACAAGACGATAGATCAGATGAAGACAACGGGATTGAAGTTGAAATCAACGTTATCTACCGAGCAGAAAAAGAGCAAAGAGCTGGAAGCTGCCAATGCCTCGATGAGAACAGAGCTGCAGGCAATCCGGGACCGTATTCAGAATATGGAAGACTTCACAGTCCAATATCCGGACATTGACGATGACTTTGTGTAAGTAGTGTCCGATGGTTACAGTAGAAGAAGGTTTGAACTGACTTCTGTCGCCTTTGACCACAGGACAGCGGAGTTTAAAAACCTCTGGACCTCTGCTACAAACGAACTATTCCCTATCATAGAGCAGGATGTTCCCGAAAATATTCTCAAGGTCGGTTTCTGGAATCCTTTTCTCCCATGCTGATGGAATCCCATGCTGATGGAATAAAAAGGACAAGATCGTATGGGAGTTGCTTAGGAAGGTAGACATCGTTTTGCCGCCGAACTTTCCACTGATTCCCTCAAATTCATCGGCAGCCAAAGCAATACGATTTGCATTGATCCTGGCAATTCTGTTCAGGGAAATCAATCAACGGATTTTCCAGCCCAGCTATTTCCTGTCAGAGGGCAACAATCTTCGTGAAACCCTCGAGGATCTTGCAGGTAGCAATGGCGAGAAGGAAGCGTTTTTCCGTCGCATGCTTCTCTCTATTAACCCAGATGCTGAACGCAACGCTCTTAACACTGAGATTCGAGCTGTAGTCCAGAAAATGCTCTCTTATGCGGGTGGCCTCTTTCCAGAGTCGCAGCTTGACTTGTTCTGTACTAAAATAAAAAAAATAGCCCAGAGCGCGGCCGAGGCTTGGCTCCCAATGCAGCGCTCGCGACAAAAGTTTGCGACAGACTTCGAACCTTTTGATCCCGAATACAGTGAATGGGATCGTTTCCCTTTTGCCGGTGAAGATAAAAAACTGGTAGCACCGGATCTTCAGGGCCTTTATATTCTCAATGTCTTCCCATGCATTTCCTGGTTGGAGGATGACGACTATGACCCACTGACCAAGGTTATACAACTCCGCAGCTCTCAGACACTTTATTTGGCAGCGCAGCAGGAAGCTGCCCAAATAGCAAGCTGTGTCCCCGCCAGGAGGTCTTCGAATCGTCCCAGGAGGCAATCGACTGCAGGTTCGAATGGGAATCATTTTTTAGGTGGAAGTTCGGCCAAGGTCTGACCTTCAGGCTGTGGAAAAGGTTTCGGGTACGCCAAAAACCCTAGAGATTGATAGGGAGTATGGACAGAGTGGCATCTAAGGTGTATCTGCCTCGGATCTACTCTTGAATAGGTTTTTCGGTCATGTAATACCGCAAGTTCACTTTTTTTGCGTGATATGATATACTAGCTTTTGACCAGCCGCTTTTTCGCGAGAAATGGGAAATTATTCTGGGAGATATTAGATGAAGAAAAAGAAGCTGTGAGCCTCATCTCATCAACGGGTCGAGACGCCACGGTATGCCAGGTGATGCGTGTGCGGGCAGGAGCATTCCGGTATCGGAGGTCCCACTCTAGAGCCAGGAACAGCATCATTGGCCGGTTGTGCCTCTAGGTGTGATATTGTAACTCCAATGGACCCCTCATTAGTTTCAAATTGGACCACACTAGCTCTGCCGATGTAACCGTGGCTACATCTTGGCGACGGCCCTAGCTTATCGTTTGGTCAATAAGAGTCCAGTCGCATCTCTTGACTGGCTCCTCACGAAATCTTTACTTCTCGAGGCATAGAACCCATGATCGCGGCTTATCGAAAGTCGGTCGGCCCAAATTTGAAATGGAAGAATCAAAGAGCCATTTGAATGCTAAGTGAGCTTAAAACCACAAACAAAATGCCAGGGATAGGGGATATACTAAGCCTCATCAAGGGCACTAATGTCTGGCATTGTGAAGCTAGATGTGGGCGAGTCTCGAGCTCCATTTGATGTGCACCTGGAGCTACTTTGTGCCTGCTCCCCGTACTTCGACCTCTTATTTAGCAAGCGTACGGAGAAATCGCTTGATGACCAAGCTATTCATCTTCCGGACCTGGATCCAGATCTCTTCGCGGAAATAGTTCTTTGGATGTATTGCAGCAAGCATTCTCTTGGGGGACTTCAAAGGAAGAAAATGAATTTCCTACTGAAATTGTGGCTCTTAGCCAAGAATCTTGAGATCCCGGAGCTACAAGACTCTTTGATGCCGCTCTTGAAGGGACGAGCCCAGGAAGATACCCGAGAGATTCTCTGCAACGATGCAGTCGATCTCATCTACACTCAAACTTTGCCCAACAGCCCTTTACGGCACCTGGTGGTAGATATCTACATAAATGGTTCCAAGGCGGAGCGCAAAGCAATGAATGTCCAGGATTCTCCACGTCAGTTTCTTGAAGAGGTCTGTTGGGCCCTGCCAGACGAAGGGAAAGAATGGATGGGGCTTCCATTACCTTCGCTCGACCAAACAAATCGCTACTATGTTAGTCATTCACTGGCACAGACAGTATATGCCGATTTCCGAGAAGAAACAGACGATTTCCGAGGAGAAACAGACGAAATAAGGCAGCCTGCAACCCCAGCACAAATGAGGTCTAGAAAATTCAAAAACCTTCCAACGCACCACAAAGGAACGCATTCAGTGCAAAGATCATTCAACAAAGGAAACGAAGCTGAGCCATCTGGGGAGCTGCCACAAAATGAGCATGGGTCTAGTTTATCTCAATAAGCTACATAAAAGATGCGAAGTCCGACTTTGCTTTCTGGTCAAATGATGATGGCTGATATTGAACTGGGTCAAGATGTGCCTCTGCAAAATCCCATCAAGATGTATCTTAATGCTAGGCCTCGCGTGTCCAAATATACCCCTTATTCATTGAGCAAACATATTTTATTCAAATAAGACTAGCTGGCGTATCTTTATCGATCAAATATTTTACTGTCAGATCGAGGTCTAAGCCCCAAGCTTCCTTGAACCGTCACAACCCCGGCTCCGACTCAGCATGCAAAGCCCAGGGCCAGTATTGAGTGGACTAAGTGCTGCGAATGGTTTCTATCGGTATTTCTCGTGGAGGATTTATTTTATTGGCCTATTGTCAGCTGAGTGGGTATCTACAGTGTATTTCATTGGACGACAGTATGTCAGGGATCTCTGAGCGGGCAGAGTCAGGTTTCGCGGCCAGTGGCTGTGGGTGGCCCGACAGTCACACTTCCCAGCGAGGACTCATCTCATAGGCTTCTCAGCCTGTTGTGGAAGTGGATCGCTGCGGTGGCTTTCATTGGAGGATGACACAGCATTATTGGGGACCTCAGCGAGTACATCGATATAAAGAGCCACGAGGATCCTCTTTTGTGAAGAAAGAATCAGGATCAGAGAATATCTGCCTCCTCTGCTTCTCTTCTCTAGCATTCGATTAATTAAAATTGCCGTCTTAGACATCTTTCCACCTCTTCATTCTCTCAACATGATGCCATATCATAATTAAGTTTTGCCCTCTTCTTGGAGAATATTGTTCTGTCCCCTAACAGTTGCGCAGAATCCTGCAATCTGGTGTATTTCACCTTTACGTTGGTAAAAAGAAAAAGCAGATCACAATCCATCGGGCTCTGGAAAATGCATTCCCAAAAAAGGTTCTTGAATCAACGACGATCGAGAGTGTTGATGAAAAACTCTTTGGTCGTTGTTGCGAGTTTGTGTACTCCGGGGATTACTCTGACCCTTGCCCCCTTCCAGGATCCCCGGGAAGCAACAGCTCGCAGTCAGAAGACAATGAAACACGTTGCCAGGAAGAGGCAAAGGGATGGGAGCCTTCCAACCTTAGTTGGAATGTCTTCCACCCAAAGGGCCTTTCGCTTAACTATGGTATCATGCAAGCAGAACTTAGCCATACTCCGCGGTCAGGATCTGAAGGGAACCTTAGCAATAACCCTAACACAAGCTATGCAGCAGTGTTTCTGGGTCACGCTGACACCCATCGTTTTGCATTAAGAACAGACTGGTATTCTCTTAGCGTCCTATCTTTCTATCGGCTGCTACGATTGCTTGAGAACTTTACTCTCTTCGAAGAAAGAACGGGGGACATCGTTCAGCTATTGATATTTGTTTTTGAGGAAAGCGAGTCCATAAAAAACCTGGAAAATATGCTGCGAGACTACATTATCTGGAATGTGAAGATTTTAATGCGCAATGCCGACTTCAAAAGATTCCTCGACCGGAACTCGTCGTTGGAGCAAGCCGTTTTTCGATCAATGTGGAATTAAAGACAAGCCGAAGTTGAAATATGCGGCAATCCGCACACGTGGGGTCTTGAGGAGAGCTACGCCGGGGGTGGGGATGGGAATGGGGGTGGGGGTGACCTAGTGGACGACTCCGGCGAATCTGCGTGCATTCGATGCATCTTGCTATAGCACTCCGACGATCTTCCCAATCTTCTCGCTTCTGATATATGTGATGCCAGTTCCGAAAAGGTGCAAGCCACTTGAGTCGTTTGATGGTTCCAATACTGGGGACCAGGAAATAAAGAAAAATATTTTCGCTGCTTGTCTGTACCTTATAAATCCTGCGAAGATTGTTTTACTTGGCTTATCTGCTTACTGTGGGTGCGAGCATTTGCTGTCACTGAAGTGTAGCATATCCCTTGGAAATTGGAACAAAATCTTTCATTGGCATATTTAGGGGGTGTACTCTACAGTTCCAGGACATATACATGATGACTAATATGGTGCTTCAGGTAACTAGTTAACTAACTATAGAATAAAACCATGGTACCTTCCGATTCATGATGTAATTCACTTGCCGGAAGTTCGACTTCGCCAATTCGACTATACGTTCCCTGCGACAGTCATGATTGATTGAATTTAAAAGATTGACTTTCCAAGCTTCCCATGATATGCAATTTTCCCTCACACATCATATCAGATCAGTTCAAAAATATTTCAGTGATTATCAAGTTTTCCCCAGTTAAAGGAAGTATGCTGCCATCATTTGCGACAATGGTGCAAAATCTTGGGAAAGACTCAAAGCCAAAAGGTATGACAGCTCAAATCAGAATATATTCCTCACCTCATCAGCTCACGAGGTTTTCCAAGGGAATCAATCCTTCAGAACAGCATCGAATCGCCATGACGCTTCCCGCACATCCGTTCATCGCCCTCAAGAGCCTGTCAGTCGGGTAAGCGCTTCACAAACAGCGTTCAGTCATACAGACCCAAGTCATTCCCCACCAGATAAGGTGGATATTGCACCTGGCGCGGGGAATCTCGTGTATCAAGCTCAGTTCCCGTATGTGCCGCCAGCTGTCTGCGCGGCTTGCGGATCTTCCCTCAACTATCCTGCACCTCCTGGCACTATCAATGCGAACCGAGATTTTCTTCCCTTACAAAGCGTCAAGACACAACACCCATTGCCATTAAACACTCCATTTTGGTCACCTACTGGTAGTAACCAGGAAAGGGCGTTGTTCCAAGATCATCCGTATGGTCCTGCTAATTACCTGCAATTACCCAAGAAGAATTGTCGGTATCAATGCATGATATGCCAGAAACCGTTTTTACGTCCCATCCAGCTCATTACTCATGTGCGCTCTCACACCGGTGAGAAACCATTTCGCTGTCCTAATATTGGATGTGAGAAAATGTTCTCCGTTTCGAGTAATGCTAAGCGTCATGCAGGAAAATGTCCAACTACCAGAGATGCGGGTCAAAAAACTTCTTCGGTTACATAGAAAATCAAACTAAGTCAGCCGGACCTATTTTGTGACGAATTTGGAATCCAAAATCAGATCGAGCTACACAGCCCAGTCCGCTCGTTTGTCTAAATGAATCCTGTAATCTGACCTTCCACAAGTAAATTAATCACATAAATTAATGGATCTTATTACAGAGCAACGTGCAATCATGCTTCGTTCAGATCTTTGTTGGAATTTGAGAAGACAGTTTTCGATTCATAGAGCTTCAGAAAGCTCTTTCCTAGACAACGCCCTTCGGCCGTCTTTATTTGAAGATGTTGATGAAGTTTTGTTTGCTCGTTGCTGTGAACTCGTGCATCCTGGCGATTGCTCCCTCATTAAGACTTGATACGATGGCAGCCTTCACATGTGATTCAAACACCTTCCATCCGACTATGTTTCCTCATGTCTACACACACCTGCTGAAAAAGCTTGACCAGGCTCCACGATCGAAAGCTGCGGAGGCTTCGAGAGCGTAGATTGGATGATGAAAGGCCCCTTCTTGCTGTCTGCGCTTGTAATTCATCAGGAATACTGGCATCTTCCAGGGTCTAATAATGCTGTGTACGGATGTACTGAAAATTGCAGCGCACACAAGCTAGGGGGCTACACACGACCCTTGTAAAATGCATGAGAAATGAATCAAATCATATCAGCTCTTTCCCAATGCTCATGTACACACCCTTTTTTGCTAGACAATCTACTGCGCAAATGTGAGCCCTCGGAAAAGTGTCTCTGCCACATCTGGTGAAAGACTGCCTTTCAATGGCCGAATCATTGTCACGGGCCCAACCCGAACCTATCAATAATCTTCTCTAGATGTTCATTATGAACATAATGTTGCAGCATTTCCGTTTTCCATGAGTTCCAGTCTGTGTCTCTCTCGACCCCAAATGAAGCCCATATACCTCGGATTAACAAAAGTGTTTCATCCCTTGACTTTGAGTAAAGTTATCCCAATATTTATACCGTGTCTTCAACCGCCAACCCCTCTTGTCACTGCAACGGGCGGCAACTGAAACGTGATGAAAGCCATGGGCATCGAACGATTGGCATTCACGTCTTCCCCAATTACTACAGCGCTTAAATCTTGATCACATTCACTGCAAGTCATATAGCGCCGCAACCCCCGGGCTCGACCTTGTATGGTAACTGAGCACGGATTCTCGTATAATAAAATACTATTCGCCATTACTGGAACCCAGCAGAAAACAAATCTGTCATCGCTGCGTGACAATTACAGGATTGACGGACTATCTCGTGCCAGCGCCAATATAATCTTCTCTATTGGTTAATCCATTGCTTGGTGGTGGAATGATACGTGCCGCCCAAGTACAAATGATTCCGACGTGGTTGATGGGTCCTTGGGTGTCCCTCGAGAAGTTCTGCCACAAGAGCAGTGGCAGAGCGGGGAAATTAATTAAACGAGTTCACTCATCCAGTGGCTTGGGCTTCCATCACAAGTTTTGAATAGGGACTTAGGTCTAACCAGACCTTTTATCGATACAACATAGAAAAAGGGTGGAAACTGTATGATAAAGAGGGTCTTCTTTCAAAAGTGTATGTACAAAAAGGTAGAAGAGTGGATGACTTATTCCTTGATTATGAGCCTTTACCGACCGCCAGCCCCATATTGAGGTGAAAAACAGCTGGGGCTGGGAGGGTGTTAGGAAACGCACGGACCTTTCTCGCAAGTGTATTGGACACAGGTACGAGAATGAACCATGGAACCGCCGAAACACAAATTCAGCCCCGTTTGGCCCCCACACTAAACCCCTCCAGGGCTCCAACGTGTTCAAGTTCAAGTTCGAGTTGAAGTTCAAGTTATAAATAAATAAACTCAAGCTGCAAGTCTTCTTGCCAAGTCCACTTACCAAATCCCCAAATCCTAGCGTCTTACAATCACCCTTCCTACTACATTGTATACATTTGATCGATCCATCTAAGCGATACCTAGGTATTTACTTACTCCCCCGAGAAAATCTCCAGCGCTCCCAGCTAATACATCAGACAGATAAACAGACTGACCCAAATCACAATTCGCATTTTTTTTCACACCTACTCTCAATGCGATAACTTTCTTTTCCAGCAATAAATGATCATGTTTGACTGGCTGAAACGTCTAATCTTCGCATCCTCCGAGACCGAAGGGATAATATCTCACTCCGAGAGCCAATATGCTGAACTCCAACAAACAAAGGCAGATCCCGATAGCAAGAAGGCGAAGAAGAAACTCGCTAAAGAGCACAGTCGGCGGCAACGGGCTCGTGAGCGCCAATTGACGCGTGAATTTAATAATCAGGATAGGATATGGGTTATGAGAGGCGGCTTTGGGGGTGCTGGGGGGAGCTTGATGCTAAAGCTGGCGGACGGTTACATTACTTTCAAGTTGCATATTTGATTTTTTTTCTTCTCTTCTTCTCTTTCATAAGTGCATTTCAGCTAGAATACTTGGCCAGGAGATACTAGAAGAAAATGATTTACCCGTTGGCAATGAAATCTTCTATGGCGCATCTACACGGGGTGTGTGGTCCATCGGATCAGATGTAATTCTGAAAGACCGGCCCGACGAAGGTCCGAAAGCAAGAGTTGAAGTTAAAACATTGAACTATTTAGCGACCCATACCGACATTCCCATCCCGAAGGTTTTACGTGACTGGGTCGATCGAGACGGGCGGTACTTCGTTTTGAACGAACGCATTGGTGGTCAGAAGCTCGAGGAGGCATGGAATTCTTTGTCAGAGCGCCAAAAAATAGATGTCGCGGATCAAGTCGTGAAAGTGAGAAAGCAGCTTCGGTCAGTCCCCCCCATGCTGTCCCGTTATGATGACTCCTGACTCCTCGCTGAGGGCTGGTGTCATTGGCCTTTCAGCAGCGCTGGAAGTGTGGGTCACCGCAGTGTCCACCAATGGTGTTGTACCTCAGCAAGAATCTCCAAATTGCCACAGCCTATGTTTAGACATTCTACATCTGCTTGCCATGACTAGAACGGCCCCCATTTTGCGTCCCCGTCCATGTGATGGTACTTTCTGTTGGCATGAGAAGCCAATAATCTGGGAAATACATTAGCCATCCCTACAGCCTGCCTCCTTCAAGTACAAGAAATAGTAAATCCCTCACGAATGACTGATCTCACTTTGGTGCCTCTACTCACCTATCCCTCTTTTCTTAAACAATACTCTTCTCGATCAAAATAAGCCAGGAAGCTAGGCTGATGATAAGAATGGAAAATGACGGGGAGAAAATGGCGGGGAAGGGAGCCCACAAGCGAAGCAGTACGTTTTTCCCTTTCACTAATAGATAGGTGATGTGAGCTCTGCTGACAGTTGTTTAACGTCCAGGAATGGACTTCGAAGATGATAACGGCTTGACAGAAGATGACTCTGAGTACAGTCGTTCGGATGAAGATGAGGAAGGATGGTGGACTGAAAATGAGAGCGAAGATTCGAATGTCGAACAGGAAATCGAAGAGCACGAATATACCATCTCCGATGACCCGACACGAACAATTAAAATCCGGTTATCGTTGACAGATGAAGGATTCAGCGAATCTAAGTGGATAAAAAACTTTGTCGCCGAATGCACCTGTGATGGCGTCACCGTCGCCAACGCTCTAGCCCGCTATATTCATCGAGAAGATATTCGCCCTGAATTCTGGGAAAGGATGGAAGAGCCCAGCGAGGAAACGTGCGATGTGGCCTTCGATATCTTTGATCGATATGGAACAGTCCAGGCCAAGTACAAGGACCATCCAGTGCAAAGAGGAACTGGTATATGGGGAAATGAGATTGATCATGGCCCTCTTTTTCTACTTGAGAAGCTTCATGTCACAGCACTTGAACTACGTCGGAAGGGACTCGGATGCAAAGTGGTGTCTTTACTATTGGAAAAGGCGAAGAGGTTCCACCAACATGAAAGGCCAGATGGTGAAGACGCGGATCTTATCTATGGTTCCGACGAGGCTTTCGAGCGAGCATGGACTCTTCACGCTCTAGTTAGGCCTGGATATCTAACAGCCGATACCAAACCGCAGCTCAAGGGCAAACCCGCTGAAGAACGCTTAATAACAAAAAATCGAAGTGAATCTGCTGCAATTGACTTTTGGCGATCGTGCGGGTTTCGTCGAATTGGAGCATCTCGCTGTTTTGCATTATCATTCGATCTCCAGCATCAGTCTCGCGCATTTGCGGCGGCGTGTGATTTTGAACCACGGAGGAGTAATGCGGAAGATCTCGAGGACGAAGAGCTTGAAATTCTGTATGACGCAGACCCTTGGACTACTGTAAAGGAACTGAAAATGGAAAGGCTTCGTGACTTGTTGCCACTACATCACGCAAGTCTCACTCTAACGGATGAAGAGCTCAGGGCTTTCTTCATCACTCATGCTGATGATAAGATTGGCTGGAATCAAGTGACGAAATCTGAAGCCACGCTTCTACATCTAACAGCTTGCGAAATCAAGCCTTTAAGTACACAATGGCTCCTTGAGAATGTTCCCCGCGCCGACACTTGGAAGGCTGCTCGTGACATTGACGGGCTCACCCCGCTCGAAGTGTTACAGGAGAAGTTAGAAAAAATGAGAACACGAAAGTTCTATGGTTTTTTCAGGGTACTCAACATATCGGATCGCTTCGAAGGGAACTCTGAGGCCGCAGTGTCCTGTCTTTCACTGCTATTTGGACAGGATACTCTGGGGCTTAATAAAGCATGCCTTCGATACGGGTGTACATGCGGCGACTGCGTGGGGGGTTTTATTTCCGCCCGAATGAGGAGTTCTCTAACCTTTCAGGGCGAACTTACGTATGACCTTATGCAGGAAGGAATTGATGATGGCAGCTTTTGGGTAGAAGACAATGACTACATCATCATACACCTCAATGCCGATGTGCGACAAAACCTCAAAAGCAACAAGTCATTACGAAGAGGCTTTATGAATATTTTCCGACTTGCCGTTGAGTGTCTTAAGGCCAATAAGGTCCCCAGCGCAGAAAACCTTGAGTGGTATTCTAACAACCGGAGCGAGTGGCCGCCACATTCCAAGAACTACCTACGACGCGCTGGAACGCAGATGGGATGCTGGGCAGTGCTTCGGTATATGTTTAAAACTGCCAAGGACTGGGACGAGAAAGCAGGTAACGGAGAGTGTCAACTCACGTTGGAAAAAACATGGTCAGACCTTCCAACATGTAGAAACGATCATGAGTTTGAATTCGTTGCCCGGGTTTGTGGTTACGGTGGGGTAGATTGCCTTTCGTTGCCAGGCTGGTACATGTAAATTAAATCAGTTATGCCCTCTCGAACGCTGGTTCGAGATGCTAAATTTAATTGGTTCTATGCTGCTTTATCCCCACTCTGGACTGTTGATTAGCGCCACAGAGTAACAGTTTCTATCTGCTTCAACGATTGTGCTTGGTGATTCCGCCAAGCGTGTCCAGGTAGAGAAATGTAGAAATGGTACAAGGATCTCGAAGATCGAAAGAATCTGACGCTCATGTTCGAAGGCCATGGTCCTCCCCGGCATGCCTCCGCAAGTGCATCTCGTGCAGAAGGGACAAATCGCAAAAATTACATCTTCGGTCCATCAGGTGTGAGCCCCTAAAATGCCTCCTCACTCCATTATAGTCGGCGTATGTCTTGGGGCATTGGAAGCATGCGAATGTTAGCTCTGCATTCGGGATAGATTTCCCGCCAGCGGTATGTCTTTCTTCCCGCGACGTAGTCGGCGGCGTATCGGTCTTTATCTTTCGAGCGGGAGGAGAGGGAACTGCATCGTCATCGTCGGACGGCGCAGAGCGTTTCCGTCGTCCCCGAAGGGGCCCACCCTCCTGAAAGCCACAATATTGTATTCCAGCAGCAACAGCTTTGTTGCGCCGCGTCCACTCGTCTTCTAATGAATCGGTGGTGGGCCAAGTGAAGAACGTCTCCACGAGAAGAATCTGCTCGGATGGCATTTCAAACTCCTTCCGTAATACCTCGCGCGCAGGCTCATCACTGACAGCCCCACCAGTCAGCTGTCTTTCAATGTCAATCACCGCCTGTTTCCGACTAAAATCACGGCGTATTTCTTTCCGCCGTTTGTCCTGCAGACGCCGGCGCAAATTCAGAACTTGACGCTTCTGGTCCTCCAGCATCGCCCGCAATGCTGGGTCATGAGAGTGGTCACCGCACTGGGTCTCTAACTCGTATTGCCAGCGCATGGCCGATTGCATTTCTGGGTCTCTCTCCACTGAATCCCGGTCAGTGTCGCTCAGGTATCGTGGTCGCCGCCGATCAATCCAGCGGCTCATCCGGGTGACAGCCTTTGAGAACTCTTCATCCGGATCGAGACCGCACATGATCTCTTGTAAGCCAGTATGCCGACGGGGGCGATAATGTTTGATAAACGTTCTGCTAGTGGCGTGGGCCATGATCACGTTGCGCTGTGCTTCACTGACGAAACCTAGGCAAGAGACTTAGTCTTCAAGAAAGCCAAAACCTTGGGAATGATAGACGACTCACCGCTTTTGTCAAGTAAATCACCTCCTCCGTATCGAAATTGGTGGGAGAAAAAAATGATTAAGAAAGCCGTGTATCTCACTGGATGTCCTGAGCTGTGCGTCGAGTGTGCTACCATTCATGGGCGTCTCCCACAAAATGCGGGGCTGGCCACATATCACCTCAACCCTCGGGAAGACATAGTAATTATCCATTTCTTTCTTCAGGGGAAGTGGCATTTCCTGTCGGCCGCCCTCGACAAGCAGTCTCCGAAGGTCTTCCATCGAGGTTAAGTGAGGCGCTTCAAAGGCGTGGACGTAAAATAATATAATGAAGAGTAGAACATGCGGGCTGAAGACAAGCGATATGCCGTAGACAATTTCGGGTAGCGCGAACGTGTTGCTAATTAATATTGACCAGTCAGTCTGAGTGTAGCAAACAAGCCCTCAGGTGGGCAGGAGGTGTATGGCATCGGGTTGCCACCTACAGCTTCGACATGCCCAACACGCTTTTCACAAACTGTGGCTCAAGTTCTATCATCGGCTTCGGAGGTCCTCCGTGCGGATCCTGCTGGAGCGATATTTGTAGATGCTTGAACTGAAGGTCGAGCATTGCCTGTTTTCGGTTGATAGTAAATAACCCAATAGTGTTGTAAAGACATAGGATAATCCGCTGAAACCCCAAGTGAAATCGCTTCTCCCGCGTTTGAAGGATTGTCTCATTGAATGGAATCATATCTTCGATGTAAACCGGGACATTTGCACGCGGTTGTTTGTCAAGACCGCGCTTATCCACTAAGTATCTCATACCCTGTCCGTCTCGTCAGCGCAAGCCTCCCCGAGACGTTTTGGGGCGAGAGGGGCAAGGATCGAAATACAAACCGTGCGAACTGCCTCGCCCATCTCTTTGCTCATCTCGTGTTTGACAACTCGTGTGTAGTAAATTCGGAAGTACTTCCAATCCGCTTCAAGGGAGCTGGCCTTTGTATAGCCTTTCTGACGGCGACCATCAGGACTGTATTCCAGTTTCAGACACCAATTGAGAAATCGATGCATGTCATTGGGAGACGCCTCACGCAGTGCATCCTCCGCATCTCCCCACCTGAGACCGGTGGAGGGCTCCATTGCTTTCATTTGGCAGAACCTGAGATAAGACTTGTTGGTCAGTTGATGTTACCTCGCTTGACATTTTCAACGATATCCTGGTCACTCACCAAGCCCAACGCTCTTTCAGTCGAAGTTTCAACCTCTTCGTTTTGTTGGATCGGCCGTAATCCTCGGGCACCTGGGCCAGGTCCTCATCCGTGTCATCATCCGGGACTTGGTATCGTGCCTGGTGGGCACGTTCCATATTCGACAGGTCTGCTAGTGACGATCTTGTTCCGGTGTTTGGACTTGGCTTCTTCCGAGCAATCGTTCGATCCGCTGGAGAGGAGCATTCCGGCTCGGTGAGATCGGTCTCAGAGGAATCGGGCTCGAACGGTCTATCATTGTCGGTATCGATGGGAGAGTTACAAGAGGATTCGCTTGTGATTCCGTGGTTTCTGACATGGGCCCCCCTCCGACGATGCATGGCTGATAGATTTCGCCGACCGTGCGAAAAACCGACACGGAGCTCGAGACGTTATAATGCACGACTGAAAGGAAGAAAGCAAGACGGAAGATCAGAGGGAGAGCTTTGGAGTGGTGCTTGAGTCGAAGTGAGGACAGTTTGCTGGGCAAAGGATGGTTGGGAAGGAGATATTTATAGCCATGGCGGCTGGGTACTGGCCAGGGTGCAACTGGCTTGGTGCTGAAGGAGCCATTTTCGGCGCCCCCTCCTCAGTAGGAGTGGTGGAGCGATTGGCGAGCCCTCAGGGATGTAAGGATGTCAACGCGCACAAAATGGCAGCCTGAGGCAGAAACCGGTGAACGGTGAGTGGTGCGTGGTCGAAGGAAGCAGGGGCGTGGCGGAGGGATGTTGCTGAAAGGCGGCCATTTTCGGCCTCACCTGCGGCCGAAAAAGGCAGCGAAATAGCAAAACGCAATTCTTAGCAAGTAAAATAACTAGGTAAGACTACTACTAATAGCATAATTTACGTATAACAATGCTATATACGTAACGATAAAAGAAACTCTATTCTTTGTAAATTATAGGTATAATCCCTTAATTATCAGAGAAACTATCAGAAAATAAATAGAGGCAGAAGTATTGTAGCTTCTAGCCTCAGAACTTAAACAGCTATACCTCTAGTTAGCCAGAGATATTAAGTTTTTTAATCTACAGATAAAATACTACTACGACCAGAGTTACTAGAAGGGACTAGACTTTAAAAAGGGAGAGAAGGTATACCTCCTACGTTAGAATATTAAAACTAAGTAACTAAGCTTAAAACTCAACTACTTAAAACTAGGACTATTCAAAATTAAAGAAAAATTAGGACTAGTTAATTATTGCTTAAAGCTACCAGACAGTATACAACGTATATATACAACCTTTTATATCTTATTACTTAAAACTATACTAGAAAACGCTAAACTTGCTATAAATATAGAAATAGAGGAAGAAACTAAAAATAAATATAAAGTTGAAAACGTTCTAGATATAAAACGTATTAGTAGAAAGCCTTACTACTTAGTAAAATAGAAGGGGTATAATACCTTAGAGAATATATAGAAACCTACCGAAAACCTGACAGACTACCGCTAGCTAGTTTAATAGTTCTACTAGAAGACTGGCCCAGGATACTATCTAGAAAAGAGATATCCGGGACGGCCCAGAAAGCATCCGGTATCTGGTCTATTAACGCTACTATCCTTATCAGACTTAAGTCTGACGTAGTAGTTAGTTAACGAATCTCTTACTGCTCGGCCAAATAGTCAAACTCAGAAAGTTTAGTAAAAGACAGAGGATCGTCCTTATTAAGATAATCCGATACTAAAGAGTTATAATCTAATATCCGACTACTATAATCTTTAAGAAATTATTAATATTTTTACAAACGAAGAATCTTTGCTATTATCTTATTTATTTTTTAGGAATACTAAAGAAATTACTTTTAGGCCTCTGTAAGGTCTGCTAAGACCTTCTGCTCCTTCTGTTATAAGTTATCCTACTCCTTGTCAGTATAGAAGCTCTGTTTGTACACCTGGCCCTAACGGACGTAGATAGAATACTTCTTACTATTTACGTAAGGGCTTATAATACAGTACTTACCACAGATAAGGCAATAATCGTAAGGGGAAGATATAGGACAACCGGACTGTTTAATTCTAAGAGTAAGATAATTATTGTCAGCATACTTATTACGTTTTGGCTTTTAAATAGCAGATTTAGGTATATTAAACTATAACAGAGAAAATTAAAAACTAAGAGGACCGATATCTACCAGAGGGAGGTAAGCAGTTATAAGGGATTCTTAAGGATAAGAACTAAAGAGAGAGGGAGGTAATATTACAGACTATACAATATAAGGGGCCGCAGGGGCTATAACCTACAGATAGGCTACTAAGAGCTAACTGTTCCTAGGAATATAGAACCAGATTATATAAACAATAGCCGGAATCAGCCTCTAATTTGCTGTATTAAATAATACTGTACTAAACTATAAGACGGCTAGCGTAACGTAAGAACGGATATTCTTTCTACTATTACTAACACTACACTATAAGTATAAATAACCAGTAAAAGACCTACGTGACCAACCTGGTACAGGAAACGGCTATGCTTTTATACGTTCCGGAATTACGTCTAGAATATAGGAATCTGTAAAACTATACGTAACTACAGGGTATACCAGAGGGTATACCAGCGGGTAGGTAGAAGGATATAATCTGGTATACTACTAGATATACCTTCTAATATACCATACTACAAAGGATTAGATATATAAGGATACTCCTTTACATACATATATTTAGTTCTTCGCGATTAATCAATCTAAGTTACTACAGTATACCTTTGGATTACTCTTTATTTAGTTTCAACTCTTATGACAAATATACTATAAGTAGGGGAGCTCTTCGGACTAACCTATTCGGCATACTACCTGGCGTATCCTTCGAAGTTACTTAATAAGATCCGAGCCTGTATAAGGCTTAGCACAGCAACGGTACGATTATAAGTCGATACTTAAGGATTACAAGTGATAGACATTACGCACAACCAACAACACAGAGAATAACTGGTAAGTTGTTTACTAACGATCTAACCACTCACCGTGACCAGTTAGCAACGCGTAACATAAGTTAGATTACTAAATAAATAAATATTATTTACTACTAAAAGCCTTAGAAGCTAAGATCTAGAAAATCTACTTAAGACCTTAGTACTATTATTATAAGACAGGAAGTCCTATAGGGATTAGGGGACGTTTGAATAGCTTTAGTAATTACCAAAAGAGGAAATAGTATTAAAGGATTACCCTTAGGAGGCTTAGTAGTCAAAAGGTTAGATTAAAGAGATCAAAAGAAGATTATAATCTTCTTAGGTTTGCTAGGGGGTATAGGCCCTTTTTATATTGTTCTGGCTGAGCAGTAAGCTAGGCCAGACTAGGCCTAATTAAGCCTCTGGCAGAATATTATTAATAAGCAGTATAGCTAAATAGACTAGGCCAAAATAGGCCTGTGGCAGAACTCTAAAAGCTTAGAACATAGGCCTTATTTAACAATAGTTAAGAGCTTTAATAAACCTTACTAAGTTTATTAAGCTTAACTATTTTTGTTAAGAGGATTCTTAACTAGCTTTATAAGCTTAACTGATTTTGTTAAGTCTTCTTGTTAAGCTTAACTAATTTTTATTAAACCTTCTTATATTAGAAGCTTCTTATCTTTTCTTATATATATATTCAGAATTATAATAATACTTAGTTAAAAAGCTTAGAAAAAGTTCTAAAGTTAAACTAACTTCTATAAATTCTAACTTCTAGTCTTAAGTAGAAATAATTATCTATCTCTATATTCTGATTTATATCTAAAATTATAAGACTGCAAAGGTCTTACTAGGCTTAGGGGAATATAGATAGAGAAGGAATTATTATAGATAGTTGATTACTGAGTAATCAATAAGATTAAGGGCTTGGTTGCTTGATTATAGAGGATTCTGATTGTTTTATTTTTTTATTTCTAAAGGAAAGAAGGCCCTATTTAACCTTAGAATAGTTATACCGGATAGCTAGTATTCTAGCTATCTGGCCGGTTATCTAGTATACCGAATATCCGGTCGGATACTAAGTATACCGAAGATCCGGCCGGCTACCTAGTATACCGAAGATCCGGTGTTTTTTAGGGTTACTAAGCCTTTAACTAAATCTTAGTTATATCTTTAACTAGATCTTAGTTGTATCTGTATAATATTCATAAAAATAATATTAAATATATATAGATATTAATATCTATATAGAGATAGATCTTGTTAGTTATAAATTTATCTAGAAATATTACTTTAATTAAGTAAAGTATAATATTTCTTTTTTAGAAGTAGTAGACTAATAAGATATCTCTATCTATAGTATATAGACTATTCTAATTACTGTAAAACCTGTTTAGTACGATGTAGGCTTAGTGCGATATCCCCCTTAGTGCGATAAATTTTCGGCTAAATATTGGATCCACCATACAAATATCGCCAAACCTTGATAAAACAGTATATCGTAGCCTCCTTTTTTCTTTTCTACCTATATCGTACTATCGAATATATTACTAAGCCTATAACAAATCAATATAACTAATCAGAATGCCCCGTCAAGTAATTTCAAACCGCTAAAAGGCTGCTCTCAGAGAGCAACATTGATAATTTCCCTCTGCTATATAACAACAACTAGCTCATTGGTTTAATGAGAAATACAACTATCGTCCTACACAATCTACTTTATCTGCTATTCTATCATCAAAATACGAATATCTGGATACTAATCCTTCTGACTATATTATTAATGCAAAGCAGCGACGTACTGCAAAGTGGCCTGATCTTAAAGCGGCATTGATTTATTAGATTACTCTTGCTGAAGGCAATATTCCGATATCTTAAGAAGTTATCCGAGAAAAAGCTCGAGATTACTGGACTAAGCTCCTAATGTATGCTAATCAACTAATTCTAATCTTTAGCAATAGATGGTTATCTGTGTTTCAAAACCGAGAAAATATTCGGGATCGCCGACTATTTGGTGAACTTAGAAGTACTTCAGAAACTGCAGCAGAAGCTATGATTCTAATTCGATATCTTTTGAAGACTTATAATGCAAAAGATATTTTTAACTGTAATAAAACTGCTCTTTATTAGAAACGAGTTCCTGATCGAAGTCTTACTATAAAACCTTTACCTAGATAAAGGCAACAAAAAGCAAGAATTTTAGCTCTATTTTGTTGTAATACAGATAGCTCTGAAAAACTCTATCCTTGGTTTATTAGAACAGCTAAAAAACCTTGTGCTTTTGCCTGTGTAAAGATTAATATTAAGAACTTGAATCTTTAATGGAGGTAGAATTTAAAAGCTTGGATGGTTAATAAGTTTTTTGAAGAATAGCTTCGATGGTTTGATCAACAAATGGTTAATCGAAAAGTTATTCTATTGATGGATAATTTCTCAGCTTATGAAGCTGCAGTATATTCTATTAATGAAAGTTCTTGGCCATTATAAAATACTTTGATTATCTGGCTTCCTCTAAATTCAACAAGTCAATATTAACTATTGGATTAAGGGATTATTCGGACTTAGAAAGCCTATTGGAAACGAAAATGGGTTTAATTTATGGTATCTGAATTTGATTAAGGCTGAGATCCTATCAAATCAATGAATGTTCTTAAAGCATTACAATAGGCAATACAAACTTAGGAACTTGATGTTTCGGCTTAATCTATCAGTAATTGCTTTAAAAAAGCATTATATAATGATAGTTCTGATTAAGATTCAAATGACTAGCTAATTATTGATGAAATCTTATCTAATCTCTTAATATTAAGACCCTAAATAGTTGATCTTATGAATACTGAGTGCTTTCTTAATCCTGAGGATGAAATAGTCTAAGATAGAATTAAGACCTTGGATAATATAGTACTCAGTTAATTTAAGGAAGAGGTAGATAATGACGATACAGCTTTATTGCCTGATATACTATTGGTATCAATAAACAATGCTATCAAGGCATTGGAGACACTATGCCTATATAAAGAGCAGCAGGAAGAAGGCTCAGCGCAGATGATATCCAATCTGTATAGGTATGAGAGGGTGATACAGGCTAGGAAGTTGAATACGCAAAAGCAGAGCGATATTAGGTCCTTTTTTAAATGAAATTTAGTATACGAACCAAAAATATATATTTGAAATACTATAATGCGATACCTCCTTCGTACGATACAAATTGGCTGTGTACGGGGCATCGTACTAAACAGGTTTTACAGTACTATATATAACTTCTAAAAAACTAAATAAGAGTTCTTATATTCTTATATTATTATTAATAAAGATCCTTATCTATCTAAATCCTCTATATTATTATTAAATATAACTATTTAGAAAATATAAATTATATTAGCTCTATAGTAAAAATAGTAGGACAACTACCATTTGTGCCGAGGGCGCCGGATCCGGCGCCCCCCTCGATCGGGTTTGGCGTTGGCCCTCGAGTGACCCGTTCAGGTTTAGCGTGGCCCGATGCGGTTTGGCGTCACGCTATCCCTAATGTGGTGATCAGACCCATCACAGCCATCTTGGGCTAAGTGCACCCACATCCGGTTTAGTGGCTCCCGCTTGCCCTAATTTGGCATTTGCTGCTCTCCACCGCCCGTCGGCCCCCACTGGTGAGAGTATATAACTCGGTGCGTCGCTCGACGTCCTCACCTTCGTCAAGCTGCACCTCCCTCTCGCCCGGCATACTCCAGCGACCTCGCCGCACTGAAATGATACCGTATTTCCGGCTCGCACGGCATCCGCCCCCTGTTTCAGCTGAGCGCCACTCGCCCTGAGACCGCGCCTTCTCCACCAGCTTGCCTACAAACCGATCTATTTGTCTTGAGATCATCCTTAATTCTAGCTATGGCGAGCGGACTGCAATATTGTGCTTGACAGCAAATTAATGTCTTCCTACGTACTGCTGTGCTTTGCTATACCTTTACCCTCGCTCACGTACCTCTGTCTTGCCGTCATAGGCGCCATCGACAACGCCTGACTGTCAGGACACTGGAAATTCGCCATTTTTCCCAGGGTATCTACGATGCGGCGTTCTCCGAGACTATGTTCTACGTACGCTAGTGACTCTACGTATTCTTTTGCCATTGGCCGCTCTTTGTCTCCGCCTGTCCATTATTCTGCGATATTGACGCAAAATGAGCGAAGGTCTTGGTCGTCTACGGAATCCTTTGGCTTGTTGGATCGCCGATTGGGCCGGTCTAACTGGGATCAGCACCAAAGTTCACTTAAATGGGTGCTGGTGCTCGCGCCAAGTAATTCTCTGGGGGACGAGCTTTTGGCTCCGGCCCTCTTTTCAGCAAGGCGCAGGAAGGCAGATTGACACTTCATTGTCAGACCTCGTCAAATCCGACGATGCGACGTTATTGACCAATGAGAAAAATCCCTTATGGGGTCGTCTCTGTGCATGTGGCTCCCGGTCATTCTTGAGGGGGTTTTGCCGACCGCATTGCCGACAGATAGTATCCCTCTCCGTGGCGTGGTCTATGCAATTCCAAAACAAAACGCCCGAAATGGCGAGACATGAGGAATAGGGGCCGTAGAATGTGCATATAAAGGATCTGCGCCTCTGAACAGAAGGAGCATGACCTTCGACACTGGCTTATTTGTCTTCAATTTATCCCAATATGTCTCCCATAAGTCTCGACGAAATCATCCACTATCGCCCTCCAACCGAAAAGACACAATTTCAAGTGCCGCAGTCTATCGGTTTATACCCTAATGGTTATTCGAATCTATCATCTAAGGGCCCTATTCCGAGCCGTCCTTTCCAGCCGAATCAAGTCCGGCCGTCGGGCTTTCCTTTATGGAGATATGCGCAGGGTCCTCGAATGATTCCTCGTTCTCCTGTCGAATTCGGGCCGTTATTACCCCTTACTGAGTCTGCCGGGGAGGTGGCTTTAGATTTGTCGGATGAGATGGGCATGGTTTTTCCGAATATGACTCTAGAAAAAGATACTGACGACCCAGTATCGAACGCTAACTGGTCTAATAGTAGCTTATTGAAGGTTTTCGATGGGGCGTCACTTACAGATCCAGGTAGCCATTGTGATATCAGTACGTCTCAGAGATCGATTTTCTCTACATCCTATCCTACCCGGAAAGTATTCTAGATAATTAAAGGGCTAATTTAATATATTGCAAGCAGGGACTCAGGGTTATAGGTGGTGTCAGGGCATCTATATGGCTCCTTTACAATATCCTGGGGAACCAGACAGTGTTAAAGAGCCTACTGTTTCAAGCTTGGCATCGCCCGGAGATGAGCTTTTTCCTGCGGCCGAAGCGAAAGAAAGTGAAAACAAAACATTGCCTTCTATATTTGCAGGTCAGTCCTCATTGTCATCTTACTATTAGCTTGTCATCTAATTTTGGTATACAGACTCGGCCAAAGTGAAGGACGGAATTTTGCAAGATTCCGCTACTACTAAGGAGGATCTTAATATAACAATTAACGAACATTCTTTGAGCTCTACGGCTGAAAAAAACCCTGATTCTTCATTTGGCTTACTGTCTAGCGATGTTGCCTCGTCAACTGGCGATGCCGAAGCTGGGTTAAATGAGCTTAGACAGTCCCCAGCTTTTACGAATAGCGAAGAAATACTCCCTAAGGAATGCGGTGGCTACTCGACTGCAGAATTCTGCGAGAGTACTTAAGCTGAGGTAAATGAAGCATTTATTACTGATGCTGAGATCGGGCTTTCACACAAAGAAATCAAAATCCCATCGATATCATGTGAGCCTAATCGAATCAGCTCATTAGGGCGTCGTTCCATCTCTATGTCACCTATATCACAGCGTTGTGAAGATCAGTCAAAATGCAACTCTGATAAAGATGTAAATTTGCCTTCGGTTTCCAAGCTTCAATCTGTCGTCATCACCAACTCACGTTTCAGAGAGCGAGACATGAGGAAAATCGCAGTATTAGCCCTAACATCCTGTCTAAAAAGAGAGCGAGGCCTATCCGCGTCATCATATGACGGCAGCTGCAGCGACGGCTCTAGTGACGCTGATAATGCGGACGATGTCAGCGAGAGCTCTATTATATCCCAACGATCAAAAAGAGCTGGGCGGGCAGCAGTACAAAGTTCTCTTTCTCATATACGGCATAACAAAAATACTCGTCACAGCCTCCCCTCGCAACGTCGCCTTTCCCAGACCTCAAAAAATGAGGAGTCCCACCCCCAAATGCCGAGGGATCGGCATCCCATATCTAGTTTACCCGATATAGAGACAATTCCTATTCGAGGTTTCCTGACACGGGAAATACTTCTGTCGAAGGTTGTTTATTCAATTACCTTTGAGGAGCGAACAGAGCATATCTGCATGCAGGAACCCGTTGAGGCTCTGCCAGATTGTACACGTAAAGCTCAACGCAGAAAGTTACCTCGGCAGAAAAAGCACCAGGCTGGAAAATCAATTAGACCAGCTCGAGCTCTGTCCAAAGACGATAAGCTTCTGATCGAATTGAAGAAAGAGAGAGGATTAACGTAGAAACAAATCGGTGCACATTTTCCTGAAAGATCAGTCGGTTCACTACAGGTGCGGTATTCTACACGCCTTAAGAGCCGGTGTGGTAGAAGAGATGGTCGTTCAGCGACGAACATCAAGACCGAACCGTCATTAGGACAGCGATACGGTCCGCCTCGGCGCAGGAAAACCGTCGATCGTTATTCTCCAGTGTGAGATAAGATCTTCGAGTTACTATGGAAGAACTTATCCTTTCAATTCAATATTGTTTTATCTCAGATGCAGGCCTTGATCAATACGACATAGGGGCTATTGTAGAGTCTCTCTTCAGAGCCACTAACAGTCGTCTAGACCCTAGACTTCCTTTGATGCTCTTATATGCAATATCAATTATCGAAATTTTCATATCCAACTTCAATTCATATTTAGCGAGCGACTTCGATATAGAGAGCTAGATAGTAGCCAGTAGAACCCTGTCCCCAGGGGCCTAATAGCACTTAATATCAAGCGATCAAGATCAGGTACCCTTGCCGGTGTCTTCTCAGCATCCAGGTCAGAAATAATCTGTTCAGCTTATAGAACACTTCGTCCACATCATTATGTCATCTGTTCAGTAGAAACTCAGTATCACAATAAACGCAAATCAAGTAGCAGCTTAAGAACATACAGGTCATCTTCTCTCAACTAGCTAGGATAAAGGTATAGAATAAGGCAGAGGCATATTATCGACATAATTTTCAGTAAACTTATTCTGGTTGTTGTCGAGAGTAGCAGGTAGCTCTTCCTTAGCCTTACTACTTCCAGGACAGTTATAGGCTCCACCAGTCGTCTTAATCCATTGACCGCAGGCAGAGCATCGAACAGCCATGATATATGGGAAATTTATATAAGATAAAGGACGTGAACTCTTCAAAATTTTGATAAAGAGAAAATATAAAGCAGAGCAGACGCAGACACGTCCTTTATATAGATACCCAACGACATTTCTACCGAAGGATCCAGTCGAATACTCAATTACGCTCCCCAGTATAATAAGTTTTACTTTACGGCTAAGAATAAACCCCTCTTGACAAAACTACTTAATTTGTCTAGTCGCTGGCAGAGCGTTACGCCCGCACGCTGCGCTCATACCTGGTCGAAATCAAGCAGCCCCCAGAATACCTAAAAGCCGCACCCTTATTGGACGACTGTTCAATTTCCGCACGGGCCCCAGGCGTTACGCCGCCTAGAAGTAATACACACACATGTACGAGCGGGGTAGTCAGTAATACCATAAATCTGTTAGATCATCACATCCTAATTACACGCGCCGCAAACGTTGATCCGTAATTATTAAGCATCGTACAGCAATATATTTGGCAGATTGGTTGCAGCTCTTGCCTCTGCATTAGGAAAAGCGCTTAAAACAACGCACAAATACCTAAAATCAGGCGAAACAACCCCTCCAAATTTTCGGTATACCATTTTTATCCCACCCATCTTCACCACCATGATGAACCCATATAAAACAGACCCAAAGGAGATACCCACAACTGATATATACGCGGATGTACCCCTTTATAGTCGATACTACCCGAAACCAGATGACTTCCGCGTTAACTTTCAGCATATCAATTCCCAAACCACAGACTCTGTAAGATACTAGGCCTCTATTATCAGCCTTTGTACAGAGGAGATCCAAATTTATCCTGCTAACGAGAGGGGCCGCGATATTTTTGCTCTTAGGGGCATGATAGTGAAATCCAGCCACCTCCACGCGCGCAATGGTACTACATGCATAGAGATCAACTACTCATACGCAGATGCAAACGAAATCCGGGCAATTACTTTAGCAAAGACGGCTCTGAATGGTGTCAGAGTTCCAGAGATCTACTTTGCGGGCAAGGTATTTGTTCTTACTTTTCATTGTCGGCCTCGTAACTCACGTCTACTTAGATTAACGGTCGCCAAGTACTCGTCCAAGAAAGGCTTCCAGGCGTCGGATTATCTGTTGCATGGCCTTATCTCTCAAAGGACCAGAGAGAGTCCTACAAAAAACAGGCTAGAGAGATACTTCATCAGCTTCACACTCTTAAACCTACAGAGAACCTCCAAACCCGCTCCCATATAGTGTCGGACCCCAACATACTCGTAAATAGTCGGATCAATCCATTAGAAGGAGAAATCCTTTTTTCAAGCGACAATCATAATCCAGACATAAGCTTCATGCATAACGACTTTACTACATCTAATTGTATTGTTAACAGTAGCACGATTATAGGGCTGATTGACTGGGAAATGGCCGGATACTTTGGTTAGAAAACCGCAGGAGATGTACATCGTCGGATCAGAACTCCACAACGGGAGCATTTCGTAAATGCTCATTTGAGAGAAGACGAGCTTCAGGATATTATGTTCTGGAATAATTTATACGATGTGTATGAATCAGAAAGTTGAAGGAGCGGGCTTTCAGGAGAAGTTTGAGTTATTTCAAGGTCCAGACCATTCCCCTTTCCCTAGAGAGATTATACGATACTGGAGTGCCCCGCTATTCCCTGGTTATGGTGGTGATTCAAGAGATTAGCACATTTTATTAGCTGCTCCAAGAACCAAGCTCGCGGTTTTGAACAGCAAAACCGTTCTAGGCAAGATCGAGTAAGCACACTTACGTCACTTCCGTATGCTTCGGAACGAACGAGGGCCGATACGCGACAAGACGCATAATTTGTTTTTTTGCTATCCGAGGGTTTAATCCGATTTACAGTAGTTTCTATGTAGATGCATTGATGGAAACCCCTATTTAAATACAATAGTGGTCACTCCCCTCCTCCTTCCGTCGAAGGGGGAAGGAATGAGGGGCTCACTTTTGAGCTATTTCCCCAAGGCCCAGCGCTACCAGCAAACGATCCATAATAGGTCTCGAAATAAAGTGAAGTACTCCAAAGTGGAGCAAGGAGAAAGATGTAACCAATCATATGAGACTATACATATAGGGTTCTAGGAGTACCTCGAGCTCCCAGCCATTCTCCCACGATATCTTCTTCTAGGAACCGTAAGCGCTCTAGAAGCAGTCTCGGGCTCGTCCCACCCGCAGGGCGAGCCAATTTCAGTTTGTTGCCCTTTTTTAGCGCCGTGAGTCCCCAGGTTGTGAAGCTCGTGAAGTGATATAGTTAAAATAATTATTCATATCTCTATTGTTCATTTCCTTCAGTCCTAGGTAAGAATTCGATGATTGAGACCCTCACTGGTGCGTGTCCCCAAGCAAGCCTATTACCTTTCCCTGTTGAGGGGTCGGGTCGATATTTAGGGGGTAGCCAAAGTGCGTATTCACCTGCAAAGTCTACCCACTGGTCTTCAATAAAGAACATATTGTCATCAGGTTCATTTGGGCCTGTCGTGTCTGGCGAGGGCTGGATCTTGAGATATTCCAGGTCAGTCTAAAGATACGAATCGTCTTCAAAAACTTCAGACCGGTTGCTTTCCCCTAGACTCCAGTACTTTCTGCAAGGCGCCCGTGAGCGAATTCCACAAGTAGACAGGCAGATCAAAGGATCTAGAAGCTAGTATCTGGCTATCAAGTAAAAAAGCAACAGAGCGAACGCCGTCTGAATGGATCTCAAGAGTCTGCTGCAGAACGCCTGTAGCTGGATCCCAAAGCCGAGCGATTTTACCAAAAGAGCTAGATGCTACAAAGCGGCCATCTCACGAGAAAGCCACTGAAAAGACCAAGTCTGAGGGGCTTTCGAGAGTATGCTTTAGTGTGCCCGTTGCCAAGTCCCAAAGTCGAATAGTCTGGTCATCAGATCCAGACGCTAGAAGGTGGTCATCGTGCGAAGAGGCAACTGAACGAATCCAGTTTAAATGATTTTCTACTCTTTGACGTATATTATGTCAGCTACAATTGCCAGCTACAATTTAATGCGACGCATTTATTCAGATAGTAGCGCTGAGGTACGCGTATATGCATTGTACATCTAAACCGATACTTCCCTTGTGGAGAACCCTAGAAAATATAATGATTATTACTGTCTCTCTGAATGCAGCTCTCACTAAGAGGTATGAGCTAAGTAGTCTCTAACATCGACTAGCTCCTTGAGAAGAAGATTTGATCCTATAAGCAGGTCACTTAAGGCTGCTTATGAGCTCCTCAGATACTTCAGCGTGTTCGTGCGAATGTAATACGCTCGTGTTGTTATGGGAAGCCCGGAGAAGGTAAGATGAAATGGCCACTTTTCTTAGCTTTGTTATAGCGATTTGTATCTATGCGATGTGTGAGTAGGTTATAACCATTTTTAGTAGAAAGAAATATATGCCGTCATAATTTGAGTCTGTAGGTTAGTTTGAACACAGGCAAGTATCGTCAAGCCTAAAGAAACAAAAAACAACACTACAGAGCCAGTGGATACTATCCACAAGACTCGTTGGTGACTGGCAGCTGCCGGACACGGATACTGCCAAAATGATTTAAAAGTACTCGTATCCACATGCCATGGCCTCATGCATTTGACCCACGCCCTAATAATTTGGGCATTAATGAAGCTGAGGCCAGCAAAAGCGATGATGATCAATAAATTAAACAACATGTTGCGTTGCTCCTGCATCTCAAGGTCAATAAAGGACACACGCTATGTAGAGCACAGTTGAAACGCACCGGAAAATAGACGGAAAGTGATAGAATTGTGGCCGCACCCAGGGATAATAAAGCAGATATCATATGGGCTGCCCAATGTTGTAGAGTAGAAATACATAGATACTGGCAGGCGTCAGTATTGTTCTCCTTTTAATTCATCGCACTCACTTCATTTAAAATGATCAGAATAAGCAGTATGCTTATTTCCAGCTGCAGTAGAAGCCAAGGCAGATCTGACCTATAATTAGATAGGAAGCTGTATTGGCTAAAGAAGCAACCTACTTGTCTTGAAGTTTGCTCTCAAGATTGATAGCAAAACAGATATAAGTGATCCCACGAAGATGAAAGCACCTATAGCGGCTTGAGCGGCGATGAGTGGTTTATTTTCCAGTCTATGCCAGCTCAGGATCTTGATTGACATGAGCCAGAGGGCAAGACTTGATCCGCAGCAAACTGATGCTATCGTCGACACAGTCAGCTGGAATAACAGTTCAGGATCCATTTGAGTTTTTTTGCTAAGTTAGAGACGATAAGTGTCCATTTTAAATATATACAAGAATGTACTGGATTTTCATTATCCGGCTAGAAGGATCCTTCAATAAACTAAATACATTGCAGCTGCCTTGGTATTGCTTTTTTTAACTGATCGAGAAGTTACATCTTCCAGCGAGGCGGATATTTCCTCTTCGTCCAATCATCCACTTAACAAGCCATGTCACTATGACGCCTCAAGGAGGAGGGGGGCCACTATCTAGGCGTCTGGGTGTCGTGCCGCCATGCGCGTTGTCGGTTTGTTGCACCATCCTCCTTTAGCCATAAAGCACGTGAGTGATGATACGATTCATATTTATATATATCAAAAGTCTAATTTTTTGGATTTCAGAGTTAGCACAGTGTATCAAAATGACGTTCACGATGGATCACGAAATACCGTTCGTGTATACGTATATAGTCTGTCGCGCCTGGGAGCCTCCGGGTGGGCACGGGGATATCAATCTCCCTGACGGCCGTCTGACAGAAATAAAATATTAGTCTTCGCGTTAATTCACCTCAGAAGAAGGCAAAAGATGATTACATCTGTTTCCTCGGGTGGGATTTCCTTGTCATCGCGGTAGAGCCTCTTGCCAAGTAAGCGCTCTTCCCAATACTCGATTGGATGCTTAGGGGGAGGATTGCCGCGTCGTAGGGCTTTTGGATTGACAGGGACTTGCTGTGATTCATCCGTTGAGGCTGATTGCTTGATGTGCTGAGTATCCTCCATTGCTAATGACAAGGGCGAGTAAAAAAAAGGGGGAAACATCGGGAGCTGTGGGTGGCTGCGGGGCTTTATGTATGCCGTGGGGCCACACTTGTCGCCACCTTTTGGGGGCGTTCACAGACCTTGGAAAATAACCACCAATAACGTAATTTCTCAGCTGATAAAAATCTACAGGATGGTCGAGTATCGATTGTTAATTGCCATCATGAGCACCGCCTTTCCATGCTCAGTGTACTGCTTTCCCATCAAATGTCAGTATGAAGTTATACCGATCGTGGGAAGCAATACTAGTAGGTGATTGTAACACCCGAGGAGGAACCACGTGATATCACACATCGCGTGGACAGAAAGCTATCTTTGGGGGGCCATCAGCTCCAGCCCAATACGATCATCTTCTTCCTCCTCGGCTGTTTCCCACGTAGGGTCTGACTGTGATACTAACTATATGATGGCTGCTAATCAGCTTCATCCCTGAGAGAATTGATGGCAGATAGATAGTGAGTATTCTGGTGACAATTCGTAACCCATAAGCCAACCATCCTGTAGCTCAAAAGAGAGTAGCAGTGGCACATATCCCATTGACTATGTAAGTCGAGGTCCAATTTTGTTAATACAAGTCGGAGATAGTATTTCTTATGAATAAATTAGATTGGCTAATTGTACTATTACCATTTCTGTATCTTAGAAGGCTGACTTGGTCGTACCTGATATTTCGGATAACCTATGGCGATTTTAATGAGAGAATATAACGACGTTGGCTCCTATATACTCCTCTTAGCCGGCCAATCCATGAATGAGCTGTCTGCATAATATGACGAGTGTTTATTCAAGAGGAAATATCTATGCTGGCTGGATACATCAGAATTCAAAGTCCCTAAAAGTATAGGACAACGATTCGCATGAAGTGAAGGGATGGTAAATCTTGAAATTCCCTGATGGATTTTTCATGAACACTCGACACCATTACTGATTGCGTTTCGCATGCCTCTTTTGGTTCTTTCCGATTTAGGAGTTCGCACATATGCATGTTCAAAAATCAGCTCTCGGGCCTCTGAACCAGTGTTTCCTTCACCCATAAAATATGCGATAAGACCAGCTGTCATTGCAGTAGCTGAAGAGGATTCCATAAATAATCAGTAATTTTATTTCGAGCCAGGGACTAGTTGACTTACCCGGGGATGTGCCGCTAACATCATCAGCATATCCATTTTGTATAGCACACTGAACATCTTCTGCTGGTCCCCAAATCATAGTGTCTATGGTGGTTCCGGCTTTGTACTCCAAGGTTCCGTCGGCAACTGCTCCTGTCAGATCAACACCCCCTACGATAATCATTTTGGGACATTTCTGTTCCACTAAAGTCGCAGGTAGTTGAGCAGGCTGGTTATCGGGAGCGAGGGTGTTATCTTGCCCAGCCGCAACGACAACTGCGCCATCCAAACCATCAATGACGCCGTTTGTCAACGCAGCCATTGCATCCTCGACGGCCGCCATGTAATCCTTGTACGCGTCTGTTGTGATTGAGAATTGTCCAATGGACATGCTGATCACTGCCTTGCCTTGCAAATTTCTCTTTATGATGTCATCATAGACCTGAGCAAGGGCATCGATCAGCCGCTCGAAGGCCAAATCATCCTCCCTGTACACCCGGACGGCTGTGAGACTAGCTTTCTTTGCCACTCCATCCTTGCGCCCAACGGCACACGATGCCATGCATGTCCCGTGGGCACGTTTGTCATCAAAGTCGTTTTCGGCCGCCTGAGAATCCGGCCTACCGTAGATCCATCCGATATCACCTTGGACTTCATTAAACTCCTGTTAACCATTTTTGAAAATCAGTAACTTTCACACGATGTCACATGGCTTTATATAAACTTGGAGCTCATACCTCGTGGTCTTGAGCAAGACCACTGTCCACAATATACACCCTAGTACCCTCCCCGGCGCTGTCAAAATAATTGTAGCCGGCTTCTTTACCAGCGGTATCGTAGGGTGAGCCCGAAGGTTGAGACACAAACTTCAGATGATCTGGAGCACCCTTTTGGGATGTACGAGAGGCTCGCCTTTCAATCCGACGACGCTTGTTCTCTTTTTCCATGCCATGTTATCAGAGTTTGGAATTGCGACGGCTCGGACCTTTGTATATTTTTAGCTTTGTAACTTAGAGGAAATGAGGCGTGGTTTACCCCTTCAAGCCCCTTCACGAATTTCAAGTCATCGCCGCTAAGCTCTGCATACCAGAACATATAGCCCAACTCGCATGTGGAAGTGAAAGATAATTTGTCACCCAACCGATCTCCCAGTTTTCTTGCTATATCTTGATTTGTTGCATCGTCTTGTATTTTCTTGGGCCAAATCGAATAATGGTCGTCGGCTGCGATGGCAGTTGCAAAGACCAGGGCCAACAAGACCTGGAGGCAAAGCATTTTGAGACGCAGAGCCTTCAAAGAATGGAATAAAATGGATTCCAAGAAGAAGGGAGCTCGGTAGGACTTTATACTGTAACTAAGAAAGCTTTTGAAAAATAAGTTGGTCTATTTGCATTCATAATGCTCCCCAAATGGTAAGAGAGGATGGCACCTGGCCCCCAAGACGGGGGCTTGAAGCCCCCGTCTTGGGGGCTTGAATCGTTACAGGTATGCAGGTCCAAGGGCCAGAACGCCGCTAAATAGAGGAGGTGAATAAGAAGAGACTCAATAGAGAGGGCCAAATAGAGGAGGCTCAATAGAGGGGGCCAAATAGAAGGGGCCAAATAGAAGGGGCCAAATAGAAGGGGCCAAATAGAAGGGGCCAAATAGAGGGGGCCAAATAGAAGAGACTCAATAGAGAGGGCCAAATAGAAGGGGCCAAATAGAGGGGGGAAGACGGCCCGTTTTCTAGCTCCATTTTCTTCCTCCATTTCTTCCTCCATTTCTTCCTCCATTTCTTCCTCCATTTCTATCTCACCTATATTACAGCGTGGCGGGGGGCAGTCAACATGCAACCGAGCCGATACAGATGCAAATTTTCCTTCGGTGTCGGAGCTTTAATCTGTCGTCATCACCAATTCACGTTCCAGAGAGCGAGACATGAGGAAAATCGCACCGTCAGCCCCAACGGCCCGTCCAAAAAGAAAGCGAGGCCCATCCGGGTCGTCACATGATGATAGCTGCAGCGACGGCTCTGGTGACGCGGATAACGCGGACTACGTCAGCGAAAGCTCTATCTTATCCCGCTGATCGAAAAGAGCTGGGCGGGCGGCAGTACAAAGTTCTCTTGGTCATCTACAGCATAATAAAAACACTCGTCGCAACCTCCCCTCGCAGCGCAGCGTTTCTCAGGCCTCAAAAAATAAGGAGTCCGACCCCCAAGTGCCGAGGGATCGACGTCCCATATCTAGTCTATCCGATATGGAGATAATTCCCATTCGAGGTTTCCTAACACGGGAGATACTTCTGTCAAAGGTCGTGTATTCAATTACTTTTAAGGAGCGAACAGAGCACACCAGCTTGCAAGGGCCTAGTAGAACTCTACCAGATTGTGAGCGTAAAGCGCAACGCAGAAAGCTACCTCGGCAGAAAAAGTCTGTAACGATCGAAGCTCTCTCGGTGCCTGATCACGTAACGCAGGCAGCCGCTCATAGGTAGATAGTTGTGATAGGAGCTTCTCTCCTTCTTCTCTTCTCTCTCTCAGCTTAATACCTTCGTGCAATACTACTGCTATCCTTCAAAGCATCTGAGTCCTTACATAGTATTAAGCTCACCCCATTCTTATTCTCATTCCTATCCCCCCGTAAATACCTGAAGCTGTACAGACGTACGCTTGCTTTGCTTACGCAACGTCTCAGCCACTTAGGACTATTCTATCCAATTAAAACCCCGAATCAAACCGAACCGACCGATCTACGCACCAAGATAGTCCGTAATCATTCTATGAAGCCTAAGAGCAGCGGCTCGAAGGCACAAACCGAAGAACCTCATATCAAAGAGGTTAGTAACGACGCTGACGGTCGCTCTGCTTACGATATAACTAAATCCGAACCCAAAGATAAACCGATCACTCCTACCCCTATAACTACAAAAAAGGTACTTACTGCTACTGCTACTATCAATAAGGGCAAGCAGAGAGATAACCACCGCAGCTTATTCTTTATATTACACAAAGATAGCCTCTACGAGTTTAAGAACCCTAAAGACCTTCAGACATACCTCCAGAAGGATCCTGAACGCTTCTATTATCTAATCAACAACCAGACTAAAGTTACTAATCAATATACAACTAACCAAGAGGCTCTTAAAGAGATCTGCCAACAGGTCAGACGAGTTATAAGTAATTTATAAAATACCTAAGAAGATCTACAAGAAGCTAACGAAGATTATAACTGTCTGCAAAAGGAACTCTGCCGGAGCCAGCAGCCTAAAGAAAGAATCCCGTATCGATCCCGTCACACTTAAGAAGAGCCTAAACTATATATACACTCTCACTCTCGTTCACTATATCGATTATACCGTTACTCTCAGTTACGTTCCCAAGGTAAGTCTTCAAAAACCTATAAGCTTACTAATCCCTCTATCTTCTCTAACAGAGCTGGTAACATAAAGTTTCAGAGCTAGCACACTGCGATAGAGGGTAAGCTATAAGCTAACAAGGATTACTTTCTGACCGCAGAGCTCCGTAAGATATACGTTATAAGCCGCCTAGGCAGCGCTACGTATAACTAAGTTATTCTAGGGCTAAGTATCTTTAACGACAGTAACAATAACAATAGAGACAACCCCTTCTTCAACAACAGAGACAATATCCTAGATTACCTAGAGAATATCTACAGAGACCCTATTCACTAAGAGAGAGCTAAGCACAAGCTTAAATAACTAAAGATAAAGCCTACTGACAAATTTACTATCTTCCTTACTGATTTTACTTATCTGGCCAATAACGTACAGATCCCTAACTATAAGTAAGTACGACTACTCCAGCAGAAGGTTAACGCAAAGCTACAGCATAAACTAACTAGGAAGGCCACTAAAGCAGGTATTACCTTCAGTAAATACGTTAATAAGGCTTACCGTACTACTGCTCTTCTAGAGATTATAGATACTGATAAATAAGTTTAAAAGTTTCTTAACCCGAAACCGAATACTAACGCTAACCCTAATTAATTATTATCTTATAACTAATAATTAGAAACCCCTTCCTCTGCTACTATAACCGGTAACCCCCCTCCTCTTGATATAGCTAAACAGCTTAAGCAGAGAACCGAGGAACGTTACTTTGAATATAATAAGACAGGCTATATTAGTAAGGATTACCTGAAGCGTGCGCTATGTCTATTAAAGGAGCCTAAACCTATTACTGTTGTTAACCTTACTGATATAGAAGTACCTGCTCCCCTAGCACCCACTGTCGATACAGAAAAAGCCTAGGCCTAGTAAAAGTCTCCTTACCAGACAGACCTAAGGTATCCCTAATAGATCTAGATTTATCTAAGTTAATAACCTTAAAAGTCTTTATACTAAAGCTATAGCTAGTTTACAATAGATGATTATTCTCTATTTTAGCCCTTAGAGATACTGGAGTATAAGGATATATATATATTAATACCTCGTTAGTAGTACAGTTATATACAAATAGCGGTATATATATCGAGAGGTTTAATAATCTGATCCCTGTAAAGGGCTATAATAGATACCCTAGCATACCGATAACCTATTTTATCTGGTTAACGCTGTATATTAACGGACGTTGACAGTTATAAGTCTCTATAATAATTACTGATCTAGGGTAATATAATATTATCCTTAGACAGGATTAGTTTAATTACTTTTAGGTTCTTACTGATTACTATAATAACTAATTAATCTAGCCCGACGAGATATTGTTGCTAGATAAGATTACAACGAAACTCGTTGTCCTAATGCCCTGTATAATATTAAAGAGATCTGCTATTAATACTAACTACTAAGCAGATACTAACCGAAGAGATCTGTTAATTAAATTAAAAGTTATATAGGAAAAAGATTATTGATAAATAATAAAGAAGATAGACCGAGTACTCTTCTAAGAAGAAGAGAAAGAGAAGAATCTAATAGAGGCAGAGTTTCCTGCCAGAAAATAATCTCTCCCTTCCCTAGGTAAGTAATTTCTTGTTTCTCTGGTTAAGATTACTGTAATCAGAGCAGTAGGCTTCTATTGCTATATAAAGAAGAAGGGTATAGAGATATTCGTAATCTCTCTGGATAAGATTAATTAAGTTTTAGAGGATAAGTATAGTCTCTAGAAGCTTAAAGATAAAGAGAATCAGAAGCTAATCCTCCCTAAGTACTATAACTTTCTTAACGTCTTCTTAACGATTAAGTTAAATAAGATACTGCCGTACCGATAAGATATTGATTATTAGATCCTGCTTAATAGTACTCTTACCCCAGATACTGCCTGCTGTATAAGTAATCCTTTAAGGAATTAACAGTCTATAAGGACTATATTATAGAGAAGCTTAATTTAGGCTTTATTAAGCTGAGCTTAGTACTGTTTATATCCCCTATACTGATAACCTATATACTAAGTAGAAAACTATATTTCTGTGTAGATTATCAGAAGTTAAATATACTAATAAAAAAGGACCGATATCCTCTCCTACTAATTAATAAACTTCTGCAACGTCTCTTGAAAGCTAAGATATTTATAAAACTAGATATCCGATAAGGTTTCTATTGAATCTATCTATATCCTAATATAGAGAAGCTCTTAACGTTCAGAACCTAATATAGGTTATTTAAGTATAAGGTTATACCCTTTAGTATAATGAATATACCTGTAATATTCTAAAGGTTTATTAATTCGACCTTTGCAGAATATCTTAATAATTTCGCTACAGTATATATCAATAATATCTTAATCTATTCAGACTCTCTTAAAGAATATACGGAGTATATCCGAAAGGTTCTACAGCGTCTCTGGAATACTAGCCTATAGGCCTTAATAAGTAAGTATAAGTTTTATGTTAAGAGTACTAAATTCCTTAGTTTTATTATCAGTACAGAAGGTATTATGGTCGACCCTATAAAGGTAATTATTATCTAGAACTAGGAGATCCCTACAACTATACGTAGTATATAGTCCTTCCTAGGGTTTTATAACTTCTATAGACGCTTTATTAAGTACTATAGTTATATTAGTAAGCCGCTACATTGTCTGATACAGAAGGAGATACTATTCGAATAGTCCCCTGAGTATTAAGCTACCTTTAAATTCCTTAAGAATTACCTTAGCTCTGCTTCTATTTCTCCGGTATTATAACCCTAATGCGAAAACCAAGATTAAAACTAATATCTCTAAAGGCTGTACCGGTACCGTTATATATTAAAGAAACAACCCCTTTCTCTCCTTAGTATCCGGTTACCTTTCTGTCTAAGTTAATAGACCCTGTAGAACAGAACTATAATACTAGAGATCAGAAGATACTAGCGATTATAAGGGTATTGACCGAATAGTATTCTGAACTAGAAGGTCTTTAGTATATAGAATATTTTATTATCTATTCGGACTATAGGCCTCTATAGGCGTTTATAACGACAAAGAAGCTAAACTGCCGTTAATCTTACTAGTAGGAGTTTTTATCTTGGTTCTACTTTGTAATATATTATAAACCTAGCAAAAGTAATATTATCGCTAATATTCTATCTTGAAAGAAAGTATCTCTACCCTGTATTAAACAACCTGCGTTATTAAAACCTAAGATACTAGGTCTGTTATCTTTTTCAGTGGTAATTAAGGCTATTATAAACCTGGTAGCCCCTTTGACCATTACTCTGATCTCTGTAGACCCTCTAGCCCCTAGAATAATAGTTAATCTGATAGATAATATTATAGAGCGTATCTTATTAGCTAATTAGACCTACCTATTGCTTAATAAATATTATAATTAGGCAGCAGATAAGGATAAAGTGCAGTAGATAATCGAATATAGATAAGTCTTATTTAAAGGCTGAATAGTCGTACCTGACGATAGTAACCTATATATACGCCTGTTAGATAAGATTTATTAGTAACTGCTAACGATATACCCTGGTATAGGTAAGATATTAAAGTTAGTCTAGGATTAATACTACTAGATAGGCTGGTCTGCCGACATTAAGCGCTATATTAATAACTGCTTAGTGTACAGAAGAACGAAAATATAGTACAATAAACCTCTAGGATTACTACAACCTCTATCTATTCCTAATTGGCCGGGGTAATATTTCTTAATAGACTTCTGCTTATTCCCTAAGGACCGCTATAGCTATAATACTGTTTTTATCTTCGTTAACCGTCTTACTAAGCGGCCTATTTTAATCCTCTACTATAAGACTACGACCGCTAAAGAAACCGTACGACTATTTATCTGTTTTGTAATACTATAGTTAGGTATCCCTAATACTATTATCTCTGACCCTAGGACATAATTTATATCTACGTTCTGGCAGGAATTTAGCCGTATTCTAGGTATCTAGTATAAATTATCGATAGTATACTACCTGCAGACAGACGGTTAAACAGAGGTCGCTAATAAGTATATAGTGTAAAGACTATGTATAGTAGTAAACTACTAATAGGATAACTGGTCAGAATACTTTCTGATTATAGATTTTGCTGTAGCAATACTTCCTTAGGACAGTATTAGGTATTTTTCCTTCTTTGCAGAGAAGGGGTTTAACCCTTAGATATCTTTTGACTAAATATCTAATGTTTCTGAGATAATTACCAACGATACCTAGCGTACCTATAATATAGTTAATATTATACAATGAGTCTGAAAGAAGGCCTAGGGCTCTATAAAAGTTGCCTAGGAGAGGTAGAAGAAGCAGACCGACAAGTAACGTAAGAAGGATAACTTAAACTATATAATCAAGTATTTATTACTGCTAAACTATAGAAAACTAGACGTCTGAGCAGAAAGCTTTCTTAATAAGTATATAGCCCCTTTGAGGTTATTAAAAAAGTAGGTAATACCTAGAAGTTATAACTCCTAGAGAGTATAAAAGTCTACCTAGTTTTCGCTCTAGAAAAGCTACGCTATAGTGCCCGCTCAGCACTATTGACAGAATAGATCTCTAACGCTGAACTATCCGTCGTTGTCAATAATAAAGAGGAGTACGAGGTCGATAAGATTAAGGACTTAAGGATATACCGAAAGAAGCTATAATATAGGGCTAGCTAGATTAGGAATAAAGATACTATGTAGTACTATGCCAGCGGGTTCAAAAATGCCCCGGAGAAGCTCGCTGCGTTCTATCTATACTATCCCAAAAAGCCTAGGCCTTCTATAAGACTTTCGATATGGCTGGATACCGCAAAGAATAACGAATTTAAGGCGGATCACGACGACGACGATACGCCGGTAACACCGGCTTGACTAACTGCGAACCTAAGGCCTGGGGCCCAGGCCTTTTAAAAGGGGAGACTATATAACGATCGAAGCTCTCTCGGTACCTGATCACGTAACGCAGGCAGCCGCTCATAGGTAGATAGTTGTAATGGGAGCTTCTCTCCTTCTTCTCTTCTCTCTCTCAGCTTAATACCTTCGTGCAATACTACTGCTATCCTTCAAAGCATCTGAGTCCTTACAATTATATCAAATGAATCTCCTGTTCAAGGGCCTGTCTCTGAAGGGCCTGAGCCCGTTCAAGAAGAGACTGAGTGTTTCCCTGAGCCTGCCCCCGAGCCTGCCACAGAAGAGGCCGAGTCCTTCATCGAAGAGCCTGAGCCCGTTCCAGCAGAGACTGAGTGTTTCTCTGAGCCTGCCCCCGAGCCTGCCACAGAAGAGGCCGAGTCCTTCATCGAAGAGCCTGAGCCCGTTCCAGCAGAGACTGAGTGTTTCTCCGAGCCTGCCCCCGAGCCTGCCACAGAAGAGGCCGAGTCCTTCATCAGAGAGCCTGGGCCTATTCCAGAAGAGACTTGTGCTGAAGGAAATGACGAACAGAGGACTATTCCCCAAGTGCCTGCTAATGCGGACAGGTGGCCGCGCGCTTCTTTGTTACCGGGGGTTACGTCTGACAGCGGGTTACTACAAGAGGCTTCTAATCAGGGCCACATAGCGAGGATTTCATACTCGGACTTAAACCTGTATGAAAATTGGAGAAACCTGTCTTCGAAGAGAAGAGCTAAAAGGGCTAGCAAGCTTAGGTCTAGAGGACTTCCCGTCCCAAGCGAGACTAGTTTCATTTCAATAGTTACAGATTGAGAGTGATTTGAGAGAGCCCCAGCCAGGCAATCAAACAATTTACTTCCTATTCATAAATCCGTAAGATACCAAAAAGGGGTATAGAGATAATCCATGGGCCTGGGGCGAATTAGGAGTTTTCGCTCTCCAGTTTAATGGAGGTAACAACGATCAGAAGCGGCTTCTATAAATTCGATATATAATTGGTTCAATGTTACTCCTTTCTCCACTTTGGAGTGGCTCGGTCTCCCCAACAAGTTCGGACAGACCAGTGAGTCCGGGTGGGCAATGGATGATAGACGGTAATAAGTAGACGTAAATAGGTAAATAAGACCGTCTTACTGAGAAATGAGGTATTCAGATGACGATCTAGATCGTAGGGATCGCCGCTGATAGCTACGAGAACTGTGCAACTGTCAGGGATATAGATGAGGCATACACGCTAAGCCCAGAACGCAAACCCCCATAGCGCATCTGGGTTCCCCTGAACGCAAGGAAGCTAACTTTCTTTTGCTTCCTCGCGCTACGTCTTGTATCTAGAGTCGACTATACCTTTTGCTAATATGACCCTTCATTAAAAAGACACGCTCCTCATGAACAGATACGTAATACCCTCACATTTCTTAAAGTCCTGTCGAGCGGGTCGGCTGTTTGGTAAAGGTGGAAGGAAGGATGCTGGCCTTACGTGGTATACACACGATGCGGGTTAAAAGGGGGGCTGGGACCAACTCCTAGAGGTCATTCACCGAGCAAAACCCGACCTGCGCCATTTTTCCCTTGCCGAGCTGTCTACAGCACTCATCCAAGCCGTTGAGGTCACGTCACTGTAGTCTCGAGATTCAGCCAAGACAGTCTAGACCCACCCCGTCATTGCCAATCTGGGATAGAGAGACGCTTCAGGTGCTTTATTAGTCAACAAATGACAAGAAGCCCCACAGGAGGGGACCTGGCTCGTCGATCAGTCTGCTCGAATGTTCCAGAGCAGAGGAGGGGCCATATATAAGATGCAGGAGGTAGGCACATCGTCGATCGCACCACTTTTTCCAAGGGTCATGGACGAAAGAACCCGCGAGCGCTTAGCTCAGGCTATCCGGGATGCCCTTACGTCCTCCGACATAGATCATAATAAAGATTACATTGATTCCTTGATTTTTAAAGTCGACGATGATAGTACGGGACATCTAATCTAGCTATTGGTTCAAGTGCTTACGGTGAATTTAGTCCTTCAGGCTTATCTCGCGAACCAAGGTAACAACGCGGGCGACACTCTATTAAAAACCAGCGGCCGAGCTTTATAAACACCCCCGGCCTCTCCGGCTAAAGGACGTAGATCCACTAGAATTCCAAACGCCCAGAAAAGGGACTATGCAAATCTAGCGGGCGCGGAACCAAGGAAGAAAAAAAAAGCAGACCCAGCAGGGCTCAGGCAAATATGCTGATGAACCATCACCCGGTCGTATTGCCGATAGAACTATCAAGACGGGCTCTCGTAATCTTAATCAACCGGTATAGCACTGCTTTACCCTTAATCGATTAACCTACTTGCTTGATCTAACGTGTATTGCTCTTGAATCTAGCCCTTGCCCGATGACAACCATATGAACGAAACCTACCCCTCGAAGCTTCCGGTCGATACTTCCTCATCCTATCATCCGGATTCTGCGTATACCACGAAAGCAATGGCTTCGATTCTGTTTAAGTGTTTTAACGTTAATTCAGCGATCGCTAGATACGGCCATCGAATCGCTATAGTCCCAGTAAGGACTGACCCTGATGAAATACGGAAGTACGCCGATGAGGTTGCAGGGTATAGTTACGAACAGGCAATCAGCGCCATTCACAGGGACAACACTTTAGCTATAGGTAAGGGTGTACAGAATCGGTATTATGAAACAATATTCTGGAAAATTATCCTCAAGGGTACAGCTTTAATTAATCCTTCCAGCCTGCCGTCTGCAAAAGGACCTACCGACGGCTTCACTATAGCGGAGAAAGCTACAACCAAGAGATTTATAGAAGATACTGGATATAGGTTAGGTACCGAAAACTAAAGGCAGTACCGGATTTTTTAGAGAAATCTTCTCAAGATACGTGAAGTCGGTATCGAAAAAGCCCTATATTACCGTACTAAAGAATTCGACAGCTACTGTAAAGGATATCCCAAAACGTCAGAAATATCCCTTGTGGATATAGTCAAGAAGTAGGAGGCCCGGTATAGACCTTACATCGAACAGCTAGAAATGCGACTTCTCAGGCTCGGTAATGGTAACCTGGCGTATATATCCGACCTCGATAATCCCTAAGTTACTAAGAGGCTGAAAGTTCCCGAGTTCTGTTGGAATTATGCCGGAAATAAATGGGCTTCCCTCAACGAGGAAGAAAGCTATAAGGAAATTAGCTTGCAAACTTTCTCTCCTGATATGGTACACGTACCCTACAGAAACCAAGCAGTGTTAGAGCCTAGTGGAGATAAGTCTCTATTTACCTTCCTCTTGCCAAAAGACGACAGTTCTTTGCTCGTCTGTTCTATTATCCCCGTATACGAGGGAGATTTTCTAGGTATCTTTTCTGGTAAGATTCATTTCTCGGAAACCTAAAGTCCTAGATACGGTATTCGCGGTCCTACCGACAACCTGTGGTTAGAGTATTTATAAGTCACTGGTACGCTAAACCAAATGCGCGTTTCAGAAATAGGTAGGTCCGCAAATATTCGCATTCAGTGGGATTTAATCTACGATGATGTTGACACAGATAATTGCACATCCTAGAGAGTTTCGGTGAAAGCTACTAAGCTAATAATGCTATTTGAACCTCTCGTTCGCGAGGCTGCTTAGCAAGAGCAATACGTATTGCACTTATCTGCTGAGAATACAAAGAGAGACTTTCTCGAACTTTGCGAAGCTGACTGAAACTATGTTGAACATCTTGATTGCTATTTTTAATCGGAGGCGGCATTTTCCAACAAGCCGAGTCTTCGATCTAGCGCTGCTTATCTAACATTTGCTGAGGGCCATTAGGACATGATTAGAGAACATGTTCACTCGCTGGATGGATAGGCGACAACCCCGGAAGTTCAGGATATTGAAAACAATAGGACAGAAATCAGATAGCGCATAATTGGATATGATAATCTTCTTTTATGAATACGACAGTAGTGTGGCTTTATAATCGTGCGCGCCCAACCATGTTTCAGGCGGGGAGGCGTAACGCCTTACTAGAACTCGTGGCTAATCGAGGGGCGCATTAAAGGCAGGTAGGCAGTCTACACTGGGTACGCACCCTAGCAACTGGAATACTTTAATGGGTAGGCAGAACAGTAGCTCATCAGTGATTTATCGGCGAACGTCTCGAGAGCTTTTAGTTAAATAAGAAACTGTCATCACTTTAATAAGGTTGGCCTCAAAACGAAAGCCCTGTTCTTCCGAGAAATACACGGCTTGTACTACCCCGCCCGCCACCACTGTTTGAGCAGCCGCCGTCGCAACCCGACCCTACCGCCTTAGAATCTTCACCATCACAGAACAATTATAAGATGAACCTGGCGCTTACAACTTGATACCACCCGGTGCTCTTTTCTATAACACTGATACCCCTCCCCTGCTCTAAAAATCTCTTGGTCCACTTTTCCTCTTCTACTCTACATAGACAAAAACATGGCTGAACCAATCGGACTGGCCTCAGGTATACGCAGGCAATAACGGCTATGTATTTCATTGGGTTCGTCTCCACACCACTATCTCTTATCAGCGCCGCTATCCCGATGTATGAGCATAGTGATAAGATAAGTAGGTTATTGATAAGTGTAAGTTAACTGTATTATATCCAAGGGATTGATCTGATTGGTTTCAGATAGCGATAATTTCGAATATGGCGGGTTCGATAATTACGACTTCTATCTATATGTTACTCAAAGCAGCTTTGAAAGCAATACTAATGATCGAGGTAGAAGCGTATATAGGGAGATCGATGCTAGGGATTATATAGTCTGCGCTCGGATTACCTATTGCTTCAGCTATCTTACGGTCAATAGCTCGCAGATATAGGAATTATAGGTACAAGATTTATTAGGAAGAAGATTTTTCAAAGAATCAAATTAGACATAAGTATATAAAGAAAGTCGTATTCAAGAAGTCTAGAAAGTAGTTTGTATATAGTAGATTTGACGTGCTGTATTATACTATGTAGGCTGTACGAGTGCCAGTGCTAGTTGATGCTCTTTTCGGCCTACAGATTTAATTGAGTTATATCCATTAAGTAATCACAAGACTGACAAAGATATAAGACAATTATCTCATAACAGCCCCAGACATAGGACGATTGTCACAAATCTATACTTAATATATAACTCGATAAGTAAGGTGATAATTGTCTTCTTCTCAGATACTGATTTGAGAAAGTATTCAAAAGGGAGCTTTTATCCGTCTGCTGATATCGCTTCTCAGTTTCCTTAGAACCAGTAACAGTATACCCTCTTGCTTCAAAGCTTACCAAATTGAATTCTTACTGACTATTCGCAAGTTACGATCAAGAATAAGTAGGTGCTCGTTTTGGTATCGCTCATTTTAATATCTTTCAAATACCGCCTCTACGCTCTCCTTTTCATCTAATGAAAGTTTAAAGACTATATGCCACCTTCTAGTTTCCCAACGATAAATCTCTCCTAACCTACCCTTGGATAATTTGTCATCAGTCAACCGCGATGCTATAGATAGGGTCTCCTAGGACCGTTTAGAGTAGGATAAAAGAGGTTGAGATTTGTTGTTTATTATAATACTTTCAGGCATACGTTGTGATCTGAGGTGCTGCATGATCCGTAGGAGAAGTAGCTTAGAGAACCCTGATTATTCCTGAAGCTGATGTAAAGCTTACGCCTGTTGCTGATTCTTATATGATGAGGAGACTTCAGACCTTAAATACTAGTTAGGTAGGGCTGGAATATCCTACTGAGAAACATTCTAAAGTGATTTAGAGCTAGATGGTCTGTATAATGATGTTTCTTACTCTAGAAGACTATCGATTATATCATCCTCTGCGGCGTTAAGGGGAGATGACCCTTCGTATTGTATCCTCAGCGCCAGGTAGTTTTCTGGTATCTGTAGCGAGGCTTCCTGTGCGGTGTTGAAACGAGAAGGCACTTTATGTTATGTCTTCGATGAAGGGTGGTATGTTGCTCTGGATGGTGAAGCTTCTTCGTCAAGAACATTATTTATTATGGTATCCTTAGCGGCGTTGAGATTAGATAATTTTTTAAGCGCAGGACTACCTCTGTTATTGGCTGTCACAAACGTCCCTGGTGGTTAGCAGTCTACTGCGCTCCGTAGCAGTGTCTCTTGGTCTATGATATCATTCATTATACTATCCACTGCAGCGTTATAGAGAGCCTTTATATCTGGAGCCTATATTTATCACCGCATAGGCTTTGCTATCTGAAGCGAGTAGTTTACCTGGTTGATTCCTGGCAATACAGTGCTCATTTAAGCTACTTGATAATGGCCTAAAATAAGCTAGATATATACTCTGCTGTACTGGTAATGCTGTTACATTTGCGGGCATCAGCCAATCCTAATGCATCCTAGCGAGAAACAAAGATTGAGAGCATCTAAGAAATTAAGATTTAACAGGGTATCCACAGTGATGCTTTCGGTTAGTCTGGAGCTGCTGTCTCTCAGAGATATCATGGCTTTTCGGCGTCGCTGCATTAAAGCACTCTACAACGCGTTTAACCAGTGATTCAAAGATATACTTATCATACGAGAATTGGTCTTTTTTACGCGCTTTGAGTAAGGCCTGCTAAGCCGTAAGATGGTCTGGTGACCTCTCAAGAAGATCGTGAATTTTGCTGGACTGAAACCCGAGCTTAGATGCCAGTTTTGTAATATTAGCTAGGATATACTTATCTACTTCGCTCTGCAGCGAGCCCACATATTGAGGTTCTTTCTTGCTGCTCTGGGGTATGTCCGGGTAGTAGCGCATCGCAAAGAGCCATATCTGTCGGTATGCTAGTTCGAATCCATCGGACCCCGCGGGACTTCCTTCGGAATAGGTATTCTCTCCGGTCTCTATATAGTATGATCCGGGTCGTTGCATTGGTCTTAGGGATACTACCGCGCATACTTTGAACTCTATATCACCCCAGAACAAGTTGGAGCTCAATTCTTCGGCATACCTACCACCAAGGAGCGTAATGCTGGGGAAATCTCCCTGGCAAATTGAACTGTTAAGAGCGGCGACAATCGTTTGGAGCAGAACTCGAATAATGTAACCGCTGGTAGAGTGGTAGCAAATGAGTTCCTCAACATGGGGAGGTTGTGCAGACTGATATGATCTACGACACTAGGACTGGCCGTTACTAACCAGCTAGTATGGCAATATTAATTGAATAGGATGATAGAGATACTTATCACAGCTAGGGCATCTCGGGCAATTTATGTGGTGATTTTAGAAGCGTTATTATACTGGAATATCCCATTCTCATTCTGCATTAGAATAGGAAGGATTCGGCGATATAAATCCTCAATAATAAAGTAATTCACATTCCGAATTCGAATCCCCAAAAAGTGGGATAAGTCCAGTTCGCTGTTCAGCCCCTGAAAAAGCAGCCCAGAATATCTGTTTAACTTACTTTCCCTTATGTGGGAGACCCTGGACTTTCCCTCCTTGAGGCTTATTCCTGGGCGGATACTGTAATCTAAGTCAGCTTGCTGTTCTAAGTGCATAGCGTTTTCGGTGAAGAGAAAGTCTTATTCCTCCCTACTAAAAGTTTATTCTTAGCTGTAACACAAGTGTATTTTCAACACATGTGTAATTGTCACATATGTAAAAGGATCATATGTAGCAAAAACCAGAAGACGGGCTATATCCCCCCAGACTTATTCAGTGATAAAAATCCAGTTCCTAAAATCTAAGTTTCATCTTGTACTACTTTTAACATCGAATTAATTCAGTACACGAGATTAATTTTTATTTTAAATAACAGTACAGTACGCGTTCATTACTACTATTATATAGGACAGGTATTTCTGTCTGAGTGTATCCAAAGCATTGCCCGACAGGATTTCGTAATACTAGAATATAGAGTGCTGTACAGTATATTACAGGACTATACCGTATCTATTTAATACAGGATCCAACTAATTCAAGTAAAAAGTCCCAGTGATCACTGTCAATCCACAGCTTTACCTTATATTGTTTAACGAGCCCTCTGCGCCGGTATACCTCACAATGTCCTAGAATAGTGGGATCGGGCGTGTCCTGGTTTCGTACTGTGAGATAACTAGTTCGTGCAAGATCTTCGGGTTTGCTTACATCACTCTCGTCGTCGGTAGAGAACTCAACGTCAAGCGGTTCGTATTCCCCATCACCCTTTGCAGAATCTGTATCATCGTCTGGTACAGTAGTTTTCGAAATCAGCTATACCTCCACACATGCGAGTCCTTTCCCGGATAATATATCCGCAAATGAAGGAATTTGGTTGGGTAGCACTAAAATTAGCCTCGGGTGTAGACGCCTTCTGTAGACAGATTTACCGTACATTACAGACAACGCTGCATGGGGTCTCGTACTCGACACTGAATTGAGAGATGGCGCCTGTTCATCAATTCTACAGGAAAAATCTACAAAACCATCATACGTATTTGAAATATCATAGGCTCATGTCAAGCCACGACTGGCCCCGGCACTATACTAACTTCTCCTGAAAAGAAACATGCGGCAGGACTGACCTTTGTATTCCCTCGATTGCGCTTTCGGGGCTGATATCGAATCCGACCTAACCCGGACATGTTCAGGGTTTGCGCTTGAATAACTGGAACAGCTGAAACCGAACTCCTTAAATTTTATTTTTTTCAATGTTCTGCATAGACCTCACTAGCTTGGCGGCTAGCTCTCGCGTTAAATTCATCAACTCATCCTGCTTGCTTATCCAGAGCAGCCTTTCTTTCCAGAACTGCCACCTCTGCATCGTGAACAAAGAGTCTCCTTTCCACAGATTCGAATTCGGTAACTTGAGTGCTTCCAGCGATGTGAGATCTTTCCGATCCAGAAAGTAGAATAAAACAGAACCCGAAATTTCAATAAACGGAGAAAGACAACGAAGATCGGTCTATAATTAAGTCGGTAATGTGGAGGAATCTGTGATTTTGCTCGAACTCACGTTCAACATCTGAATATGGCCATAAGCGTTTCGTTTGTCATGACGAGAATAGGGCAATCTCGGGGTGTGGTTCCATGGATCTTGCTCCAGCGCAAAAACAATCGTGTAAAATCCACGGCAGAGCTCGGGTGACCTGGGCGAACTGGGAGGATATATCGAAAGATGATTTGCCTGAAAGGCGTTCGTAATGACGCAGCCACCTAAGCCCTCGAAAGGGAACGAGCCATATCTGTTCACGTTTGAGAAATCTGAATGATATGGTGAGGGACGCACAGTATCGATATGCATGTGAAGTGAAAAGCCAATATGATATCATATAGTTGGTTTGAGAGGAAAAAAGGACTGCAATTACTCACAAATGGACCTATCATTCCAGATCTCCTCAAATTTATCGAGTCTGTTCCACCCCAGCAAGCTGTCTGCGAAACGCCCGGAAAGAATTTGATCTTCTGTTCTTTCCAGTACTGAAAGAGCTCGCACTGCTTCCACAACTTTGAGAACTGCGCGTTGATACCGCGGCATGAACATTCCAAGGTCCCACAGAAACCAGGAGACTCGATCGCCCTTGTTCGCAAAGTCTCCACGCTCTTCGACCTGCTGATCTTCATCGCAGAGAGACATCAACCGCCGAGCAGCATAATCTGCTGGAATCTCATCGGCATGACCAAACCGTTCCACAAAATCTCGCAATGTCCGGATCTCTCGCCAAGTAGGTGGGTCCTCATCACCATCCTCTGGTAGTGGATAGAAAAAATAGTCCCATTCCACGTACTGCTGTTCCATTTTTGATACTTAGCGTGGACAAGTGATCATTGTCGTTTCTCAAAATTATGTTTGTAAGTCAAGGAAAGCTCACCAACCAAAACATAGATAGGTCTGAGAGAGATCTGACAGATGGCAATGGAGAGAACGAGCCGGCGATCTAGCATGTCGCGGGATTTGCAGGGGGTGTTACGGTATTAAGACGATGACTCATTCTATTGTTACAGTACAGCTGGGCACGTACATTATGACTCTGCCTGAATAAAAGGCGGTAGCTTAAAAATGACTAGCGCTTTCGGGTCTATTTTCCGGGACAGAAGTCTCAAGAGTGTGGAGGTATAACTGATTTCGAAAACTACTGTACCACAAAGGCTTCATCGGATTCTGTTTGAGAATACTCTGACTCTGTCTTACACTCCGTGTCGACAATGTCAATGCTCTCATCTTCTAGAACTTCTTCAATTCCATCTAGAACGGACGGTGTGATCTACTTCGGGCCGGTCGCCATACTGATCATCTATAGAATTGGGCCTATCTGCCTAGTTCGGTAATCGCTAATTCATATATAGCCTGGCGAGCGGTCTTTTGGCGATACATCATACTTTGAGGGCTTTTAAGTCGATAGGCATCATTACCCCAGGAGAAAATGCCCGGCTCTTTTTTGACCATACCCTTCTCTTTGTTCCTGTTTCATCGGAGGAGTACTAAAGCGCCCTTAACAAGAGTGCGGTGAACGACAGAAACTACTTGAAATCCTGAAATGAAAAATTGCAAAAAAATCTATTATTTAAAAAAAATGCGGTAGATCGCTATACCCGGAGGTCCTGTTGAAATCCGTACCTTTGGCAGTCCCCTGGTTGACCACAGGCACAAAGCTGGCTCGGTATGGAGTAAGATATTGAACAGTGGTAATACATCAAGACCTAAGCTCTGTATCGCGGTTCTTATAATTAGAGGGCCTATGATTCAGTGGAGTTTAATAAGGAACGGGTGACAAAATGCAAAGAAATGAGAGCGCTGTGCTACTTCACGACAGTGAGAATACCCTGCTGACACACCAGCCAGTGTGTATTACGTTATCATCTGTCCCGATATAGACTGAAAACGACGCCTTCCGGGAGCTCTATTAGAATTGGTATGACTTTCAAACCATACAGTACGGTACAGTAACTGCCCGAAAAATACTAACTTACTCTTATGTAGGAAGGATGCCATCTTGCAGGCATACGATGTCTCTCTATCTGAATTTCGGCCGTCCAGGACCGAGACAGACAGAGAGGTTCGCATTGTGGTACCTGTAATAAACAGTGCGGTCTGCTACTGAATGGTCTCCTACGATAGTGGCAATACGAACACTTACAAGTAGTGGTTTGCTTACGTGTTAGGGTGATCAGCAGGCTGGGCATTATAGGTAGCCCGGCATGATTGGCCGCACGCTACTCCTTGCTCCACTTTGGAGAAGCAACAACCGCCGTCGCCAATAAGTATTGTGCCATGATGCCCGCGCTGGTTAGATCATCGTGATTTCGGGTGACTGAAAAACAAAACACTATTAGATATCGCATTTCGATACGATCGCCTTGGATTTCATCATTCAAAGCGCATAAGCGCAAAATATCGAGTAAACTGCATCCATGGGGGAGGGGCTGAAACTACGCATTCACACGTTCGAGTGTCTCGGGCTAGGGCTCCGTGCGTCTAAGCGTAATGCAACAATCGTAGCCGCACCTAGGGCTAATGAATTCGATAAGGATCTTGAGATATTTTTACTATTGGATGAAAAGCATTATGTGTAGCATTTGTAGCCGAATATGATATTAAATCTTGAAATTAGGACTGGCGAGCCCTATTAATTGGGAAGACGGAGAAAATACGCCTGGGCATCCTGGTGCCATATATTCCTGCTCTAATATGAGTCAAATCTTCGAACTTTTGTTATTCATTAGAGTTTTTTCTTATCCACTAAGCAGCCAAGTGGTATATCTAGAGATGATCTAGATACCGAGTCAGCTTTATTAGGCTGTAACGCTATTTAGAGGGCTTGATGTCACTATACGAAATGCGCCTAATAAAACATTCAAAACCTTCTCTTATGGCTCGTTCACTTAATTTAGTAGCCTTAACTCTTGCTCTAGGTTGTTGAGAAATTCAGCCTCCCGGAATGTCTCGACCCCAATCATTGCTATGTGTTTAATTTTATATCCTAATTTGTATTAAACAGTACCCGGTCCTAACCCAGACATATATTTCTTAATTGCTTCTTGTTTTTTGAGGTGATAAATGAATTCGCTTTGAAACTGAAGTAGTTCTTGTATTCTATCCAGTGGCAGGAATGTCCATTCACTGACACCGGCTTATGAAATCGGATGTCAGGTGTTAGACTAAGTCGTAATTCCTTTTGCTCTCTCTCGGTCTGAAACTGGTAGCCGAGATTTCTCATTTGGTTGATAAAAGACGTTTCTTGAATGAGCACCCGCTCTTTCTTTTGCCGTATTCTTTCTTCTGCCTTAGCTCTACCGTTGGGAGAGTTGTTAGGCGGCAATAGACGAAGGGCAGCTTCAATAAGTGCTGAGATGACCATAGTGTCTAACTGGGTATCGATGTATCTCAGTAGCATATCGACGTCAGGTTTTATGAAACGGAGGCGACATGCTATTTTAAAGACCGGTGTTACCGCAGTTCGAGGTACTCTAATATAAGGGAGAAACAGATTATCCCTAATCGCTCTAATTGCCAGTACAGGTGGTTGGTGATTTCCTTCCTGACAGTCTTTTAATTGCATCTTTGGCGATGTAGCTTTGACTACAGGGCTACGGTTCTCTGTGGAATGGTTCTTTACGCTTCTGATGTGCTGACGCTTTGAGTGAGCGGATTGGAAGGATTTGTTGCAAACCCTGCAACGATGCCCAAACCGAAGATGCTCCTCTAAAGCTTGTTACGAGCGAAATTGTTTATTGCAGGGAACACAGTTTACCATATTGAATCTGAGAAAAATAATACGAGAGCAAAAAAGAATTTTAAGTTATATTCTATAGACCGAAGAATGGAGAATGAGGTCTAAGCTTGGCTATTTAACGTGCCGTTTTCTTATATTGACAGAGGTACTTTGTGTTATCTAGTGCGTGCGATATTTTGACACGACATATACATGTATCAGCTGAGACTGAAATGGATAAAGAAATGATTGTACATAATATGAAGACGACGATTTCGTCCACATATGTATCATCATGTTAACAACGTGAAGACCCTAGCAGGGCCTTTGCTATGAGAAATATTCTCTTTTTCCTTTGGATGATGTGAGTTAGGAAATCGCTGGTGTCTCTAGGTTGTGAAGAGACGAAAACTAAATGTTTACTTCGTTGAAAGCCTAGGCGATGAACTCAGCACTACAACTTTGAATTTGCAGATCTTGCAAATTGCAAATTGAAAATTGTAAGATTGACTGTATAGAGGTGAAAGGGGAAAATACGGTGGATTCTATGTATGCAAGTGCGGGGTTTTTCGCGACGTGTTACCGAATTTGTGGTAGTCGACAACATCATATATGGTAAGCAAGCAGATGCATGAATGTCGAAGATATGATGTATCATTTCAACCACGGTCGCATCACTGAGGCTGCTGCAAACTTGGTAAAATTTATCATATTTCTCCAGGACGTGTAGTACCCACCCGTCTTGCCCATCTGATGAGTCAATGAAATCAGCCTCCGCTAGCATCACGTTGGTGTCCGTCCTGAGCCTCTTTTGACTACCTTATGGTCGGTAAGGCATCGTGCTCTCCTGGAAATGAGATTGAAGAATTGGCAGGAGGCATAGCGAAGGCTTTCTTTGTATGGCACCAGCTCTGAGGCCGACAAGCGGAGTCTCATTAAACGGGGTAGGAACAAAGATACGGTCTATGTATAAGTGCAGGGTATATTGCAACATGTCCGTGGGTGTGTAGTAAGATATTCGAGATTTACTACTGAGTATATATATTGATAGGCGACTGAATTTTGGACTAGAATCATCTTGACATCAGGGTCGGCTCAATATGATTGGCTCTACGCCACTCCTTGCTCCACTTTGGAGTAGTAAGGTTTCCCTAGACTTGGGGGAGTCGAGCCGCCCCTACTCTGTAGTTTGTCCAGACTCGTTGGTTCATCCGAATCCGTAGCCTAACTGTGGTTTGCATGCTAGATAGACCATTTTTCTGCCCGTCTTCGCGCCGATCCATCAAATTCATCACCGCTGGAACGAGTGACGCAAGTACTGTCGCCTAACTGGCGGGGGAATTGCTCGATTGACACGTGTCTGTTTAGCTATCTGGTATTTGAATGTCGTTTATCAAAGCCACACACATACTCGAGGACACCCAGGGGGCACATGTAGCACAAAATGCCGGGTGTCATAGGAGGTGTATCTCCGCTTTAAGCCTCTCCTAGTCCACTCATTCTGTATCTAGACCAGCCTTGAGATAGCCTAGAGGGGACCAGGGACAGCGGACGGCGGTTCCCTGCCGGAACCCCACGTGATGCTACTGATGGCTGATTTTATTGGCTCTTGTAGATGGGCCAGGGGATCCTTGAGTTCAACTTGCCTAATGTAATTTTACTAGTTGATTGATCTCGGCGGTGCACCTTTATAATTATCTAGTCTAATAATTTCTAGTAGACTTGATGAATGTAACGAACTGGGGTTGTTACCATTCGCGGATGCCTGACGTAGATGGCATCCACTTAAGGCATCCACGCCTACATGTACTTAGTTCTATCTCAGCTTCCTCCTTCTTCTCCTCAAGCTATTACTTTCGTCGAACAGCTACTGTTTCCTTTGCTTCGTATGCTACGCCGTACGTTGATCTCTGTGAGCATCTGAGCATCCTCACAATGAAGACTGGAATGGAAAGTCCCAATGAGCATTAGATATTAGTTCGGGTTGATCTTGCTTCGCGAAGTTTCGATATTCAAACGTTCTGTGCTGAGCTCTGTCACGTATTCCGATTCACACAACTCATCTTCCCTCGCTCGCTTCGAGAAACGCAAAGCTGCCACCTGGGAGGAAGCCGTTCAAACTGGAAAGGGGCTGATGTGCAGGCTGAAACAGCTTGATGTGAATCAGAATCTACACTCGCAATGGACAGACATGGATTCTCTGAACCCTTACTGGTCGTCACATTCTTATGGGTCACAGGGTGATTCCACAACGACGGGAACAGATATTTCTGAGGCGTTGGCTTCCCTTAGTTTGCCATCTACCTTAGGGGACCGTGGCTTGATGGGCATGAACTATGTTCAAGATCGAGAATGGACAGAAGATGGCAAGAATTACGACGTAAGTCTTTTTTGCTATTAAACATAGAGAAAATCAGATGAACGCTGACAATACTTTTCACAATACTTTTCAGGCTACTTATGGCTACTACATTGGGTCAATGAGCGCCACAAGTGGCTACATCTCAGCCGAAAACAATGCTAGCCCATGGGAGGAGTCGGACAAAGAACGTCAGCCACCTCTAACGAAACTATCAGATGTCTACTTCCTCCGTTGGCAAGATATTGCTTCACGAAAGCAATTGAGAAACCTCAAGTACTTTTTCCGGTTGCACGTTATCAATACACAGTCGAAAGCAATTGCCGCGCAAGCTTTCGGAGGCGAGCCGGTGCCGCGATGGCCGGGCAGATCCTTTGATCTTTCGACTGATGAAGGACTTGCAATCCTTGGAACTCCCAACGGGGCGGGAGTAGCTTGGTTTCTCATCAACCACAAACCAGAATTGGGAGTCCGGGCCCCAAACAAAGTCACGGTATTCAGCACTCTTGCACAGGACGCATACGGGCAGCCTGAGGATTGGATACACTTTTTATTCTATATTGCCCCCGTATCTAATCCCTCTACCTGAGTTTGACGTACAATATTATTGCAAGAGAGCAGCAACCCGTGCCAATACAGTACTGTAATGTAACCAAACGAGAATTAGGTAATCTGCTCTATTACAAAGCAATACCATAATTACAGATGCTCTTACAACTGCGAAATCATTTTTTTCCTAATAAATGGCTCTTCTCCTTGCCCTCTGCCACGCTTAGAATTCCGACCCGTTTCCGCCACGCTATGCGCAGCATTCTCGCCGATCATGGATCCTTTCAAACGAATTCCTGCCGAACTCATTCGTGTGATCATTCAGAATGTTCCAGATTTTGTCGGCTTACACAGTCTTCTTTTGGCCTCAGAGACAGTCAAAACCGTTTTTCAATCTGAGCCCAGCGTCGTTTTGCTAGATGACCTGGTTGCATCAAACTCGATTGCCATGATGCCTGACATTCGAAAAATGGTTGACGAAGTTGCATCAATGCACATCCCATCAAAACATGGCTGCATTCTTGCAGACCATGCTCATTCAACGTGCCAGGCAGTCACCGGATACCTTCTTCCGCAAAATGGTAGCTCGGGGCTGCTAGAATTCATTCAAATAGCAGCACAGATTCAGCGACTGGCCTGTGCTTGCTTATTCGCGATGAGGCAGAACTTTTGTACTGCTTTTCAAATTCGTTTGGCTGCGTCACTATCAAATTGCGGTCGGGTCAGGAACTTTGCAATGGCACCGTCATGGATCGAAGAATACCGAGTTTACTGGGCCTTATGGCACTTGCGTCAATACTTTGACCTTCGAAATCTCGCACGAAGGAACGCTCTTTCTTTCAATGGCCCAGAGAGCCAAGAAAATTCTTACTCTTTGGACGAGAAATGCGACGCATACGTGGAGTCAAATGGTCTTATCGCTCCTTCTGGAGTGCTTGATCTCCGCATCGAAGAAATTTTATCCGTGGCAGCAGCGTTGACAGATTTAGGGCTACAGGTGTCTTACGAAGGTCAAGGACAAAAGCAGCAAGAACCGCCCGCGGCCGGCTGGCTCCTTTCACCGCAGACATCAATGCCCATTCTCATTGCATTTGAGCTGCCTCAAAAGGGAATGAAACATCCGGTGTGGTGCCCGCCTCCAATGCCAGAAGGTACAGATGTTGAAATTGCGTGGAATCGTTCTTTGCGATCGGTATATTCGTCGACTGAGCAGTTACGGTACTTTCGAATGTTAAGTCGACAGCTCGAGCGTATCAAGCCCAGCGAGAGTGGTATGCGGGACCTGCGACCTTATAGACGTCTTGGAGCTTTCATATGGGATAAATGGCGAATTTATTCCGCAGGGCTGTTGCAAGCCAACTTCAGAAAGAGGACACCGACTCCATGTGGGTTATTCATTGATCCGAATGATGCGACCTCACAAACCTCCCAAGAGATGCAAAGAAGGTGGATGGCATTGATTGGTAAAGTTTGATTGGGAATACGATTTTTTTCCGTAATCTGCTGGATATCCGCGGGTATGGGATTTTGTAGTGGAACATTTTTGATTCGGCTCAATAGCAGTCTTGATTGTCACGGCCAGAAATACTTATTTTGTGACATCCCTTCACATCCCTCCTCTTCATTTCCTTGGTTGGATGATCTTCAAGCTGCATATGTTCCTTTATGAAGAGTTGAAAGTGGTTTTATATGCGTAGATCTCATCTGTGCTGGGGTAGCAGGGTGCCTGATTTCGGCTACCGTATACCGCAGGCTTAGAGATGGGCTAATTCCGTCTGTGCCGAAATCGTTCGATAAGGTAGCGATTTTTTGGGTCAACCGAAAGTAATGGAAGCCCAATCCATAGTTTGGGTTCGCCTGGGAGGGCCGAGCAGAAGCTGACCTTGAGAATTCTGGTTTAATACCAACCACCTCTCTCGAAGCTATCAGATGTCTACTTCCTTCAATGGCAAGATATTGCTTCACGAAAGCAATTGAGAAACCTCAAGTACTTTTTCCGGCTCAACATTGTCAACCCACAGTCGAAAGCAATTACCGCGCAAGATTTCGGAGGCGAACCGGTGCCGCGATGGCCGAGCAGATCCTTTGATCTTTCGACTGATGAAGGACTTGCAATCCTTGGAACGCCTAACGGTTCGGGGGTCGCTTGGTTTCTCGTAATCTTTTCTCTAGTTTTTCTTCGAACTCCTCTGTTTGCGTCGCTTCTCGCTGGAATTGTTTTTGAGGTGTCAAGATGTCCTTCGTATAATTGTGCGAACCAAACCCCCACGGATAGTGTTCTTTCTGCCCCTCATCCTCAACAAGAGGGTGCCGCAGGAGGCTCACTACTACATTTGCGCGATCGCTCAGGAGATCCATTATTGTAACATCTTTCCCTTCTATACTTTAGTGGCGTCCGGGCAATCTGTCGATCTTGCCTAAACAGTCTTGACGTTCAGAACCGCAAGCTTGCGATTTCAAACCGCGAAACTTGTCCAATTTGGAGTCTTGCTGCTCTAGTAAGTGAGCGTACTTTTGTTCGTGCTGATCTTCCGGAGAGAATAGTATCATGTACGGGTTCGTCAAGCGACAGGAGATAGCGAGTCTGTTTGCAAGGGCAGAGAGACTAATGAAGATTGACAGCGGAGTTTGGTTGATGCTGGACCTCGTCCCTTGTCGCATACTCTTGTCCACGGTGTCTACACCTTCGGAGAGAAGGATCACCTGATCTAACTTCGACAGGAACCGGCCTGATGAATATTCATACTTTGCTAAACCATACAGTGGAGCGTGTTTAATGACACCCAATAATCGGCTCTGCTATAATTATCCGTATTAATATCACCTAAACGTAACGCGTCGCCTCAGCTGAACAGATAAACCCATCAGTCCGTATCGATGTCCGATCCTGATTTCTCTTTTGCGTAGTAATTACGTTCGGTAGCAAGGCGATGAACGTCTTCTGCGTGTCTGCGAAGATACATTTTATATAGGAGGTCCTTGCTACACATATGACATCTCCGATCCTTCAAGTGCTTCTCTCAAAAGTATTGTAAAGTTGATTTGTATTCGCTATATTTCTGTGTTCGACGATAAACGGGCAGCTAGGCATCGCCGTAACACTGAAAACATCGTCGAGGTCTTTTGGCCTTCCGAATATAGTTTCCCGCCTTCTCCAGAAGTAATTCTTCCTTCGATATTTCAGGAGTAAGGACGATTATCTTTGTTGTTTAATTATCTATTGTTGCCTGCTCTTTATCGGGCTCATCGCTTAGAGCCGGCCGTTTACGTTATCTATACAAAGGCCCGCCTTTAAGATAACAGCAATATTGCAAGATGGCAGCAACTGCAGTATTTCGTCTCTGCTATTCTGCCTCTAATAAATAGGAAGTTAGCTAGGTTAACAACTTCTCGAGAAGATCTATCTGCTCTGGCAGTATACTGTCTGTTCGCAATACGTTTTTTGCTTCCTCGTTATCGATAGCCGCTCTAGAGAGCTATCGCTTAATATCTATATTTGCCTGTTTACAGTCGAACTCCTTTCGAACTTTCTGTCTTAGTGCCCTCTCTAGCCGGCCAAAGGTGTTAAGCTTTTTGCGTACGAGTTTATCGCATCACAGTTATATCTGCTTATTTAGATTATAGGTACAGATTTTAGTTTGCTTATCTAATTACCGGACTGCTTCGACATACTCTAGATATTTATGGATCGACGCTTGTTGCTTAGGAGTCAGGTGTCGAGGCCGTCTGGTGTCAATCCATCTACTTATACGGGTAATTACACACATAAGGGATTTATTAGATTGTCGGCCGTTTATTACATTTTGCATATCCGTGTCAACATGTCGCGGAAGATAATGATTAAGGAATGTACGAGAATCTGTATATTTCATAATCAAATTTTGCTGAGCTTCGCTAACCGTATTACTATTGTTCAACATCTTTCTACCTCTATAGCGTATACGGTGTGTAAACATCGACTGAAGCCAGCTATAAATCTCCCCGAGATTCTTTAGCCAAGCAGATATAGTGCTACTGAGCATAGGTTGATCCTACAGAAGAACCGGGTACCTGCTGACTACTTTAGTTTTGTAAAAGATATAATATTCCTCTACCTCGGGTTTCAAGGGGAGTAGTATCTGCTAGCGACCGCCTTCAATAAATAGGCTTCGGAGTTTTTCTATAGAGGAAAGGGCTGGGGATTCAAAAGCCTATAGCTAGAAAAGTATACTAAAGATAAAAACGTAAGGGCTAAAGATAAGTAACGGATTGTCAATAATTTCGGGGAACGGAAAAGTATTACTTGAAAAAATTAATCATCAGGCCCTTTAGTATTAAGGAATAGTAGGTACTTATATAGCTTCAGACCTAAAGAATTACTTCGTATACTCTAACCTAACCTCTGCCAGAAGTACAGGAGGGCTACCCTAAGGATCCTTTTGTACAGAGAACTAGAGATACTTAAATTATAAGGACAGCAGAGCACTCAGTCGATTTACTGTAAATATACTAATTATGCTGAAAAGATACATCTGGATACGCTCGTATCCGAAATTAAATTACCTTTCCTATGTTCAGAGAATTATCTTATTCAACTCGGTTAAGTCTTAGACGTAGACTGGTTCTTTGCCTCGCTCTTAGTCATCTAGGTTAAACTTATTGATTAATTTCCGAATCCCCTAGAATTTCTATTAGCGCTCCCTACGTTAAACGGGTACGGACAACTGACGGTATTAATCTCTTCTCTGTTCTCGGCGCTGAGCTTAACGCAGGTGATTCTCTAATAGTAACCTTAAAAACCTTTCTACTCTGCTTTCAGAGCGCTTGCTTTAGTAGTGCCTTTTAGGTGTCTGCCATCTACACCGTACTTGAGTTTTATACAGTAGTTAAGAAATCGATAGATATCATTAGAGGTAACTTAACGAAGAGCCTCCTCTGTATCGCTCTATTTTAAATTCGTACTAGAGCTTCTAGCCTTTACTCTGCAGTACCTGGTTATGTTAGCAACTAGCAAGATATAAGTCTGAGAGCGTCCGCTTACTTATGCTAGCGTTGCTCGATCCGAACTCGACGGACTACGGTTCGGTCAGAACGTCCGTAATCCAGAGGAATATTTACGATATCCTCATCCGTATTATCGTTGGGGTCGTCGCTGAAGTCAGGTAACATATCGGGGCCGATACGTACCCGTACCGAGGGTCTAGGGCCATATGAAGACTCCTCAGGGCGATTAGGAAGCAGAGGGGGTTCTGGTGATATGTGAGCTGTCGAGCCGCGGAATTGGCCGTTATCTGATTCTTCGCTGTCGTAGTCTGGCCGGAAAGACGTCCTGGAGGTGTTGCTTTCATTGTCTATCGACTTGTCAGATATTTCTAAGCCAGACCCCGTCGAAGACAGGCTCGGTTCTGTGAGTCGATAGGGAGGCTGTATGCGTCGAACGACGAGGACGATCGATTAGGACTTCGAGGGCGGGTCGTTGGGTAGGCGGATAAACGTTGTAAGTAAGAAACGTGAGGGATGGCGTGGTCACCTGTGTAGCAAAGGAAGATAGCGAGGACAGCGACCAGGGCGAGAGCAGTTGGCGCTTTTAAAGGCCAGCGAAAGCTAGAATCGATTGTGGCCATTTTTGGCGCCGCAGAGGACAGAGGAGCGCCGCGGTTGGTTGTGGGGGGAAGACTGCCAGTCTGAAAGTGAGCAGAAGCGTATGGAATCCAGCAGAGCCCGTGTGTCTAGGCACCAGGGGGCAGGGGAGGGCAGGGGAGCAAGAGCGAACGGTATGCCAGGGGGGCCGGCGTGACGCCGACCGTTACAGGGGACGGGGGAAAAGTGCGTGGCGGTGGCTAGACGGGTGCGTGTGTGAAGGGCTGGTGCCGAGACCGCCATTTTCGGCGTCAAAGGGGGGCCAGTTTCGGCCGTCCCAGCACAAATGGTTATTGTTTAAGAGTAGTTTAAATATAAAAAGAAAATAATAAAATAGTTAAAATCTTACTAAGTTATAAAAGTATATAGAAACTAAGTTTATACCTTTATAGTTATTAAAATATCTTAAAAGATCTAGCTTTTTCTAGAAGAAAAAGAAGAATTAACTATAAACTAAGATTAAATTCTCTCTAAGTTATTAGTATTTTAGAATATATTTAAGATATAAAACTCTAAGATTATACTACTATAGAAAGAAACTAATTATTTAATTAATCTTAAAGAAAATATATTATCTCTATATAATTTAATCTATTTTTTCTTATAAGCAGAATTTATAGAGTTATAGAAATATTTTAATAAAAATCTAGTAAATAGTTAAATCTAATCCTCTAAAAGTCCTATAGATATATCTGTTCTATTTATATCTAAAAAGTAAAAAGAACTATATCTCTATATTAACTATTAAAAATTAAGTAAAGTCTCTATTAAAAACTAATACTCTCTATCTCTTATCTTAGAGATTTTTAACTATTTTTCTAGAGCTAGATTTCTTAGTAAAATAAATATATAGAATATATACTATTAGATTTATATTTAAAAAAAAGAAGAATAGAAGATAGCTTTCTGTATAAGATATAGATATTTTAAATATATAGTTATACTCTTTAGTCTTACTAATATATTAGTAATAATTTAAAGCTATATCTATACTATACTCTATAGTCTTCTTAATATTATCTATATTATATATCTTAATAATATCTTAATCTTCTCTAAAATATTTAAAGAGTATACAGGATATCTAACTATTTATTAAAGTATTAAAATATAGCTTCTATAAATTATAAGTTAAATTCCTTAGCTTTATTATTAGTTAAAATAGTATTTTAATAGATCTAGAATAAGTTTAAGCTATTTAAGAGTAGAAATAACTAATATTCTATAGAAATATTTAGATCTTTCTTAGATTCTATAACTTCTATTAAAGATTTATTAAAAAATACTTATTAATTATATTACTACTTATAGAATTTCTTAAAGAAAGTAAGGATAGAAGAAAACTAAAAAGTATTAAACTAAATAATAGAGAATTAAAGATATTTTAAGATCTTCTCTATATTTTTTTAACTATATTTTTTCTTTATTCTTTTAATCTAGAAAGATCTATTTAACTTAAGACTAATATATTAGATTTTAGAATAATAGAAATCCTTTTATAACTAGATAATTAGAGAATATAGTATTCTATAGCTTTCTAATTAAAGAAATTCTTATCTATAGAGTAAAATTATATAATATTAGATTAGAAACTCTTTATAATTATTTATTTCTTTAAATATTAGTATTAATATCTTAAAGAAAGTTAGTACTAAATTAAGATTCTAACTAATTATTATAATAAAGCTCTTTATAAACTAACTAAAGATTAATAGAAAATAAATATATTAGTATTTCTTTCTTATCTTTTTTAATTTTATAGTATATTACTACTTAGATAAGATAAATTCTATAGATAGATTATCTTATATTTTAAAAGAAAAGAAAGCTCTATCTATAGAAAAAATATTAGAGCTAATTTATAAGAGAAGTATAGCTAAATTATTTATAAAAGTATAGTAATTTACTATTAGTATAAGGCTAGATATCGCCAGAACCTATGTCAACCATGACCTAACCCAACCCAACCCAGCCCAAAATAGGTTTTAGGTCTAATTCTATAACCTATTGATAGGTTTTAGGTTGAGGCCCTTAACCTAAAACCTATATAGGGACCCAGTAGGTCCCTATTTTAGTATAAACAGGATAAATATACTAAGCCTTCAAATACTGTATATATCAGAGCTGTTTTTAGGCCTTATATATAGGTACTTTTGGTTTTTTATTTAATAATATTATTATTTTATATTGAATATATATATATTACAGGTTATAAGGGTTAAAAAAAGTATATTAAAAAATAAAATAAATTACAGAGTTCTATAGTAAAGATAGTGGTAGACCCTACTAGATTATATATATATCTTTACAAAAAGTCTTACTTTTTTTAATAACTTTTTTAATACTTAATATTTAGATCCTAAATTTTAAATATAGAATAATTAGTATTATATAAAGCTATATATAAAATATTAAGATCTAAATCCTTCTAGAAAAAAAGATATAAAAAGATATAATATTAGTATTTGAATACACAACATAAAAATTATAAAAAATTATGTAAAAATTATGCCAAAATGGGTCCAAATGGGTTGAAATAGGTTACCTATTTATAACCCACTGGGTTTTGGGTTGGGTTGGGTTCTAGCTACTATAACCTAAAACCCAGTGGGTTAGGTTTTGGGTCAGTATGTTCAACCCAAAATAGGTTATAGTAATGTCTATATAAGACTATCTAGAAAGAAAAGTAAAGAAAAGTAGAGATTAATAAGTATAACTATATTAGTCTATAGAAATCTATTATTATTTTTCTCTCTAACTATTAATAGCTTATCTAGTAATATAGAGTTAGAATTAAATTAGATCTAAAATAATACTACTATCTCTATAGATTAGAAAAATCTAGAGAAAATTATAGATAAACTAGTAAAGCTAATTATTTAGATCTAAAGAATAATAAAGAAGTTTTTCTAAGTTAGAACTATAATATAACTAAAATTCTCCTAAGTTAGGGCTATAATATAATATATTATAAGATTTTAAGTTACTCTTAATTTATACTCTTTTAAATAGTATTTACTATAGCTATAAATAAAGATCTATTTATAGATAAATCTCTAAAAAAACTAAAAAGATTAATTAAGAAGCTCTAAGAAAATAATAAGATAATTTAAAAAAGAACTAATATAATTATTATAGATAATTTAAAAGAAAGATAAGTATTATCTCTAAAAAGCTATTATATTATAAGAATTATCTCTATATTTCTATTAAAGAAAAATTAAGAAAAAAAAATAATAAAGCTCTATTATAATAAGTAACTTATAGAATATTCTAGAAGAATCTATACAGAGAAACTTTTAAAAAGAAAATTTTATTAAAAAAAGCTACTAAAAGATATTTAAGAATATATTAAAATATATCTAATATACTAAAGAATTAAAGTACTAAGATATTAATCTTATAGTAAAGTCTAATCTTTTCTAATTCTTTATTAGCTATTTATAGAGCTAAGTATAGACTTTATAATAAAACTTCTAATTATAATATTTAAAAAAAGAAAATATAATATAATTTTAATTATTATCTACTTACTTATAAAATTTTTTTAATTTCTCTCTATATTAATAATAATATCTATAGAAAATCTTATAGAACTCTTCTTTAATTAAATTAAACTTAAATATAGAAATTTAGAAAAGATTATCTCTAGTTTAAGTCCTATCTTTATAAGTAGATTCTAATTATAACTCTATTATTATTTAAAGATTAAACTATAATTCTCTATAGTATTCTACTCTTAAACTAATAATTAGATAGAAAGACTTAACTAAATTCTAGAGAACTATCTTAGATATTTTATTAATAGAAAGTAATTAAATTAGGCTTAACTTCTTAAGATAGCTTAATTTATATATAATAATACTATTAATATATTAACTTATAAAATCTCTTTCTATATACTACTTAGATATAATTCTAACTTCTAAGTCTAAGCTCTAAAGAAAAGTCTTAAAAAGAAAGCTCTAAGTACTAAAAAATAGATAATTTATCTTTAAGATATTTATAAAGAAACTTTAAAAAAAAATATAAAAAATATAATAGAGATTATATAATAAAAATTATAAACTAAAAGACTTTAAGATTAGAACTCTTATATTTCTTTTAATAAAGAATATCTACTTTAAAGCTAAAGAAAAGAAGTTATCTCTCTAATAAATTAGATCTTTCTATATCCTAATAAAGATTAGTATATAGATATATTATATTATTTTACTAGAGAAATACTTAAGATTATATAATATTTTCTTTATCCTTCTTCTTAAGCTATAGAATAGCTAAAATAAAGATAATTTACTAATACTTATATCTAAAATTAAAGATAAAGAGAAATAAAAGATTAAAGAGATTTAAGATAAAAGAACCTTTAATAGGATTCTATATTACTATATTAAATAGACTAGATAGCCCTTAGAATATAATTAATAGAAATATATAGAATACTTATAAAGTATAAAGAATATAATATTATTATTTAGAAAGAAAAGAACTTAAAAAACTATATCCTAATAATAATAAAGAACTATTGAAACTCTTTTAATATATACTTAAATTAATACTAAAAAAAAAGAAAAACTACTCTACTTAATTCCTGCTAAATAAGGTTACTTAGCTATATATTACGGACCCTGCAATATAAGAGGCTATAACTTACTGATAAGCTACTGAGAGCTAACTAACCTACAGGGGCCAGATATAACCCTAAGTTATGTATATAATCAGGCAGAAAGGTAGATAAAGAAAGCAGAAAATAGCCTTCTACTTACTATTATAAACTATACTATATTAGATAATATAATAGTTAGCGTAACATAAGAAATGGCTATATTCCTATATATGCCAGATTATACCTAGAATATAGGAACCTATAAATATATATATAACTGTAGGGTATACTATAAGGTATACTAACCGGTAGATAGAAGAATACGATCTAGTATACTACTAGATACGCCCTCTAGTATACTATACTGCAGAGGACTAG